CATTCCTGCTTTCCCTTCCCTGGCTGCAAAGGACCGCCCCTACGGCTCTGTCGGACGCGTCGGTCTCTAGCCTCAGGGGTTTCTCCAGATCTACGTGCAGGAGTTGCTCTTCCGATGCGAACGCCTTCTTCAGTTTTTCGAAGGATTGCTGGGCCTCTTCTGTCCACACAAACTTCTTTTTGCTACTGAGACAATCCGTGATGGGCGCTGTCAAGTGGGCGAAGTTCTTGATGAACTTCCTGTAGAAGTTGCTGAACCCTAGGAACCTCTGTACGTCCTTCCGTGTTTTGGGAGCCTTCCACTCCAGCACTGCCTGCACCTTGCTTGGGTCCATCGCTAAGCCTTTGTCAGACAACTTGTACCCCAGAAACTCGACTTCTCTGGCGTGAAACTGACATTTTTCCAGCTTGACCCACAACTGGTGCTTCTGCAGTCGTTGTAACACTTCCCTGACGTCTCTAACATGTTGTTCCTCATTGTCCGAATAAATTAAGACGTCGTCCAAGAAGGCTACGCAGTTCTTGTACAGCAGAGACCCCAACACGTGGTGCATGAAAGCTTGAAAACAGGCGGAGCCCGACTGTAATCCAAAAGGCATAACTAAGTACTCAAAGGCACCTAGGGGTGTGAACATTGTGGTCTTCCATTCGTCCCCCTCCCTCATCCTGATCAAATTGTATGCGCCCCTGAGGTCCAGCTTGGTAAAAATTTTGCCTTTCCTCACTCGCGTTAAAATGTCGTCAATCCTGGGCATTGGGAAGGTCACGGGTTCTGACACCAAATTGACAGCTCTATAGTCCACTACGAGCCTGGGTTTATTTGTGTCCTTTTTGTCCACAAAGAACACCGGACTGCCCCCTACTGCCTTTGATTCTCTTATGAAGCCTCTTTTCAGGTTCTTGTCGATAAATTCTCGCAACTCCTTCATCTCCCTGTCTGACATGGCGTACAGCTTACCCACTGGCAGCTGAGCCCCCGGAAGCAAGTTGATCTGGCAGTCAAAGGGCCTATGGGGTGGCAGTCTATCTGCCTCTTTCTCGCTGAAGACCTCCCGCAGATCTGCGTATTGTGGCGGCACCTCCCCTTTCCGCTCCACCGCCATCCCAGCCACCCTGGCCACGGTCATTCTTGGGGCTTTCCCCTAGACAGTGTTCCAGGCAGTAAGCTGACCCAAAGGTGACTGTCCTCTGATGCCACGCCACCACTGGATCATGTTGTGCTAGCCAGCTCATCCCTAATATTATTGGGGGTCCTGCTAGCGAGGCGACGTGAAAGGCGATGGTCTCCGAGTGCCTGGACACCCTCATTCTCATTGGCGGGGTCTGGTGTGTCACTTCCCCTCCTAGAAGCTCCCTGCCATCAATGGTGGTCACTTGCAAGGGAAAATCCAAAGGCAGTAAGTGGAGCTGGTGCTCTAATGCAAAGTCCTTGCTGAAGAAATTACATGAGCTGCCTGAATCCAGCATGCCTTTCACCTTGACTGGGTGCCCGTTCGGGAGTTCTAGCACCACTTCGATGGCTATTGCCGCCTTGGGGGTCTGGTTGGGGCACTTTTACTGGTGGCTGGCTTGGCTGTTGTGCCCCTTGATTGGCAGCCAAGCGTTCCCGTTTCCCTGTTCCTGTTCCTTTACCACCTCCTCCTCACCCCCTGCGGTTCCCACCATTCCTTGCCAAGCCTTTCTTTGAGGGCAGGCTCTGGCAAAATGGCCTGGCCGCTGGCAAAGGTAACACTTCTTGGAGGTTTTCCAATCCTTTCCCTCCTTCTTGCGCCCTTCGCTGGTGCTTGAAACTTCCCGCGCGCGCCCCATCTATTTCCATTGGCTCTGCTGGCGGGGAGGGCTGCCTTGGTATTTCAGGAATGCGGTAGTCATGGCAACGTTGCTCTCTCCCTTCCCGCCTCTCCTGGGCCCGCGCTTCCTGGCGCACGCCAATCGCAAGCACAGCCTTGGTCAGCTGATCCATCCCCTGTGGGCGGGGTGCGCGGGAAAGTTCATCCTTAACCGTTGGGGACAACCCCTCCTCGAATAACATCTGTATGGGTTCGGAGCCCAGTTCCCACCCGAGGCGGTGAACTATCATGGCAAAGCGCGACCAGTAGTCCCTAACTGACTGGCTCCCCTGTTTACAGTTCATCAATTCCCGCTTTGTCACACTTTTTTGAACATCAGTGGAAAACATCGCGTCCATCGCTTGGAAGAATTTCCTCAGGTCCTGCATGGCGGAATTCTGCGTCGCCATAAGGGGTCTGACCCATTCCCTGGCCCCGTCCTGCAGGTGACCCACAACATATGCCACCCGCGCCGCGTCGTCTTCAAAATCGTTATGCTGCAATTCCAATGCGTACTCTATTTCCGTTCGAAACGCACTGTATTCTTGCGGCTTCCCCCCAAACTTGTGCACCAGTCCCGGTACCTTCCTTGCTATGGGGGTGGGTCTGACCTGTGCATCTTGAGACCGCCTTTCGTCCAGCCGTGCCGTCAGAATGGCCACATGCTGCTCCAAATCTCGGTTCCTCTCCTCCAGCGTTTGCCCTCCAGCTGCTCCCCCCTGGGTGCCTGCTTCTCCGGGCTTGCTCATGATGCTGCCTGCCTGCTGCTGCGCACGAGCAACTTTTCAGGGACTGACGGATTGCTGTAATGAGTATGAGTTACTCGTGTGTAAACTGGTGGCTCTCTAAGCTAATTTGCCTTGTTAAACCTTTCTGACTGCACCGTCCTTTCTCATCATGACTGTCTCAGTCACTAGCAGAATCCGTCAGTGGGCGTTTCTTGAATCTCTTCCAACATAAGAGTTGTTTGACACCCAATCTCCTCCGCCTCTCACTGCGCGGGAGCCTTCTGCGCAGGGTGGGCGTGGGTAGCGGGGGACCTGTCCCCTCCTCACTGAGTTCCAGTGAAGAGTCCGTGAGCCCTCTCTCCGATTTCCCCATCTGCTCACTTTTGTTCCTGGTGTTGCGCTTAAATGCTTCCCCCTCCACTGAGTTGCCTCTCCCCCTGCTGCTGGGTCCTTCTCCAGCATCATCCAGGAGCCTCCCCTTCGCCTCCCGCTCTGATGTCAGTTCCCTGACACCGAGGTACCACTGTTTTGTGGAGCCAAAACCCACTGTCCCATTTTGGTATACGCAGTCTATGCCAATAACACTGACTCAACTGGCAGCAATGTTGCAAAGATGACTGATGTACTCTCTGCAACTTGCTTTATAAGCACTTACTGTATAATACTTAACATTTACCGTATTTTTCTCTCTATAAGACGCACCAGACCACAAGACGCACCTAGTTTTTGGAGGAGGAAAACAAGAAAAAAAATATTCTGAATCTAAGAAGCCAGAACAGCAAGAGGGATCGCTGCGCAGTGAAAGCAGCAATCCCTCTTGCTGTTCTGGCTTCTGGGATAGCTGCGCAGCCTGCATTCGCTCCATAACACACACACACATTTCCCCTTACTTTTTAGGAGGGAAAAAGTGAGTCTTATAGAGCAAAAAATACGGTACTTATTTCAACAAAACATCTGTCCTCAAAGACAGCGATCCTAGTCCCACATCTCACAACTGTCTACATGCACACCATACATTTAAAGCACATGGCTCCCCCAAAGAATCCTGGGAATTGCAGTTTGTTAAGGGTGCTGGGAAATGTAGTGTGGTGAGGTGTAAACCATAGTTTCCAGGATTCTTTGAGGGAGCCATGTGCTTTAAATGTATGGGCTGGATGTAGAATCGCAGGTGCATTTAATTCTCACAGCAACTGGCAAAGGCGTAACTCCTGATAGAAGCTTACCAGGCAGTGCATGAGGCTCCTGAATGTTTGATTGGTCTTCACAGTAACAACAAATGTGGAAAGCTACCATGACAAAGTATGGCAGGTGTGGGGAATTGCTGACCCTCCAGATGTTGCTCCCACCATCCCTAGCCATTGGCTGTCCTTGCAGCAACATCTGAAAAGACAAACATTCCCCATACCTGAAGTAGGGAAACAAAGGCATTCTGTGCATGCTCAGAGGCACTTCTCTGTATTTCACTCTTTCAAGCTCAGCTCAGATATGATAAACATGTGTTAGGTTTCAGCCTCTAGTAAATAATATCTTAAAGTAAGCCTTGTATCAATCTTGTATCAATCTGGCTTTGCCATTAGATGACACTGACAAGTTTTTTAACCAATTCTCACTGACCCAGTTACTAGCACAATTACATTCTGGGACTGATTCTTCTAGTTTCCTTCGCAGTTAGACCTAACAGTGCCATTACAATACTGTATATTACAACCCTTCAAGGCTTGTACCAGATACGTATACGTTGCAACCTGAAGCACAGTTCTAACCATGTTTAGTCATCCCATTGACTTCATTGGGTCTTACTCCCAGGTTAATTGGGGTTAGGACTGTGGCTTGAGTTGTTCAACCTCTACTGATACATGATGATAATTGTTCATGGTCTTGGGTATGAATTTGAAGGCACATGAAATAGCGACATTATGGAAACTGAGGCGTGGGACTGGCGAACGTCAGAACAGGAGATCACCTGGGAACCCCAGGTGCAGTTTTTTGTCCCCCCTGCTCAGTCTCTGCTGTCCTGGGCTCCTTTGGGAGGAAGGGCAGGGTATAAATCAAACAAATAATAACAATTCACATTAGTCGAGCCTTGAAATTGAGGCATGGGTCTGCTCAATGCCAGATTAAGCCACCTGACACCCTAGGCGTGGAAGACAGCTAGGATCCCTAATGCCATTACTCAAGCCAGTTTTGGCAAAACATTAATCCATTCATTTCTATGCCGCTTTATAATTCTAAGAAGAAGAAGAAATCTCCAAGAGGTTTACAGCCCACATCAAACTATCAGAGAAAGCAATGCAAAATAAAACACTGCAGAGGAAAGTCAAGTTATAAAGCAAGTATTCAAACAACTTAATAAAACGAAGGCATCACCACAACCGTTGCAAAATAACACTTTATGAAAGGGAGTCAGATAAAGTTGGATGTCTAATGATTCAGTCAGGTATGCCCCCCCCCCATGCCTCTGAACCAGAACCCCTTTTGAGAGGCGGAGATATAAAATCAACCAAGAAGGCGGGAGGGAACTCTCCGAGCGACCAGGCTGGGCGGTGAGGAGACCAGGCCGGAAGTTCCAAAGCCGACACGTTCCCGGTACCGCCAGCGGCGCGTTTCAGTTTCGATTCTCCGGTGGCCGCCTGTGCCGGGCAAGGAGCGGAGCCCGCTTGTTGCAGGGAAACGAAAGCGGAGCAGCAGCGCTTCCCGCAGACGGACGAGTCTCCCTCTCGGAAGCAGTCGTCTGCAGCGGGGGCTCCGCCGCTCTTGGCCCGGACTTGTCCCAAGGGAGAAGCAGCTGCCCACCGACCACCCAGTGGCGCCGGTGAGTACGCCGAGGTGGTCCTGACCCCGCTGACGGGAGGCGTCCAAAAGTCGGCGCCCCGGGGCGGGGGCGCGGGAGGAATCCCACCCGATTCCTACTCGTGCCAGCCTGCTTAGTTCCAGCGGGGCTCCTTCCGAGGACGTGGGCTTTGGGCCGAGGCAGGTGGCCGCCTTGCAGGGGCGCGCCGAGAGGGGGGTTTCTTGCCCGGGCAGAAAAACAGTTACTTTGTGGTCCATTGCCCCTTTGCTGCCAGGGAGGGCGAGAAGCACTTCTGGAAGGTTCTTTGCCAAATACTTTTCACGGCCTCGCCCCTTGACTTGGGCAGGAAGGGAGAAGGGCGCGCCGCTGTGCCCCAGGGCAGGCGGTCCTCCTGTGAAGAGCATTGCGGCCGCTTTGGCCAGCCTGGGTCCAGGGGACGGCGCGGGTGACCCAGCTTGGCTTTCCCCCTGGAAGTTTGTTTTGGCCACAGCGTCACCAGTCACCGGGCGCTGTGCTCCTTATCAGTTGGTTCACCATGTCCCAGGTCACAGAAAAGCGAGTCAGCGCTTGAGTTAATTTGAACTCTTAGGCTGGATCGATAGAATTGTCGAGTTGGACGGGGCCACGACGGTCATCTAGTCCAATCCCATGCAATGCAAGAATCCTTTTGCCCAGCGTGGGGCTTGAACCCACCACCCTGAGATTAAGAGTCTCACGCTCTACTGGCTGAGCTATGCCTGCAGCTGCTCAGTAATAAGGAAAGGGAAGATTGAAAATTGCCTCTTGAGAAGTTTGTAATAGAATTTTTCTTCTTGGCATCTAAGGTCTTCTCTGCATTCTTCCCATAGAGCTGCTGACAAGCTTTCTGATAGCGGAATAGGGAGAGTGTTGTAGGGGCTCCTGTGATGTTATGTTTAGAGGGAGCAGAGAGAGCCACTCTCCTGCCCCTTTTGGCCCCACCACACGGACTAGCAGATTGGCGCTAGTCTGGGTGGTGGTGGAACAAAAGGAGTGTGAGAGAGTCGCTGTTCATTTCTTTTCTTGGGGAAATGCCTTTGCTTCCACTCCCAGTTTCCCAGTTGGAACGCTTCTGAGCAGCTTCCAGTTCTACAGTTCTTTGATTCTACGATTCTGTGTTTGTGTTGGGCCTCCTGGGGAAGTGGTGGTGGAAACCACTGTTGTGTACCACCAGTGCCATGGTGTGAATGGGGGTGTGGTGTTCCCCACAGTCTCTTTTCCAAAGTGCTCTGGTTTTCCACCTGGTTTCTGTACTTATAACATAAGGGGGGTGGGGAGTGTTGTTAATAATACAGTGTTCCTTCTTCGAATTTATTTCAGTTTCCTAGCCTGTACCAAAATGGCAGACAACCAAGCTGTTCCAAGAATGTACATGGCGAGACTTAATGAGTATTGTCAGAGAAAACGCTTACGATTGGACTATAAGGATCTTGGTTTTGATGGCCCATCTCATAATCCTGTGTAAGTGGATGAGGAATGCTGGGAAGTGGGGACAGGGAGGAGTGAGGAAATTCACACTTCCCTCCAGATGTGTTTTATGCAAAAACTAAACAGGGCAGGAATATTGGTATGGCAACTAAATTAAAGGATCAGGTTTTTTTTATGGCCTTTCCCCCACACCTATGTTAAGTCCTTCCCAGTTTACCGTATTTTTCGTCCTATAGGGCGCACCGGCCCATAGGACGCACCTCGTTTTTTGGGGGGGGGGAAATGAATAAAAAAATTATCCCCCCCCCGCCGCGGCTGCCGCCCCAAGCCTTGTGCACACGGCACGGGGCACCCTCCGGAGGGCTCCGCGTGCTTTGGGCTGCAGGCTGCCGCCCCAAGCCTCGCGCGCTCGGCGGGACCTCCCGCCGGGCGCGCAAGGCTTGCAGACACTCGCCCGAAGCACGGGGCACCCTCCGGAGGGCTCCCCGTGCTTCGGGCGACAGGCTGCCGCCCCAAGCCTCCCGCACCCAGCGGGACCTCCCGCCGGGCGTGCGATGCTTGCAGACACTCGCCCAAAGCACGGGGAGCCCTCCGGAGGGCCCCCCGTGCTTCGGGCGCCAAGCTGCCGCCCCAAGCCTCGCATGCTCGGTGGGACCTCCTGCCGGGCGCGCAAGGCTGCAGACACTCGCCCGAAGCACGGGAGCCCTCCGGAGGGCTCCCCGTGCTTCGGGCGACAGGCTGCCGCCCCAAGCCTTGCGCGCTCTGCGGGACCTCCTGCTGGGCGCGCAAGGCTTGCGGACACTCGCCGGGGCTGCAGGCTGCTGCCCGCAAGCCTTGTGAGCCCACGGGAACTCCCACCGGGCTTGCAAGGCTTGCGGATAGCTTCCTGAAGCCTGGAGAGCGAGAGGGGTCGGTGCACACTGATGCCTCTCGCTCTCCAGGCTTCAGCGAAAGCCTGCATTCGCCCCATAGGATGCACACACATTTTCCCTTCATTTTTGGAGGGGAAAAAGTGCGTCCTATGGGGCGAAAAATACGGTACTTCTGTACAATTGAAACACTTCCTTAACCGTCCCAGTTTCTTGGTCCACTAAGATTTTCCAACTCAAGAGATAAAGCATAACATAGGACCAGGCTTCCCCCGCCCCCAAGACCTGACATTGCCTTTTGTTTCTCATTCCAATTATAAGGGTGGGAGAAAGTAGTGCATTTTCTGTGCTGTTTTGCTTCGTTGTCCCTCTCTTGCAGATAGGTTAGCAAACTATCCTTAGAAGCTGCACTGTTGAACCCTCCTACGCTCCAGACAGCTGCTTGAAACAGCATCTAATTTAGTAGGATGGCTTACTGTGGCTCTCCAGATGTTTTTGGACCCTGGCTCCCAAGGCAGCATGGCTGATTGTCAGGGATGATGGGCGTTGTACTCTAAAACATATAGAGGGCACATGCTTGGTGAATGGAGCCTTATAGGACAAAAAAGGGAAGCTAGCATTAGGCACACTTTACAAATAATAGGAATGAGAGATTTACAGGAGCAAACTATCCAGGTATTTCCCATTTCTGTTTATCCAGCATACAAGACTTAAAGCATAAAATTCAATCTGCAAGCATATTTTGCGGACTGTGGGCTTTTAACTCTCTCTTTTTCACTGCAGATTCACTGTAGCAGTTGAAATAGATGGAAAGCAGTATAGCCGAGCAACAGGTAAAAGCAAGAAGGAGGCAAAAGATCATGCAGCATTCTTAGCTTGGGAGTCCATACAACAAGAACTGCCAGTAAGTAGACCATAAAGGATACATGTCAAGACATACAAATAATCTAGAAAACAGAAAAGAGCCTTTGATCTTGAGGTATACTAAAAAAAAAACCAATCTTGTACAGTGGTACCTCGGGTTACATACTCTTCAGGTTACAGGCTCCACTAACCCAGAAATATTACCTCGGGTTAAGAACTTTGTGCTTCAGGATGAGAACAGAAATTGTGCTCCGGCGGTGCGGCAGCAGCGGGAGGCCTGAAGTGGTGCTTCAGGTTAAGAACAGTTTCAGGTTAAGTACGGACCTCCGGAACGAATTAAGTACTTAACCCGAGGTACCACTGTATCTCATTCTGTTTTAACATCTGCCTGAAGCTGCTAGGAAATGCCATCTGTGGGCAGGGGTAGCTGGTAACGTTTTGAGGTGATATGGCTGCACTATTTAACCTTGCTGTTTCCATCACAATAGGATTTAGGAAAGTGTGCCATTGCACATGTGCAGAGTGCCATTGTCTCCTCCTCTCTTAAAAAAAAACCAGTTATTATCTATGGATAGGGGGAAATATTCCAAGTACAATTTTCAGACAAAATTGACTTCATACATCTTATTTAGAAATTCAGCGATACCACATGTGGTAGGTTTTTAAATTAACTTCTATTATGTCTGAGATTTGGGGAAACATATTCCAAGTTTGTGGAAGGGTGTGGCTTCATATCTAGACCGGCATAGAAGCAAAACTCTTCATTTTAGAAATTCACTGAGAAACCCACAAAAGAACAAAGTAAAAATAATACTGATAGGATTTTGCTCCATCCCTGTGCATTTAAGATATACCCCCCACGGGGGTGGAGGAGCTTGATGAAAGCAAATCCATACAGCATTTCTAGAAAATACTCTGGAACTGCTTGTGACTCAGATTTGCTCCAATTAGTCCTAACAATTTTTCTGCTTTGAGACTCATGGAAGTGACCTCTTTGCCATAGCTATGTTTTTGGATCAAGATTGGATGAGTGCTGCAGAGAACAGGAGATTGACAAACCTGCCTCTGTAAAGTCAAGGAAGTGTATAATATTTGTGGAACAGGAAAGAGTTTATCTAGACTACACTACTACTTCCAGGGGCTGCCTTGGAAGATGGTTTGGAAATTTCAACTGACGTATTATATTACATACACAGAATGTCATATAATTCAAATTGCATTACAATAAAATGCAATGTAAGAAGTAAAATAAGCAAAAAAATTCCATTAAAAATCAGTATTTAATGTGAGCATGCTATGGACCACCTGAATGTAGCTTGTGGATCATTGGTGGTCCACATACCAGAGTTTGAGAACCCACGTCCTTATACAGCGGATGGTGATGAAGGTCTTTCAGGAAGCACTGCCGTCTCTTAAGTTGAACAATGATTCTTGGTCTGTTGATTCATACTATGTTGTCTCTCTTTGACCTGGACCTTTTGGTGTCAGCCTTCTTGCAGGTTGTGGGTGGCGTCACCACCTCCTTTGAAAACACTTAGTGTTCTTCTACAAGTCTTTCTGTGGAGGGTCCCTCAAGGAGATCCTCAGTGGCAATTCCAAGGGACGCTGCTTGGTCCCCTAGGTCTTCAGTCTATGGGGAGTTGGGTTCCTATATACCCAGTACCAGGTCAGAACTAGGAATGACACGCACCTATCCTGTATCAGGTCTAGCCTTCTGGCCTTTGCCTTGTATGCATATTGTTATTGCCATGTAACATTGCTAAATAAGAACAGTATTTTGTAAGGCCTGCTGCCAACTTAGAACATGAAACCCAAGGTAAGTACAGACCTCCCCATACCATGTAATAAGGAGGAATTCAGTGAGAAACCTCTCACTGTTCAAGCAAACTGACTTATACATATTGTTTACAGGCAGATCCTGTTTTAAGACCAGAGCAGCTGCTGCCTCCTCTGCCATCACCACAATATCCTGTTTTAAGACCACAGCAGCCACTGCCCCCTCTGTCATCGCCACTATCTCAGTTGCCTGAGCCTGCTGCAAATCTGGCACAACCAGCTCCTTCACTTAACTATCTTGCCTTGCTCAATGAATATGCATCGAGAAACAAAGTGGTGGTTCAATATGGTTTGGTTTCTAAATCTGGCCTAGATCACATGCCAATGTAAGTTGTCATTAATAATTGATTTTTTTGTTGACTACTACTCTTGGCAACTATTTTTTGGTTAAACGTAAAGCTCTTAGTGATTTGTCGATAATAGTAGATGTCTTTTTGTTTTATTTGGGTGCCAGCTCATACTGAGGTTTTTTTAACTCCGGCTTTTGGGAATGGTTTGTGACATTTAGGAATTTCACCACTACTATGACTACTACTGGGATGTGGGTAGCGCTGTGGTCTAATCCACTGAGCCTCTTGTGCTTGCCGATCAGAAGGTTGGCAGTTCGAATCCGCATGACAGGGTGAGCTCCCATTGCTCTGTCCCAGCTCCTGCCAACCTCAATTCAAAAGCACGCCAGTGTGAGTAGATAAATAGGTATCGCTGCAAAGAGAAGGTAAACGGTGTTTCCGTGCACTCTGGCTTCCGTCACAGTGTCTCATTGTGCCAGAATCGGTTTGGTCATGCTGGCCACGTGACCTGGAAAGCTGTCTGTGGACAAACACCCACTCCCTTGGCCTGAAAAGCGAGATTAGCGCCGCACCCCATAGTCACCTTTGACTGGATTTAACTGCGCAGGGGTTCTTTACCTTTATCTTACTACTATCACAACTATTATTACTGATTAAATTTATATACTGCCCGTCATTTATCTACCACTTTGGGATACCCTGACCTAAATAAAATAAAATGTAGGAAAATGATATGTGAGACAGGTGGCAGTGAGTTTGTAGTTTTCTATAGCCAATGAAAGGCTTGAGGTCCCGATGCAAGGCTTTTTATTTCCCTCCACTTCCCACATGCCCTCAAAATGGAGGACCCTTCAGAGATTTTTTGAGCTTGTTCAGGGTGAAGAGAAAATGGAAGGGCCACTGTGCCTGTGTGGACTCTGCTCTGGTCATCCAATTTCTGACTCTTGACTATATGCTCACTTTTGTAACAAAAAGTTTTGCTTGAGGTCATTAGAACTTTGTATGGAGAATGGGTTCCTGCCCAAGGTCTATAGGATTGCTGCCACATCTACAACAGTGTATGCTAACTTATTTCCACCCTCCCGTCTGTTATGCCTTCTAGTTTTCACTGTGTCTGTAAAATTGATGATAAAGATTTTGGTGAGGGAACAGGAAACAATAAACAAACAGCAAAACGGAATGCAGCCAGGCAAGCGTATGAAAAGTTGAATGACCAAGCAACTTCAAGGGTATGTATTGCATATTAGAGGAAAACAACAGACTGTGTTTTTCATGTGTGACACTTTAATGTATTTTTAATCTTTATTGGAAGCCGCCCAGAGTGGTTGGGGGAACTCAGCCAGATGAGTGGGGTACAAATAAATTATTATTGTTGTTGTTATTATTATTATTATTAATTGTCAGTGTAGCAAGTGGGCGTGTCCTATGAATCGTTTTGCCAGCTCTCACCAGCCCCAGCCAGCAATGTGATACTCATTGGGGTTGATGAGAATCATAGAATTGTAGAGTTGGAAGCTACCATGAGGGTCATGTAGTCCAACCCCCTGCAATGCAGGAATCTTTTGCCTGATGTGAGGGTTGAACCCATGACCCTGGAATTAGGGTCTACTGACTGAGAGTTATAGTCCAAAACATCTGGAGTGCACTGGGTTGGCCAAGGCTGGTTTAATCCCTTTCATTTCGTTGCCATTGTTACTTTTTGTTGCAGTAGATTTTTAAAATCCACAGTTAAGGTATAATTCCGAATTGTTTTTCAGGCAGAAAGAAGTGCTTCCCTTCCAAATAGTTCTACAAATAGTTCTAGAAATCCATCACACAGTAATTCCGAAGAATCATCACCAGAGGCATCTGGGACGTAAGTTAAACATTTAATGATGTCTCTTTAAAGTACTCTTATTCTAATTTTTTGTTGTTGATTTAATAGCGATGCTGTACAATATAGCATTCCATAATGAGCAAAAGGGACACTTACGTACAGTGGTGCCCCGCAAGACGAATGCCTCGAAAGACGAAAAACTCGCTAGACGAAAGAGTTTTCCGTTTTTTGAGTCGTTCCGCAAGACGAATTTCCCTATGGGCTTGCTTCGCAAGACGAAACGTCTTGCGAGTTCTTGCGAGTTTGTTTCCTTTTTCTTAAAGCCGCTAAGCCGTTAATAGCCGCTAAGCCGTTAATAGCCGCTAAGCCGTTAATAGCTGCTAAGCCGCTAATAGCCGCTAAGCCGCTAATAGCCGTGCTTCGCAAGACGAAAAAACCGCAAGACGAAGAGACTCGCGGAATGGATTAATTTCGTCTTGCGAGGCACCACTGTATAACATAGCCTTGTAAATGGAGAGGAAGGTGTGATTGGTAGCAATTGAAACAGTGCTTTATTAATGGTTGTATCACAGCTGTGGCCCTCCTTCCCACGGGAGGTTAGATTGTCCTCTTATTTATTTTGCCAACTTTTAATGTATTTTAATCTTGCCTGTATGTGGATCTCTTATTTCAAGCCTTGTGGTCTAGTGTGTGAACTGGGCTGCTCTTTCACTTTATGCAGTAGTTAAAAGTTCTTCAAATGGATTTTATACCTGCCTAATCTTTTGAGTAGTCCGTTTTTTGGAAGTATGTTGCAGCTGAAAATACTTAAACAAGCTTAGAAAAACCTGTTCGTTATACACTTCAGTTAAAGTTGTTATCCCTGCTTGAAGGTTTTGATTCAGACATTAAATCCATGGAGTTGCCTTTTTTTAAAAAAAATAAAAATCATAGCAAGCAGCAAAATCATCCTCTGTGCAAAAATAGAAATCTCTTGGAGAATAAAATACAGTGTTGCTGCACAGGAACCTCTGGAAGATAACAACTGCTGAAAAAGTAACATCATAAATGAAATTATTGAAATGTACAGGCAAACCAAATTGTTTTTGTATAATATGTCATATATTGATATCACATGGAAATCTGAAAGACAGGCAGTAAGCTCATCAGCCTTAGGAATAATGGAAATTATGAAAACCAATCTGCTGAAAATGATTTTTGCCTTGATTCATCCCTGTAAAGCGAATGCTCTCCTCATCCTCTCTATGGTTTTCCCCCACAGGATATGTGGAAATGAAGGAAAATAATTAATTAACTTTATAACCCAAACTATTAAATAGAAACGTAAACGGTATTGAACTGTATTTGAGAACCATTGAGAATTGGTTTTACGTTGTCATTTATTCTTTACTTATATCGTTTTTGTTCCTTTTTTCCTTTCGTTATAAATTAAAACCAAAAGGAAGAAAAATACTGAAAGAATTCAAAACTGCTGTTTGGAAACTTGTATTTCAGGTCTGCTGAAGAGGCTGTGGACCTTGCTTCCAACAAATCGGATAGTATAGTTTTTCAAAGTATATATTCAAAGTAAGGAACAATTTCAGTGGCAATTTAAGAGTGGAGAAACAAATGGTGCTCGAGGAGAGTCTGCAGACTTTATCTAGTCTACAATTTCTGTCATTTTGGAAGGATTAGGACAGGGGTAGGCAACCTAAGGCCTGGGGGCTGGATGCGACCCAATCACCTTCTAAATCCGGCCCGCGGACAGTCCGGGAATCAGCGTGCATCTCTGGGTTATTTGTGGGGCCTGCCCGATGTTTTTACATGAGTAGAATGTGTGCTTTTATTTAAAATGCATCTCTGGGTTATTTGTGGGGCATAGGAATTCATTCATCCCCCCCCCCAAAAAAAATATAGTCCGGCCCACCACATGGTCTGAGGGACGGTGGACTGGCCCATGGCTGAAAAAGGTTGCTGACCCCTGGATTAGGAGGAGCATAAGGAAAGTGTGTGTCCAGGCAAACAAGTTCCTGTAGTTCAAGGATACATTCCAGCCTAGGCAAAAGAACTGGGGGAGGATGTGGAACAGAGCTACTGAGGGATGTCATCTGGAGAAGGGCCCAAGGGCCCGCTAGTGAGACCTGCACTAGTATACAAACAGACTTCTCTTGACTTCAGAGCATTTATGGCACCTGAAGTGGATTTCTGATTGTTCAAGATTAGGAAAGACCTGAGTAAATGCACCCCTCCAGGCCTCTTGGAAATCTCCTCAGGCCACATCCCACATTGGCCCAGTTTCACGCCCCCAAGTGTTTCTGCCTGGCTGGAATACCTCATTGAACTCTGGTGATGCCTTGTGCTAGTCTGGATGCAGAATACAGACGTGCATGTATGTGGATAGAAACCAGCTTCCTGCACCAAGGTAACATTTGCATTCCTTGATCTGCCAACTCTTGCCTCTGGTGCTGCAGGCTGTGGGCATGTGGGCCTCCAAAGGTTGCCCTGTAGGGAATGCAGCCCTCAGGCAGAAAAGCAGTCCCCACTCCTAAGGCAGAGGAGATAGTGAATGTGGAAGAGCAAGTGTTTTCCAAAAACGTGAACTAGAAACATAACCTAGGAGAGCCTGGGCACAACTGAGGCCTTAAAGAAAATGCTTTTTTAATGCTAAGTTACACTGTGGTGTTTTTCATATGCTTTGTCTTGCTTGTATAGTTGAACAGGCTTAAGTAAATATGCTACGCTCACAGGGATCATAATGGGCATGCTTTCTGGTTTTGATACAAGAAATGTGCCTATATTTTATTTGGTGGACCGTTTTTATACTTTACCAAAACAAAAAAACTGAACTACCTCCCCACCCTAAACTTCACTTCAAGATAGCCCTCCATAATTGGCAGATAATGCTGACATTCGTTTCAAATATTTCTGGATTCCAGTTGTAACCATGCAGCTGACAAACTTGCTAATCGGTTTGGTGCCATACATCTCAATGAAGCTTCTCCATCCTCTCTGGTATGAAAACTTATTTTCTGTTGCCATGACAGTATTAACTATTTGTTCTTGTTTGTGCGCGCTAAAATATTAATCCTGCTATAATTTCTTATAGGTCAGTACTGAATTGAAATACATTGGTCAGTCTGATGTAATTTTAAGTATGCTGCCTTTCTGCCAAAAGGCTCCTAGGGTGGTGCACCAAGGAAATAGACAGAAGGAAAACTGGCCGGCAACAGTGATGGCCAGGGGATGGGCTCATTCCATTCCACTGGAATATCAGAATATGCCTTATAATGAGTTAAACCAGTGGTCCATCTTGCTCAGTGCTGTACACATTGACTGGCAGCAACCCTCCAGCATTTCAGATGGGATGTTCCCAGTCCTACCTGGAGGTGGAATCTGGGACCTTCCACATGCCAAGCAAGATGCTCTGCCACTCAGCTACAGCCCTTCCCCAGTTTCAGGTTACTGGCCCTCAAGTGTAGTCTGTTCGGTTCCGTTTTGTGTGAAATTTTTAAAAGAAGTACATAAAAAAAAGTATATTTCAATGGTCTGTCTTTATGCACACTTTTAATGTAAAACACACAGTTTTTTCAATGCCATTGCACCCATTTCCCTCTAAAATAGCATTTTCTACACATCTTTTAGGGACGCGGGTGGCGCTGTGGGTAAAACCTCAGTGCCTAGGGCTTGCCGATTGCATGGTCGGCGGTTCGAATCCCCGCGGCGGGGTGAGCTCCCGTCTTTCAGTCCCAGCTCCTGCCCACCTAGCAGTTCGAAAGCACCCCTAAGTGCAAGTAGATAAATAGGTAAATGCGGGAAGGTAAATGGCGTTTCCGTGTGCTGCGCTGGTGCTGGCTCGCCAGAGCAGCTTCGTCACGCGGGCCACGTGACCCGGAAGTGTCTCCGGACAGCGCTGGCCCCCAGCCTCTTAAGTGAGATGGGCGCACAACCCTAGAGTTGGACACGACTGGCCTGTACGGGCAGGGGTACCTTTACCTTTACCTTACACATCTTTTGCATAAAATAGGTATTTTTGTGTGCAATCTTTGTACACTGAAACTTCATCGCAAAGTGTGGAGAAGTGTGTAATCCAAATGGGTGTTTTGTTCCAGTCAAATTCAGGAGCATTGGGTCAAGTCAGTCCATTACAAGAAATGGATCAAATCAACTTCTACATCCCTAGCTAAGGGGCGAAGTGCAGAAGCTATAAAGCAGCTAGTGACATGGGGTTGATTTTCCTGGGTTGTTTAACTCCTCAAATCTGGGAAGTTTGAGTTGAGGACTGTGGAGCTCCAACCAGTGGGAGCTTCCTCCTAACCAGGACCTCGTATGGTTCAGGAAACAGGAAAATTTTTCATGACCTGCAGTGGTCCTGTTTTTGAACTCTGATGCCTGACAATAACTGCATTCTGATTTTGAGTGGTCTTTTTAAGTTTTAAGCATTTGGCACTGTGGTAGAACTACAACATTAATTGTTTCTTCTTGATTTTGCCATAGGCAAGTCCCAAAGGTTCTGCTGTGAGACCTAAAAAGTATGTATTCATCTTTTGAAATGGATGCCCTTCATTCACTTGATTTATCTGTTAGTTAGGGGAAATGATTTAACATTTTAAAGTAAATGGGTACTTACAGATCTTCTTGTGTTTACTGCTCAAGTGTTACAAAGTTACATTTCCTTTTTTTTTTCTTTCCTAAGAAGAGAGACACCATTGGCACCGAAATTTTCAAAGCTGAATCGAAAGCAAAGCAAGTACACCATCAATGAAAAGTAAGGGTAGCCTTCAAAAGTGCGGCTGATTTTTAAAAAAAATAAGTTTCACCTTTTATACCTTTGAAATTTGAATTGAATTGAGACTACGTGGAAAGATGGTTTGTGAAGTACTGACATAAATGCAACTAGTCGTGTCCATGTTAGTGGTAGCTGGTGATTTTAACGCACGCATTGGTCCCTGTCCAAGTACACACACACCTTTCCATTTGCTGTCATGAAAAGGTCTGATCAAATTACAACAGCTGATCTCCTTTAACAAGCTGGTTGTTTAATTGAGTGGCTGTTTTCTGTGTGTGAGCTATGCTGGTGTGTGTTGTTGTTTTTAATATTGTGTGTTAGGTTTTTTGTTTTTGTTTTTACTATTGATTATTGATAGCTGCTGTCAGGGAACTGCCATCAGCTCAGAGGCGAGAGATGGAAGGGCAGTTGTGTTATAGGGAGCCTCCGAAGATCTTGCAAAGGAGTTCCTTTTCTGGCGAGGAGGAAAGCCCCACCTCCAGTGGAGAAGAGGGGCAAGGACCAGAGGATGCTAGGGAGCCTGAGAAAACCGGAGAGGTGGGAATCACACCCTTGCCAGTGCCCATTCTGTACAGTAGTCTTCAGTCCAGGGAGGGGCAAAAAAGGCTGGGGGTGACACGACTTTTATGCTGGGGTGTTACAAAGACCGACCACTCCTGGATTCTGCTAGCGATTGAGCCAGCCATGAACTTACGACGCTCTTCACTGTAAATAGTTTGCACCAAGAATAAAGCCTGGAAAAGACAGGTCGGAGTCTTGCCTGGTTACTCTCAAGCAACCACAGCAGCATCTGATAGCTGCCTTGTGCATTCCATGAATGACAGCAAATATACCCACTTCTAGTCTGCTTGGATACCTTGGCTGTGTGCCTTTATTTCATCATTAAATTAATAATTGTTGCGGCTATAATGCCATTGTAACACTTTTCAAAGATTTTGACATTTAACACTAAGACTTGCCTTCATTTTTGGAACCAGGTTTCTGGACGAATTTGAAGATATACAGAAAATTAAATCTGGTGGATATGGAACCGTTTTCAAGGCAAAACATTTCTTTGATCGTCGATTATTAGCTGTCAAACGAGTCAAGCTTCTTGTGTAAGTTACCTTGTGTTTGCTTATTATTTTATTTAAGCTAATTTAAGATTTAACAATTTGTGCTATTTTAGTTCTAATTTTAGAGGAATCGCTGGGCACTGTAAGTCAAAGTTTAAAAGAGTTAGGCTCAACAGTGGCTCAGTTGCTAATGCAGGAGTAGTCAATGTAGTGCCATCATCCCTGGATGACCAGGGCTGATCGGAGTTGAAGTCCATCAACCACTGTGCTAATCCATGAACAAGTGACTGGGTTAAGAACATGCCATTTGCCTTTCTGTTGCTGGGCTCTATGTTGTAACGAGAATAAATATGGTTGTATCCAACTAAATTCTATTTAGAGTCGACCTAAGCATTCCAAATCAGAAGCCCTTTTTAAAAAAGTGGTCTAAAAATAATCCCCTTTCCTCTTTACAGTACAGACCACTCTCAACTTAAGCTGGGGTTACGTACTGGGTACAGCATGTAGAACCAAAATCGCATATAGTCAAAATACATTGGGTCCAATGGCGGGTGGACCATTGCCAAAGTCTTTTTTGCCTCCCCCTTTTATTTTTTATTTTAATTTGTCACACACATAACTTTGAATGGGTACAGGTTAAATGCATGTAAGTTGTGAGTTACCTGTTCACATATTTTGGGTTTGTTTTGCATACATTTTTAACAATACTCTTTTCCCCTTCTGACCCCCTTCCCCCACCCCAAACCAGAGGAGAAGAAGAATCAAAAAAGGAAGTACAAGCCTTAGCAAAGCTTGAGCATGAATATATTGTTCGATATTATAATTGTTGGATTGGGAAAGATAATATCCCATCGCCAGAGGATAGTGACCAGAGGTAATTCCACTGCGTAATTAGAATGTCTCTAAGGTGCCATGTATTCTTGTTTTTTGCGTAAACCAGGGGTGGATAAGATTTTGGCTTTATTGGCCAGATCAGCTTTGTGACATCCCATGTTGATAGTCGCGTTCTCTTGCCCACCTGTCAGAATCACTTGCATAGGGTTCAGAAGTGCCTGAGAGTCAGCTGACTGTCAGGCCTGTGCTTAGCACTCAAAGGACCGAGCAAAAGACTGGCAACTCGCTTTCTCCTCCTCCACCGCCTCCCACTAGCTGACGTTTATTATTTTTTGTGGGTGGTCATTTTTATCGGGTTCCTATTCTAACTTTTGCATTGTTAATGTTATTGCCCTAAGACCCTTGGAGGCCTTTATTTAAAAATAGAGACAAATTAAAGACATAAATAATAAACTAAGCATTTTGGCAGTGGCTTCACTTTAGGACCTGGCATCTTTTTATTTATTTTATTTATTACTATATTTTGCTTGTCAGTTCACTGCCTAACTCTAAGAACAGTTGTAGCTGTAGGTAAATTCTCTTGGTCCCAGAATCATTTCCCATAAATAAATATGATGGTGCTAGGATCCAACTCTCTCACTAGAGGCCCTGGTGACCTCAGTGGCTAGGCGTACATTTTACCAGCTAAACAATAATAATAAAAAAACTTACACTGAGTTTTAGCAAACATGAAAAACTTAAAACAAATCCTTATTTCATGATGAATAGTCTTTAGAGACTATAATGTAACTTAAGTAGAAAACTATTTTTAGAAATATTTTTCCTCCAAAAGCATTTTATTTTAAAAATCCGATTAATTTTTTTTTAAAAATCCAATTTAAATTTTAAAAAAACTTTGATTTTTAGCCTCCCTGCTTTGCTGCCTCATCCTCATTGTGCCATCCAGCATAGATTTTCCAGGTAGTGCAGGGCCTCTTATAGTCTGGCCCAAAGGAGGTGGCAAAACTGATGATAGCTGTCTCTGACTTTGCAAAGTGTTTTGAGGATAAAATCGCTTGCACACCCCCCCCCCCGGGATCATGACTGCTGTTACAACAGATGAATCTAAAGGGTTACAGAGCACTGTTTAGTCTTGTTGTGTTGGATGAGTTAGTAAAACTTGAGGATGTGAACAAGGTGCTTGGATCAGTCATCTGTTTTATTTTTTGCAGGGTGGAAGCTGACTGCCTTTTCATAGTGATGGAATATTGTGAAAAGGGGACACTTAAAGATTGGATTAGTAAGAAACATCCAAAGGAAAGCTATCATGAAGATGCCAAAATTAAATTCCAGCAAATAGTGGAAGGGGTCGCATATATTCATTCTCAAAACTTAATTCATCGAGATCTCAAGGTATGCAGATGAGACGATTACAATATCAGGTGTGAATGATAAAAAGTAAAATATGAACTATTTCATTCCTTTATTTCTCATAAATGGCAATGGTAAGAAAAACCTCAGGAGAAATTTTTGGCATAGCATCAGTTTTTGGTTCCTCTTCTTCAATTGTCATCCAGTATTGTTAGGTTGGGTCTATGTAGGCTTCTCAGTATTGCAAGTGGCATGAATTCCACATGGAGGTAATTTCAGACCAACACTTCTTCATAACATCATTACTTTTAGATCAATACTACCTCATCTCTTGCTGTGGCAAGGTATTTTAAAGCTGACCCACTTGTTTTATTTGCTCTCCTGCTAATAATTCAATTGATGTATTTGTTTTATTTTATTAGTTCAGTTGTATTGGGGGTGGGCTTAATCTGGAATATACTTCGAGTACAAGGTAGACGTTTTCATTTGGAGGGGAACTTGAAAGGCACAGCAGATTCTTTAAAAAAGCAAATAAGAAGCTGAGGTGGTTCAGACACTGCAGGATAACTGTTGAGTAGACCATGATGACTCACCCAGAGTTTAATGACTTTTACATCTGAGTATTTTGTTTTTATGTTTCTCTCTGCCCTCCCCCCAGCCAATAAATATATTAATGTCTAGAGACAATAAAATAAAAATTGGTGATTTTGGGCTGGTAACCACAGGTGTAGAGGACCATTCAGTACAGCGAACAGAAAAGAGGGGAACGCTACTATACATGGCTCCTGAACAGGTAATACTTTTAATATTGGATACATGCATTTGCAATGTCACTTTTGTTAGATTTATTGCTCAGATAAGCGTGAGGTCCGGCACGCTTCCCCCATTGCGTAGGCCTCTGCATTCCAAAAGACCGACATCTGAGCATAGCAGAGTTCGTCAGCGGTAAGAGGAAACCACAAAAAACTCCAGTGCCTTCTTCAGTGTGCTTAAATAAAGTCCACACAGGATCTTAGCAGCTAAAAGCAGTTTTATTTACAGCAGGCTATCCATTATCTATCACAGCGAACAGCATCGCGTAAACACGTCCTCTCTCCTCAAAAGCGAAAGTAGAGAGACAGAACAAAGACTTGAGTCTCTTGGAAATGACGTAGCATTTCCCCCCTCCTCTCCACAGTAGGCAGAGCGTACACTCTGAGCTGTTTAACCCTGTAAGCTCAGGTTCTCCTCACACCCCCTCTCGCTCTGCGCTACTGTGGGGAAGTAAGTACACAACTTACCACCAACTCCAAACCACCACAAAACTCCCCATGACGCTGGAAGCTTAAAGGTTTGGTAAATCCATCGGCCAGGTTACTGTGACTGGCACAGTACTTCAGTTGTATCAAACCTGACTGAACACTCTGACACACATTTTGGAAACGTATGTCCAAATGCTTGGTTCTGGCTTTAAATTGCGCAGATTCAGCCAACTTCAAACAAGGCTGATTGTCTTCCCAAACCATGATGGGCAAGCTACAATCCCCATAGATCTCTTTCACCAAGCATCTATAGAACTCTAGTTCTCGGCACAAGTCTGACAGTGCACTGAATTCAGCCTCAGTAGAAGACAGCGCAATGAGACTTTGCTTCCGGGACTTCCACCCAACTAGTGACTTCCCAAACTTTATCACCAATCCAGACACAGACTTGCGGTCCTGCGAATTCGCCCAGTCACTGTCCGCATAGCATGTGAGCTTCGCCTCACCTTCAGCTGGCAGCTTAAGACAGAAGTCTTTGGTATGCTGCAGGTAGCGCAGTACCCGCTTGATACCGTGCCAAGCACTCACACTGGGCTTTGACGCCTCCCTACTTAGCAGGTTGGTAGCAAAGGCAACGTCTGGTCTGCTCCATTGGGACAGATACAACAGACTACCTAGAGCTGACTGAAAGAGCTCAGCATTCTCAAACTCAGCACTTTCTGCTTGCTGGCTATCTTTCACGAAGTTCGTCTCCATGGGTGTCCGAACTCCTGCACAGCGGACATTCTGGAACTTCTCCAGCAACTGCCCAATCTTGCCTTTCTGACTGAGCAAGAAGCTACCATCCTCAGTTCTCGCTATCTGGACACCTAGGTAGATCTTTACTGCACCCAGGTCCTTGAGCTGAAACCGTTTCCCAAGCTCTTTGGCAAACTTCTGCACCTGTTTGTCTGCCTTTCCAACATGGATGATGTCATCAACGTAAAACAACACCAGTTCCTGGGAGTCTCTTGATCCTCTAAGGAACAGGCAACTGTCAGCAAGACTCTTCCTGAAACCTAGCTTCTCCAAAGCTTCATTCAGGCACAAGTTCCAATTCCTGGCCGACTGCTTCAGGCCGTAAATTGACTTGTGAAGTTTCCACACAGTACCTCGCTCATTGCCCTCAAACCCTGGAGGAGGAAGCATGTACAGATCCTCCTGGAGGTCTGAGTTCAAGTAAGCAACATCCACATCAAAGTGATGCACCAGCAAACCTCTTTGTGCAGCGATGGCCAAGACCAAGCGTAGAGACTCACTCCTACACGTGGGCGCATAAATCTCCGTATAATGCAACCCCCTCTGCTGCGTGAATCCTCTCGCCACTAATCTGGCCTTAAACTGCGGTTCTCCTGTCGCTGTGGGCTGAAGATGGTAAACCCAGCGACTACCCACTGCCTTTTCACCCACCGGCAACTTCATGAGGGAGAACACACCTAGAGACTCCATTGAGTTCATCTCCTTCTGCATCGCCTCATGCCATTTCCTGGCTTCTTCCTGAGGCAGTTTCTGAACATCCTCAAAACTCTCAGGTTCACACTGTGCCATTCCGACCCACACGCTAGTGACGGCAAACCTTTCAGGAGGTTTCCCTTGGTCGTCCGCGTTGAACGGCGCAGCACTACTTCAGGAACCCCCTCTGACCCACTAGGGCCAGCCAGAACATCCTTGGCATCAGAGAGCTCCCCCTCTGACTTACTGCGCCTTCTGGACTTCTCAGCCGAACCTGTGGGGGAAGATGGAGCACTGCGTTGCTCACTCTTTACAGCCTTGGGAGAAGTTCTCCCCTCTGCCTGCACTGGGCCTGGACTCTGAGCCTCAGTAGCAGGTTCAACCTCTTCCTCTCCTTCATCAGCAGAGTCTAGCAGACTCTCTGACAAGATGTCAGGGTTCCCATGTATCCTTGCCCAGCCACTCTGCTCACAGAATTCAGCACTGTTGCTGAGCAGAATCCTGGACTGATTCCCTGACGGATAAGCAAACCTCCACCCCTTGGTCCCTGGCTCATACCCACAAAAAATCATCTTCTGGGACTTGGGTTCACCTTTCTTGCGTTTGGCCTTTGGTATGGGGACCCAAGCCTCACAGCCAAAAACGCGGAAGTAGTGCACTTTCGGTTTCTTGCCATGGAGCAAGAAATACGGTGTGTCACCTACCACTGAATTGAACGACCCGTTCAGAACAAAGTTGGCCGTTCGCCAAGCCTCCCCCCAAAAACGCTGTGGGAGCCCGGCATCAAACAAAAGAGCTGCGGACATCTCCCCTAGAGTCCTATTCCTGCGTTCCGTGATCCCATTCTGTTGGGGACTGTGTGGAGAAGTCAACCTGTGTTGAATCCCCTTTGTGCGGAAGAAACTTTGCAGTGCAGACCCGGTGAACTCCCCACCGCGATCGCTCTGAAAGTTTTGCACCCGTGTGGAAAACTGCAGTTCCACAGCCGCAATCCAGTCTTTGATTAGCGGCGCAGCTTCATCTTTGCGCCGAAGCAAGAACGTCCAGGAGTTCTGCGTATGGTCATCAATCAGAACCAGCGAATATTTGGCTCCGCCCAAACTGCTCACAGAAAACGGTCCACACAAATCTGCATGAATTAATTGAAAAGCCCTAGTGGTCACCCTCTCAGACCTAGGGTATGTGCACGTTTTCACCTTTGCGGACTTGCACGCTCTGCAATCTAGAAACTTAGCACATGGTTTCATTTTGCACCCTTGCGTATACTCTGGGATCCTTTTCACCGACCCCCACGACACGTGTGACATGCGTCGGTGCCAGAGATGGGCACACGCATCATGAACTGGAACATTGGCACACTGCGCTTGAGCCTCCTCCGTGTCATCCGTGTCATCTGGACCTGCAACAGAAGCATTTATCACAAACAACCTGTCTTTACATTCAACACTGACTAGGTGCTGTCCATTCTTGGAAATAGAACACTTATTGTTCTCAAAACACACTCTGTAGTTTTCAGCAAGAAGTGCACTGACAGACAGCAACGCGCAGGACAGTCCTGGAACAACAAAAGCCTGGATTGAGTCCTGCAAGAAAGAACAAAACAGTGAGCCAGTCTGCGTGAGTGGGTGTCGAGTCCCATCTGCTAAACAGACAGTCTTCCCAGATTTTACAGAGGTGCAGTTCTCCAGGAATCCACCAGATGGCACTAGATTATGAGAGGCTCCACTGTCGATGACAAAAGCCAGCTCAGCATCCTGTTGACAACTCTTGACTACAGCCATAGAGGCAGCCAAATGTTTACGTTCAGTGTCTCTGCCAGCTGCCTTCGGCTTGCCTTTCCCACGCTTTGAAGAAGAGCTCTTTATCTGGTTGCTACGGGAGACGGCCTTCGGCTGTTCCTCCACTGGACATTCTCTCACCAGATGGGAGGGGAGCCACAGCGATAACAGCGGCGACGCGTAGCAACAGCTCTCACAGCTCCCTCTTCAGCCATTCCTTTGTTCCCTGCACCCCCACCTTTGGGTGCACAGCCTGGGCCTGCACGCTCCCCAGCACTCTGGTTGTAGGCCTCAACATCACACGGCCCCTCGGAGACAAAGCAGCTACTCCCAGCTGTAACTTCAGGAACATGGCCAGCAGCCCCTCTGGGCTCTCGGCTTCCTGCCTGCTCTCGGCTTTCTCCCGGCCCTGGACTCCTGCTGAGTTCTCACACAGACTCCTCAGCACCTGCCAGGCGGCCTGAGCCGACTCAATGCCCTCCAGGTGGGGCAACAGCATAGCGTCCACGCTTGCTCTCAACATGCAGAGCTCCCTTGCATTCTCAGCTCTCTATCTTCCAGGAGTGCAGCCTCCAGTTCTGCTCCTCCTTCTTCAGCAGCAACTGGCATGGGTGGGGCGGGCTCCTTCTGGGCTATACTCCAGAACCCTGTGGCCAAAAACCACCCCTGCACTTTTCTCCAAGGGCAGTTGTAAATTTGTTCTGCGTACACAAGTGCACACTCATAGTGACCATCATCATCACCACCCCCACGAAAAATGCTTATGCCCCTGTGGAGATGGCAGTACCGAATCGGTGGTGCATGCCCTTCTGGCTTACCCTCTTTATAAAGACATGAGGAATGAGATTATCACCCCTCTTTTATTGTCTATTCCGGGGTGCCCAACCACTGCCACAGTGTCCTTTCTCTTGGCAGATCAAGGTGAGCAGGTGACAGCAAAGGTTGCAAGGTTTTTAGCTGGGGCAATCAGAATAAGATCCACTATTTGACTACTGATTCAAAACCCTAAAATGTATTTTATATAATTGATTTTTTATTTCTATTCTTTTTATATCGTATTTATATCGTATTGTTTTATTGCTATGGCCGATGGCTGACAGAAATAAAGATTCATTCATTCATCACCACCATCACCACCCCATTATTACAACAACAACTCCTCTAAGTTAGGTTAGACTGAGAGGGAATGGCCGTCTCCAAGTCATTCTGCTAGCTTAATGACTGAGTGGAGAATTGAGAAAGAACCAACTGCCTTGATCCTGTAGTTAGTTTTCAGGGGGGAAAATGTCAAAATGTGCTTTGAAGTGCATAAGGCCTATATGCTTAAGCGCTATGAAAAGTTCCTGTTAGAGCATGTTCTTATGACCTAATGTGTTCATGTTTGCATTGTTCACAGGTGGGGAACAAATACGGAAAGGAAGTGGATATCTTTCCGTTAGGATTAATTTTATTCGAAATGCTTTACAGATTCCAAACTTGTCATGAGAAACCTGAGGTAAATCTGAAAAGTTTTGTTAACAGCACATATTTTTTCCCTCAGAAATGTATAGAAAATATGTATGCACAACCAGGGCTCCAAAAAGTTGAGGGGATGAAAGGGGCAGGACAGAAGGATGAAGGGGCATGTTCATGTGTCTATGCATTCTTGCTAATGGACAGTGGTCTAGAAAAGCTGACCTTTTGGAGTTCCTTCCTTCATAGTCTGGGGAATAGCAGCAGAGTTGTTAGGGGGACCTTTGGGACGCGGGTGGCGCTGTGGGTAAAACCTCAGCGCCTAGGACTTGCCGATCGCATGGTCAGTGGTTCGAATCCCCGCGGCAGGGTGAGCTCCCGTCGTTCGGTCCCAGCTCCTGCCCACCTAGCAGTTCGAAAGCAGCCTTAAGTGCAAGTAGATAAATAGGTACCGCTTTATAGCGGGAAGGTAAACGGCGTTTCTGTGTGCTGCTCTGGTGCCGGTTCGCCAGAGCAGCTTCGTCACGCTGGCCACGTGACCCGGAAGTGTCTGCAGACAGCGCTGGCTCCCGGCCTCTAGAGTGAGATGAGCGCACAACCCTAGAGTCTGTCAAGACTGGCCCGTATGGGCAGGGGTACCTTTACCTTTACCTTTTGTTAGGGGGACAGGGGAAGTTTTGCTGGGGAGAACAACCAACTGGCCGCTGCCTCCTCCATCCACTTACCACAGAGCGCACAGGATGCAGGTTTGTTGCCTTAGATGCTGGCAGTTGTTTTGCGTGATACAAATGCAGCTTGTATAAATGGTACATCTCCATTCTAGGTCACCAGAAAGTTGCTTTGCTCTTGTCTTTCTTGCTCCTGCTCTGTCACTCCCTCTCGCAGATACACACCATGAGAGAGCAGGCCAGATAGAGCTTGTTGTGCAGGGAGATGAAAGGCATGGGTTTCAGATGAATTGCCTCCCCCTTCCCAATTTGAGACCAAGAATCTCCACTACACCCCAGCCCATGAAGCATCATGGTTTTTAGCAAGCAAATTATATTTTTAAAAACCTGTATCTGAAAAGTATTATGTTTAAGGTTACTGCTTTCTAAAGAAACCCAAAACTTTTCAGGAATTGCCACCAACTGGCCTGCTCAAGGAAAGGTTTGCTTCTATAAATTCAAGAGGCTGTTTCTGAGGTGTGTGTCTTTTTGCAAAAGGAACCTCAATCCAAATTTATTACCAGCCTTTCCTCCTGTTGAGGAATGGAAAATGCAAACCAGCCATTCACCCCTTCCTTCAAACAGTTCGTTAAGCAATGTTGTTTTACTAAATTGGAAAATGGAATTGAGACATAGAACATTGAGAGTCTGCAAGTGCTCCAGCTGTTATGGAGTCCTACTAATGTTTCTCATTCTGCTCCCAAATGTTTTTTGAAAATGAAAATGAAAAATATCCCATTTGCAGACTTTGTTGTAATCATTAACTCTCCCTTCAGGCATTTTTCTCACTTGATTTATGAATGTGATGAAGGGGCAATGGCAGGCTCTGCTCCTCCCTTTTCATGTGTCCTTTGAATGCCTGAATGAAGCCCCTATGAGTACACACGAGGGCCTGCCAATAAATGTGTGGCATGAAGGAGTTCTTCATGTTTGTTTGTTTATTGAAGATAGGCTCCCTCAAACTCGACCCTCCAGATGTTTTGAGACTACGATTCCCATCATCCCAGACCACTGGTCCTGCTAGCTAGGGATCATGTGAGTTGTAGGCCAAAAACATCTGGAGGGCCAAGTTTGAGGAAGCCTAATTTAAGACCTTTATATACTGCTTTTAATTTATAAATTCACACATCTCAAAGTAATTCTCTCTCTCTCTCTCTCTCTATATATATATATATATACACACACACACTAAGTTAAGTAACAGTGAAACAGCAATAGTTTTCAACACAAGTGGAACAAGGATGTTTATGTCTTCGGACACCAAACATTAGGGGTTTTCCCCCCAGGGCTCTTAACTCATTAGGAAGTTCCTTAACTGTTTCAGTCTTCCAGATGTCTTGAACCCCAACTGAATCATGAGTTGCTTCCTTCATGTATCACTGCTACAAAGTTTTATCAAACTGCCTTGAAACTTGGGGCATTGTGTGTTTGTAGGGAGAACAGGGTAATGAAATGCAGAACCTTCAGATACAGTGGTACCTCCGGTTAAGAACTTAATTCGTCTGGAGGTCCGTTCTTAACCTGAAACGGTTCTTAACCTGAAGCACCACTTTAGCTAATGGGGCCTCCTGCTGCCGCTGCGCTGCCAGAGGACGATTTCTGTTCTCATCCTGAAGCAAAGTTCTTAACCCGAGGTACTATTTCTGGGTTAGTGGAGTCTGTAACCCGAAGCGTATGTAACCTGAGGTACCACTGTACTTTGCAGTAAGTGCTGTGAGTCCCTGTTGCTGAAAGAACCCAGGCTGCATTTTGAAGAGAGTCTTTTATCCTTTTGGCATATCCCAAACGGGTATCAGTGATATTACTACACGATATTGGATGTTCCATTCCATGCAAGAAGAATGAAGTGTGTATGCACACTCAACCCCTGTTCCTTTATCCCATGTACAAATGTGGAAGGAATTCAGTTTTCCATGTTTGGGAACTTGGGCAGCTGTTTGTGTCAAAATGGCAGCTTTGAACTTGGCCAGTGAAAATTGCATCACACGAGGTAGTCTTAAGTGACACTGTGTATTATTTTTCAGAGATTCGAGAACATAAAGGAAGGCGAATTTCCAGAACCGTTTACAAAGGAGTTTCCAGAAGAGGTATACTGTGGCAAAGCATTTTTTATAGGTTGTCTTTTCCATGCTTGTTGTAATTTAAAATAAAAAACAATCTCTCCTTTGTTTGCAGGTATCTCTAATTAAGAAACTGCTTTCAAAAGTGCCATCTGACAGACCATCGGCACCTGCCATTTTGCATATTTTAAAGAAAAGGCAGTATAGCCCACACACTTGTTAACTAATACCTGTCCAAACACAACTGCAGAATTTTGGTCTAAAGGTAGTGGTTCCTTTTGCTGTTGCTAATACAGTGGTGCCCCGCAAGACGAATGCCTCGCAAGACGGAAAACCCGCTAGACGAAAGGGTTTTCCGTTTTCAATGCGCTTCGCAGGACGAATTTCCCTATGGGCTTGCTTCGCAAGACGAAAATGTCTTGCGAGTCTAGAGATTTTTTTTTCGCTTTTCCCCCCCTTTAGCTAATCTGCTAAGCCTTTAATAGCCTTTAATAGCCTTTTAGCAGCTAATCCCCTAAGCCTTTAAGCCTTTAATAGCCGCTAAACCGCTAATAGCGCTAATCCGTTAAGCCGCTAATAGGGTTGCTTCGCAAGACGAAAAAACCGCTAGACGAAGACTCTCGCGGAATGGATTAATTTCGTCTTGCGAGGCACCACTGTATTGAAAATCTCGTCTGAATCAAAACTGTGGCACCTGGAAATTTAACTCTGGATTGCCTCTTGCTATATGTTCTGCTGTGGCCTTTGAGGGGAGCTGCAGGGTGCTCTTGTGGAGGCAAAATTTCTCTGAAGCCAGAACTAGACGCCTGTGCCTTGTATGTGTGGCTGTCTTTAAAAACTGTCCTGCTTTCTCATGGGAGGCTCAGCCTCAGTGGCTGGAAGCCCATTTTACAAGCTGTGACAGATATGGTCATTCCTGGACTGAGAGAACTTGACCACAGTGGTTCAGGCATTGGTGACTTCAAGGTTAGATTACTGCAGTGCACTCCTTGAACTTGATTCGCAATATGCTGTTAGTGCACAATGCTAGCAGGAAGAGATCCTCTGCATAGAACAGCTTTGCTCAAAGAACTGCACTGGCTGCCCATTTACTACCAGGCCAGGTTCAAGGTGTTAGTATTAGGGGTAGGATCACCTTTCAAGAATGCTTCAATCTACATTAACCCGCACTGTTACAGGTGCCTCATAATACTTAGAAGACATCAATCTTTACTGCAGCGGCACCTTCACTTTGAAACTCGCAGCCTGTTGACATCAGGCAGGTGCCTTCATCACATTCTTTTTGGCATCTGCGTAAAACACATTTGTTTACGCAAGCGTGTCCAGATACGTAGAAGCCACATGTGCTTTCTCTCTTTTTAGGTATGGGTTCTTTTAAGCAACTTTTCAATGTTTTTAAATACCTGTGCTTTTTATTGAGATTTTTAAAGTGTTTTATTTCATTTTTTTGTAAACTGCTTAGAGGTTTTCTTACAATCAAGTGGTATATAAATTTTGTGGGTTTTTTGTTTTTTTCTTCTATTTGGTTTCTGCCAGGAGAGTTCTTTTACTTTTTATCTGCAAGATTAAGTGTTTGTTTCCAAAATTCCACCTATTTTATTGATGGGTCATCGTATGCATTTAATAATTACTAGTAATAAATAATAAAGGAAAATAATATGAGTGACATAATATGAGGCTTTTGAAGTAATCGAGGTTTTGGAGCTCTCTCTGCTTGGAAGCCTGTGTTAAAAACCTAGCTGTGGTTTGGTAAGACATAGGAAGCTGCCTTATACTCAGTTGACCCATTGGTTCATCAATATTGTCTACTTTGATGAGCAGCAAGTCTTGAGGATTTCAGATGATGTTTTCCCAGCCCTGCTGGGAATTGAACTTGGGACATTTTTTGCATGCAGAGCATATGCTCTGTCCCTGAGCCCTTTTTGTCTGGACACTTTGCTTTTAAGCATAAGGATGATAAAGGGAAACCTGTTTTTCTGTCAGACTTGATTCCTTTCCTGCAATACAACCTAGAAAAAAAATGGAAGGTATCAGAACTTTTTTGGAAGGTATCCAAATCAGAACTGTTTTTTTTTAAAAAAAATGATTCATGATAGATTGTATTCATAAAAAATATTTGTATATCACTGCATCATTTTTTACACACACACACACACACACACACACACACACACACACTGGTACCTTGGTTTACGAACTTAATCCGTTCCAGAAGTCCGTTCTTAAACCAAGGCGCGCTTTCCCTAATGAGGCCTCCCACCGCCGGTGCCCTTCTACCGTTCAGATTCCGTTCTTATACCAAGGTAAAGTTCTCAAACCAAGACACTATTTCCGGTTTTGCGGAGTTTGTAAAGCAAATCGTTCTTAAACCAGACTGTTCTTAAACCAAGGCACCACTGTATAGCAAAGTGGTTTACAGCAAAAGATAATAATACAATAGAAACTTAAACAGACATCAACTAACCATTGTGGATGGATGTCTTGTTAAATGCCTTCATAGGCTGAGAGGAACAGAAACATTTTCAGCAGGCGTTTAAAAGTTGGGCTGATGGCTCTTAAGGGGTTTCTTGTCAAATGAGCCTCACCAGCTTGGGGAACAACCAAAGATGCTCCTGCAGGTGATCTCAAGTGATTGAGCTGGGATAAAAGAGTTCCAGGCAATTCCTGAGGTACCCTGGACCAAAGTTGTTCAGGATTTTATAAACACGCAAGAATCCTGAGCAGTAATGGGAAGCCAGTACAGTTGTTTAACAATGCTGTGTTGTGTGCTCTCAAGCAGAGCCCCAGCTGGAGCTTCTGAACCAAACCTAAGGGCAGCCCCACAAAGAGCAACATTACAGTAATCCAGCCTTGAGGTTACCAACACATGGGCTACAGTAGTCAGGCGATCCCTGTACATGAATAGCCATAGTTTGTGAACCACACGAAGCTGGTAAAAGGCACTCGTAGCCACAAAGGATGCTTGAATCTCTGGTGACAAAGATGTATCCAGGAGTATCCCCAAGCTACATGCAACCCCATCCAGAACTAGTGACTTCCCAAACATGGGAACCACCCATCCAAAGAGCCCCAGTCTTGCCAGGGTTCATATACACTTTATTGACCTCATCCAGTCCACCAGTGCATCCAGACAACAGTCAAAAGCTTTCAAAGCCTCTCTTGATTTGGATTTTACAAGCCATGTGAAAATAACTTGGTGAAATCTATGGAGTTTGTGCTGTGAATAATTCATTGCAAAGGGATGTTTTTAACAGCTAGGATTTGATGAGTTTTTTATACCATAAAGCTGCAGCTGTGTCAACTTACTCCTGAGTAATTCCATTGCACCTAGTTCACAGGGAACAGCTTTTCGGTGCCATCATCCAACACTAGAGGAGAATATTCACACTGGATTCCGGATGAAACCGAATCTATTGTAAATCTTTAACTTGAATTCTTTCATGGAACTTTGTAGTGAATATTAAATTTGTTTTTAAATCACTGGTACAGTGTTAAGAAGCACATTTTACAATATAATTTTTCAACCGAAGCATGTATTTCTCGTGTATGCATGGCTTATGCTACTGTTCAGTAGCTGCTTTCTCTTTCCTAATAAATGACGTGCATTAAAAAGTCCCCACGTTGTTCATTTCTTTTAGAAGCTACATGGCATACAAAGGAAGAGGCATGCACTTGAACAGAGGCACCTCTTGGGTGAAAATCTTGGTGAAAATCTACCCCTGTGCGCAATTAGTAATGAAGATACCAAATGCAGCCAGTAATGGGTGCTGCACTGTGACTGCTTAATGCAGAAAAATTGTGTTCTATATAGAGTCTGGCAGGTGGTTCACTTTTAGACTATCGAGAAAGGTACAGTGCATCACACTGTATATAACAGAAAGGAATCAAACTGCAAGGAGACGTGTTATTTCCTTTTTAATGCACACTAGAACTATGTGCCACCCTTCTGCTTACATTAGTACTGTCACCAAGTTCTTTCTCCTGATAACTTGAGGCACAATCTAGCCAAACCTGAACACTTTGGCAAGCCATTGAGCGTTTCATCTACTTGAAACTTCCCCACTGAAAAATACAACACCTTTACTCAGGTGTAAGGGCTACTGAGTCCATTAGAGGTTACTTCCATGTAAAGCTAGCAGTCTGGTTCACACTTTAACTTAATGTTGGCTTGATCATGCCGTTTTCCATGGGCAGTAAAGTGGATTAACCTTAAATAGAAGCCCATCAACTAATTTAGCCAGAAAGGCATTTTTTAAAAAACCTTTTAACTAAAGAACCAACTCAGAAGAGAACGGGAGGATGGCAGAGTCAACATCAGATGGACTAACTTGTAACTGCCCAGGGAAAATATCATTAGTTGCCACCTCCTGTTTCAGTACAGCTAGTTATTTTTGTTTTCAGTACTGTATGGGGTTCTCAGTGTGCCTAGTATAGTATTTATACATTTGAGCCAATTTGCAGGTTAGTAAAAATCCCCAAATATAAATCTGTTTAGACATATACATACACAACAAATGCATTCAGCTGTAAATAGTGATACAAACACCCATAGCTACTGAACAGTTCAACATTAACTGTTTTAAGCCTTCACTGACATTAGGAAAATGGATTGAAAGACCTTTGGTATAAAACACCGAAAATTACAAAACTGAGCAGTTTGGTCAACAGTAAAAGGCATATTTAGAATATTTACACTCAAGGTCAACAGGACTTACTCCTAAGTTAGTACATGAAGGATTTTAACCTATGTCCTGATCTTATTTCTGGCCTCTATATACACATTTTGGATCTTTTCAGCCCTCCTGTTCTCTTTTCTGCACTAGATCAGTATTCTACTACTTCTATAATTGATTGGGTTGTAAAGGAGGATCGACCCAATCCTGTTTGCTGTGTTTTTCACAAAAATAACAAATAAGCTTTTTTTTGTTTTTAAGTACCTAGAGTTCACAGCTGACAGTCAACTGATTATGCAGCTCCTATAAGATCTTCTTGGTGTGTAGCTCCTTTCTATCCATATTTCCAAGTGAACAGGACTTCAGCACAATTTCAGTGTTACAATATATACATAAATACATTTCAAAAACTTTTTCCTTACAAAAATATATGCAGTCTTCTGAACTGTTCGATATCTTTATGCTGGAGCGATCTTGCAGCATTTACTATTCTTGCTTTAGGAAAGTTATTCATGGTCTGCAAAAGTGTCTCCAGGACAGTTTGAGGATAAATCTTCTTTATCTGGAAGATTTTTAAAAAGAGCATTATACAGTTGCCACAAGGAAAACACACTGGACTGAGATACTAAGCCTTTTGGGGAGAGAGAGCTGTAAATTAGAAAAGATCAAACAAGCCATACACAGTGATACTAAACAGGTTGTTGAAATTAATTGCAGATATGGCCTGCAGTTATCAAGAGCAGGGGGGGTTTCCATTTATGGTGAGCATCCTCAAACACATTAAGAGCATCATTTCTTTTCCTCTTGCAAACAACTCCAAAGAAAAAAATTGGGAATACAATAAGCTTTAAGGTTCCCAAAGAAACAAATTTAGGTTTATATTACATGGAGGCTTTCGTTGTGCAAAGGTGACTCATGCATCTTTTGGCCAAGGCATTAGATACTGTTAGTTTACATTAACAGACCAACTAAAGAAGAGGGCTCAGCTATTATTAATACCTGGTATTTTTCTTACCATCATAGGTTGTTCCACACCAAATGCAGTAGAGGTGTTCTTCCCTTAGATACGCTGTCAACATGATTAACTTTTCTGATTCCTGTGTTTGACAAATGAAATACACCTTTAAGCATAAATGGATTAGGCATTAATTTTAAAATTATTTTAGCTTATTAATTTAGATCAGGGGTCGGCAAACAAAGGCCTGCGGGCCAGATCAGGCCCAATTGCCTTCAGGATTTGACCTACGGACTGTCTGTGAATCGGCGTGGGGATTCTGCTCATTTGGGCTGCGCCATTTCCCCCCCTGCGCCATTCCGTTCCCCCCCCTCCCTCACACACATCGTGGTGGTGCCTCCTCCCTCCCTCCTCGTGGCTTCTCCCCTCCCTGCCTAGAGGAGGAAGGGGGCGGGGCTGGGCTGAGCTGGCCCCTCTCTGGAGTCAGCCCTTTCTCACTGCTCATCTTCCCCCCGCCACTTCCCTGGTGCGCCTGTGGGCAAGAGAGCAGAGCGGACGAGATCGCTTTGCCTACGCACGAGAAGCAGTGGCAGCGGTGGCGACGGTGGTGATAGCCCCTGGGAAGTTAAGTTCAGCAGCTGGGGCTGGGGGGTGGGGAGGAGGACTACTTGCCCCCCTTGCCGCTTCTTCCAGCTCCCCCGCCCCCATGCCGCTTCTCCGGCCCACCACAAGGTCTGAGGCACAGTGGACCGGCCTGCAGCTAAAAACTTTTGCCGACCCCCGATTTAGATTATTGAAGTGCAATGCAGCTTCCAATGGTATCTAAACCCTACACTTACGTCAAACTCATCTTCCTCTTTTTCTTCCTCCTCCTCTGCATCCACGTCATCTTCCTTTTCCTCCTCTGGCTGTAACCAGAACCACATCTCTTTGGGGGATTCAAGGCCCTTTAAAGCAAAAGTTTGGCAGTAACAACCAACATACCCCACCCCATCAATTTCTTGGCAATTTGGAAAGAGAAAAAGGTGCAACTTTGCACACCTGGAAAAGCAAAATGCTCAAACAATGACAATAGAAGCAGTCTCAGAACTTGTTGCATACTCAAACCTGAAAAAATGAAAATGCAGCACAAGGCATTATAGCAAAGATTATATTAGCATTTTCAATTCACCGAAGCAGTAAAACATTTTCTGGAAAAGATGGGGACCATGTCTATGTTGTATGTAGTTCTTAGACAATAAAAACAGGAAGCCAGGCAGGGAAGTAAACCAGAAGAGAGTTGGTTCTTTTTTGCTTTCAGCCTGTCAGTGCACCACACTTGACTTACGATGACGTGGGTGGGTGGACAAGCTCGTAAAAAAGTTGGTCTGGTAGGTTATGCATACTTACTTTCAGTAAATGATACCCATCCAAAGTCTTTGGGTCACAAATGCACAAAAACATTTGAAAGAAATGTTTTTATTTAAACTTACTTTCTGCATATCTAGTTGTTGACAGGCTTTCTGACTTTTCACAAGGTCTCGTTTTACTTGAAGTTGCTCCTGTTTGGTCTTCAATCTCAATCTTAAAAATAAAATGAAACATGACTACCAATAAACATAACTTGGACTGGTTGAGATATTACACTGATAGAAGAGAAGAAGAGGAGTTTGGATTTGATATCCCGCCTTTCACTTCCTTTAAGGAGTCTCAAAGCGGCTAACATTCTCCTTTCCCTTCCTCCCCCACAACAAACACTCTGTGAGGTGAGTGGGGCTGAGAGACTTCAAAGAAGTGTGACTGGCCCAAGGTCACCCAGCAGCTGCATGTGGAGGAGCGGAAACGTGAACCCGGTTCCCCAGATTACGAGACTACCACTCTTAACCACTACACCACACTGGTGTATATGTATCTATCAATTTGTTTTGTTCACCATCGTGGGAGTTGTACGATGGGCAGTTTAGAAGTGCCACAAACCCAAATACTATATTACACACACCTTTTGGGACCCAGATCACTGTGAGCAGCTCCCATCATCCCTGATCTTTGACCATGCTGGCTGGGGCTTGTGGGAGGTGGAGTCCAATAACATGTGGAGGACACTATGCTAACTACCCCTGGTGTAGTTCATACTGGCAATACCTGATGGTGATATTTGATGGAGTAGCAGCCTAATTTGGTATGAGGCAGTTTCTTATGCATTGTGGGAAGGATAACCCCACACAGCACTGTTGCTCAACCTAGTGCTCTCCAGATGATGTGGACTCCCAACTCCAATCAGCCCCAGTCAGCATGGCCAATGGTTCTAGAAACCACTATGCTGGCTGTTGCTGGCCTCAGTTGACTGGAAGAAATTTTCAGAGTTTCAGACAAGAGTCTTGTCTGGCCATATCTGCAGAGGTCATGGATTCAACAGGGGACCTTCTGCATGCAAGCACGTGTTCCACCATGAAGCCACAATCCTTCCCATAAACAATACAATTCTTATTTGCAAAGAGAAGACGAGGAATGAAGCCCTTGAACATTACTTGAAGAGGTCAGCCGTCTGCTCCTCCGCTTGTTTCCTCATATGCATTTTTCTCCTGTAGTTTTCCAAGTTTTCTTCAGCTTTCCGTTTCTTCACTTCTTCATGGCCAAGCCCACTTCTGCCTGTTCCAAGTTCAAAGCGCTAGTTAACACATCAAGAGGCACCGTGTTTGAACTTTAAAACATTAAAAAGGAGAGAATGGACACAAACCTGTGGTAATGTTCAGAGGAATAGGCTCGACAATCCCCTTTCCTGCAGAAAACAAGAGCAGTCACGGTTGATAAAAACACACATGATCATCACTATTAGACACATTTCTGTTCCTTTCATCACAGGAGCTCAGAGTGGCTTGTAATGGGGTTCTCACATTACAACAAACCCTGTGAAGTGGATCAGACCATGAGTTAATGACACACCTTAGGCTATCTACTTGGCATCTGAACAGAGATTTGAGTCCAGCCTAGTTAAAGTATTTTGCACAGGTTCTCTGTATCTTTCATGTACGTGCATCATTTCAAAAAATATCAACCGGAGAAATGAAATTTACTGAACAGATAACAGGCCTTCGCCATAACTTGAAAAAATAACTATTATATGATTCTACATTAATGTTGTAGAGTAATTCCCCTCAAGATGTAAGTTATACTGGTTCTAACCTCACAATAAATTTATGTTACTATTTGAAGATTTTTATTTTGCTTTGACATTCTGTTAATTAGCACTTCCCGTCTCCCAGGGAAAGTATCAGGGCAAGAGGAAGACCAGCCGGGTCCAAACCACCAGCCAGAGAACAAGCAGCTCCAGGGAGATTGCTATTTCCTCCCTTCCAGAAAAAATACTCTGTTCCAACTGCTAGTTGGGCCTGGGACTGCAGAACTGAAGGGAATAATATTCTGGCCCAACCACTGGCCAGCAGACTCAGGGCTGCTGATTCGTTTGTGAATCTGAGGTTATTATTATTATTATTATTATTCCACCAATCTCTCCCTCTTCCCTAATTTTTTGGGGGGTCTGTGAAGTGGTGACTCACCCCCCCCCACAGCGGCGATTCCAGGGTCCCCTCTTACAGGGGATTGCACCTTTATATGGGAGTCACTGGCCATACACTGAAAGGTTGTCAGTGAACTCCCCTGCATTGCGGGGATATGGGGTGGGCTGCCAGCATACACAAGCATCTTGCTGTGCACCCTCCCATGTCCCACCCACCCTGAGGAGCCCCAGTTCCCCCAGGTGGGGGGCTGGGAGGGATACATGCCCAATGCCTAAGCCAAGGTCTTCCTACATCTGAAAGGTTTAATAAAGCTGTGGCCAATTTTTAATTCCATAACACGTTGTCACGGGTCGTTATTCCTTCTGGTGGTCTCTCAGGGCTGGGGGTCTCTGCCTGGGCACGCAAAACACTCTGTTCCAGCTGCTAGTTGGGCCTGGGACTGCAGAACTAAAGGGAATAATATTCTGGCCCAACCACTGGCCAGCAGACCCAGGGCTGCATATTTGTGTGTGAATCTGAGGTGATGCTGCTGCTGGTGGTTATTATTATTATACCACCAACCTCTCCGTTTTTATCAAAGGGAAGGAGGAAGGGCAATCAATGAGATAGCATCCTTTAATTTTTTTTTTTAAAAAACCTTCCTTTTTTATATGAGAGAAGCTATTTAGGGTGAACCAAAAATGTCTTACGCAGCAACTTTTTTTTTGTTCTTACTTTTACACAAAGAAAGGGGCTCCGTCAAAGTCTCAGACAGGTAGTAAAGGCATCAGGGCACTCACATACACACACCCACACAGGCAGAAGAGGAGACGGAAGGAAAGAAAAAGAGTTAAATAACAGGGCAACATTTTTTGTTCTTACTCTGAAAACAACCCCCGTTTCTTCTTTCACGGGGGTAAGGGAGGGGAAAGGGGGTTCCCAGCAAGCCCCAAGCCAGCATCTCTGTAAATCACGCCTACTGGTCTGTCACGCTGGCCTGCTGAGCCGGGGCTTGCTGCAAAATCGAAAAGAGTGCCATATTTTTCCGTGTATTAGATGATATTTTTTCCTTAGAAATAACAGGCAAAAATTGTGGGTCGTCTTATACATGGATAGCGAGGGGGGGGGCAGCAGCCAGCAGGATTGGCAGTGGCAATTGGGCATGTGATTGGTTGCTGCGGCAAGGCCTGCTGATGATTGGCTGCGGCAAAAACTGAACGATATGTATTGAAAAATCACCCAGGTCTATTACACAGACATTCCCATGATCGCTCAACCCAAGAACTGTTTTAATTGGATTGTTTGTGTATTTTAATTTTATATTTTAATGCTTGTGTCATTGGTTTTTATACTTCTAAACCACTTCGAAGCCTATTTTGGCATTAAAAGGTTTATAAATTAATAATAAAACAGCAACCATAATAATACCATGATACAGTCTTATTCAGAAAAAGGGAAGCTGAGAAACTCACCACTTTTGCCAAGAGGTTGACCACTTTTATAACCCATCTTCTGAAGCATAGCAAAACCTTTATTCTCGTTTCCCAAAGCAATGTTTAAAACAGTATCACGTTGTTCTTTCTCCTGCTCTTTTATACTCTTTTGCCGACTTCTCTCGTTAGCTTCCTTTTGTTTTTCTTCTTTCTTAAACACTTCCTTTGTACGCCTCAGCATTGGCATGCCTGGTCTGATGTCCTGGCTGAACAAGTCCAAATATCAAACTATTATATAGCAATTACAGAAATAAATAAATAAAGTTTTAAGAGCATTTTCAGTGAACCACATGTAATGCTTAACCGTACATCCCTCAATGTTTTATGGGGCTCACTTCCAGGTAAGTGTACATAGATTGCAAGGTTAATACCGTTTCCAAACAGAATACCACCAATCTATTGTAATTATCATTCTTGCAAGAAGAATATGTTTCTCTTTTCTTCTGCTAAAATGGAACAAGGATAGATTAAATGGTACGATAAAAGCCCCACACAGTGGTATTTCTGTTGCTGTAACATGCTCACAGAACACACTGGTATATGAAAGGCATGGCAAGGAAATTGAAGGGAAAACCTAGGTTGAATCAGTAGGGAGTTGTAATCCACAGTAATATATTCTGGAATATGTGTGGGAAGCTTTTGGCCCTCCAGATGTTGCTAAACTACAACTCCCATCAGACCCAGCAAGCATGCCCAATGGTCAGAGATGATAGGAGTTGTAGTTCAGCTACATCTAGAGGGTCAAATGTTCCCCATACCTGTTCTAGAGGCTGCTACTTCTGTGCTAGGTCTTACTGAAGGAGACTATAGAAGGGGAATATATTAGAGGCTTACCAGTTCATTGTCCACAAGAAAGGGCCGTGGGAAAAGCAGTGTTGAGAAAGAGTGTAGTCAAAGAGTTAGTCTATGCAGGGATGGGCTTAAAATGGCTTAGGTGGCAGTCTGAATCTATTCCGCCCTCCAGTTCAAGTTCATTTTCCTGGATTTAGGAATAAGCAATTCCTATGCCAGTTTCATGGGCCACTTAAACATACTCCTCAACCACTTAAAGCCATGTAGCTGGGCTAGAATCATTGAGTTCAGTCACTGTGGCACAGAGGCAGGTATCCTACATTATATGAGGGTGCCAAACTGGAGCTGTAACCCAGGAACTGGATAGCTCTGAAATGGCAAGAGGAAGGGCGCACAGTTCAGCTTTCAGTCCCAAATGTCACTGGTCATGTTTGATCAATCACCCAAGGCTTCACAAACCATGGTTTATGAAGCTGTAGACAAGCATCATGGCCATGCATCATTCCCTTGCTCCACCTGATTATCCTTCCTCTAGCTGTGCCCCAGCTTGAGCACAAAGAGCCTGGGTTGCAGTAAGCCAGAGTTCCTGATACACCAGAACTAGGAAGCTCTGGCTTAAAGCAAGCCAGGATCTTTACACCTCAGCCAGTATGCAGCCAGAGAGTGCAAAGCGATGGCACTTGGTTTATTCTTTATAAGGTTTTGGATGATCACACATATGCAGCCATTGTGCCTCTTGGAAAGACCTTTTCTCTGGTTTCCCAAAAAAATGATACACCCAGTTCAGAGATGGATAAGTGAAATCTAAACTACTTCTGTGCTAGGTGTTCTTGGAGCAGAAAAGGGGACTACATAAGAGATTAACACTCTTCTTGCCCCAAAGAAAGGACTGGTGCAGAAAAAGAGTGGAGCAGTCAGTACAGTTAGTCCATGCAAGACGGAGCTGTTCCGCCTCGCCTTTGGTCCGGGCCCAATTTGACCCCCTCTATGGGACTCTGTAAGTTACCTCTTTGGCCCTTTTATTGGCTCATGTGGGACCAACATGGATAGCTGGCCCTGATGAATACTTGAGGTTCCTGACCCCTATGGTTGTAATTCATGGGCAGTCATTTAATTTTATCCTGATTCTAATTTTTAAGCTGTATTTTAATCAGTTGTTTGATTGTGTTTTCATGTATTTGATGTTAGCCACGCTGAGCCCGGTCTTGGCCGGGGAGGGCGGGGTATAAATAAAAATTTACTTACTTACTTACTTACAATGGTGTGCTAAAGGACCTGACAGAAGTCAGAACAACATTTGCATGTGGTTTGAGACTCCAAGACCTGGGTCCCCAGATGGCCAGCTCTAGTCCAACAACAAAAGGGGACTCAAGGATGAAGAACCCACTTCTAGGTGATATCAACTTGAAGCATTTTAGCCAGACCTCTTACTCAAAAAATAATTGAAAAGTTCTGTATCTGAAACACCACAAATAGCTTCAATTATTAGTGCATGTGTTAGGCACTGACAAGTTTGATAAGTTTAGAAAAAGATTGCACTTACTTAACATTAATAAAGGAATCAGACATGTAGTCATCTTCTTCATCACCCATGATTGGTATTAATACTCCACTTGCAGACCTCTTGCCTATAAAAAATATTTTTCTAGCTTTTAGAATGCATTGAAAATAGCTAAAGTTTTCACTGATTTTTTGGGGGGGAAGTTATTATTATTTCATGTAGAGTACCGTATTTTTTGCTCTATAAGACTCACTTTTTCCCTCCTAAAAAGTATGGGGAAACGTGTGTGCGTCTTATGGAGCGAATGCAGGCTGCGCAGCTATCCCAGAAGCCAGAACAGTGAGAGGAATTCCTCTTGCTGTTCTGGCTTCTGAGATTCAGAATATTTTTTTTCTTGTTTTCCTCCTCCAAAAACTAGGTGCGTCTTGTGGTCTGGTGCGTCTTAAAGAGCGAAACATATGGTTTTTATATCCCAACTTTCTTCCAGCTTGGAAGACTTACAACAATTAAAAACATTATTATAAACGACAAATTAACAAAAACAAACTGTGACTTTGTTACAGCTAATAGTTGCCACAATTTTCAGAGTGCTCTGGTGGGAGGAACAGTAAGCTGTAAGCTGCCCAGAATGGCTGGGGAAACCCAGCCAGATGGGCATGGTATAAATAAAAAAATTAATTATAATAATAATTTCATTTAGTGTTCCTAGAAAGAGAGCAAACTTTAGGGGCACTGAACCTTTAGATTAATGTGGTGGCTCAGTTAGATGAAATCCCACCTAGAAACAACTGAAAAGCAAAAGCAACAAAATAGCCTTGTGGCACCATAAATACTAGAAAAATTATTATGACTGATGCCCAACATCATCATGCCAGTCAGGCTGCTCACCCCAAAAGCCTTATACCTCAAGTGGGATTGTAGCCTGACACATACAGCACAATTCTGTGTTTATCTAGCAAGTGAACAAGTCCCCACTGGATTCAAGAGGACTCGCTCCCTGCTAATAATGCACATTAGCAAAGAAAAGGTGTCATACACAGCCCCTCATGATTACCCCAGTCTCCCCATATTACCGTATTTTTCGTCCCATAGGACGCTCCGTCCCATAGGACACACCTAGTTTTTTGGGGGGGAAATAAAGAAAAAATTTTTTCCCTTTATCCCCCCCCCCCCAAAAGCAGGTCAGGGAAACCGAACAAGGTCGAGGAACAGCGGGATGGCGGCGCTGCGCCTCCCTGCTGTCCCCCGAGCTTGTGGGGCTGGCCGATGTCTGCCCGGCGCGCGGGGCGCTCTGCTTCAGGACGCCCCGCCCGCCGGGCAGCAGGCTGCTATCCGCAGCGTGGGGAGCCCCGCGGGGAACTCCTGCAGGGCTCCCCACGCTGCGGATGTGTTCCGGGCGCTCCGGGAAGCAGGCTGCTATCCGCAGCCTAGACATCCCTGCGGGACCTCCCGCAGGGCTGCCTAGGCTGCGGATGTGTTCCCGAAGCCTGGAGAGCGAGAGGGGTCGGTGCACACTGACCCCTCTCGCTCTCCAAGCTTCAGTGAAAGCCTGCATTCGCCCCATAGGACGCACCCAGATTTCCCCTTCATTTTTGGAGGGGAAAAAGTGCGTCCTATAGGGCGAAAAATACGGTAACTGAATGTAATAAGAGTCCTGTCGAATCAGATGAAAGGTCTATATTCTAGCCTAACATCCTGCTGTGCATAGTAAAATAACAGAACAAGCTTGCTTAAGGACTAATGCATTATTATCATTATTATTAATTCTTAAATTTCTATACTGCCCTTCATCCAGATATCTCAGGGTGGCATACAACATACCGTATTTTTCGCTCTATAAGACACACTTTTCCCCTTCTAAAAAGTAAGGGGAAATGTGTGTGCGTCTTATGCAGCGAATGCAGGTGGGAGGCTCTGTCAGCACTCCCTTTAAAGAGCTGCGTGGAGTGTGTGTGCGGCTCTTGGGGGCTTTTCTCCCTCCACTCTTTAAAGGGAGCACGGCTCTTGGGGGAGCCTTAGCCGTGCGCAGCCTCTCCCTAAAGAAGAAGCCAGAACAGCGAGTGGGATCCCGCTGGCTGTTCTAGCTTCTGGCTTAGCCATGGGATGAAGACTCCGCAGGGGAGCAGGGAGCCTCTCCTAAAAACTAGGTGTGTCCAATCGTCCGGTGAGTCTAATAGAGCGAAAAATATGGTACAAAAACACACACACACACACACAAAAAACAAGAATACATACTACAATAACAAACAAGTGCAATTACACCCCCTGCACCTATACAGGTGTTATTATTAACAGCATCAGCTTTCGTGAACTACAGTCCACTTCATCGGATACATGAAGTCGTATCCTCTGTGCTGCAAGTACACACACATATATAGTGGTGTGGAGAACAGCCCTCTCTCCTTGCCGTCCCCCCAGCAACTAGTGTTCAGAAACACGCTGCATTTGATCGTGGAAGCTGTATGTATACAGCCCTCCTAGCAGCACAGAATTGCAAGGGAGCCTTAGGGTCATCTAGTCTAAACCGCACCCCCACACACAATGCAGGAACCCCACGGCTAGCAGCTGCCCATAGCCTGATCTAAGAAGCTGCCCAACATTCGCCAGCAACACTCAAATCGGTACAGCACCAGCTCTTTATCACTATTCCCTACCAGCCTCCGCGCGCCTCTTCCACCCAGTGAAGCCTAGCCCTCTTGCGTTCCAGTCTCTCGGCAACTGCGCAGGTGCGCATGCGTGCCTTCTACCGACCAGCTTCCGGGTATGGAATGCGCTTGCGCGGCAGCCGGCGCTTCCTCAGCTGGTGGGGAGAGAGGGATTCGGTTACTGAGCGGTGCGCCATGGCGACGTCAGGTGTTTGCCCCTTTCTGTCAAACGTCGCAGTGGTCTGCGGTACCGCGAACTGTCGGAAGAGGTGGGTCTGGGAGACGAAGGACTTACTTGCGGGGGGGCGGGGGGGGAGAAGAGCCGCTGGGTCAATATTAAGGGGTGGCGTGGGGGGGGGCACTTTAACTGGGTCCCTGTGAGGAGGAGGGGGGAGGAGGGAACGAAGAACGGCGGCTCCTACGGGTGGGCAGCGGGGTCAAGTTAAGGTGGTGCGCTGCTTTCGCGGCGGGGTGCTTCGGCCTTTAGGGCAGGCAGGCGCTTTCGAGAGGGGCGGGCAGGAGTTTTGAGTGGCGGCGGGTTTCCTTATCGCTGGGGCTGCCCTTGACACCAGGGTGGCAGGCCTTGGGGCTGGGTATCCGAAACTGCCGTTTCCTCTGACTGGCAATGGCCCCTCGGGGATCTCTTACTACTGGGGGGGGGGGGCAGGGAGTCGCACTTTCTGCATGCAAAGCGAAGCACACGACCTGATGGAGCTCCCTCCGAAACTGAGCGGGGCTTTAAAGCGCTTGGGGGCATCCCCAGCAGCTACAGCAGTTTCACACCATTTATGCAGCAGCAAGCATGGGGTTGCTGCTCGCTCTTGCACGCAGCAGGCAGCTGCAGATATTCTGGGCTCTCTGTCGCTGATTCCAATGGTGCAGTTCTCAGTTTATTATTATGTCCCATTCATCTCTCACCCTGTCCTTATTGAGGTGGGAAGCGATGAGCAATAGAGCCTTATCAGCTGCGGTACAGTACGGCAGTGGAATCCTCTCCTGGGAGACATTTAACTGGTATTTACTCCTCCTAGCTTTCAGGCACCCGGCGACAGGCAATTTCCTTCCTACAATTTTGATGCTTGATGGTTTAATTCCGCCTTCATTGCCTTGCTGTTATTCTCCCTGCCCCTCTCTTTTACTTCCAAGTTTTATTTTGTTCCAATCCTTTTGTATACTGTATGTAAATTGATGTTTGATTTTATTATGGTTGTTATTTGACTTGGAAGTTTCTGTGGAGAATATTTTAAATAAATTCAGCAGGGGAATCTGAGATCACAAATTCAGGTTTCACTTTTGTCTGAATAAAATTTTACTTATAGCAGTAGCAGAGGACAGGATTGTAGAGGAATCTCATAAAGTGGCAGCTCCTACAAGAATTGGCACTCTTAAAACATAGTCTTAATATTCCTATCTGTGTGTGACTTCCCTGGCATATCACCTCAGAGCAAGTGAATCAGGCAGTAAATGTGCTTTCCACAGCCTTGAGATAATACTTCTGGCCCTTCTGAATGACAGAAATTCCAAATTACAGTACAGTTCTATGTCTACTGAGAAGTAAATCCCATCAAGTTCAATAGGACTTAATTCCAAGGTAAATGAATACAGGACTGCCAAAAAGAGGTTCCATAATCATTACTAGCCTGTCAATGCACTCTCTCTCTCTGACATTTTTTCCTCCATTGCACTTGATGAGTTGACTACCCTATTATCTTTAGTTAACCAATGTTTACCGTTGATCCTGTGCCCTCCTAATTGCCATCTCTGCTGTCATTATCACTCTTTATGTTATCCTATCTTTTTCTTCCTCTCTTCAACATTCAAATGCACCACTGTTTTCCTTATTAAAACAAACCAACTCTTGATCCCTTTTCTAGGTCTGACTACTGTACAATTCCCTCCCCCTCCCCTTTTCATCAAACCCCTGCTTACTTTCATGAGCTAATCTTCTTTTTTTCCAAGTCTGTTGCTGGCCCCCATCTAGTCTGCCAGCTGCATGTCACTGCTTTTGCCTCCACATCACCAAATCCAAAAGTCTCTACTCAGTTCTCTTCCTCTTTGATATCTAGGTACAGTAGATCACTTTCCCCTACTTGTTTCACTTTGCTTTATGTCCTAGATCTCCTTGATTTTGTTTTCAGATGGCTCTCTTTCTGTCTAGTTGATATTTTGGTGTTTCTAGAGGGGGAAGCCCTCTTTGTTTTCTTTCTTCATTGTGGTTTCTCAGATGTCTGTGCTTGTATTTGGCCATTTGCTATTCTGTCCCTATACAGTGTCCGTGAGTAACATTATCACATATCATGGCTTTCAGTACTATGCACTGATGTCACCCACCTTTACCTAAGAAGAACTTTCTTCATTCTAGTGCAGGCATAGGCAACCTCGGCCCTCAAGATGTTTTTGGCCTGCAACTCCCATGATCCCTAGCTAACAGGCCCAGTGGTCAGGGATGATGGGAATTGTAGTCCCAAAACATCTGGAGGGCTGAGGTTGCCTATGCCTGTTCTAGTGCATTTCTAAGTGTGTCTTTGATATTTCTGTCTAGGTATTGCATTGTTATTTCAAACTCAGTAGGACACAAAATCGAACTTGGTTCCTCCCAAGCCATCTCCTTCCTCCTTCATTCTTAATCGTTAATAACATCACCTTGCTCTACTGATCAGGCTTGAAGCCTTGGTTTTCTCTATCCTTTGCCCTCCATTTTCATTGCCAAATCATTTCTTCTTTTACAATGTTACAAAAATATGACCAAAAATTCTGGCCCATGCCTTGGTCATCTCTTATGTTGACTACTGCATTCTTTTCATGGCTCTTCTGTTGTCTTGCATTCATCCATGCAGCATTCTGCTGGCAAAATTATTCACTCTGACCCTGTGCATCTTTTCTCCCTTGCCGCTCTCAGTGCCTTGAACTGCCTGCCAGAATGCCTCCATTTGACCACCTTCTGTACTTCCTCTTCAAAACACATATTCTCTGGCAGCCCATTGGAACAACATCTAGTCCCAGTACCCTATGGTAACTAAGCTGAATAATGTGTAATTAAATAGCAGCACATTCTCTCCCTTTTTATGCCTGCCACCATTTCCTTCAACTTCCTATGCTGTAAGTCCCTTGGTGAAGGACCTGCCAAATCTGTTGTTTGTAAACTGCAATGTGCATTGCTGGTACTAAGGAAATAATACATCAGTGCAGATACTTCATGTAAGTGTTTAACAGTCTGGGATATAATCAAATATTAAGTAAATGAGCTGTTTTTAAACTGCTATTAGGAATAAGAAAATAATAATAATTATTGTTCTATGTTATGTTTTCTAATAGGAAATAAGTACACCTGTAACAAAAGCAGATTTTAGCCAGCCATGGAGCTTGCTCACAGTTTGTTATTAAATGAAGAGGCTTTGGCTCAAATCACAGAAGCAAAGCGACCAGTTTTTATCTTTGAATGGCTGCGGTTTCTTGACAAAGTGCTAGTAGCTGCTAACAAGGTATGCCATGTCCCCTCCCACCAGTCTTTGGTTTTTATATAGTCCTTTTTCATTGAGTTTCATGGGGCTTGCTCCCAGATCAGTGTAAAGGATTGCAGTCTAACTCCATGACATTATTATGTAGTTCACTAATTCATATTTTTGAAAGATCTGATTTGCCCATAATTTGAGATGAATGTTATGTCCTGAGCTGTAATTCCCTTTCCAAGTTTGTTTTAAGTGAATTTGTATCAGTAGTTTCAGAGAAATGCCAGAAGCATTTAGGCAAATGGGCCAGTGGATTAGGCCAGTACCAGCTTCATTAAATAAACCACCAAATATCACGAATGTCAGGATATCTTATTGAAAAATAAAATGACACATGACGGGTGGTTATAGCTCTACTAGCAAAAATATCCCAGAAATAAAAATACTTGAATAGCAATCATCTGAAAGAATTAAGCATTTGAATGTTGAATTATGAAAATCAGAGCAAATAAAATTTTAATTTGTTTTGTTAACAGACGGATGTAAAAGAAAAACAAAAAAAACTTGTTGAACAGCTAACTGGTCTTATCAGCAGCTCTCCTGGGCCACCCACCCGGAAATTGCTTGCTAAAAACCTTGCCGCTCTGTATAGCATTGGAGATACTTTTACTGTATTTCAGACACTTGATAAGTGTAATGAAATTATCAAAAGTAAAGATGATACATCAGCCTACTTACCAACCAAACTGTAAGTAACAGATCACATACAGGACAAGAATGTTGTTACAAGTGATGGTTAACTTGTTAATTTCTAAGAACACTGAAGAAGTAGCTGAGCAGATTTGAATGATTTTTGTGATTCATGCTTACAGAATCCTCAGGGGAATATACCTGTTTAGAAATGAATGATGCCTTGAAGTAACAATGGAATCAATTTCCTACTGTTTTTTGTCACAATATTGGTTGTGACTAGAATGATGCAGCTGAGGGTGGGAGGGTAACTGAGAACATAAGATCCTGCTCGATCAGACCATTTAGTTCAGCATCCTAGATGATGGGCAGTAATATTTAAAGTGGGATTATGTAGCTGCTGCAGGATATCAGTGGAAGAAAGTGTTTGTTGGATTAGCATTAGTCTTTAAGCATCCACACTACAGTGGAACCTCTGGTTACGTACTGTCCCCCTTACAAATGCTTCAAGTAACGCGCTCCGCTAACCTGGAAGTAGATGCCCCTAGTTGTGACCTTTGCCCCAGGATGTGAGCGGAAGTCGCGCAGTGGGAGGCTCCATTAGCAAAAGCGCGCCTCATGTTAAGAACAATTTCGTGTTAAGAATGGACCTCTGGAACGCATTAAGTTCATAACTGGAGGTACCACTGTATTATTGCAGGAGGAGGGAAGATGAAACAATTCTTTAAATGTCTACTTGGAAATAAATAAATTCACTGGGCCTGTAAATCTCTGAATATATTGCCCACTTCTAAAAGAGCTCTGTTTAGTTTTGTCACATCACTGTGCTGGCAACATGCAGGACTTGATAATGTATTGTTTTGCATGTTTCCTAAGAAGTAAGTCCTATTGGGGGTTTACAGGCAGGCAAATGTGCATAGGATTGCAATGCAGATGAGCGCTGCTGCATTCTGGATCTATTATGTGCAGCCTCTGATGGAGAGGCTTTCTTCCATGTGAAGAAGCCTGCTTATTGTATTTCTAAGTCTAAACATACCTGTGTATACAGAAGAATTGCAAAGGTTTTCTAGCTGGAAGTTGTTCTTGACTTGGCTTTTGTGCAGGAGGACAGCAAAAATAGAGCTTAATTGAGAACAGTTATATTCCTTCACATGCAGCAATCCAGACTGGATTGAGATCTTAGTTTTTCTAAGTGATTACTGCCAAGCAGTTTGAAGGAAACTAAGCCAACCAATTACTTGACATAATTTTACCAGTCATTGTGAAAATCACTTAGGGAATTCTCAGGAGCATCTTCTAGGAACTATAGGTTATCAAACTATTTGGAATTAAATTCCATGCTTTCAAGACTATTTTGTTAGCATCAGACATGCAAAGTCTGAGAAGACTGCATTCTATGCACATAAAATACTCTTAAAATATTCCAAACTACAGTTGCTGAACATGCTATATTTATTTTGAAATATGTGAGAAATGTGAGTCATTCTTTGGGTGAGAAAAATCCTAATGAGCATGAGAGTGGAAAAACTTAATGAAACTTGGCATTCATTTTACCTGTCACTTAATTGCTAATCCATGTGAATTTTTACCTTCTCATTTCTAAAACTATATCTGTGGCCAAAATATAAGTTTGTAGTCTCTGATTTCCTTACAAAGTATACATACCACATAAAACTGCCCGGTTGCCTGAAGATATTTAAGTTTTGATTTGATGCTTCTATTTACTAGCATGTTACCTAGTGAAAAAATACTAATGATGATTTTGCCTTTTTGTAGCACTGCAGTGGCATGTGTTGGAGCATTTTATGAAAAAATGGGGAGAATGCTGGGTAGTTCTTTTCCAGAAACAGTTAACAATCTCTTAAAGTCTCTGAAAAGTGCTGAGGTGAGTGAAAGTTGTAAAAAAAACACAAAATCATATTTTTTACTCTTTTCCATCTGTAGTTTGTTTGCCTAATTTGTAACAGACTAAGACCATCAATTAAGGCTTAGGAAATTTTATTTAAGGCTATTCTGCTGTCTTTTATTTATATACTCTTTGTTCAATTAGGATGGCCATACGTCAGTAATTTCCAGGACATACCTGGAATACTGCAGTTTGAAGCAGTGTCCAGGTGGAAATTGGCAAAAATGTCTGGGAAAACCTGGGTGTATGGCAACCCATGTCGGCAGTGTCATTTTTTTGCCAAATTACCTTAAAAATACCTCAGAAATGCGTCATGACACCAGTTGTGTGGTATCTCTCTCTTTCATATATGAATTATTAGCCGTCTCCCTTTGCCCCTCACTTTTTAGATAATTCTCGTAGTTACATTATGAAGACACAGAACAAGTTGTTTCTTATTTCCGCTTCATTCTCTCTTTCTCCCTTTCAAATCCCAATGCAATTTGTAGTCACAGGGCCGGAGTGAAATATTAATGAGTTTGCAGAAAGTCCTAAGTGGGCTGGGTGGTGCTGCAGCTTCTTGCCACCGTGATATTTATAAGAATGCAAGATCTCTCCTGACAGACAGAGCTATGGCTGTGCGATGTGCAGTAGCAAAGGTAGGTTTGTATTATTTTACAATTTATAAACAGGCAGGGTTTGTTTGTTCACTAAATTTTCTGTTGGTCTTTCCTTGGTGTGTTGTATTTTGACATTATTTCATATGTCACACAGTGTGTACAGTGTAGTTGGGATGTGGGTTTGGTGGCTAGCTTATCCAGATCACCTTCTGAAAGCATTTGGGCTGCCACAGAGCAGTTCCCGTCTGAATTTTTTTAATACTTGGCATTAATCTTTGTAATGGGATTCTAAATTGTAGCAGGAAGGACTTTTTCCTCTTACTGAGGAAAGAATGTGACAATGTAGCTTTCTTCTCCCTTCAAAGCACTGAAACCGACGTTTTACGCAGGGAGAGAGAGAAGTGGCCTGTTTCTCTATTTTTTCTGGAACAGAGATTTTTTGGCAGGGGCAGATTTTAAACTGAGAGGTAGGAGGCAGCCCCCCCTCCCCCCCTGCAATACATCTGAAAATTAAATGCTACTGAAGTGTTTGTAGACAGGAATTGGATGCTTGTATCCTGTGATTCAGTATTACTCTCCAATCCCATATCTCATAATAATGTTTTTGTATGAGCACCAATGTAAAGATAGATTTCAGTGTAACCTTTCTGAATGGTTTTTTAAAAGTCATTATGCCAATCATATCTCATAAGTGGGATAAATGACAGTGATGATTGTGCTGGCTCTGTTCCCAGAGTGGATGGGTAAGCATTTTAGAAATATTAAACAATTATTGGTATGTTCTTCCTCCTGCCCCCCAGTGCCTACTGGAACTACAAAATGAGGCTGTATTTATGTGGACAGCAGAACTGGAAAATGTAGCAACACTTTGTTTTAAGGCTCTGGAAAACTCAAATTATGGTGTACGAGTTGCAGTATCAAAACTTTTGGGAACAGTTATGGCTACAGCACTGATACCAAAGCAAGCAGCAGGTATTAAATATTGAATTGTCTATGCAATTATTATTCTATAATTCCACAGCAATAAGCTGGATATATTTGTGTACTATTTGCAAATCTAGGCAGGTTCTGGTATGGATTCAAATTGGATGGTGGACCGTAAGTTGAGATTCCTGAATTGCAGGGAGTTGGACTAGATGATCCTCAGGATCATTTCCAGCTCTACAATTCTGTTATTCTATTCTAGAATGGTATAGTGGAGATTGTTGTTTTCTCTATTTTTGCAGCTAGCCAAAGTTAAAGGAATTAATCTACACAAGGAAAGCATTGAGATAGAAACCCTTTGTGAATGAGTTATGTAATCATGTGTAATCGTCTGAAGGCTTTTATATATATTTAATGATTGGAAACTCTACTAAGTTTTTGTTGCCTTTGTTTCTGTAACAAGACAGGCTACTTGTCAAAATCACAGATGTAGTATGTGTCCAAAAAGTATTCTATTAAATTAAATTACTATTTTTTTTCTTGAAGTGATGCGCCAGAATGTGAAGCGGGCTACACTGGAAGAGGTTTTGGAACTCATGGCCACTGGTTTTCTAAGAGGAGGATCTGGATTCTTGAAGAGTGGTGGCGAGATGTTAAAAGTAGGAGGATCTGTCAATCGAGAAGTGAGAGTTGGAGTTACGCAGGTGTGTTTGCTCTCTTACTCTTCAATAAGACCTGTATAACCAAGTAGCTTCGGGTTGAGCGTTTTTGGGTTGCGCTCCGCAGTGACCCGGAAGTAACAGAATGTGTTACTTCGGGTTTCGCCGGTCGTGCATGCGCAGACGCTCAAAATGACGTCACGCGCAGACGCAGGTTGCATTCGCTTCAGGATGCAAACGGGGCTTCAGAACGGATCCCGTTCGCATCCGGAGGTACCACTGTATCTCCAGCCTCTAAAAGGAGTACCTCTGTGCAGGGCTCCAGTCAGCTTGGACCAAAGGGCCTTGTAGTGCTCTTTTGGGCTTGCAAAGGATGCCTCCCTCTTCCACACCTCCACAGAGGCCATAGCCTGCTGTGCTAAAAGATAGAAGGTGATGTGAAAGACCTCTGAGACTCTGAAGGGCTGCTATTAGACAGAGTAGATGCTTACTGCGCTTGTCTGACCGGCAATTCCTGAAAATATTGTTATATTGTGGTGGGAGAAGGGGTTCTCCAGGGTCAGAAAAGGGGAAAATATCCATTTCTTTGTATTTAGTTCTTCATGAATCAAGGTAAGCAGTGAATCATAATGGTAGTGAGGACTGTGCTTCCAAAAGTATTCCTTCTACTTGTGGTAGCATTAGGTAGAAGACATCATATATGTGAATCCATCCCTAAAATATGGTTGTTTCGCCTCAAAATCTTATAAAACCGGGGTCATTTAAGTCTTCTCTTTAGAGTTTCCCTTTGTTTGCCCCTCCCCTCTATTATGGAAATGTGTACAAATCCTTCCTTTCTGTGGTTGTAATATTTGTATTTTGAATTTGCAGGCTTATGTTGTCTTTGTCACAACATTAGGAGGTCAGTGGCTGGAGCGCAATTTTGCTACATTCTTGTCACATGTTCTAGATCTGGTTTCTCACCCTCGGGCAACGCAGACTCATGTAGAAGCGGTGTACTCTCGAAGATGTGTCTCCTTCATTCTCCGAGCCACTGTAGGAAGTTTATTGGGGGAGAAGGCACAGATTGCAGCTGCCAAAGATATATGCCAGGCAATTGGTAAACAGATGAAGGCAGTAGGTAAGAATGTTAAGGTTAAGGTCCAAATCAACATAATATATTCCTGTCCCATAAGTATGAAGGAATTTTTAAAGCTGTGAAAAAAAGGTCTATGACAGATAATCAAACAATATTATGTGCCCTCATAACACTGAAGTGCAGGCACAGTATGTAATAATCTGTAAATATGCTCTAAAGTATCTAGCTGTGCTGACTGAATATATATTTTAAACGCTAACTGCATCACAGCAATGAAATACAAAAGTATGGTTACTCAGAAGATGAAGAATGTTTAGGACAGCTCCCCCCCACACCCGAAAACATGCATATGTGGCATATGGGCATCAGGCTACTTGTGCTTGAGATCAGAGAGCTAATTCTTAAAAATATTTTAAAACTGGCAGTAGGTGGGAGTCGGAACCTGGAAAATCAGTAATCATGAAGAGAATTTAATGCTTTGGTTCTCTCTCTTCCGTTTTCAGACTCATCACTATTAGACATTTTTCATAAGCTAAGTTTCCATGGTGAAAATATAGAAACAATGGCATATTTCTTGATAATATTTTCTCATTCCTTCAGTGATTATCCAAAAAGTAGCTCTCTTGTGATGAAATATAAAATACTTGTGATTGAAAGGCAGCTTTTAATGTAGGTTGCCAGCAAGTCATCTGAATGTATGCTAAACCAATCTCTGTTCTGTAAGAGTTGTCTCTTAAATTCTGTGGCGCCTCAGACAAACATATGCAGCTCAGTTTCTTAGCTACTGTGTACAAGCAACTCTCGCATTTCTGTAGTTCTTTATACTGATACTCTTCTGAATACACCTCAAATTTACAAGAATGCTGGATGACACTCTCTCTTCTTCCCCTGCTTTGCCAGAATCAGTTGTGAATGATGCTAATATTGAAAACAAATCAGGAGCAGCTGAAGTTGCTGCAAGTCAGCATGTGATGGTTTGTGCCCTTCAGGAGCTTGGGAGCCTAGTTCAGAGCCTAAGTGCCACTGCTTCACCTCTCATACAAGAGCCTTCTATAGGTAAGTTGTTAAGACTGTAATTTAATATATAGTTGCCTGTACAGAATTGTACTGTTCAATATCCACTTCTGTCTGCCAGCTTACTTGATTACCACTACATTCTGGCATGAAAAACAAACCCAGCAAGACATGTGAAGATGTAATCTAGAAAAATGCAAGGGCATTTACTGTCTCTGGTTTCAGCAGAATGTAAGCAATTCTGAGATTCTTTAGCCTGCTCCCATAACAGCTAAACAAATTGCCTAATAAAAATGTATTTGTGTATACAGTTATCAATATTGTTATCTATGTAGTTTCCCCATAAGAACCTAGAGTCTGGAGAGTTCTGGTGAATGCCTCGTCATGCATTTATTGAAATGAGAAATAAAATGGAAATTTAAAAGCAAAAGTGAACTAATTTTAAATCTCATTCTGTTGAGTAAGATTTTGGACATCTTAACTTACTATTAGATGGAGTGAAAGGGGACTGAATGGTATAGAGTATATCCTAGTATAGAAATCCATTATTGATTTCCCTTTAAGATTCACTGTTGTCTGTGTTGATTTCAGGATTGCTTGAGACTGTTACTTCAGTTCTTCTTCATCCAAGTATGGCTGCCCGACTTGCTGCTGCATGGTGCCTGCGTTGTGTAGCTGTGGCCTTGCCTTTCCAAGTGACTCCTTTCTTGGACCGGTGTGCCGAAAGGCTCAACAATTTGAAGACCTCACCAGAAGCCGTTAGTGGTTACAGTTTTGCAATGGCTGCTTTGCTAGGTGGAGTTCATCAGTGTCCTTTGGGCATTCCCCATGCAAAAGGAAAGGTGAGATACTATGAACATATGTGGCTTTGCATATTAAGTTCAAATCTTAACAACATAATGGCTATAGAAATAAAATGGACTTCGCTTCTGCTGCCCTAATGCTAAACACATTCACTTGTTAAAACACCAATTTGTTGTTGGAAAGGGTCTGGCTGGCTACCTCCTTACTATAAAATGCATTTAAACAGAAGAAGAAAAGATGCTACAGCAACCAGTATAATCACCTGCGGGCCATGGCATATCCATGTCAGCCCAGGTGCTAATGTAAGCCCTGTTTGTCACTGTCGACATCATCATCTGCTCCTCTCTTTGGGGGGCCCTGTGCTGTGAGTCCCTAAACTCTGACCTCTCTTGTGTCAATGAGAGAAGAAAATAATTAGTGTGTCACTCCTTACATTACTCTTTCTCTTAAATCTGTTTCCTAAATTTCACTATCCTTCTGCTTTCATTTGACCCAAAGAGTTCATTTGCATCCAAACATCCCCCTGGTTAATCTAGGCCACTGTTTCAGCTGCCAGATCCCTACTACCATTTCCCATTCCTTATTTAGTAATACTAGGATTCCTCATTTCCTTACATCTTTAAAATAAAGTTGGTTTGGGTACCCTATATATACACGGGTTTTTAGTTTTCTTTATTCTTCTGTAAATATTTTATTTTTGTTGAGTAAAGTCACACAGCCATTTTACACTTTATGCCATATTGGTGTAACGTGTGTTATTTTGAACCCAAATTGGAAGTGTTATTGCTAATTCCTTAAATAACTAAATAATTGAGAATAATGTGCAACTTCTTGTGACATTCAGGTTTAAAGATCTGAAAGTGTTGCGCCTCCGTGGTGACACATGCAAACTTTTGTGTTAGCATGTAATGTGTGATTAGGAATGGGCACATAATTGGTAACAATCTCCTTTTGTTTTCAGATGGTTGTTAGCATTGCAGAGGATCTCTTACGATCTGCTGCACAAAATAGCAGATTGTCTTTGCAGCGAACCCAGGCTGGATGGCTTTTGCTTGGTGCTCTAATGACTTTAGGTATGTAAAACAGTGGCTGGCTTTATCACTGTGGTGTAGGACAGTCCTGGTATTCTTAATAAGGTTGTCTGATTAGTCTTGACAGTAAAAATTCCTTAAAGTTGTTATAGTCAGCAGAATAAACCAAGCTCTTCAGAAGTTCATATTTGTAACTGGGGAGATACTTTCTAAAGATCTTTAAATTAGCTTTATTTGATTAAACTTTTAATGCTAAAGACTAATACATAGTGTGTAAAAATACAAATATTCCTATAATCTTACATCACATGCATTGGTTACATTGATTACTGGCTACCTTTCCAAGTAAAAATGGCCAAAGTGGCATACAAAATGTGACTTTAAAAAAAAGAAAAGAATAGCACACAATAATGGCATTGGAGTATTTTTAGTGTCATTTGGTTATTTTTTGTTTGTTTGTTGAGAATTGTTTAAAATCTACAGTAATTTGCCTTCTTACCCTTAGGTCCGTCTGCTGTTCGTTACCATCTTCCCAAAATGTTACTGCTGTGGCGAAATGTATTTCCCCGATCTTTGAAGGAATTGGAAGCAGAGAAAGCTCGTGGAGATTCCTTCACATGGCAAGTAACACTGGAAGGACGTGCAGGAGCTCTCTGTGGTAAGAATCTCAAAGATACAGCTAACAGTTCCTGAATTATTTCAATCAGTTTTACCTGGAACATTGTGAAAAGATTCATGTTCAAATCTGAATACTAAATGGCCTTGAACAAGTTCCACTTCCAGTGTCACAGGGCCTTGTAAAATGCCCTAAGATCCTTGGAGGAATGCTGAGATATAAATGTCGCAAGTAAATAGTGTATAAAGGTAATGTAAGAGTTTGGCTTATTCAGAAGGCTGAGAGAGTAAAAAAAAGAAAAGGTTCACTCGTAGTGGTACATGTGACTCCCAAGGAAAAGATGCCTGATGAGGGAGACAAGTGGGGAAGTATTTGATTCCACCTGCCCTTCCTATAGCAATGCAAGCTTGGCTGAAATAATATATACGGTAGCAATAGTGGATAGCATGGGTGGGGCACTGTGGTTAACCTGGTTTCTTGAATGTCTCTGCTGATTAGGGAAAGCATTGGCATTTCTGCCAGCAGCTGAACTGCAGTTTCTTTTTGAGAGTTAACATTTCCTTCTTTGCTTACATAGTTTAAAATGTGACCAATGCATTTTTCATTATTAGCTATGAGAAGTTTTGTTGCTCACTGTCCCGAACTTCTAACAGAGGATGTTATTCGAAAACTGATGACTCCTATAGAATGTGCTATGACAATGATGTCTCAGTAAGTATAGTTTCCACAATGGTGAAGTAATTTCCCCTCAAAATTCTCTGTAGTCTGCATAACCAGAAAAAGTCAGAGAAATTCTCATTTTAACTTCAAAATGAAGAAACAATCGACACTAACTTCTTAAAGTTAATTTTATGTCCTGTCTTACTTTTTTGATATTTAACATTTCCATTTTTAAACTAAATATTATTTCTTGTTTTATGGAAGGCACAAATCTTCTTTAAAAATACTTTCAAAAATAATTTATTCTGCATAAAATGAAATTGTGTGCATATCACATAGCAACTCAGGGACAGACCTTGCGTATAACAGTATTGAAAGTTAGACTTCAACCTAGTGCATCCTACCAGAAAGGTTACCACTAGCACAATGGGACTTTCCTCCACTTCTCCCCCCCCCCCACGTGCTCCCTATGTTGTCCTCAAATCTGTTCTAGATGGTTGGAGGAACCTCCAGAACAGATTTTGCAGGGGGCAGGGGAGTTCTGTTGTGCAAGGGGAAATCCTTCCGCTGATGGAACCTGAGTCTTAGTGTTATGTTGAATACAACCCATTGCATCAACAGGTTACCATGTCATGATTTTTACTAGTAATTAATCTGGAATTCTTTTTAACACAATAGCATTCCCTCTGTAATAAAAGCCCATGGAGCTCATCTGAAGGCTAGTGCAGCAATGGTCCGATTAAGACTTTATGACATCTTGGCTTTGTTACCACCAAAAACATATGAAGGTAATTGCACTGAATTGTTGCTTATTGCTCTTAATGCTTGGGTCCACATCCCTTATATTCTTATGTAGGCTTTTAAAAACTTTAAAGTAGTCACAAAATTGAAAATAGTCACAAGATTGGTAGCATTTCTATGAACAAATAATGTATTTTTCTAGAGGGCATCTAGCAGAATCACTGTGCTCACATATACACATCTGCACACCTGTACAAAGATTAGAAATAACTCTATGCAGTAATATTCAGTAATACATATACCAGCTATGCCTCTAAGCAATGGTCCTGGGTAACTCACAAATACAATGTAGAATTGTTAATGATATCAAGCAGCAATAGTCTCCCTGGCCTTGGAGTGCTGGGTGTCTAGTTAATATCTAAAACTTCAGATGTTCTCCAAACCCCTCTACTCTACACACACACACACACACACACACACACACACAACAACAACAACAAAGCAACAACGTAATAATAAAATATAAATAAATAAATAGAAATAAAAATGTGCACTCCACCCCCGAGACCATTCCATTATAACTATCCAACTCCTCTATTCTTCTGTTGACTGAACTCCAGCTTGGAGGATGATCGCTGGATAGTACCTTTGATTTCTTCAACCCCTGTCTCAGTGAGGTTCAGTTGGAGAAATAAACTATCTGGAAAAGCTTTTACTTTTCTTTCTGGTATTTGGCTGGTTTCCCACTAAATCTTAGTTTCTTGGCACTGTGCTCTTTGAGGGCCTCTCTGGTAGTACTATAGTAAAGCAGTAGAGTTCTCTTTGCCAGTGGACACTAGAATCGGTGCATCTAGCTGTACAAGACTACCTGACTTTTCAAGCAGGTGAATGTGGGCTTCTCATGGGCTATATCTTCCCAAGAATAATATTAGTACTGATTTTCCTGTACTGCACCATCCTTCTTTGGGAACTATTTCTGTTTCATATAATGGCTGTTGATTCACAGGATGTAAAATGTCTTATATTTTGACATTGTTCCCCTTCCAATTATTTTCCTTCAGGGTCATTTAATGCACTTCTTCGGGAGCTGGTGGCAGAATTTACTTTGACAGACAACTCTGCTAATACTACTACATCTCTGCTTAGATCACTTTGCCATTATGATGACAGTGTTCTTCTTGGCTCCTGGCTGCAGGAAACAGACCATAAATCAATTGAAGATCAGGTATCAAATCCTTAAAAAGCATTCCCCAAATGTCTAGTTTTCTGCCATTTTTCAAGGCTCTTGAGCAAATCCACTGTTGTTATTTTTACAGTGCCCAGCACATATTTGTAATACTTCTACTGATTTCTAAATATAGAGGTTTAAGTTAGACTCAGTTATAATTTGCATTTCCTCAGAGTTATGAAAAATGTTGCATCTTGTAGAGTTTGTGGGAGATGCCAGAACAGAGTGAACCCTAAACTTGAACTCTTAAGCATGCTATAGCAGAGCAGGGGAAGATGCCATAGAGTTAGAAAAGAATAAAGTCACATAATAAGCATGTTTTTGAAAAAGAGAAAAGGCAGTGGACCCTGCTGCTGTTGCTGCTCAAAGTATTACAGTAGGACATCTTAATAGTATAGTCATGGTGTGTGTTTCCTTCTCATATTTCCAAATGAAACACTTATGTGAGACTGCTTGATCTGTAACTGCCTTTATCATGTGAGTTCTGTGCAGTACTGGTAACCACGTGACTGGGCACAAGCAAAGCAATTTTACTTGAATTATACATACTGGCTTAAACCTTCCATGAATGTATTTAGTTTGATGAACTGAAGCTCCTTCCATTAACACACTCATGGAAGAACCCATTCCTTGAAAACAAGCATCACAGTTCTAAAAGCTAGGATCCATGCCTTAGAGTTGAATCTCCTTTTTTGTCCTTGAAATAATGGAGACACTGCAGAAGTATATAGGTTCCCTTGAACAAGAATAATTTAGAAACAAAAATCTTTAGAAAATGTATAATACGGAGCGATAAATGTTACATGTTTATCATATTTCAAGTGTTCTGATGCTTTACAGCTCCAGCCAAACAGTGCCTCTGGAAGTGGTGCTCTAGAACATGATCCATCTTCCATTTATTTGCGCATCCCTGCTGGTGAAGCTGTTCCTGGTCCTCTTCCTTTGGGAGTGTCAGTCATAGATGCCTCAGTTGCTCTCTTTGGAGTGGTTTTCCCTCATGTTTCCTACAAGCACAGGTCTGTTTATAACCAGGGTGGCTAACCTTTGTTGGCCTTAGAGCCACAGTGACAACCCTCTTGAACTTACAAGCCACACACATGCATACACCATGCAAATTAGCTGAGGAGTGTCATTATTGCCGCCTCCTCTGCTCATCAAATGACCAATCAAATGACTGAAAAAGGCTGACTTGTACCAGTATTCAGATCAGGGAACTCGACTTTGCTCAATGTAGCACTGTCTACTTTAATTTTTGTTCTTTTTGCTGCTGCTACCAAAATTAGTAAGATCCCAGGGCCAAGGGGGCAGATTAGGGCCCCTGAACCTAGGTGTAGGCCCCCCAGCAAAATCTGTGAATATGTCATTATAGTGCTATTTAATTAAACAGTATCAAGGCTTAAATCCTATTTAAAAGTTAGCTATTAAGAAATTTTTCCACCTTTTAAAAAGTTTGTGTTATCTTTTTGATTTATAATCTGCTTTATAAAGCGTTTATTCAACACTTACTGTTGTGTTCACGCAACGTAATGTTTTCCCTCCTCCCTTCTTTCCTCTCTCCTGCAATGCCACACCCTCCAAAATCTTCTCCAGAGGGTTGAGGTGATGTTAAAAGAGGAAGGAAAGTCACATTATGTAAGTGGGGACAGTTATTGCCAAGCCTAGTTTTGGAGCTTCTGTATTGTAGCCGCAGCAGCAACGCAATCAGCAGCTTGCCTGGTGAATTCATTTGATGGCACTGTTAGATGAACAAATAGTCCAAGAGCAAATTTCACTTGAAAGCACAGTAACATAATTTGAAGTACATTATATGACATTGTGGCATAGTCATTGGCCACACAGAGGCACCTTACAGTCATCACCTTTAAAGCCTGTGGGTTTTATAGCTCTTTTTCTATCATGTCAAGGAATATCTTTCTCATAATATATGTATTTACAGGCTACAGATGTTGGATCATTTTGCAGAATGTGTCAAGCAGGCAAAAGGTGTTCGTCAACAAGCTGTGCAGCTTAATATTTTTACTGCTGTTCTTAGTGCATTAAAGGTAAACCTGCTTTAAGAGGTATAATGCTGTCTTTTTGCTGTGTACTATATTTCCTATCCTACTGTAATTATAACAAGGCTGCAGTTGTGAGGCATAGAATGTTAATGTATGCATACAAATTCATTTCTGATCACTATTATTGCGCTAATATCAGTGCCCTCATATCAAAGGATCAGAGGTGCTGAGATAACTTAAAAATGGAGTCCATTAACACTGTTCCATAAACTTGTTATGTGAGCCTTAGTGGAAGACTTTGCACAATGATGTGTCAGAAGCTGTGTCATAGCATGCAAAATATGATGCATCACCTATGCTACAGTTTGAAGGTGTTGTGCCCTTTTTACTAAATCAAAAAAGCCCCACTTTGAGTGGAAGAGCACCTTTATGCTTCTGGTTATGTGACATCTGCCAAAACGTGTGAAAGCTTAAACCTTTCCCTGACTGGAAATGTGGGAAAGTCATTTGCAGAAACAGTAGTTGTGAATATGGGTATTATATGGTGTGTATCTGTAAATCTTTATATGTTGTCTTCTGTTAAAGGGCTTAGCTGAGAATAAAAGTACTTTAGGGCCAGAAGAAGTTCGCAAGTCTGCCTTGACACTAGTTATGGGGGCCCTTGACAATCCTAACCCCATTCTGAGATGTGCTGCAGGAGAAGCTCTTGGCAGAATGGCACAGGTGGTGGGAGAAGCAACTTTCATTGCCAGAATGGCTCAGTACAGCTTTGACAAGTACGTTGAACATTTTGCTTGAAGCAAAAGGAGAACTTTGTTTGCTACATCTCATTCCCCTGTGTGACAGGGGAGTATAGTTTTATATCGAATATAGTTTTTGTAGAATATAGTTTGTTTTGCTATGCATGCAAATATGAAAATGTGCACAGCTTAAAAACTGCATATAATTTCTAATTTTGGTTCTTAATACCTTAAGAAGGAAGTAACATGGCTGTAAGCATTTAAGTGTAAGGCGCTGATTGCTTTTGCCTACCTTTGAACTGTTTGCCTACATTTGAAATGTTTTCTCTTTATATGATCTTGAAAAATAATACAGTACACATTTAACTAGTGCACATTCAGCTTTATGGGTGTGGCAAAAAAGGGGGGGATGAAAATGGGTGGGGTTCCAGGAAGAATGACTTTGGCAATCCCACCTACCATTGAACCCAGTGGGTTTTGACTATATGTGATTTTGGCTTTAGGCACAATCTCTGGAAGGTAACCCTTACGTAAGTTGTGGACTTACTGTATTGGATTGTTTGTCTTTATCTGACATCAACAAAAATGGTATTAGCTACAGATTTAACAAAAATTAAACTTTACCAAAATCTTGATAGGCTGAAATCTGCTAGAGACGTCGTGGCAAGAACAGGCCATTCCTTGGCTCTTGGCTGTCTCCACCGCTACGTTGGAGGAATTGGTTCTGGGCAGCACTTGAAAACCAGTGTCAGCATTCTGTTAGCACTGGCACAAGATGGAACGTCCCCTGAAGTCCAGGTAAAGCAGATGTATAATATTCAGCACAGTATAATAAGGATTATACACTTTTTAATGCTTCATTCTGTATGCAGATGTTTTTAACAATATTATGAATGGCAAAAGAATCAGGCAGAAAATTCTGCAAACTTTTTTTAAACAAAGGTTTCTGAGCATAAGCACCCATGTTTTGTTGCTTCAACCACTTTTCAGTTATAAATAGCCATGCTACCTATTTGGTAAACAATCTGAAAATGTTTCTCTATAAGCGCTACTCTAAGCAGGTACCACGCACAACCCAGCCATACTTTATTTCTCTATTACTTTCTGTTCAACTGTTTCTATAATGAACTCTAGGTAATGTATATGATCATTGTGTGCCCCTCCCTTTCATACGTTCCAAGCAGTCCTGCAAGATAGAATTCTCTTCTAAATGCCTGAATTAGGAGACTGGACAAAGTAACTGGACACCCTCAATAATCCCCTTATACCTTTCTTCCCTCACCAGTGAAACCTGCTTGTATTCAGTCTCCTAAATCTTGTCTCATCCACACACTGTTCCAGCTGAATTAACTGATAGCATTCTACTTCATTTCCCTACCATGAAATTCTCAAATCTTTCTTCAAGTGGGCATACTTAGAAGTTACACATGCTTATTTCAGTATGGGGGAGCCTGAAAATTATAACACATAGGGTAAAAGCATAATGCTAAAAAATAAAATAAAAATACTAACAGCTTGTTAATAGATAAGTTTAAATACTGTTGCTGTGGATGAAGCACTCCATTATCAAACTCCTGAAGTCTCAGGGAATAAAAATGCCTTCATAATTTGGGTATGCCCACTATTTGTTGAAGGGACGTGGGTGGTGCTGTGGGTTAAACCACAGAGCTCTAGGACTTGCCAATCAGAAGGTCACCGGTTCGAATCCCCGCGACAGGTGAGCTTCCATTGCATGGTCCCTTCTCCTGCCAACCTAGCAGTTTGAAAGCACGTCAAAGTGCAAGTAGATAAATAGGTCCCTCTGTAGCGGGAAGGTAAACGGCGTTTCCGTGCGCTGCTCTGGTTCACCAGAAGTGGCTTAGTCATGCTGGCCACATGACCTGGAAGCTGTACGCCGGCTCCCTCGGCCAGTAAAGCAAGATGAGCCCCACAACCCCAGAGTCGTTCCGCAACTGGACCTAAAAGTCAGGGGTCCCTTTATTTTAACTTTACTACTTGTTAGTGTTTCATTAACGTTAGTGCTGGTGGTCCACGTCACAGAAAACTTAAACCATGTTGTGGGCCCTGATGGCTCTGCTTCCTCCCTTTTTAGTTCTGTGGGACATGAGCAGGGTCTGTGCTTCGATTTCCTTAATAATTGTCAGAAAGTGGGGCTTCAGAGTTACTTTTCCAAGCCTGAGAGAGAGAGAGATAATGTGATGAAGACTGGGAACCGCTGTGCTAAAGTGGCAACCGTACCCTACCATAGTCTTAGTGAACTGTGCCAAAGGTATATGACTAACCTGTTAATTATTCTTCCAGACATGGTCTCTCCATTCACTTGCTTTAATAGTGGACTCTAGTGGACCAATGTACCGTGGATACGTAGAGCCTACTCTGTCTTTGGTTCTCACACTACTTTTGACAGTGCCTCCATCACATACAGAAGTACACCAATGTTTGGGTCGATGTCTAGGTGCTATAATAACAACTGTTGGCCCGGAGCTGCAAGGTTAGTGTACAAAACAATAAAAATGAGGGCTGTAATCCTCCTGTTAAGTTGCGTGCACGTTATATTACACATTTTAAAAAATAAATCCATTTTTTTTCAACTTCCAAACAAAGATACCTAAGATTGCAGCCTTAAAGCAAAATCCTAGTCATGTTTACTCAGAAGTCGGTCCTATTGAGTTCAGTGGGACTTACTCCCAGGCAAGTGTGATTAGGATTGTGGCTTTAGTCCTGTTCCAGTCTCTCTCCATTTTATATCTTCTGCCTGAGGACATTCTGGTTGCTGGTGTGAATCCTAATGTAGCTGGTGGTGCTGTGGTCTAAACCACTGAACATCTTGGTCTTTCTGATCAGAAGGTTGGTGGTTCAAATCCTCATGATGGGGTGAGCTCCTGTTGCTCTGTCCCAGCTCCTGCCAACCTAGCAGTTTAAATGCATCCCAGTGCAAGTAGATAAATAGGTACCACTACAGTGGGAAAGTAAATGGTGTTTCCATGCACTCTGGCACTCCTTGTGGTGTCCAGAAGTGGTTTAGTCATGTTGGCCACATGACCCGGAAAGCTGTCTGCGGACAAATGCTGGCTCCCTCAGCCTGAAAAACAAGATGAGTGCCGCAACCCCATAGTCACCTTTGACTGGACTTAACCATCCAGAGGTCCTTTACCTTTACCTTTTACCTTCTGGTCAAACAGGGACAACCAACAATAATGTCCAGATAGGTGTGCTATATATAGGAGATGTGGGTGGCGCTGTGGGTAAAACCTCAGTGCCTAGGGCTTGCCGGTCACATGGTCGGCGGTTCGAATCCCCGCAGCGGGGTGAGCTCCCGTCTTTTGGTCCCAGCTCCTGCCCACCTAGCAGTTTGAAAGCACCCCTAAGTGCAAGTAGATAAATAGGTACCGCTTTATAGCGGGAAGGTAAACGGCGTTTCCGTGTGCTGCGCTGGTGCTGGCTCGCCAGAGCAGCTTCGTCACGCTGGCCACGTGACCCGGAAGTGTCTCCGGACAGCGCTGGCCCCCGGCCTCTTAAGTGAGATGGGCGCACAACTCTAGAGTCGGACACGACTGGCCCGTACGGGCAGGGGTACCTTTACCTATACCTTTACCTTTTGGTGTGCTATAAGGCTCCCTTGGCTTCGATTTCTGGTTCCTTTCCAACTTTCTCTTTTTTCTTATATTTTTATTTCTTGGAGTCTCAGCTGCTCTTTTCTTAACATTCTTATTAGTGACTAAATATATCTAGGCTGAGATGCAGTTTTCATGCTGCTGTTTTGGGAATGTTGGTGTTTTCTTGTCTTTTATATGGTTGCTGATATTATTATTTATTATTATTATTATTATTATCATCATCATCATCATCTACCTTGTGAGACCTATGCCCTATAATCAAATAAATAAAGCTTATAGCCTTGGTGTATATTACATTTTGAGGTAAGTGACAGGATAGAAAATTAAATGCATCCATGGAACTGTGACTGAAATAGAAAATTATGTAGATATTTTAGAAGTTGATTTGATAAATTTAAATTTGATAGGTAATGGAGCTACCATTTCCACCATCCGTTCCTCATGTCTGGTGGGATGTGCAATTACACAAGATCATTCAGACTCTCTTGTTCAGGCAGCTGCTATTTCCTGCCTCCAGCAACTTCACATGTTTGCACCACGACATGTTAACCTCTCCAGTCTCGTTCCCAGCCTTTGTGTGAGTATAAGCTATGCCTCTCATTATGTTTCAGTACTATAACATTTATATAGTTGGATACTTGGGGGTGGGTGGGTGAGAAATTTTGTCAAAATGAGCAGTTGTATTCTCCAGAAGTATAGAACACACAACCTTCTTCACGCCTTAACCCTTTCTCTGAACTACCTGACTTCTTAAATAGCCATTGTCCAACCAAATAGTTAAGCTCTTAAAAAATAATATAGGTTTCATTGCAGATTTTCAAGAACATACATACAGAAACAGACAGGCCATTCAGTTATAATCAGCTGTACTCACAAAATAGCAATAACTAATAACAATAAAGCTTTCAACCTAGCAATTACAGATCACATTGCCATTTCTCCCATGAGTATTACGGGAGATGAGTGGAGGAGGTAGAAGAGGGGGAGGGAATCAAATTAAATAAAGTTATATGATTCTTATGAAAAGATATGTAGATGTACTTCTTTCTTTTATTTATTTATTAATTGCATTCATATACTGCCTTTCAGCCAGGCATACAAGGCAGGTTACGGTTTAAAACATTCCTTCATTAGGAAGAATATATTTACCATAAACATTTGAATGTGTCTGTAAAGCATATTTAAGTTTGCTATAAACAGCAGTCTGCACTCGATAGTGGAAGCCGTTGATAACACATCATGTGAACTTCAGCTGCTCTTTGGTTTTCTTCATAGAGCAGTACTGTTCTTAGCTGATAGCATCATTCAGATCAGATGATGGTAAAATACTAACCCTAGTCATGTGTTCAGAAGAATGCATGAAGGCATTATTGAGGGGGAGTGGGCATGCACACACTAGTCAAAACAGACAAGTGCCTACACTTGAACTCTGGTGAATCTCTGGTCATAAAGAGTGCATCTCTGAAAGGATCACTTTATGGGTGCAAGGGCACAGCTATGGCATCATAAAGAGACATTTTAGGGGATGGGCTGTGGCTTAGTGGTAGAGCGCATGCTTTGCAGGCAGAACATCCAGGGTACAGTCATTGGTGGGGTTGGGAGAGACCATTGCCTGAAACGCTGGAGAATCACAGCCAATCACTGAGATAGATGGTCTATTGGTCTGACTCAGTACAAGGCAGCTTTCAATGACCCTATGTAACAGGGGCACCATCTGGGAGGCAGCAAGGGGCCCCCAAAAAATTCAAGGAGGCATGACACGTCAGCACGTCGCGGAGCATGCTCAATTGACCTTGGCATGCCCTGCGGCATGCACAAGTGACGTCAGCATGCCCCACAGCTCCGGCCCCCTCATTTCCGGGGACAAGCCAGTGTGCTTGTTATGTAAAGTGGTGCCTCTGATAGTGGAGGTAGAACTTAACCATCAGATGCATTGTTTCTTGAAGGCCTTGTCAGCATCTCTGTTGTCCACGTTCTAGTGTCCAGGCAGATAGACAAATTTCTGCCCTTATAAAGACTTTCAGGCTTGTGCAACCACAAGCCAAAGTTTCTTGAACAAAGGTTGCTTCTGTTATACTCCACAGCTTGCTGTGGCAATCACCTTTGTCACACACCTAGAAGCCATCCCATCCTAGCCACTACACGCTGCCAAATGACCCAAGTAATATGCACAAACAACACACATACCCTGGGCCTCCCTTTCGCAGCAATCATATTGAAATGTGTATTTGGTTTCATGTGAACGTAAGAAGAGCCTGCTGGATCAGGCCAGTGGCCCATCTAGTCCGACATCTGGTGTTCACAATAATGAACCAGATGCCTGTAGGAAACCCACAATCTGCTAAACTGCTGTTTTAATGGATTCATGTACTTTTTCAATTAATAAAAAGATTGGTTTACTGAGTAGCTAATTTTAATTAAGCAACAGTACCTATGGGTTCTTTCAAGTCACCCAGCTAGTTTGATTGCTGATTTATGACTCTGGTTGCAGGTTCACCTATGCAGCTCCCATCTTCTACTTCGTCGGGCTGCGGTAGCATGTCTGAGGCAGCTTGCTCAGAGAGAAGCCGCAGAAGTATGTGAATATGCCATGAGTTTAGCCAAAAATGCTGGAGACAAAGAAAATAATGGGATGAGTAAGTTTTGCTTTGCATGTTTACTTTCCTAAAGACCAAATGAAAACAGCTAATGCTGTAAACTTTTAAAGTGCATTTCCCATACTATATTTTCACCTGCATGTTGTCTGACTTCGTAAAAATGATATACATTTGTTTCATTCTAAAGTATTCACTTTTGACAGTTTTTCTCCAATGGTAGACTATGAAAGTGCACACTTTCCACATACGTTGGCCAGATTGGATTTGCCAGCATTTTGAATTGACTTGATTCTGTGTAGCAGAGCTGGGAAAGATGTCTGCCTAAAAGCTTCAAGAACTGAGCTCAAGGCCTATTGTAAATTAGACTTGACAGGACAAGGCTAGAGGTGCCTTTGTTCTAAGTTTGCAGAAAGCTTCCCTTCCCCGCCCCCCTTACATTCTGGTGGCTAACCTTTGGCCTTCCAGATAATGATTTACTGCAGCTCCCATCATTAGACATGCTTGCTGGGATTGATGAGAGCTGGAGCACAACTTCATCTGAAGGGTCACAAGTTAGCTACCTCTGTCTTATGTCCTAAGTATGTAGTGATACAGTTTTTGATTGGGTGACCTTTTTTCTACTGTCGGCCATCAATGCTTTTTTGAGTTAGACTAATTCATGCATATGTTAATTTATGTAAACCTTTTAAAAGGATTTGAATAAGTTGCCCAAATATGGAGTACTTTATTTTATATAAATGATGAAATATGCAACAACTTTGGATGGGCAGGTGTGTTTAAACAGAATTACATGACACAATGATACATAGGTTACTTACTGGTACTTCCCTAGACTACTAACACCTTAGTTTTTGCATCGTTGGTGTTTTATCATATTAAGTACTGCATTTTAATGCTGCAGATGTCATTGTGTTAGTTATTTGGATTATATGGAGCCATAGACTTTTAAGAAAAATCTCAAGTTGCTATTTTGATGAAAAGAATTCCTGTTAATGTAAAATGCCTTTACCATCTGTTTTGCAGATATGAATTCTTTTGCTCCAGGAATAGGCTCCCGGAGGGATATTCATGGCCGACATCAGGGAATCAATATCACAGAGACTGGACTTGAGGGAGTCCTTTTTGGAATGCTAGATCGGGAGACTGATCGGAAGCTGTGCTCTGATATTCATGATACCTTGGGACATATGCTTTCATCTTTGGCAGTAGAAAAGCTCTCGCACTGGCTGATGTTATGTAAGGATGTCCTTGCAGCATCCAGTGGTAAGTATCTGAAAATGACCATGTTTTGACTCTTGTAATTCCTTTAGAAGCTTTTTATTTAGCAGACTTTTCCATCAAGTATGCCTATGGCATTAAAGGAAGTCATGGTCCAGCCTCTACTGAAGAAAACCTTGTTAAACATCTTGGAACAACAATTGTCCAATGTCTAATATTTATCTTTTGGGTTGTTGTTGTTGTTTAGTCGTTTAGTCGTGTCTGACACTTCATGACCCCATGGACCAGAGCACGCCAGGCACTTCTGTCTTCCACTGCCTCCCGCAGTTTGATCAAACTCATGTTAAGTACTCTTTTGGGCAGTGGCGTCACAACGGGGGGCGGAGCGCCCCGGGTGTCTTGTCTGGGGGGGTGACAAGAAGGCACCCCACAGGGGCTCTCAGCGGCGCGAGCAGCCATCACTCCGCTGCGGCCGCATGTGAAGGATCCTCCATTCGAGGCTGCAGTTGCGAGCAGAGGATCCCGGCGCCATCCATACAGCGCTGGAGCGGCGCCGCCGGGCCCGGCAAACCACTATGTACAGTACATGTGCGGTTTCACTATGTACCGCACATGCACTGTACGTAGTGACGCTGCACATGCGCCCTACATAGCAACGCCCTGCCCCGGGTGCCCAGTCTTGTTAGATGCATAGGTCACGTAAGCAGTGAGGAGTGCCTTTTTCCAGCTATGACTGGTGCACCAACTGCTACACCCCCACCTAACAAAATTGAACCCTTCTATTCATGCTCTAGTGACCTCCGATAAGGCTACTGGAACATGCTGTAAGGACTAGATGCACAGTAATCTAACTGAGGCCTCATCCATCTGGAATTATGTATTATTGGAAGTCAATTTTCCCAGGCTGTAAAGGTCAGCCTTTAAAGTTTTATTTAGGTGCTGATTTGTGTTTTCACTAATACACGAGGGCCTCATAATTTCAGTGGAGCCTGAGGCATATTAGAAAGTCACTGCTACAGTGTTTTATAGGTAGCTTAGGAGGTGCTTGGTGTGTTGATAAAACTGTCTTCAGAAGATTCTTTATGAGCTACTAATATGCAAATGAAAGAACTCTTGAGTCACTGATCTGTTGATCTCAGTTTCTTCTAGGAACATTTCAAATAGAAATTGGAGCCAAGAACATTTCAAATAGAAATTGGAGCCTGGCTTGGAGCCAGGGTATGAATTGGGCTATTGACATCTCCTGAATTTTGTTAGCTTGTATTAATCAGTGCTGTGGAATCATTCTAGATTCTTGCCAAATATTTTCTTGTAAATATAGTGCCCTGCCAATATTTGTATCATAGGCCAAAAGAATTGTGGTGAGACTTTACATATGTTTTAAAAGGCCCTGATATTGTCTCGCTAGATTGATTTCAAAGCGCCATCTTCATCATTTTTGAGGTGTAAGCATGCATTTCTTACTATGTCTCTTTAGAGAAATACATTTTTGCTGTAAAATACCAAGATGTTTCTGGGCTTGATTGCGAAAAGAACTATAGTTCAACAAGTTTGCCACTGTCATTTCTTGCATTTGTTACCTAGTGTCAGTTTTCCCCAATGCAAGAATAAAAGGTTTGCTATTCTGATATCGGACTGAATTAAATTGATATGTCAGCTGATTTTCAGTGAGTCTACTCTAACTAAATTTAACTATTGTTCATAGGGTTTTAGTACTGTTGAACTGGTTTGGTATTTTTTCTGTAAAAAAGTCATACGGAAAGGTTTTGTTATGCTTTTTTTAAATAGCTTTTCAGTGAAAATGAAGACAATTTTATTATCTCAAGCCTCTAGGTGGATAATTTAATACTGATTCTGTTGTTTTATTTCTGGTTTCCTTTTAATGCTGCTTTACTTTGTGTTTATTATTGCATATAATTACATTTTATTCTTCTTGGGAGATGTCCTGCAAGTTGCTCTACTGAAAGCTGGGATAAAAATGTTTTAAATGAATAATAGATCCTTTCTTATTTTGCAGATATGACCACTACAGCTCCTTTGGGAGGTGAAAAAGATGAAGATTCAGAGAAAAAAGATGAAATGGATGATGATATGATGTTTACTACATTGGGTGAAGAAGACAAAACAAAGCCTTCTGTAGCTCCTCGCTGGGCTACTCGAGTATTTGCTGCTGATTGCCTGTGTCGAATTATCATGCTATGTGAAAATGCAAATAAAGCCCACTTTGATCTAGCTCTTGCCCGTTCTGCCAAACTCAGAAATCCTAAAAGTAAGAGAGACTGGTATCTTTTTTTCTCTCTGTGTGTGTGTTTCTTCTCTAGAATAATTACTTAATTATAGGTAACTAGAGCCCCTTATCTGATTCTACTCTAATAAAATCCTATAGGGTGGACAATTGAAAACTCAAGGTCTCTTAATGAGCCTCATCTCTGATCAGGGATTCAGTGTGTGTTTGTTGCCCATGTTGAGGTTTCAGGTGGCTTTTTCCTGCAGATGTAGACAGGTTTGCACTCACACAGAGAGGCTAAGTGTTAACAGTCCATTGATTCTGACATTTTTATGAGCAGAGGCATTTTTTTCTCCAGTGGTCATCCTTTTCTAAGATCGGCAATTAAGAGACAGTTGGAATGACCATTAGTCTGTGAAAAACTGTTGTGCCTTTTCATCTTGACATTGACTTGCTTCACCTTTTGCCTGTTGTTGCTGTTGAGGGCTCCTGGGGCAAGGAAAAGTCCATTCTGTCTTTGTGCTCACTCTGCTCCGGGTTGCCTTGTCAGCCAGGATGCTGCTGATATTTCCAGAGGAGGAGGAGAGTGGAAACAGCTGCTGCTAATTGACTTGCATTCCAGCCCACAGACTGAGATAGGAGGGCCAAGGAAGTGCAGACCTTTCTGAGGCTGCTGTGAAGGCATCACCACATTTTATTTTGTACTGTTGAATGTGCTCAGTAGGAGAATGTAAGTAATGTATCATAGGGTGGCAACAGGAATTATATATTCGCTGCCCAGAGTAAGAGGCTATGTTGCAATGCTTTTGTGTTTCAAAGTTGCTTAATACCAGTTTGGTCCTAACTGGGTGAGAGATGGAGTGATTTGGGAGTGGTTGTATTGCTGCTTATACAATACTGCATTACCCTAGCTGGAGGTAGGTGAATGAGCTGGTTGTAAACTATACTTAACACAGGCATATATTCTTGTAGACCAGATGTTCACTTTGTAATAAATAGTTAGGGATTAGCTGTGCATTATCTGTATGGTTGGTGGGAAGGCATGAGGTTTGTTTGTATGTGGATGGTTGCTAAGAATGTATTTGAGATATGCTGCTGTGGGGGAGTGTAGGTGCAGCTTCTATTTCAGGCATTTGTGTGGTTTCTAATGCTGTTTTGTAGGGGTTTGTTGTATTTTTGTATACAATTTTAGTCTGTAATTTTTTATGTTTGAGAATTTTGTATTTGATCTTCATGTACAATGTTTTATTTTGACATTTTGTTATGCTTTACGTGATGTTTTAAGCTAGGTTGTAAACCACTTTGAGATTATTCTTATTTAAATAAATGGAAATCATTTAAATAAATAGTGGTAGGAAAACAAAGGAGTAAAAGGGAAAACCAGTTTGTAACCTGAAAGCTAAGCTGCTGTTCTGGGCATAGGCTGTGGCTACTCTTGTAAATATCTTGGAGCTTCAGTTGGTACATCATGATGACGTGGCTCCCTCCATTGGCCTAATATGTTTGGACATCGTTATATTGGTGTATTATGTATGTGTCTTGTGCATATACCCTTCTGATCTCTGATCTCTTATTTCATTTCTTCCTCCCAATGTGTAATTGAAGATATCTAGGGTGAATTAACCATTCCCTGTTATATCTGAACCAGGAAGCTATACTTACCAGATTTGGATGAAACTAGGGTCTGAAACCACAGTTTGAAGTTGGTTTCAGATCATGGTTTGGTCTAAGTCCAGTAAGCTCTTGTTCCTGGTTCAGAAATAATGGGAAATTGTGGCTAAATCGCCCTGGAAGTGTTCAATCACAGCATGACAAGAAGTGAGGCAGAGTGACACAAGGACAAAGTATGCAGGCACAACCTTCATGCAGGTTTTGGTTTAGTGAGCTGAGATATATATGATTGAATTGAATCTGAAATATTTTGTTCTGGCATGTTAGTATTTACCATGAAGTCTTATCAACAGGTGTTCATAATGATTGCTGACTTATATGTCCAGATTCAGATGTGGTATGCCTCCAAATACCTTTTCCTGGGTGCCAAAAGCAAGGAGGTATAGCAGCGGGTTGCAAGCAAAGCAGTTGACTTCAGATCCTGCTTGTGGGCATTTCAGAAACATCAGATAGGCTGCTATTGATAATATGGAATGTAAAAGAATTCTAAAAAAAGTATGTGATACTTACTACAAAGTTAGGCACATTTTACAATTTAGATGAAAATAATGTTGGACATTTTGATTATCACTTTTAAAGCCTGCATATTGAAATAGGTCATTCCACTGACTCCTTGTACTGATGATTTCTTTTAGATTAAATAAAATGGTAATAGAATTATCTGCAAAAATCCTATGCGAATTAAGTTTAACATTGAATAAATTGTGTGTGTGTGTGTGAGAGAGAGAGAGAGAGAGAGAGAGAGAGAGAGAAATGCAACAAAGGTGATGACTTTATAGATTGTTATATTTTTCATCTTTTCTCCTCCTGGCATTCTTTCAATAGATTTGTTTATGGTCTGAATTAAGCTTTTGTTTCTTGTGTGAATGAATTGCTCCTTTAATCTAAAATATCCAATGGGTGAACCTTAGAAGTGATCACATGCTCTGTTGTAAACAATAGGCACTGTGAATTTGCTAACTGCAGTTTAGATTTTCCGTAGATGCAATATTATTATCATTTCAAATCCTATTTTAAGGAGAATAGTTCAGAATTCATGAGAGAGATTGGCTCTTAAGGTGGTACTTTTGCTCATTTTTTCTGTTTTGCTTTGCTTAGACTATATCATATGTCTATATTATAATGTAGTTCTTTGGGGTGAAAGATGTGTGTAAGTTTGAACCACGGATGACTTCTGAAACAGTCTGCTTTTTCTTGTGTCTATTTTCAGATGACCTTCTAGTTCTTCACCTCTCTGATCTTATTCGCATGGCATTTATGGCTGCAACTGACCACAGCAACCAGTTGCGAATGGCTGGTCTCCAAGCACTTGAAGACATTATCAAGAAATTTGCAGCAGTTCCTGAACCAGAGTTTCCAGGCCATGTGATTCTAGAGCAGTATCAGGCTAATGTAAGCTTATCTATGTGCTTATGCCATTGCAAAAAATCAGTTGTGAAATGAGATGTATCCCAGCTGAGAATCGTCTTGCTTTTGATGGGCATGAAGAGATCCTGTTTGTCACAGGTGCTCTGTAGGCATGCATGAAGCTCTCATACAGGTCTAGGCTCATTATATGTGAAGATTTACAGCTCCCCCTTTTAATCTTCTTAACCTACCAATTCACATTTGGAAAGTCATAAAAGTTGAGTCAGTAGCCATGGCTAGGTCAGCCTGAATGGTGATGAGTAATTGACTCCCTTTCTCCATGATTTATAATATTACTACAATCAGTATTATCTGCCATAGCAATTGCAAAACGAAACTTGTGACTTCTTTGGAGACGCATTTGCTTCTAAAATTAGATGTCTTTTTCCACTGAAAAAAATGATTAATAGTGTCTGTCGTATAATTATGACAGTTACGAAGGTTAATTAGCTGCAAAGGTTAATTAATGCAAAGTGTCTAAATTCCTGTTACAAGAGTGGGTGTAGGGCATGGTTTCATCAATTTTCCTTTCTCGCACAGGTTGGAGCTGCTTTAAGGCCAGCTTTTTCACAGGACACCCCTTCTGATATTACAGCAAAAGCTTGCCAGGTACAAAGAAAATCATGGTTGTCAGATGGAGGGAGAAATGAATACTAGCCAAAACTGGGAGGGCGCATCATGTTAAGAAAGCATCTTATCTCCTTGTGAATGAAGATAGGCCTGCGCTGGCTCTTAGGACTGGCATTTTTTAAAGGTTTTTGCAGTTAATAGTTAGGTTTTGCAGTTCTTCAGAGTAGAGCCAGCTTGCAGCTAGTTGCGCAAGAAGGGGCGCGGAGTGCAAGAGCAGAAGACGAGGAGGAGAGGAATGGAGCGTGGAGCAGGAACAGAAAAGCAGGCAAAAAGGGGGCAGTGGGAGAGGAGGAGAGGGTGCCTGGGCCAGTCTCAGATAGTGCAATGTCTTGCACAGGGTCTGTGGAGGTGATGTGAAAGACTTGTGCCTGAGAACCTGAAGAACCACCTGCCAATCAGAATAGATAATACTGGGATTTGATGTGCAGTGATCTGACGTGGTATAAGTCATCTTCCTTTGATCTCTAGCCAGATAAGGGTTATAAACCCTCTGCATTGTTGCCCTTTCTTTGCCCTATGTGCATTTTCTGGTAAGATCTGCTCAGGGATGCCCACCAGGGACGGGATTGTATGGAGGAGGCATACAGTTCCTTGATTTATTAGGAGAATGAGGAATCCAGTTATATAGCAAATTCATGGTCTGACTTCATAGTTATTTTATTGTGTTCAGTCATATAAAGGGCAGAAGATCCTTAAACACCACTGGATTTCCCTTTAGCTAGCAGGTAAACTGTGCTTAGGATGCACCATCTGATCAAGGAAGGAAGAGATGCTTTGGAAGTAGGCTGCTCCCATGATGTACTAGTTTGTGTCTTGCTTTCATCAAATACAATCACAAGTGTTTATGCTCCCTTGTTATTTGTCTTCAGGCTTGTCTTTCTGGTTGTCTTCTTCCTTTTCACTTCTGTTTTATATTTTGTCTGATCTTTCTGGTTTGCCTCGTTATCTGGTTTATTTCATGTTTTTTTTGAATCTACAGTATCATGTTCCTTCTCGGTCCACCCATCATTTTTGGTTGCACAGTTTCTCTCCTGTTCACCATTTTGTTTCTCCACACTTTCAAAAAGCATTTTAAAAACTACCAAAAAAGTTCCTTTCCCCCCAGTTTATTGTTCTCTTTGTTCCTATGTTTTTGGCCATCCCCCCCCCCTTTGCCTTAATTACATGTGGTAAACTTGGGCTCTTGTTCCCCATAGTACCTAGCTAGTAGTGAATTGCAGATAGTATTATGTAATGCAGTCACATTAATGTTTGTAATTAAAAAGAACCATGAAAGTGTTTCTTAAAACAATTTGTCAGAAAATATTCCTGTGTTGAAAGTTCTTGATTTTTTCTTAAAACTTCTCTGATCAATGCAGATTTGTATAACTCAATTGTATTGGAATTTCCCATGTTATCATTTGGACATTTTGGTGAGGTGGGCTAGGTTGAGAAATGGAAATTAGCTCTAACTCACGCTCTGGTCTTCATATTTGGGTGGAGTTTTGAGCCTAGACCAAGACTGACTGGTTCTCTGTGTGGAGGAATGCTTTCTTAAAAGGCAAGCTTGGCTGTTTATATTGATTTTTAGGTGTGTAGCACCTGGATTGGAAGTGGAGTAGTAAGCGACCTTAATGATCTTCGCCGTGTTCACAACCTCCTTGTCTCTTCACTGGACAAAGTGCAAACAGGCAAGGGGTCTTCTAGCCAGCTTTACAGGGAGAGCGCTACTACTATGGAAAAACTGGCAGTACTCAAAGCTTGGGCTGAGGTAAATGTTTAAGAATAATAATATAAAAGCAGTTGCTTATTCTTGCTTTTCTGTGGAGTGGAATGCAATAGATGAAAAAATCAGTTGATCTGATATATTGTTTATTACACTGCACGGAAGACATGTAGTAACTTAACAGAGTATATAATACAGGTTGGGTTGCTGCTGTTTGTAAACATTCCAATAATATTCTTCAGACTTTGAATGCAAGACAATGTATCTTGAGGTTATTTTTAAAGGTTTCTAGCTGCTACTTGAAATGTCTACATAGAAGTTAACATATGAAGACATAAAGCGATCCATTTATTACATAGAATTTCATTGCATATAAAAATAAAATAATATGTGAGCTAGCATGATCCAGTATGTGAAGTGTTGAATTCAGAACTGGAAACATTCTAGCTCAGGTGTAGACTTGTTGTATGATCTTAGATAAATCCCTTCTCTCAGCCTTCCTTGCCTCTAAGCAAAACAATGTCAACAAAACAGTGAACTACTTGCCAGGATGAATGGAAGGAGGTTTATGAAATCAGTTTTTCTGGTAAAAAATGGTGAAACAATACTTTAATTATATGAAGTATTTCTGCTGGTTTTTATATTTGCATAAGACACTTTATTAACATGTTATTTTGTGGTATTCCCTAGTGTTGCTGGCATCATCAGCCAAGTTCTCTTCTTATTGTTTATAACAGGATATATTCAGTTGGAGGAATTCAATATTGCACTAAGGCAAATGTTCCACTAGTACAATCATTTCAGCTTGCCAGTTCTAGGGGTTCTTCCAACACAAACATCCCAAGCCATGGGAAGCATACAGTGGGGAGGAGAGGGGCGAAAGCCCTATTGTGCAAGCAGAAGTCCTTGCACAGGGCTTCCAGTCAGGACTCGTTAAGTGAACTCAGTCCAGGGACTTTGAAACATACAAAAGTTCTCTGGATCATGACTTTTCAACACCTTGAGGATATATAGTACTTTTAAAAAAGGTTTGTTAAACCTTATGGGTTTGAGAATGGGGTTGAAAGTGTGCTGCAGAATTAATCTTTCTGACATACAATTTGGGTGACCGTTTTAAGAGGTTTGGGTTTTATTAGTGCAAAGAGCCTAGAATTTAAGGGAACATATATTTTAAGGATGGGTTACATTAATGACACTTAATGGCACACAGAGAAGCTTTATTTGTGTTGTCTGTATATGCTTGTAATACTTTGCATGGATCTTTATCTAAAGGTGTATGTTGTAGCTATGAAAATTAAAAAAGAAGCAGAAACTAAACCGAAGAAAGCAGTGAAGAATGATGACGATGACGACGATTATAGCACAGTAGATGAACTGCCACCGGACAGTTTAATAACACTTGTGCAACCAGAGCTGCCCACTCTCAGCCGCCTCTGGTTAGCTGCACTTAAAGATTATGCTCTTTTGACTTTACCAGCAGAATTTGCAAGTCAACTTCCTCCAGACGGTAAGCTGTTAATTTAGTTTAGAGTACAGTTATTATAATAGTTTTGACATGTGGGTAGAAACTTTAAAAGACCAAGTTTAGGAAGGCTGAACAATGTCCATACCCTTGTTTTGCCATCATTTATAGGAAAAGACACAACAGCACATTCCCAATGCACAAAGCATGAGCCTAATTTCCTTAGCTCTGGAGCACTTGAGCCAGAGTTGGAAGGTTTCGCTGACCATGGTTAGGAAGCTGTCTCGAGTTTGTTTTTTCATGTTTGCAGTATCAAATAGTAACATCGAATGTCTGAATGAAATCAAACAGATTGTTCATATCGTCCTACATAACCTCAAACATAGTGTTCTTCAGTAAATTTGGTTCCTGCAATAATATCTGAAATGGAGTGATAAATGAACAATTCATGGATTTGTAATATATGAACTAGCCCAGGATGCCATGTTTCTGGCAGTGGGACGGTCAGAATGATAGACTTCACTGATAGTGAGCCACCATGTGAAGAATTCTATAAGCATGTGAGTTTGGGCCTAGTTTGCAGAGGCATGTTAGCAGAAATTCTAAGATGTAGTTGATATTAGCAAAATATTTAAAATGATAATGCACTTTTTACTCAGTTCCTTTCTGCCTCCATCGTCATGCTGAAATCTAGTGTAATATTTTGCCTGACAGGTGGAGCATTTTACACTCCAGAGACAATTGATACAGCTAGACTGCATTACCGGAATTCATGGACCCCAATTCTACATGCAATTGCACTGTGGTTGAATAGTACAGGATTTAATGCTTCTGAATCAACAGAAGATGTGTCGGCAGCAATACCGAATCCACAGAAACGTGCCACATCCATTATGTTAAACCCAGCACCAGGAACACCACCATCCACCAAACCTTTGCAAGAGATAAACAAAGATCGAATGCATTTGATTTTGGGTAATATGTTGTGTGGTTGTTTCAGAATTCTGTAGTGGTGCTTTATATCATCAGGTAGCAATATTTCCAATTTTAATGGACTCTAGCTTTGTGACAGCACCAGAAACAGAAGCATTCTAGCTTTCAGAACTCGGGATGCCTAAGTGTTTGTGTTTCAGCCTGAGACTCTTGACTTGCTGATGGCTGCAGTAGTATGGTGCACAGTCATCTCATGTAAAAACAATTAAAACTAGTGTTTTATGTATGCACAGCAATATGCAATAATAGTTTTTTAAATACAGTAAACCCTTTACTAGTCACTGTTGTTCTGTTTCGTCTAAAATCTAAAATAATTTGCTTTTCAGGTGTTAGTATACAGTTTCTCTGCTCTCCACGACCAGAAGAGCCTGTTGAACATGTTACATCCTGTTTACAAGCTCTGCACACTTTATTGGATTCCCCTTGTGCTAGAACCCACATTGCTGAGGATCAGGTATTATCACTGAAGTCTATAACTGCAAACTAGGATAGCCATCTGATTATGCAAAAAGTAAAGCAGATTGCTGGAACAATAAATTAAATGAAGGTTTCATGTATTGGTCATGGAATGGAAAAGTTTGTGAAATTGACAAATTGATTAACATTGACTAATATGTTTTGTCCTGATTTTTCTCCATTTAAATATTAATTATGAGGAAAAAACAGAACCAAATTTGTACTTTCAACCTTTTATTCAATAAATGCCAGCTCGGACACACTGAAACAGGTGCAGCGGTGTGAACCTAATGAACATTTGGGCAAAAACTAATCAAGTTAGCTGAGAGAGTTAAGCATATCGGAATTAAAAATGCTTAACTTTGGCTGAATGATGATAATAATAAATAATAAAATTTTATTTATATCCCGCCCTCCCCAGCCAAAGCTGGGCTCAGAGCGGCTAACAACAGTAAAATGATAAAACATTCTAAAATCATTTCATTAATTCAAAACAAATTAATGGCAACCATTAGGCTAGAGTTCTGTGAGGATTGCCAAAGGAGGGAGTCAGGCTGTGCCCTGGCCAAAGGCCTGGTGGAACAGCTCTGTCTTGCAGGCCCTGCAGAAAGATGTCAATTCCCGCAGGGCCCTAGTCTCTTGTGACAGAGCATTCCACCAGATCAGAGCCACAGCTGAAAAAGCCCTGGCTCTGGTTGAGGCCAGGTTGATGCATATGGTTGCATGCATCTGGTTTATGCATTTGGTAAGTGCTTTATTTAAAGTGGTGAATGCACAGAATACAGTGGTACCTCGGGTTACATAGGCTTCAGGTTACATACACTTCAGGTTACAAACTCTTCAAACCCAGAAATATTACCTTGGGTTAAGAACTTTGCTTCAGGATGAGAACAGAAATTGTGCTCCAGCGGCGTGGCGGCAGCAGGAGGCCCCATTAGCTAAAGTGGTGCTTCAGGTTAAGAACAGTTTCAGGTTAAGAACTGACTTCCGGAACAAATTAAGTAGGTAACCAGAGGTACCACTGTAAGTCTTTCAGATGTAGATTAAATGAGACATAAGGGATTACAGCAAAGTAGGATAGCTTTATTATTAAAGCTTATGATCATATGCAACTTTGAAAAAAACTTTTTTTCTTGCTAGCTCCTTGGTGTTGAACTTTTGAGTGTGCTGCATCGACTCCTCTTGACCTGCAATCCTCCTTCAGTCCAACTGCTAGTTACTGGTGTTGTGCAGCAGATTGTAAGAGCTGCTCAAGATCATCTACAAGAAAAAAGAAACACTATGAGTGAGATATGTTACCTTAATTTTGGGTTTCAGAAATAATGAAGTATATTAGAACAAAGTTTTGTTTGTGAAGATGGGATATTTCAAACTGTATCTTTCTTCATCCTATTTATATTCATTTTGCACGCTTAACAAACCTAAACTAAGTTGAATCATTTAGTATACTTTGATGCATTTCAATAACACAAGAGAATCAAAATATTTCTATATTTCCTTACATTTGTAAAAGGAAACAGCTTTAACACTATTTCACTTGTTTATAATAATCATAATCATAATCATAATTTATTATTTATACCCCGCCCATCTGGCTGGGCTTCCCCGGCCACTCTGGGCGGCTTCCAAAAGAATATTAAAATACTGTGATACATTAATAGCTTCCCTAAACAGGGCTGCCTTCAGATGTCTTCTAAAAGTCTGGTAGTTGTTGTTCTCTTTGACATCTGGTGGGAGGGCGTTCCACAGGGAGGGCGCCACTACCGAGAAGGCCCTCTGCTTGGTTCCCTGTAACTTGGCTTCTCGCAGTGAGGGAACCGCCAGAAGGCCCTCAGTGCTGGACCTCAGTGTCCGGGTAGAACGATGGGGGTGGAGACGCTCCTTCAGGTATACTGGACCGAGGCCGTTTAGGGCTTTAAAGGTCAGCACCAACACTTTGAATTGTGCTCGGAAACGTACTGGGAGCCAATGTAGGTCTTTCAAGACCGGTGTTATATGGTCTCGGCGGCTGCTCCCAGTCACCAGTCTGGCTGCTGCGTTCTGGATTAGTTGTAGTTTCCGGGTCACCTTCAAAGGTAGCCCCACGTAGAGCGCATTGCAGTAGTCCAAGCAGGAGATAACCAGAGCATGCACCACTCTGGCGAGGCAGTCCGCAGGCAGATAGGGTCTCAGCCTGCGTACCAGATGGAGCTGGTACACAGCTGCCCTGGACACGGATTTAACCTGTGCCTCCATGGACAGCTGTGAGTCCAAAATGACTTCCAGGCTGCGCACCTGGTCCTTCAGGGGCACAGTTACCCCATTCAGGACCAGGGAATCCTCCACACCTGCCCGCCTCCTGTCCCCAGAAACAGTACTTCTGTCTTGTCAGGATTCAATCTCAATCTGTTAGCCGCCATCCATCCTCCAACCGCCTCCAGACACTCACACAGGACCGTCACCGCCTTCGCTGGTTCTGATTTGAAAGAGAGGTAGAGCTGGGTATCATCCGCATACTGATGAACACCCAGCCCAAACCCCCTGATGATCTCTCCCAGCGGCTGCATGTAGATGCTGAAAAGCATAGGGGAGAGGACAGAACCGTGAGGCACCCCACAAGTGAGAGCCCAGGGGTCTGAACACTCATCCCCCACCACCACTTTCTGAACATGGCCCAGGAGGAAGGAGCAGAACCACTGTATGACAGTGCCCCAGCTCCCAGCCCCTCAAGACGGTCCGGAAGGATGTTATGGTCGATGGTATCAAACGCCGCTGAGAGATCCAGCAGAACTAGGAAACAGCTCTCACCTTTGTCCCTAGCCCACCGGAGATCATCAACCAGTGCTTCCAAGGCAGTTTCAGTCCCATGATGAGGCCTGAATCCCGACTGGAAGGGATCCAAATGGTCCGCTTCTTCCAGGCGTGCCTGGAGTTGTTCAGCAACCACTCGCTCAATCACCTTGCCCAAGAATGGAAGATTTGAGACTGGGCGATAGTTGGCCATCGTGGCCGCATCTAAAGATGGTTTTTTAAGAAGCGGTTTAATAACCGCCTCTTTCTGCCTTACGGAGGGAAGCATTCACCACCCCACGAAGCCCATCGCCCAGCCCTTCCCGGCTAGCTTTTATAAGCCAAGATGGGCAAGGATCAAGGAGACAGGTGGTTGGTTTCACTCGTCCAAGCAGCCTGTCCACATCTTCGGAGGTAACAGATTGGAATTGATCCCACGCAATTTGACTACACAGGACTCTAAGCACTCTCCCGCCCCGGCCCTGCTCCCACGGTGGCGTCTACCTCTTCCCGAATCTGAGCGACTTTATCTGCAAAAAACTTTGCAAAATCATTGCAGGAGATCATGTGGCCCGTACTGGGCCCCGATGTAGCAGGTGGTTCCACTAAATAGCGGACCACCTGAAAAAGTCTCCTGCTGCTGTTTTCTGCAGATGCAATAGAGGCGGTGAAGAAAGTCTTCTTCAACGTCGCTATCGCCACTTGGTAGGCTCGACGTTGAGCTCTAGCCTGTGTCCGGTCAGCTTCAGAATGGATCATCCGCCACCGGCGCTCTAGCCGTCTCAACGATTGTTTCATTGCCCTCAGATCCGTGGAAAACCACGGGGCTGTCTGGGCTCCATGCAATCGGAGAGGGCGCTGATAGCATAAGCACTTGTGTCACCTTTGATTCTGTATGTACCACAGTTTCTAACAGTAAACAGAGGCTGTCTAGTTACTAAATATTAATGTATACATTTTAAACAGTTTTATTGTTGTAATACTATGTAGCTATATTTATACTTTCAGCATTTATTATGCATTATTTTGAATCCCTTTCTACATGGTCATCTGTGTATTCCATATGATAGTCACATTTTTAATACATACTGCCTTTTATGTTCTTATTTTGTAGATGAAGAAGATGTAAAAGAAAAAGACACTAGTACCATGTTGGGCGAAGGAGGAGAAAGTGGGGGTCTTGTGCCAGGAAAATCTCTTGTATTTGCTGCCATGGAGCTCCTAATGTTTATCCTAGTACGACACATGCCACATCTGAGCACAAAAATGTCAGATTCTCCGAGTCATATCTCCAGCAGAACCCAACAGCTTCCAGAAGAAAGTGCTCGTCTTGTAGCTGCCACAATTGGAATTCTGTCTGACCTGCCCACTCTCTGTTCCCCAGCTGGTAATGCAGTAGATTTTTCTTAAAGATCTTTCTTTAAGAGGTTTTGCAGAAAGTGTATCCTGGATAGTGAAATGAAAGCATGACAGGTTGAAACCTGTTTTTAAAATGTGGAAAGTGTTAGGAGAAATGTTTATGATGGTGGCACAGACAAGCAAAACAGGCTTTCCCAATCAGCATTGTGTTGGCTGAGGCTGATGTGAGTTGTAGTCCAAAACATCTATTATCTATTAAATTTGTATACCACCCGTCATCCAAAGATCTCAGGGCGATTCACAGCATAATCCCCCGCCCCTCAGTGGTTCCTTGAAGGGACAGAATTTCCATTCCTTTAGCACTTGTTATCCCCGAACTGCACGTCAGTTTATGGAGTACCTTTAAACCTCAGAGATTTGCTTCAATAGAGCATTCTTGAAATCTGTACGCATTCATTTCAATAAACGGAACCCAGAACTTATTTGGTAAATGAAAAAATGATAGGCAGCTTTGAGTCAGATTTTTAACATTATAGCCATGCACAATCAGGAACGGCTGCTATTAGGATGTAAAGGTAAAGGTACCCCTGACAGTCCAGTCGCGAACGACTCTGGGGTTGCGGCACTCATCTTGCTTTACTGGCTGAGGGAGCCAGCGTTTGTCCGCAGACAGTTTCCGGTTCATGTGGCCAGCAGGACTGAGCTGCTTCTGGAGAAGCAGAGCAGCACACAAAAACACCGTTTACCTTCCCGCCAGAGCGGTACCGATTTATCTACTTGCACTTGATGTGCTTTCGAACTGCTAGGTGGGCAGGAGCTGGGACCGAACAACGGGAGCTCACCCCATCGCGGGGATTTGAACCTCCAACCTTCTGATCGGCAAGCCCTAGGCTCTGTGGTTTAGACCACAGCACCACCCACGTCCCCTGTTAGGACGTAGTTACTTCCAAAATGACACATATATGATACTTTAGTTTCACTAGGAAAGTGAAAGAGTAATAGAGTGCATAAGAAAAGTCCCACAGGAAGCCTGCAAGCAGGTGCTGAACGCAGTAGCAGTCTCTCCACTTGCGATTCCCATCAACTGGTATTCAGAAGCATATTTCCTCCAACAACAGAGGTAGAACATAGTAATCATGTTTACTTCTATAGTTTGATATGAGCCTCTTTCCCTTTTATTCCACAATGGTAGTCAAGGCGCCAGGACAGATTTGAAGCATCATGTGCAATGTTGTATTTTAACACGTGGTGTGGGATGGACACACAAACAAAATCCAGTGGTTCTGGAGTGCATGGATAGCTGTGTGCCTACAGTGGCTTTTCTGTTATATGACTCCGATATGCTTCGTGTGTAACAGTGGGTACTGCCCAGCAGATAATACTTGCTCATGTGAAACACTACATAGAATATAGAACTATGGATCATGCCTATGGTGTAGCATTTTGTTCTTACACTCATGTGCAAGAAAATATGTTTTTTATCTTTCAGGATGCATGACAATTTTGCCCACAGTCCTGTTTCTAATAACTCAAGTGTTAAAAGATACTGCAGTGAAAACAACAGGAAACCATGTCCCCCCGCCAGTCTCCGCAGCACTTCAAGGATTGAAAAGTATTGTAACTCTTCCAATGACAATGAATGAAGAAATACACAAACAGTGGACAAATCTTATCCGCAGTACCTTGGCCTCAATTTTGGAATACCCTCAGCCAGGTAATTTGCATACAAACACAGCTACTAAAAAAATAAGCAAAAGGGACTGTTCTCATAGGAACCAAAACTGGTGTACAGTGGTGCCTCGCAAGACGAAATTAATCCGTTCCGCGAGTCTCTTCGTCTTGTGGTTTTTTCGTCTTGCGAAGCACGGCTATTAGCGGCTTAGCGGCTATTAGCGGCTTAGCGGCTATTAGCGGCTTAGCGGCTATTAACGGCTTAGCGGCTTTAAGAAAAAGGAAACAAACTCGCAAGAACTCGCAAGACGTTTCGTCTTGCGAAGCAAGCCCATAGGGAAATTCGTCTAGCGGAACGACTCAAAAAATGGAAAACTCTTTCGTCTAGCGAGTTTTTCGTCTTGCGAGGCATTCGTCTTGCGGGGCACCACTGTACTTATTTCAATAATCATATTGCTATTTCTGTTAGATCTATAAAATTAAAAGAGAAAGGAATTAAGGATGCATATGGGGGTGTCCAAATCTTCTTTGGTGTATTAGTGCTTCTTTGTAGAATCCAGCATCCTCCTTTAATGCCATAAAAACCCCATGTTTGTTGAGTTTGAACTTATTCATATATGGCAAGAGTATTCGGATGCATGAGCAATTCAGTTCTTTTATTAACAAAAGGGGACTAATTTGACAAAATAAAAGTGTGTTGCATATTTTTAATAACAATAAAAAAGCAGAACAAACAGAGGTATACTGTATTATTAAATATATCAATATTTTTAACAACTACGTTATTGTGAGTCATTCTGTATGTTGCCTATATCTGTGGAATGTAGTTTTTAAAATCTCATGGGGATCAGAAAATCTTAAACCTGCTTTCCAGAAACATATCAAGTGCAATCCTCTTCCATGTTATATCATAGGGTGGTGGTGGTTTTTACCACAAAAAAACCTGGGCTGAAAGGGTTGTGCAATAAAACATTATTATTATTTAAATCAGAAATATTATGTTTATTTTCCAGTATTTTCTTACTTTGTAACTGAGCAGTTTCATTTTGCCTGTTTCAAAACCGTTTTAGTATAAGCTCTCATCCTGTTTTCACTGGATTTTTTTCAGAGGCCTCAAGGCCTATTCTGGATGAAGTCAGCATGCTTACAGCTATTGCACTCTTCCTTTGGTCTGCAAGCACAGAAATAATTGGAGTGCAGTCATTACAGAATGGCTGCATGAATAGATTCAAAATGGCACTGAACTCATCTGATCCTTGGGTGAGTATTCCATTTTCGCCCCAATGACCCAGCATTTATTAAAAGTTTACTCTCCCTAAAGCTACCATTTGTGCGGTTAAAGAAACCCTACATGTACTCTAATTCTCCCGTGCATGTAAGCTGTTCGCAAGTGGGACTTCATTTACACAACTTAACCTACATATAGCCATATATCAACATAAAAAACATTTCTATTTTGACTTCCGGTTCAAGATTGGTTAATGTGGTGTAACATTTTAACAAACCAAAGCTACCATCTTACTCAAAAAGACAGGGATTCACTTTATACTAGCAGTGCTTTCTTACAGCTTTTTAATAGTAGATAAGTGATACAGGACCTCAAATAGGTAATAAACGTGGGCTATTTACAATATAAAAGGTAAAGGGACCCCTGACCATTAGGTCCAGTCGTGACCGACTCTGGGATTGCGGCGCTCATCTCGCTTTATTGGCCAAGGGAGCCGGCGTACAGCTTCCGGATCATGTGGCCAGCATGACTAAGCCGCTTCTGGCGAACCAGAGCAGCGCACGGAAACGCCGTTTACCTTCCCGCCGGAGCAGTACCTATTTATCTACTTGCACTTTGACGTGCTTTTGAACTGCTAGGTTGGCAGGAGCAGGGACCAAGCAACGGGAGCTCACCCCGTCACAGGGATTCGAACCGCCAACCTTCTGATCGGCAAGCCCTAGGCTCTGTGGTTTAACTCACAGCGCCACCCGTGTCCCATATTTACAATACAGTGGTGCCTCGCAAGACGAAATTAATTCGTTCCGCGAGTTTTTTCGTCTAGCGAATTTTTCGTCTTGCGAAGCACGAAATCCCATAGGAATGCATTGAAATTCAATTAATGCGTTCCTATGGTCAAAAAAAGTCCAAACAAAGCCAAATTTGGTACAACAAGAGTTTATTAAGTGCTCTTTAAAGTCACACATACTGTAAAGAGCATTTCAAAAATTGAAGGAACAATAAATTAAGTTTCTAAACATGACAGAAAAACATTTAAAAATCAACAAAGTGTACAGTACATTTTCTAAGACTCTGGGGGACAACTCGAAGAAGGTTCCTCTTCCACTCTTTGCTTCTTGCTGAAGAACCCCCTCCTCAACTGTTCCCCCAGCCACCCACCACACAGAAATTCAAATCCAAAATCTTTTTTAAAAAACAGCAGAGTGGCCCAATGGTCACAGAAAATCATAAAAATGCAGGAAAAAAACCACAAGCTTCCAGATTCTTGCAAACCCCTCCTCAACTGTTCCCCCAGCCACCCACCACACAGAAATTCAAATCCAGAATTTTTTTTAAAAGACAGCAGAGTGGCCCAATGGTCACAGAAAATCATAAAAATGCAGAAAGAAAACACAAGCTTCCAGATTCTTGCAAACCCCTCCTCAACTGTTCCCCCAGCCACCCACCACACAGAAATTCAAATCCAGAATTTTTTTTTAGAAACAGCAGGGTGGCCCAATGGTCACAGAAAATCATAAAAATGCAGAAAAAAAACCACAAGCTTCCAGATTCTTGCAAACCCCTCCCCAACACCAAGTCCTTGAATTCCAAACACCCCAACCCAAAATCCAAAACCCCCCAAAAAAGTTTTAAAAGTTTAAAAGAAGTTTCGGAAAAGCTTCAAAAATCACCAAAGTCTTCAAAAACCTCAAAAAAGGCTACCACACCGCGTTCTATGAGTTGCTCCTCGAAGTCAAGTCGCAACTGTATTAACGGTGTTAAGAAAAAGGAAACAAACTTGCAAGACGTTTTCGTTTTTCGTCTTGCAAAGCAAGCCCATAGGGAAATTCGTCTTGCGAAGCAACTCAAAAAACGCAAAACCCTTTCGTCCAGCGAGTTTTTCGTCTTGTGAGGCATTCGTCTTGCGGGGCACCACTGTATAAAAACACAAAAATACTTAACAAACAAATAGTAACAGACAAAAACAGTACCGCCTCCCCACACATTTTAAAAGGCCATAGATTGTTTAATTAGCCAAAAACCTGGGAAAAGAAGAATGTTTGTTTTTTGCCTGGTGCCTAAATATATACAACGAAGGTGCCAGGGAAGCCTTCCTGAACATAAACCTGCCAATAGTGATCTAGGAACATTAGCAGTTGATGATACCATTTATAATAAACACAGAGAAAAATTTAGTCGGAATAGGAAATAATTCAGAACTTTAAAAAGACATTTTAGCTAATCTACTATTCGTCTACTAATTAAAAAAAGCTTGCCATGTTACTAACTGATTCCTCAGCAGTAAATGAAGTTTTACCATGTCTTGAATTGTGATTTTCAAATATGGAACAAAATCAATTATCCCAAATTATTCGCACTCTGTGTAGTTCCAGAGTTTGTACCATGACAGATACTGTTTATTAAACAGATGAAATGACCTAGGACATAATTACCAAGTAACAGTATTTCTTGACCATTTGAATTGCCTTGTTTTCACTTTTCTTTCATGAACCGTTATTAACATTGTGATGGTTTCACTACCAACCCTAAACTAACACAGCAATCTTTTTTTTATTGTGATTAGGTTCAAGCCAAATGCTACCAGCTTCTGCTTTCTGTATTCCAACACACCAATCGAGCCCTCTCAACCCCCTATATCCATTCGCTGGCACCAATAATGGTTGAGAAACTGAAAAGTGTAGAGATCAACCGCCCAAACAACAAAATGGAACTTTTAGCAGTCCAGGAAGGAATCAAAGTTCTTGAAACACTGGTAGCTCTTGGAGAAGAACAGAATAGTAAGTAGCTTGAATAATAATTCTCAAATTGTACAGTACCTGTAATAGTTCTTTTTCTAAAGCTAATTGTCACAGTGGGAGGAATGGTTTCATAGACGGTGGCTGGGGAGAGAAGGATTAAACCTACACCTGGTATTTAATTTTAAATACCATACAGCATGATTGCTAATCATGTCATTAATGCTTTGAAGATAGGCTGTAGTTTCCTAGTTCAATGTCACTGCTAACAGATCTAGTGGACTCCCAAAAGCAACATCACCTTCATTTTTAATGAAGAAAAATAAATGCTCCCAGGTTTGGAACACACTACCCTAGAATGGAGGGACACGGGTGGCGCTGTGGGTTAAACCACAGAGCCTAGGACTTGCCGATCAGAAGGTCAGTGGTTCGAATCCCCACGATGGGGTGAGCTCCCGTTACTCAATCCCTGCTCCTGCCAACCTAGCAGTTCCCGGTGGGAACCTAGCAGTTCCCGGCGGGATGGTAAACGGCGTTTCCGTGCGCTGCTCTGGTTCGCCAGAAGCGGCTTAGTCATGCTGGCCACATGACCCAGAAGCTGCACGCCGGCTCCCTCGGCCAATAAAGCGAGATGAGCGCCGCAACCTCAGAGTCGGTCACAACTGGACCTAATGGTCAGGGGTCCCTTTACCTTTACCTACCCTAGAATGTGGCATTTCCCCAAAGTAGTTTTTGGAAATTATGAATTTATAGATTATGGACTGTATCCAATTGTGTCCCTTCAATCACAGAAGATTATTTGATCCAGTAAAGGCTTCCATGAGTGGAAGAGTGAGTCAGCAAAAAATAGCTGCTCCCCTTTCCCACTGTGTGTCTCCACCTCTGCCAAGAAATACCGGCTCCAGAAGATTTGACTAACTCTTAGAAGCAGTGTAGGAGGAAGCACAGGCAGCTGCAGGAGAAATGGGGGAGGGTTGTAAAATTCACTTTCCTCCCTTTTCTGGTCCCGGGAGATACATTTCAATATATCCCAATCACCCTAGTCTGAATCTGTAATAGGCATGGAACTCTCACACTCTAAAAAGCTAACCTATTTGTTTCAATTGGTGAAGCGGATGTTGCATTATTGATTTTTAAAAACCAAGATGGCTCTTTCAATGAAAAGGAGCAAAGGCGGTCTGCACATGCAGATGGTTCATTTGTGCTTCAGAATGCACGCAGCAAACAAATCTGTAATAGTGCGGGTTACATGCTTTGTGATATGCTATGATAATTCAACAGAATCAAAAAGAAGATATAATAAATGCCACCTGTTCTTCTGCAGGTTATATATTGCTAAATGTAGTTTTATCCTATATCTGCCCCCATGGTAACACAGTACCTTAGGGAAACATTTGGCTGTTCTGGAACTGAGCACAGTGTGGAGTTGCGAGGCGGTCCTAAAAATAGTTCTTCGGCTTTCCTTTTTGGATTTGTATTAGTCAGAAATGGATTGAGATTTTGGAGTTTTTATTCTTTAACAGAAATAAGTGAACATGATGCTCTGAGTTCAAGTCCATAATTTTAAATCTGTTCTTTTTTTTTCTTCTTCTCCTTAGGAGTCCCACTGCTTGCGCTTCTTGTTCCCACCCTTATTTCTTATTTACTGAATGAGAATGCTTTCTCTTCTGCATCTGTGGTCTCAAAAGAACTTCATGAGTTTGCCCTCCAAGACCTAACACGCATTGGACCCCTTTATCCTCATGCATTCAAGACAGTCATGGGAGCAGCCCCTGAATTGAAAATACGGCTGGAAACTGCAGTGCGAGCAAGCCAGGCGAGCAAAGCAAAGGCAGCTGCCAGGCAACCACCACCCACAGTACATTCCACTCCAACAATTAAACTTAAAACTAGCTTTTTCTGATTTATTCTTATTGGAACCAATCATAAAATTGATCACCATGCAATATATCATTCCTTTTGTGTTGCTGAATAGCACTCTGTATTTTTGCATTGTTTGTCTGTGGCTATCCACTAAGGGTTTATGTTCCTAGGTGTGTGTTATAACTTGAAATCTGTGCATTTTAAGGGACGTAATATTATCTATATGTACATAGATTTTTATGAAATGGAATAAGTTTGATCATGCATCTGAGTCTGTGTTAAACTATCTCCTGTAACAAAGTGTTTTGTGTGTTACTTGGTGGCCTATATTTTTAGACTTTTAGAAATATCAGGTTCAGTGTGTGGTTATAAAAGCTGGGTATATATTTATTTTCCCTGGGCAAATTCACTGATGTGAGGGGGGGAAAGGGCAGGCCTGCCCATAAGGCCAGGTGTGGCAGTCGCTTTGAATGCTCCACTGCTAGCAGAAAAGCAGCACTGGTTTCCAGCAGCACAGGTAAGGGAGGCTTGTGGGGTGGCAGTGGGGCATCAGCAGGGTCAAGCAGCAAAACAGGAAGTGCCTTCCCTGAGGGGGAGAGTAGGAAATTTGTGTACATTAGTATTTATCTAGTAATGTCAGATGCGGTAACACATTTTTGTACTAAACATGCACATACACAATATGTCAAGCCTGTTATGTCATGTAAAAAAAAAAAAAGAACCACTGGCTATAGCCAGATTCGACAGGGATAGCCATATTTGTCTTGCTACAACAAAAACAAGAAGACATCTTTGGTATATTTTAAGACCAACACATTTATTGTAGCATAATATTGCATTTACCTAAAATCCAGTTTGTCAGATGCATGCTATGGTGGATAGATACCTCTTTGTAACAGACATAATGTGTGGATATAATTTACAAAAAATACACACAACATTGCAATCAAAACTCCATTGTGAAAAATACTTAATAGAACAAAAATGTGACAGAATTGCACTTCTTTTTGCCAAATGTTCCTGTCAAGACTACTATAGACCAAGATGACCCATGGAAAGACAAACAAGAGGCCAAGACCCTATGTTTCTTTTTTCCCATATTATTTGGTTCTTTACTAAAAGAGGTGTACTCTTAGGCAGCACGTTTATTGCCAATTATATGACACAAACACAGTCCACACTAGCAGCTTGTTATCTAGTACAGAAAGCATTTTCTATAAGGAGATAAACTTGATTTTCATAATACTTCTATGTCTTCTGTTAAAAAAAGGACCAGCAACTGAAACAATTTCACTGAACAACAGAATCTTCTGCTTCACAAAGGAGCCTTGCTTTCCTCTGGTAAAGCTAGTACAGGACCATGAAGTGAATGGGCAGTGGATGGTGTTCATTCTCTGCTAACACTAAGCCCCTGCTGTCTGAGCTTTCCACAATCTAGTTTGATCTTAGAAACATTTTCATGCTTCTGGTTGAGAAATGTCTGCGGGCCTCGCGCATTACGTAAGATCAGTTCTAAGTTATGGATTTTTCTGAAAGGTAGGGCTGTTTTGTTGTCATAGATTCCTGAACTGTTTGCAGTAATAGTGTGGGAGTTACTAGATGATCTTTATAACTAAAACAGGCTGGACAAGATATATATATATATATATCTTGTCCAGCCTGTTTTAGATCATATATATATTTTTAATGATTCTCAAAACTTACGGATCCCTGACAATTTCAAAAATGAAATTGTTATTACCCAACTAGCCTGATAATCTATTTTCATACTTTAAACATACTGAAAGTGTTCTATGAGAAATGTGAACTATTGTGACCCACAATGAAGATAAGAGATGGATGCAAACAGTGCTTGTATAAAAGCCAGCTGGCAGGGTTTTTTTTTAATATGCATAGAATTGCATCCAAACTGCACAAAGAATGCATGTAGGAGACAGAAGACTGGATATGGTTGTCACAGCAACTCCTGATACCAAAATAGTTTATTGGAAGGAGACTGGTTCATGACAGTGGTAGGCGTAATCTGCTGCCCTTCGCCATCTCTGGTGTATAGCTTTGGTCTGTTCCTTCTGATTATGAGACATTATTCCAACTCTGCAAGCTTCCTAACCAAGCTTCCTTCAAGTAGGATGGGGGGCAGGGCTTGAGGCTTATGAACACCCCATCCTACTTGAAAATCTCTGCTTGTCAGAGCTCTAATTGTGACAGCAAAGCACATACTGCAGTACTTAAGCAAACCAACTGTGACAGTAAACATATATTTTCTTAATAAGTGATCATTACATAATAATTGCAACTCTTTGAAGTTAATTTTGTTTTAAACTTTTAGGCTGTAGTTTTTTGTTTGTTTTTAGTCTAGTAATACCAGTTTTCCACTTATCTCAGTAAAACCACCCTATAAAGTGGGACTGGATGACTAGGAGAGGCTGACTTAAGCTGTGTCTTTGTTGGCACAAAAATCAGGTCAGTTTAACAATGATTGCACCATAATATGCAACTAGTTGGGATCTTCAGGAATAGTGTTGCATGGTCATCTTTAATCTTAGTCTCTAGATTCTAGAGTTAGATATTCCTGACCCAAAACCTCTGTGGTCCAATCCAGCGGGAAGTCTATTTCAACTCAAATATGCCCAATATAAATGGTGAAGGATCAAATTTTAAAATAAAGGAGGCAAACGAATGCGGGTGTCTAACCAATTACTCCCTGGAAGTCTCTTCTTTTTCCTCAGCTGAGCTCAAGAGCAGTAGTCTCTGCTGAAAAAAAGGCACTGCTAAAAGAAAGGCACAGAGCCACATCCTTTGTTACCTTAACAATGCTTAGCTAGAAGGCCACTATCACATCGAGAAGCGAGCCTGCCTGTTTCAGGAATTTGAATCCTGAACTCTGAATAGTTGCACTGGAGTGCAGAAGGAGTTAAAATGTAGTTTGCACACTTTTAAAATGTCTTCATATCTGGTAGTACACAAAGGATAAGCAAACCAGAATAGCTGTTATGAATACAACCAAGTTTTTTTAAAATGTAGTATTTCTTGAAAACAAGGTTTAAATTACACAAACAAATATTAGATGCTTTGAAACTGCTTTGAACTCAGTACTGCAGGAGGAGCTCAGTACTGTGGAGGAGGAGACGAATCCAGGAAATCAATATAGAGGAACAAAAGAAATAAAAATACCATAAGAATATCTCACAGCTGTTCTATGAAGAACTAACCCACAACCTGAAGGGTGGCTGATCTAATCAAAGAAGAATGTGAAATTCTGCATAGGATTAGTTCTCCAGACCTTCTCTTAGTCAAAGAAATGAACAAATACCGTATTTTTTGCTCTATAAGACTCACTTTTTCCCTCCTAAAAAGTAAGGGGAAATGTGTGTGCGTCTTATGGAGCGAATGCAGGCTGCGCAGCTATCCCAGAAGCCAGAACAGCAAGAGGGATTGTTGCTTTCACTGCGCAGTGATCCCTCTTGCTGTTCTGGCTTCTGAGATTCAGAATATTTTTTTTCTTGTTTTCCTCCTCCAAAAACTAGGTGCGTCTTGTGGTCTGGTGCGTCTTATAGAGCAAAAAATACGGTAACTAGTGAAGGTTTTCAGTAAAGCGTCTAGATTGGGCTGCATTGTGAAGGGTTATCCTTGTCAGGCTGTGGTTTAGTGGTTAGAGTGTTGGACTAGGAGACCAAAACGCAAAATCCTACTCAGTCAGGAAGTTCATTGGGTGACCTTGGCCCAGTCTTAGCTTAACTCACCTCACAGTGTTGTTTTCTGAGGAGAAAATGAGGAAGAGCCGAGGAGGAGAATCATGAAGGCCACCTTGAGCTTAGAGGAAAGGTGGATGTAAACACAACAAAGCATAGGCATCATTTATAGACTTGGCAATAAATGTCTTCTGTTTATCTAGGGGAAGAGAGGAATCAATAATCAAACAATGTCTCCATTGGACAGAAGCAGAAGCAGCTGCCTCAGGGAGTCAAGTGCTGGGACCAGGGGCGAGCTTATGAAGGACAAAGGTGTGCGCGCAGCTAAGTGGCCAGTCCTTCACCGGCAGTGGAGGACGCTGTTTCCGCTATTGCCAGTGGTGCAGAATGAGTCAATTCCCAGTTTGATCAGATACTGTACTGGAAAGGGGAGACCTCGTGTCCTTTGCCTCTGCTCCCATCAACACCACGCCGGCTCCAAACATCGCTTGTAGCAGTCGCCTCTTTTTTGCCTAATAGGACAAGCCCTGATTTTAGCTTCAAAGAGGCTCCTAGAGTATCGATAGGTTGTGTAAACATGGATCAAATACAAGCGTCTGCATAATTACTTTTGTAAGATGCTAGTGCACGTGTAGCCCCCCCCCCTTTTAACAGATGTTCGCATTTTAAATATCTAAAATCCCAGTGCACCCGACCGTAGACTATTCAGAAGTAGCATGTTCAGTCCTCAAGGAAACTTCAGAGCTTTTAAGTGATATTTTGGGACGGGGCTTTCGCCAGCATATCTTCCTTTCTTCCTGACCACGAACGATGCACAGTCAACTCTCTCCTGTTTGCAGCCATTTAATCCTGAGCAGAGAAAACCGTGCGGAAGGGCAGTTACAGAATCCACTTGCGACTTGCGACTAGCGACTTGCATAGAATAGCCTTCGGAGCCTCGCTCTCGATTCCAAAAACCGGACGGGAAACAAAACGAACTCCATTTCCCAGCATGCCCCGGGCCCGCCCTCTCAACGCTCGTTTCCCTCCCTCTGCCGTGTCCCTAGCCGGGCGCCGTAGCAGCCGGCGGGGGCGGCTGTCAGGCGTCTGACGGCGGGCAGGACGCGCCCAGTTTGTTGCTGCTTCCACTGAGACGCGGCTGCCTGACTAGCGGGGCGCGGGCGTCGTCGGCGTCGTCGTCAGCGGCGGCGGCTCCAGGGGCTGCCCGGCGGTGGGGACTGCGTGGCGGCCTCGGGCCGCGGCGACGGCTCCGGCCATGGACGAGCAGGCGGGGCCCGGGGTCTTCTTCAGCAACAACACAACAACAACGCGCTGCTGCTGCCGCCGCCTCCGGGCGGGGCCGGGCAAGGGCTGGAGCCGGGGGAGGCGGCGGCGGCGGCGGCTGCAGCCGTAGCGGCGGCGGCCGGAGGCTCCTCGGCGGTCCCGGCTCCGGCCTCTGCGGCGCGGGCTCAGTACAGCGTCCCGGGCATCCTGCACTTCCTGCAGCACGAGTGGGGCCGCTTCGAGGCCGAGAGAGCCGAGTGGGAGGCGGAGCGGGCGGAGCTGCAGGTACCGTCCGGCCGCTTTCCCTTCGCCTCTCGCCTCGTCCGGGCCGCCGCCTCTTCTATGCAAACATCTCCACACGCGCGTCTCTTCCTTCCCCTTCCCCGCCCGGACCTGTCTGCTGTTCTTCTCTCCTCCCTCCCTCCCCCCATCTCTCTCTTCTCCGTGCTTCCCCATCGGTTTAGCCTCGGAACTGTGGAAGAGGTGTGTGCCTCTGAGCATATGCAGAGCGCCTTTGCCTTGAGTGATTATTGTCAGCGCGCACTCGCAACCTGGGGGTTGCGGGGAGGCTTTCTAGCTTGTCTAAGCTGGCGGGGTCTTTCTTCTGAAGAAACAAAGCCCTGGTTAGTGCTAGGCGGGAAGGGGCTAACAGGAGAGCTTCCTTTGACAACTGTTAGCTTGGGTCAGGCTTGCCTACAGGATGTACAGGTGCTTGGTGCCATGATAATATTATGGTTTTGGTCCCAGCAGAACATGAGTTGTGTATGTGCCTCCTTGCTCCATATGGGAATAGGAAAGGAGAGAGGATGTGATCTGGTAGTTGCTCTCCCAAGTACTACCCTTTTGAGAAGGAAATTATTAGAGATTTGTGTGATGTCTGTTAGTTATCTTTAACCAATATAGAATTGATGTGTCCCGCATGTAAAACAGCTTTGTTTTGGAATGTTGACTCAGTATGTGTGAACATTTTTCAAAGCACATCACATACATTGTCTGAGAAACACTTACAACAGTCCTGTAAAATAGAGTGATATTAATATCCTCACCCGCTGAAGGCAATTTCATTCAAATGGCAAGGGCCTCCTCCCTGTTTCTCTGTGCCCACTCACCCATCTTTCATGGAGGCCAGTAGTGGTGTAGTGGTTAGAGTGTCGCACTAGGACCTGGGTTCAAATTCCCACATGGCCATGAAGCTCACCGGGTGACTTGGGGCCAGTCGCTGCTTCTCTGCCTAACCTACCTCACAGGTGTGTTGTAGGGATTAAATGAGAAAATGGTACATCAGTTACTGATACCAATTTGAGCTCTCTGGCAAAAAAGGTTGCACCAAAGCCCCACAATATGTTGGCTGAATGGGATGCAAATTTGGCAGTTGGTTTATTGTGGGGAAAGTGTGAGGTCAGTAAGGGTTTTTTCTGATGCGGCATTTAGTTTCTTTGGATGGTGGAAACAGGGCTCCCTATTGTAAGGAGCTGTAGCAAGGTTTATGATTCTCAAGCATTTCAGAAGCACTTCTTTGATGTGTTTGTACCATGTGTGAAAAATCTTATGTCAGGCTAGTTGGTGAAGAAAGTGGAATGGAAGGATATACACATGCATGTTCTGTCAGTATGGGCATACATGTGCAAAATTAGACAAAACCTGCAAGGTGTGGAGTTTGCTGCATGTTCTTACATCTTGGGATATTGTGTACCCCAACCTTATGATAGAAGGCTTTAAGATCTCCAAACAGCATGCTCTGTAGTAGACATGCTAGCTACAGTGGGAGTTTTGCTCAGCAGGTGGTTCAATTACTGTGGCCTTTACTAGGTATTTCAATTTTTAGTGGGTTCTTAAAAACCTTAAATGTACAAGTGCAACAGGATGAAGATTCCTTCTGCATTCCAGATTGTGCAAGAAGCTACCAACATAACTTGGACTTGGTAGTACAGGCAACTTCCCATTTATGCAGGGATTTCATTCCGGGTCATTGCGTGCTTGCATGAAATTATATGAAATCGGAAACCCATTGGAAAAGCCTGCATAAAGGCCCCCCCACCCCCAGTTCCTCCCTTTTAGTGATATTTCAGTGATGTCGTTATGACGTTTCTGGGTTACTTCTGGGTTTGGGATATGTGCACTTGTGCATGATCATGCACGTATTGGTTGCGTCCAAAACAGGAGCTGCCTGTAAATCTTCGAGCCTGAACTTGTCATAGGCTGCATAAAGCCCCTGGTAAAGGCACTTATCTCTGCTGTTTCTCCTTTTTCAGGTTGAGCAAAGGCTGATTGAGCGGTTCATGGTTATCTAATATTGTAGAATAGCCTCTGCTGTTATTCCACATGAGAGGCTGTTGTGTCATTTGAAGCAAAAAAATGTGCACTTCACTATCATCCATAGATAGCATGAGTTCTGAGATGCTCATTAGCTATACAGTGGATGGTAGTTTGCCACAGAGATGGTTGGAAAAACAATCAAGGATCAATAACAGATTTGCATTGAAATGGCAAATGTGAATCATGTAAGCAAGTATAAGGCACATTTGGGGCAAAACATTGCAACTTCACATATATGCTTACATGTGACTGGCCAGGAAAGACACCTTGCTAAATTCTGTGCTAGAGAGAATTAAGAAAGGAATTGAAAATAAAACTGCCCATGTCATAATGCCATTTTCAAAGCTATGATACAACCACACTTGGAGTCCTGTCCCGTCCTGCTTGCAGACTTCTTCTAGGTATATAGTTGGCCACTGTGAGAACAGGATGTACTTTTCATCTGACACAGCAGGGCAGATAAATGCTAGTATAGGTAGTTGCTAGCTAGCATTTGTGTATGCAGAGAATAAGGTTATAAACCCTTTCTCTCTCTGCATCATTTGCTATACAGTGGTGCCTCGCAAGACGAAATTAATTCATTCCGCGAGTTTTGTCGTCTTGCGATTTTTTTCGTCTTGCGAAGCACGGTGTCGGGAAAGTTTTGGAAAAGCTTCAAAAATCACCAAAGTCTTCAAAAACCTCAAAAAAGGCTACCACACCGCGTGCTATGACTTGCTCCTCGAAGTCAAGTTGCAACTGTATTAACGGTGTTAAGAAAAAGGAAACAAACTTGCAAGATGTTTCCGTCTTGCGAAGCAAGCCCATAGGGAAAATCGTCTTGCGAAGCAGCTCAAAAAACAAAAAACCCTTTCGTCTAGTGAGTTTTTTGTCTTGCGAGGCATTCGTCTTGCGAGGTACCACTGTATTTTGTTTGTGCTGCTGATTGGTTTAAGTGTTTGTTTATCTATTAGATGTTTTTCATAGAATCATAGAATTGTAGAGTTGGAAGGGACCCCAAGGGTCATTAACTCAAATCCATTGCTTCCTAGCCTCTGGAGTAGGAGAAAACAAGCTTGTTCCATCCTCCGTGTGGCAGCCCTTTAGATATTTGAAGATAGCTATAATTTCTTCTCTTGTCTCGTCTTTACCAGGCTAAGCATACTCAATTCCCTCAACTGTTCCACATAAAGCTTGGTTTTGATCATGCTGGTCACCCTCCTCTGCACACATTCTAGCTTGTCAATATCCTTTTTAAATTATGACACCCAGAACCGGACGCAGTACTCCCATGTGTAGTCTGACCAAGGCGGAATAAAGCAGGAAAGTTATTTCTCTCGATCAGGACACTATACATTTGTTGATGCAACCTAGAATAACATTAGTTTTTTTTGCTGATGTATCACACTATTAACTAATGTTAAGCTTGTGGTCTACTAAAATCCCTAGATTCTTTTCACATGTACTACTGGCAAGCCAGGTGTCCCCCATCTTATATTCATGCAGCTGGTTCTTCCTGCCTCAGTGTAGAACCTTACATTTGTCCCTATTGAAATTCATTTTGCTCGTTTCGGCCCAGTTCTCCAATCTGTTATGGTCATCTTGAATCCCAATTTTGTCTTCTGTGGCATTGGCTACCCCTCCCAGTTTGGTGTCATCTGCAAATTTGATGAGCATGCCCTCCGCACTTTCCGTCCCATATTGTGATCCTGATTATTTAAGCATTGAAAAGTGGAGGAATGTATCTCCATGTTTGCTCAGTGCTACTGGTTAAGCTTGCTGTAAAGGTGCAGTCCTTTATACATTTACCAAGGAGTAAGCCCCATTGTACACAATAGGATTTGCTTTCAGAAAAGCCACAGGTACGATTGTGTTGAGACATTACCAAGACAGATAAGTAGTGACAATAGTGCAAAGTGTACTCTCTTATGGGGTTATTGTATTCGTTAAAATTTCATAGCCCAAAACCCTACAAGGTACTATAATCGTAGCAGAATTAAGAGTCCTAGTCTGTCTGTTGTAAGCTTAGTATTTTTAGTTGCCTTCCTATGATTGAAAGTGTGCAAGTAGAAATAGAAAAAAAATCAAATGTTCCTATTGAACTAAGAAGTGAAAAATCAGGTTAAATTATGTTTCTCACCTGTGAAGAGTAAGTGACTTGCAATTTGTGGAATAGTTATGTGACTAGCTGCCACTTCTCTGGTATTCTAAACTCTGACATTCTAGATTCAGGATAATCTAGTTCAGTGGAAAATTAAATATTACTGTCTGCGCAGGCGAGTAGTGTCATTTCAGGCAGTGACAATAGGGTTTGACTGACATGTGCATCCATGTTTGTGTTCTTTGTATTATGTGCACGTAGGAATATAGGAAACTGCCTACTGAGTCAGACCATTTGGTCCATCTAGTTCAGTATTGCCTATACTGACTAGCATCAGCTCTCCGGGATTTGAGGCAGGGTTCTCTCCCAGACCAACCTGGATATCCTGGGGGCAGATACTGTACCTACCACCGAACTACATCCCTTCCCCTAATGCAAATAGAGAAATCTCACATGTTATATTTCAGCTTATGCTGTGTTTCTCTTTCACAATTATTCTACATGAGCAAGTGAGACTTAATGGAGTGCTTTCAATATTAATTGGCTATAATCCAGGAATCTCATACCTTGTTTGGCACATTTTGCTGGACTACAGACTCCTATTTTCTGGGGAATGGCAAATCCCCATGCCTTATGATCAGTTTTAAAACTTGAGGCAGATGACGTGGAGATCTTCTTATTTCTGGGAGATCCCAAGTCCCACAGGATTTTCTAAATTACCAGAAGTAGCTTTCAGGATTGCTGTGGTTGATTTACTGCCATCATCATACAATGATATTCTTTTGAAGTTGAAGCATCTCTGAGACTAAATGCAATTCTATGCACATTTATTTAGGATTAAGTTCTACTGAAGTAGGCCTGCTTTCTGAGCACTGCATAGAATTTCTCTACCTGCTAATGATTCAAGAATGAAATGGAATAAAGTAACAGTCAACACTGGAGATAGCATCTTGAAAGGTTCTGCTGGAGCAACTGCTAATTGTGCAGATTTTATTTTATTTTCTCCTTGGGAAAGTACATCAGATTGGAAAGGTGACATCTAAAAGTTAATTTTCCTCCTCTAGAAATAGCGCTCTGTAGATTACAGGCAGATGGTACTATAAATGCAGATGTACTGTTTGTCCCGCTGTTTGTGGGAGTGGGAAATTCTCATAATAGCAATGGTTTTTGAGAACACTGCTTGGTTTAAGCAGTCTTTGGTCACAAGTGAATGGTAATTTATGTCTTCAAAAAAATCTTCTTGGCTGCTTTTGCTTCGGTGATGAGAAAATGAGTTTTTGGTAGAAGTTTATGGCCCTATGTTGGAATGGTGTATTTATTACCGGAGTAGAGCCTACTAACAGTGTTCTCTTGTACAGAATCAAGCAAAGGGTTACTTCCTCTTTAGAAAGCAGAACAGAAGACAGCTCATGCAAACGGTATTGCCCTGTTTATTTACTTAATACATTTATCCCCCACTCTTTCGCAGAGTACCTTACAAAAAAAAGGTAAATCATCCATATAAAATACAAAACAACACAGTATCACAACAAATATTAAATGCACCAGGGAAAAGCACTGCCATTTTCCAGGGATAAATATGTTTTTTAAAAAAGATTTCTTCCACTTGGCAAAAAAAGACAGCAGAATTTCACCAGCAAGTTGCCATCACTCAAAAAGCCTTCTGTCTGATTACTACCTGCCACACCTCAATCAGCAGGCATATATGAGAAATCCATTCAAAGTTGACTTCCTTCAATGGGCAGGCCGACACTGAGAGGCACTTAAGGTACCTAGAAACTGATACTGTAATTACAACCTTTGACTTTCTTTAGTTTTTTTATTATTTTAAAAACATGAGAAAAAATAGCCTTTTATGAATTCTTTTATAAACTCTGTGGGTGTAGGAAACCAGCACACATTTATCAAAGATAGATTTGGGTTAATGCTTTCCTGTGCTGTAAAAAAATGAAGCAGATTTTTGTGTGTGTGTTTTGTACAGCAGCACATATACTGAAAACTCAAATTGCCATATCGTCTTTGTTTCTCATAATAGGCATATTAGGATCAGTCAAGCAGTAATCCTTTCCATTTTTGAATTATTTTGTACTGATCCTTATTCAGACTTGTTCCTCCACTAATGGAACGGCTCCTTCCATTTGTGGAAAGGTTGGAGATCCAGCAGAGGCTCCCAATGGATGAAGCAAGGAGGTGATTTGTATTGATTCCCCCAGCAGTGTATCCCATCCTTTTCTAGTGGGTCACACAATCCTTCTGAGCAGCACTGTAGGGGAAAGGAGGAATTAGTAACAAGTGCCTTCCCTTTCCTTCATTGAAAGTGTCCCATGAGCATGGCTACCTCAGGCAGCTGATTTTGGGTGTCATGAATGGGCAGGAAGTGGTTAGTTACCTGGTTAATTTTTATTGTGTATGTACTCTGAGGGAGAGGCACTTAATGAAATTTTCTGTCTCTGGTGCCAAGATCAGTTGGCCAGCCTTGCACCTTGATGTGGGGTTGATGTGCTATTTCCTATTCCGCCTGTGGCAGCATAATGCCCTGCTCATGGGAACTCTGGATCTAACTCAGACTGTTAATTGCTTTTCAGATAAACCTTCAAACAATATAAATGCCTTGCGCAGGTGCTCTGCAAAAGCTGCATTTCGTATGCAAAAACATACGAAAAGGACTACTAGAATTGAATACAATAAAAACTGGAGATTTAAACCTGAACACTTCATTGATCACAGCCTTTTTAGTCTGAGGGGCACTGAATGCTCTGCAAAAGATAGCAAACTACACTCTTAGATAGGTGGGAGAATCATTGGTTGATCCAAGAGATCATCATGGGAAAGCTGCACTTAGAATAAGCCTTCCACACATGTATCCACCAGGGTAGTTCCAAATCTGCGTCCCTGTTCTTATTGCTAGCTCACATTGGGGTTTCTGTCTGATGGAGGTGCATGCCCCTATCTAGACCCACCAGTTTTTAAGCACAACTGAAAATGGGGCTTGTATCAGATTGTGATTTAATGCTGCTCTGGCATATACTTGCTATTGATGTTTTGTTTATTTGATTTTATTTATTAAATTTATATCCCACCCTTCCTCCCAAATGAGCGCAGGGTGGGAGACAGTAAGTGATAAAACATCTTTAGAACTATTCCAGTACAGATGCAGAATGGGAAAGATGCTATAACCTGAGCAATTTAATGTATCGTACTTTCCCCCTTTCCAATGTGACACTTTGAAAAAACACGCACAACTACCTGACCCAAGCCAAAGCTGTCAATAAAGTGTGCTCCACATCATTCAAAATCTTCTGTATTGACTTAAAATGCAAATGTATTTGAAGCTTTTGCATCAACTCTTTAGATCACAATTTATTCTGTCTTCTGTTTTGTTTTTGTAATCATCGCCTGTTCTAATAATACCACAGTCCTTCAGGCTATATATAACAAACACACTGCTGGCAAACAGCATTGATAGCACTCCAGTCATGTGATTCTCTCCCCCCCCCCTTAACTTTATTGCAGAAATGATTAAATGTCTAGAGCACAATTAAATGCATAGTATGTGCATATGTGTGTATGTATATGTGCACACATGCCTATATGCATTTGGCTAAATATGGAATCTGATTTGGAAAAAAGATTGAGTGCAGCAAAAGATGGCAAAAACCTCAGAAATTTATGAGTCTTACCAGCTCAGATTGTGCAACAAGTTATCAAGACATAAAGTGAAAGCTCTTTTTTTTTTTTAAAGAGATTTAGGGTGATATCCAACTAAGCCATACTTTTAGTAGTTTCATTGAAACAAAGGGATGATTCTTGTTTGTGTCTCATCTAATCTGTCTTTTTGGGGTTGAAGTTTCTGACTGAATAGCTGTTCATTCCCACAACTCAGACCTTAAAGGAACTAAATGTGGGATTAGGTTCTGTGTGTCCCAAGTGGCTCTTGGGCCTCAGAGAAACAGTGGCAATCAATATTTAAGTTCGCCTTCACGCTACTTCATCAGCAACATGTTTCAGGCAAATTCCTTGCTATTGATTCAGAGAAAGATTCATTTTCAAATTTTGTGCAGTTATTTTCCAAAATTACTTTGGAAATACAAAGTTGTTGGGAGCCTTGATCTGTGCACTCAAGGCTGCAGCTATTATTGCTATCACATCTGCAGGTGCATGTCTGTCTTAACTGGGCCAACAACTCTTTAAGTTAGAAAGGATGAGAAGAGCACAATGTGCAGTAACAGTTCAGTCCAACCCTGTGTTTATAGAACTAGCAGCATGGTACGTGGTGGAGAAGATTGGAAACACAGTGATAGATCTTAGTTTTTGTTTCTGGGTATCCCCATATGAAAGTGATTTGCTTTGAAAACTGATAGGCCACAAGTTTAACATGAGCCAACAGTGAGTGCAGCAGCAAAAAAAGCTAATGCTATTTTAGGCTGCATCAATGGAAGTATAGTGTCAACAGAAGTGTAGTAAAAGTACCGCCCTATTCTGCCTTGGTCAGACCACACCAGGAGTCCTGTGTCCAATTCTGGGCACCACAATTTAAGAAGGGTATTGACGAGCATGGGGCAGATGGAGATTGTAAACCTGGAAAGGTAGCCAATCTAGGATAAGGAAAACTCTGATCCTAAGCCCTGGGATATCTTTGGAAGAGGAAAAGGCTTAGCTTACACAAATCCAGAGCCGAGTCCCTAAAACAGTTGAATAGTATCTTGTACAACTCCTCCCAGCAACTCCTGCAGCCAGGCTGGTGCAGAATGTATTGTTCTGCTTTCCTTCAGACTGTATCAGTGAGGTTGAGAAGGAGGTCTTATCATATGGGCAGCCAGGACCTCCATACATGATGTACAGGCTTACGCTCCAGACGAGGTCACTTTGGTTCTGCTAACACAGCAAAAACAACACGAGAGGCAGCAGTTATAGGTTACTGGTCTCTGCAGGTGCTGTGATTCTCCAGTGGTTTGACTTTGGCCCCAGAGGCACACTCCACTGTCTCTTGAGACAGCTGGATACCAACAATTGGCAAGCTAGAATGTGTGCAAAGGAAGGTGACTAAGATGATCTAGGGTCTGGAAACCAAGCCTTATGAGGAACAGTTGAGGGAGTTAGATAGGTTTATCCTGTAAAAGAGGAGATAGAGAGGTGATATGATAGCCATCTTCAAATATCTGAAGTGCTGTGTCATGGAAGATGGAGCAAGCTTGTTTTCTCCTGCTCCAGAGGGCAGGACTGAACCAGTTTATTCAAACTATGAGAATGGAGAGCCCAAGTAAACATTAGGAAGATTTCTCTGACTGTAAGAGCTGTTTGACTCCGTTGGAAGGGAGTAGACTCTCCTTCAATGGAGGTTTTTAAGCTGAGGTTGGAGGGCCATCTGTCAGAGATGCTTTAGTTGTGATTCCTACATTGCAAGTGGTTAGACTAGATGACCCTTGTACAATTCTGTGATTATATGGACTGTATAAGGAATGCTGGATCTTAAAGCTTGGGCCATAAACACATGTGTGCTTTAATAATTGAAATTTTAACAAGACTTTGTTAGATTGTTTTGCCCTTTAAACCTTTGTTTTAATTCTGAAATTCTTAGTATCTGTTATTCTTCTCTCCCCACCCTCATCCCCTGATATTGAGCTGAGAGAGATTCTAAGGTGTATTTTACCTTTGATATTATTGAATGAGGTTGGAGTGGAACAAATGTAGAAAGCATGCTCTCCCCTGACCCCCCCCCCCCCGCGCGCACGCAATGACTAAAGCAATTCAGTATCTCTGCTCCATCCCTTCCCCCCTTCCAGGCCTTTAGGAATTGCTGCAACTGACTGAACGGTGACCTTATAGCCAAGAAGTCTTTGCAAAACCTGTTGGTAATGTTTCTAGGGTGTGTGTATAAACTGGAATGTCGCGAGCAGCCTTGGGAGTGGCTGCAAAACAACCTTAAGGGGCTGTTAGTCCTAGTACATTTCAGTTTGCATTCCTTCTGTTAAAATACCAAATACAGTACTAAATACTAATGTCTGATTTGGTTTAGGCATCTTGTGTGCAACCAGGCACTTGATGGTTAGGCCAACCTACTATATTGTGGTTTGCAGCTTTTCCTCCTCCTGCTATTTTTTAAAAAAAGTTTATTACCGGGTTTACAGTTTGCTTCATTATTGCCAGAGATACACAGTACACTGTACGGCTGTTTATGAAAACCTTTGAAGCTTGCTTATCACTGATGCGCTGCTTGTCATGTTGCACTTAAACCATGTCTTCCCATGCTAATAACTACCTCACCAACAATTAAGGTTTAGTCCATGGTGCGTTTGCATGTATGGTGATTATGGCCACAGGCACACCATACATCTGAAGCACGTTTAAAGCATATGGTTTCTCCCAAATTATTCTGGGAAGGTAATTTGTACAGGGTGCAGGGAATTGTAGATCTGTGAGGGGTAAGCTACAGGATTCTTTGGCATAAGTCATATGCTTTAAATGTGTGGACACAGCCTAAACTATTGACCATGTGGCATTATAGTACCACCTTTTACCTTTCTGTGTGCTAGGACTCAGTTGCTTTTTCTTAGTATAGTGACTGCATCATGTGAAGGCTTTTCCTTTAAACCTACTCTGAAAAGAAGGCTCCTATGGTGCATCTTTGATTTGTATTAAGTATTACATATTCCTTCAAATATATGGGGGTGGGGAGGAATAAATTCTCCTTTCCTTTCTTTCCTTTTTAAAAATAGTAAAATATTAACCACTTAAGCTTCAAATGCCATCAAACCTCCTCAGCAATCTTTATATAGGGAAATTCATGTCAGTTTGGTAAGTGGCAGGGCTTAGAGAACGTGAGGTCTGCTGTGGGAAGTGTATGCATTACCACTGCTTGAGGTACTGTTACTTGCTTGGTAACAAGTGGGCAGACCCTCTATTTTGCAATGTAACATGTTGAAGAACGACTTAACATTCAGATTGCAAAATTGTCCTGGAATGTCTGTGGAGAAGCAAGTTGGTTTTTTCCTTTGAAAATTGCAATGTATTTTTTTTTTAAAGATATTTATTAAATTTTCCAATAAAAAGAACACATCAATAAAAGATTAAACATGAAAACATAGAAAAGAAATACACAATTCAAAAATACACAATACATAATCCAGAAAAAGAAAAAAAAGAACAAAAAACAAAAGACAAAAAAGAAAGAAAAAACAGTTAAAAACAATATCACCTTTTCCTCTCCATTTTTAAATTTACTTATTTTCTGGACCTCCTCATACCTCCCTCTTTTGTATTCCAATTCAAATTGTTTGTCCAGCAATTTCTTTCCCTCTTTTTTAATCCCAATCTTTAATCTTAATATAATATAACATTAAAATTTTACCTCTTAAAAACCCAGTTTCCATTTCCTTAAACTTTTTTAATCCTAATCCTTAATCTTAATCTATCTATAACTTTAAATCCTGTACAGCTGGAAGCCACTTGTTTTCAATCCAACATCACTCTAACATTCTTTAATTTTGCAATGTTTCTGCAGATAGTCTTTGAATTTCTTCCAATCTTCCTCCACCGACTCTTCTCCCTGGTCACGGATTCTGCCAGTCATTTCCGCCAGTTCCATATAGTCCATCAGTTTCATCTGCCGAAAATTGCAATGTAAAGTATTGTCTCTTTCAGGCCCAAATTGCCTTTCTTCAAGGGGAAAGAAAAGGTCAAGAGAATTTGAAGAAGGATCTAGTGAGGAGAATAAAAATGCTGGAATATGCTCTTAAACAAGAAAGGTATGTGCCAGTTTTCTAAACCCTGAATTGTTAACTGTGAGTATAGGAACTGCTTCTCAGTCTTGGAAAGCCAACAACACTGACCTTCCGGTCTCTATTCATGCCTTCACCACAAAACAGCCTGTAGCTAAGTGCAGGCTTTTCCAAACTGTTCAGCAGAAAATATAATTTTGCAAAAAACCTCAGCCATACTTAACTTTATAGATATTAATATTTTTGCCCATCCTTGAGGCTTGACTTAAACTCTTTCCTGATGAGAGAGCGGGAGCAGAGCCCATGTGTCAAGTTATTTTAAAAATGTCTGGTAAACTAAATGCACAGAGAAGAAAAGAAAGTACTGAACAGTCAGTCTGAAGATGCAGAAAATATAGATATGGTATATAAGGAATTAATCAGTTATTTTAATTTCCACAATGTAATTTACGAGTATCTTGATGTCTTAAAATCCACAATAAAATGAGAAGAGGCTAAGTCAAGATGGGAAAGTCAACAAATAAATTACTAATGTGCATTTAAGCCAGACAGCTGACCAGTGCACTTGTTTATAAGACAGTGTTGACAAATGTGCATCCTGTATCAGAATAAATCAATTGAACTGCTATATTGATGTCAGTTGAGCTGCTCATTGCTGACTTGCAGCTGAACTGTGTTTGGGAAAAGACCTAGGGCATAATTAGACTTTTAGAAAATTACTAGTCCAGAAAAGGTTTCAAAAAGCACACAAGCTGTTAGGTGATGTGGGAAATAACTAAGAAAAAAATAGAATCATAGAAACCGTAGAGTTGGAAGGGACCACAAGGGACATCGAGTCCAACCTCCTGCAATGCAGGAATCTTTTGCTCAGTGTGGAGCACTTTGCTTCCTTCCCAGAAACTAGGGCTGGATTCAGAGAAATGTCCGCCTCACAGAAGCTTTCAGAATGTGCTCCGTCCAGTTTTCAGATACCCACTTCCTTTCCCATTCAAAAGAACCCTATAACCATTGGGAGAAGCTTTCTTGGCTGCTTGGATGGGGACACCTTCCCCCCTCATCACGACCCTTTGAAGTAGGAGCTGCTGAGAGTTAGTCAAGGCCACCTACTGAACTTCATGGATGAACGGAGATTTGAACACCTGTCTCCCACCATTTTCCAGGATGTTGGCTAGTTCTGCATTTTGCATGATCGTTAGGTGACTGGTCTATCTCTGTGTTGTGGAAAACTTTGAGTTGCAGTAATCAAGAAAAATGCAAGCTTTGGTATTGGTGTTCTATCTTTTCTAAAGCCTAAACCGAAAATGCTCTAATATAGCTTAGTTTAGGTTTAGTTTATTGTTTATACAGTGGTGCCTCGCAAGGCGAAATTAATCCGTTCCGCGAGTCTCTTCGTCTTGCGGTTTTTTCGTCTTGCGAAGCACGGCTATTAGCGGCTTAGCGGCTATTAACGGCTTAGCGGCTTTAAGAAAAAGGAAACAAACTCGCAAGAACTCACAAGACGTTTCGTCTTGCGAAGCAAGCCCATAGGGAAATTCGTCTTGCGGAACGACTCAAAAAACGCAAAACCCTTTCGTCTAGCGAGTTTTTCGTCTTGCGAGGCATTCGTCTTGCGGGGCACCACTGTATTCCCATTTATATCCAAAATTGCTGCTTTCTGGTTACCGCCAAACTGAAACTGGCATCACCTCTGTGATAGACAAACAGTTAGAAGTTATGTTCAGATGGTCTCCAGGCAGGAAACTTTAATTGCTTGTGTAAACTCTCAAACTGACCAATTCCTTTGGGGTCATTTAGGGTGACTGCTCTTACTGAATATTTTGAAGATGCATAAAGGACACAATTTGTAGAAGTGGTTTTTTTTTTTAAAAAAAACAACAACACTTTATAATTTGTGACCCAAAGAGCTACTTTCAGCAAGCCTGTGGACTTGAGCTAACCAAATAGAAATGTTGACTTGGAGCTGCAGATTGTAATGCTGTCATAAACTGCCTCTGTAATTTTCAAGTTCCATTAGAGGGAACTGTTTAATTTAAAAGTTTACTTTCCATGAGAGCACAGAAGTAGCTGCATGGCTCTTTGGATTCTGGCCTATATTGTTGGTCTTGTGAGTAACACATTGATAAATTATTATGCATTGTGTTGGATCCAGAGTTTCTGTGAGCAGAGCACTGCTCCCAGGATGCTCCCGCAAGTTGCAGTACTATATCTGTTCTAGTACATTTCAAAGCTGCTCTCATGTATTTCTGTGCTAACATTTTCAGGAGATTAAAATGTAACAATAACCCTTAAGACACCCATCTTTTTAGATGTCATACATGCCCACAATCAGTCTCACTCACTTTCATACCTTAAGTACTATACTGTACTAAAAAAACCCAATACCCATATTTGTATGTAGGCCTTTTGGGTTATGTTTCTGGTCAGTGTGAGATTAGAACCTTCTCCTTGAGAGAGCTCCTGCCTCAGTGCTTTTCCTGGCAGCGTTGCTTGTTTATGTCTCTTGGTTTGGCAGCAACTCCGGCATGTTTGGCAGACTTGGTAAGCACAGCTGGATTGGATTTTTTAGGTCTTTAGATTGCAGGTTTGGCAAACTAAACTGGTCCTTTCAGTAGGAGCCGGCCTTGTGAGATTAATTTGCCCATTGTTAGTAATTCATATGTCAAGCATATATGAATGACAAAAAAACAACAGCAAAGGCTCATAATGCTTCTGGTGTTTAAAAAAGAATGATTTAGAGAAGGCATTTCTAGGAAAAATGCATGTATTTTACACTGAAGAAACAAGTGGGAGCAAAATATTTTCATGTCCTCTTTCTAAAGGACAGGTAGCATTTTCACACACTAATTTACTCCTTTTCTTTTCCTTTATAGAGCTAAATACCACAAGTTAAAATATGGCACAGAGCTGAATCAGGGAGACATGAAGCCTCCTAACTATGATTCAGGTAAGGATTGATTTGTGTAAAAGAAAACGAGACTGGGCAAAAGAGAAAAAGTTGCCGTTTTGTGAAATGTATTGACTTAGTCTGATATGTATGTAATAGAAGGCTTTGAGGGGTTGGGTGTGACTACTGGCCCTGCACATCCTCTGCCTCTTCACGTGCAAATCTCCCTCCCTCTCCAATTAAGTCTGTCTAAATTTAACCTTAGCCTTCATAGCTGTTGTCCCCTTGGCTTAAAATGAAACCACCTGTATGCTGCCAGACTGCTTTAATAAATAAAACGATGTTAAGGAGGATGCTTATTGTTGGTTTTAATTCTTGTTTTCTCTTAACAAACAGTTTGCTGGTCCTTCTGTCCTTAGTGGGAGATTTAAGGAAAGTTACATTAGGAAAATACTTAGTAGCTAAGTATTGTCCTGTGGTGGCATGCTGCATATGCACCCATTGCTTCAAAATTTCCTCATTACCCAAAGCAACTTGGTTTCTTTCTCTTTTTGAGGGAGCGTGAAACTGTGACTAGCTGGAGAAGGTATACTGTTGTTAAACTTATCACAACTTTTTATGTTCCTGTTCTGAATTCTTATGTACAGTTTGCATTTGTTCTCCTGTGTTGTATAGGTCATTGCAAAAACACAGATATACAGTGGTACCTCTGGTTAAGTACTTAATTCATTCCAGAGGTCTTTTCTTAACCTGAAACTGTTCTTAACCTGAAGCACCACTTTAGCTAATGGGGCCTCCCGCTGCTGCTGCGCCGCTTCTGCGCAATTTCTGTTCTCATCCTGAAGCAAAGTTCTTAACCCGAGGTACTATTTCTGAGTTAGCAGAGTCTGTAACCTGAAGTGCATGTAACCTGAAGCATATGTAACCCGAGGTACCACTGTATAGGACTTAAATGTGCAATATTCTACAGATGTAAATAATTAAGAGTGTAACTATTTTATTTTTTTAAGCATGCTGTAATGCACAAGACTGCTTACGAAAAGCAGGCTTCAAAACTATATTGGTTTTAATATTTCAGATGAAGGGAATGAAACTGAAGTTCAGTCACAGCCTACTAGTCAGCTAATATGGAAACAAGGGCGACAGCTGCTCAGACAGTAAGTGACCTAAAAACGGGTTTCAGATGAGGGTCTTTCCTATCTAGGACTGAACTTTGGACCTTTTTACAGACAAAACACATGCTCTCCTGCTGAGCTATGCTTCTTCCCTGAGGATAGATAGCAAAATTATAACGAAGGCAGGATGAGGTATTGATTAAAACTTGAACAGCTTGTGATGAGAAAAATAGGGTGGGGTTAATGCGTGTCACTCTTGATGGATGGTTCTTAAATTAGTTCTGGGCTGTCCTGATAGCAATAAGGATTGGGTATGGAAGGCTTCTCATTCCACTCCTCCCCACTTGAAAACCCCATGTTAAGTGTTCCTGTTTGGAACATCTGGTTCTAGATTGAGAGAACTGGAACTCCTTTCACCAAGAGCCTTGAGTTTACTGGAACTGACCAGCAGGGCTGGGTGACAGGTGAGGGAATTCAGAAGCATGACAATATTTATTCTTTGTGGTCATTGTAATAATGTTTGAAACCTTTTTGTTCAAAAGTTTAAGGATTGCAAAAAGATTAAAAGCAAATTTAATCAATTTCTGACTTTATTGTAAAGCAGTATTCATGTGAGAAAGGAAGCTAGAAGGAAATGCTGTTTGGTAGACTAGACAGTTGAGAGAACACAAATTCTTATAAACTTGCCTAATGGCCAAGAATGCTTTGGTAAGGCATTGGTTTTGATTGTGGAAAATTTCTTATAAAGAGTTGCCTATATAAAAGTAACTGTATGGGGAAAAAATGGGTTGAAAATGCACGGAGAACTTTGGTTTCTTTTGGCAAGTATAATGAATAAAGTATTGTGTATATGCAGACAGCAGAGCTCTTTGCCTTTCTTGGGGACTGTAGAGACTGGTACTGCAAGAGACAATCCCCTCTGAAACTGGCACAAGAAGATTTGTAAGCCTGTTGTGTCAGCACACAGCTACATTCTTCTTCTTACCGCAATCTATTGGTTGATTCTGGGTGGATTGTGGCGATTGACTATAACATCTTTGCTGACAGCTCACGAGCAATTGACATGGTTTCTATATATACAGATATCTGCAAGAGGTGGGATACACTGACACCATACTGGATGTGAAGTCAAAGCGGGTACGAACTTTACTGGGTCTCTCAGGTGATGGTCCAGACAGGGAAAATGACAAAAACCAAGAATCAATGGTGAATGGCACAGATGCTGAGATTAAAGAAAAGGTGATGATTGGGTAAGTGCTTTTGACAGTGGGATGCTTCCAGTGGTACAAATTATGCTTTTGAACGTAATGTACTTAAGTAAATTTTCCAGTGGTGTCATATACTGCACCAGTTTATTACATTTCAACTTTGTGTGTATATTTGCTGAATTTTTCATTCTGTTCCTTGTAAGCTGAGCAACTAAATTTGCTTAGTCTAGGAAAATTAGTGGACTCCTTTTTTTTTTTTTAAAGTACTCTAGTAGGTTACATCAAGCTCAATTTAGGACATTGTTAGGTTTGTGAGTAGCCTGTTCTTCTAAGCAGATATTATGCAAGTCTTGAAAGAAGTGTCATGTCCTGAGATGTAATATTCCCCTTGCATCCCAAACTGTAAACACAACAATTGAGTGTACTTTCATAATGTATGTTAGTAATTTTGCTGATGGCTTAGAGCAGATTTGGACGGAAACTGGAGGGAGAAAAGACTTAAATTGTTCATATGAACTTTGGGTTCAGGGGTTTCCACTCCTGTGGAATTCTTTATTTTTCTTTAGTGACAACTCTGTTGATAAGAGTGTGTTCTTATTTGCTATTATGAGAGTAGTTCTAAATCAGCAAGAATAAATAACAAAAGACAAGAAAACATTTTCAAGAGCATTTTTTTTTAATCTTCTGCTTTCTAAGGTGATGTAAAAATGTCGTAATGCTTCCTTAAAGATGAACTACTTGTTCTGTCCATGGAAAATTTTATGCAAGTCAATGTATTTGCTAATGTACAGATCCCAGTGAAAACTTTTGCACTCAAGAGCATCATGTGGACTTGGGATGTATCCTCGAAGATATTGAATCCATCAGTGGAAACATTATTTGATAGTTTGACAGTTATAATCTTACTCACACATGTTTCATAATGTTTACTGAAAGAAATGGTTCACTACTTCAGATCAGCACACTGGTGCTATAAAAGATAAGTACCACAGCTCAGCATGACTGAACTCAGCAGGGGACACTAAAATAATTAACCTTTGTATTAACATCTAGGATTTCCAGTGTTTGCCGTGGATGTAAAAGATGCACTTTGTCATTAACATGTTTGGCAGAAGAAAAACAAATGAAACCGGGTGTAGCCTTGCGTGGGATACCAGTTAGTTCTCATTTTAATACCTGCTTCTTTAGTTTAATGATGTTACCTTTCCCTTTGCAAGTTAAGTAAAAAGTTGGGGGAACTGCATTGTTCTGCTATCTGAGGCACAGTGTGCAGTAATAAAGCCCAGCCCATGTAACATTTCTGATTTTCAAATTGACTTTGAAGCATTGTTGTAAACATTTGTAAATCTTATCGGGAAATATGTTTAAGGTGTTTTTCAAGCAATAAATGCTTTACTTCTTCTTTTTTCATGAAAAGCGCCTTTCAACTGTCTTGCAAATTGAGTTTTATAATTGATAAAAGTTGTTAGTTGACTCAACTCCAACTTGGAATTCCTTCCAAGAGGTTCATGGTAAAGCTGAATGTACACAACTATCAGAACTTGTTAAAGGATCTTGCAGTAATAGTAATGTTAGTTTTAAAGTTGTCTGTTCTAGAAAGCTGAGACTGATTTTTTTTTAAGCTTACATTTTAAGATTAGGGTTGTGCCAGGTATTTTCCAGTTCATACTAACATGCCCAAGCACTAGCGCTTTGCCTATATTATTTTCATTTTTCTGATTGATTCTGTTTATGAATCACTTCCCATAAAATATGTCAGAACACTTCACAATGAGAACTTCAACAATGAAACTAATTAAAAACAAATTCTGTATATAAAAACAATTTCAGATCTGATACAGACTGGGATTAAAACCTTGAAAAAGGAAGGTCTTCAATAGGCTCCAAAAGATGATAGAGATGGTGCCTCTCTGTTGTGTAACAGGAGGCAGTTTCAAAGGGTAGGTGCCACCACTCTGAAGGCCTGGTTCCAGACTTCTGCTGTTATTTGCTGCCTGTGTTTCAGCTAAAACAAAACAACTTGCATGAGCTGAAAACACTTCCAGTTGCCCAAGGAGTGACATAGGTTTCTGCTGATCTCGCCCACCCTGGCCAGTAGCTGCAGATTCTTGTACAATATGAAGTGTGCTCTGAGGTCGCAAGATGCTGCACAGGCAGGAGGAAGTGGGAAAGCCACTTTCTTTGAGCAGAACTTTAGGGTTCTATATTGCTATTTTGGTGCTTTTTTCCCTCATTACTGCCACTTGATGTTCCTGGGACTGACCAAAAGCCAGTCAAGAATCATGTTGTAAATGTGATGACATCACTTAGCCAATCAGATTTAGCTGCATTACAGCATCAGAAAGCCCATTTAAAGTGAAGATCATGTTTCCTGATCTCACATGGAATGGTTTTAGTGATGACATCATGCGACAATTAGATTTGACTGTGTGACATCACAAAGTTGATTTGCCGAATGCCAGAAGGGGTGCTCTTGTTCATAGCATTATTGGGAATATTAACGAGTACTTAGGCTTATAAATTGATTTAAATTACAAATAATAAAAGTTGTAGCTGAATCCGAGTCTCTTCCACATTTGCGCCCTTTCTGATATTTTAGGGATTCTGCTATTGTGCTGTCTCTACTCTCCACCTCAAGTCTTCATCAGACAAAGAAACTATAGAATTGAAATCCTTTTTAAAAAAATTGAGATAAGACCTAAGGAAGGTGTATAGAAAAGATGTAACAAGCCCTTTTCTGTGTAACTCATAAGTATGTAATAGATGAATAAGTGTACCTTATGAGACTTCCTGGATTTTTCTGTGTGATGTTATCTGATTTTCAATATTAAGATTCTGCACATTGTGATATTTCTGTTTATCTGGGCAGTAAACTGTAACTGCATTTTTAAAAGAATTTTGCATTAATCAATGTGATATTTGCATAATTTGTTGGGCAGTGTGTATAAAAGAATTCAGAATGTGTTCATCACTTGAGACTTGTATGGGACAGTGAATATCATTTCTTTAGCAAGATTTTCACTTTAACAGTGTTAGTATGATTACTATTGCTTCATTCCCACCATTTATGCATACCTGCCAGTGTGTAAAGTCTGCATAAAGTGAAGAACAGGATCACTTTGTGTGCACCTATCACTTCCCTGGACTGCCTCATGTTCACATAGATATCTTTACCTAAACTCAACTTCAAATGTATGTGGGCCTCATTGGCATTAGCCTTACCCCTAAAATTATGTGTGTAGGGTTGCATTTAAATATTATATCCAATTCATAGATTCCAAGTAGACATGATTTAGGGGCAGGCAGCTATTATAATAATTATAATAATTTTCTGCCACCACATGCAGAAGTATTCATATATCTCTGAAAAAGGTTATATTGTAATGTTTCTACAATATGGTGCTAGTTAGCCGCAGAAGGCAACGTGTTTTGTGACATTTATAGGACACACAATAGCAAAGTTCTCTGGGTGGCTTACAGTTAAATCTGAATGTATGTTTCCAGAACTTTTGAGACACTTAAGCTGCAATCTTATGCACTTTTGAGCATAGGATTGCACTATTGGCCCTATTAATATATTGACAAACATGCATGGGATTTTTTCTTGAAATTTCAGATTTTAAAAATGGTAGCCTTGCTAACTTTCCTTTACATTTTTCGATACCCTGACTGACATGGCATTAATTATGACCTGGCCCGTTTTCCTTGTTTTACTGCCTTTTGTTGCATAATGAAAAATTGCTTGTTTGCAACTGCCTTGGTTACCCACACAGCCTCCTAGTATGCTTGAAGCTATATTTTAAATGAAAATGCAGTGTAGAAATCCTCTCTCATTTTAGTGTTTTAACTAGTAATCGGAATCAAGTGACGAGTTAAATAAGAGAGGCTTGTAGCTGGAAACTGTGCACATTTAAGAACAAAATAACAAATACTAGATCCAGCAGTGTTTTATTCTCAACTTTCTTCATAGATTCAGAAAAAGAATCAATACAACTATCTGGATAAGAGAAAATGTATTTAATAGTTACTAAGTGAATGAAGTAAACAGCAATTAGTTTCTTTAGGAAAACCTGAAGAAAGTATCAGTAAAGCTAGGTGTTGGGGGAGCTGCAGTTGCGGCTTCATTTATTATATTCTTGTCCAAGAAGGTCCCCCTCACTGTGTGTTGGGAATCTTGAAACCCAGCAAGTTGCTTCTTTTTAAAAAAACACAAAACACTCCCCCCCCCACTGTCCCAAATAGTAATCTAGAAACTTGAGGTTTAAGCATCTAACTATATCAATGAAGACATTACTTTCTAATCTCAAGAAAAAGGAAGACAATTTCAGGTATCATTGTGAGAATTGTGATATTGCTGATCAGTAGTGGTTGGCTAGTCTGTTGAAATGTGGATTCATATATGCTCATTTTCAAAAGTAGTGCTGCTTGTGGTGCTGTGTGTGCTTTTTCTTCTAAAAGTGGATAATTTCAAATTTTCACTTTTCAAAGTGTTTGCTCAAGTGGAGTCCATGTTAAACGAAGTGTGGTAAATAAATTTAAAGAGTTTGGATCAAGAGGTAGCCTTCTGCAAATGGAAGAGCTGGCAGTTCAGTGGAGGCTGCCATTCACAGAAAGAGGAAGAGGGGATTCTAACTTCCTGAGCACATTTTTAGGGGTACTAGGGGACTCTGCTCATGCGATCTCTGGATCCAGCCCAGAATCCAATAAAAGGCCCCTTCGTCGTCATTTTTCATAGGAATAGCTGTTTATGGTACATTCAAGACTAACAAATTCGTTATGTCACAAGCTTTTGTGAACTTCCAGTTTCTTGAATTGCAATCCTAAATAGACAGAGGAGTGTGTATGTGTATGTATGTACACACACACACACACACACACACAAATGTGTAAAAGAAAATAGGGAAAGCTGGATTTAAGTGGTAATGAAACCCATTAATGGAAGCATCTTAGCATTGTTGAGTAATCAACCAGTTGCTGCTGTGGTGAAGTATCACTGCATATTTTGCATACATTTAAGTTCTAATTGAATTATCAGAATATACATTTTATATTTCATTGTAATTTAACTCAGAACATTTACAGTTTTTCCCTTTGCTTGTGTGTGTATACCTTCAAACCGAGAGTTATGCTTTGTGCATTGAATGGAGTGGACTGTAGTCTATAAAAGAGTGTGTACTGTCATTTTTTTTAGTCCTGATGGTGCCATGAGACTCATTCTAGTTTTTGTCGTGCACCACAATATACATTTATGAATGTGAAACTGAAGTTCCAGTAGCACACACAGAGAGATCGCTTGGACTAATGATAAAACTCTTTCAAACCAATGCTGTGTATTGGATGGACATGGTTGCCAAATTTTATATTGTTGTAAATGTTTGGCTTTATTATGAAAATAAATAAGAACATTTATATATTAAAAAGAAATTGCAGATCCATTGGAGAATTATATCATTTTCCCTATATTTGTTATGTGTGTTTGGCTTTGTTAAACATAATGAAGAGAGAAAAACAGACAAAATAACCTTTTGCTGCTATTTTAATTTTTATCTAGGAAACCAGATTTGACAGACTCCGCTTCGCTGCTAGAGACATTTAAATTCCTTGAAAATGCTGCAGCAGAATTTAGTGATGAGGACGAAGATGATGATATTGATGGAAGAGAGAGAACAATCATGGACACTTCAACGGTGGGCTGAGAACTCTTAATCATAGAACAAGACTTTCAGTGATGGGATCTTAAAAATCATGATATGGCATATATTCCAATTCTTATGTGTGAGCAAATGCAAGGATTTAATCGTGGCACATTTTTGCAAGTCGGTCTGATAAATAGTATTCTAGTACTGTATTGCTACCTCCGGTCCAATTAAAAGAAGCCTAGCTTGGCCTCCTCCTCTACAATTTACACACGGCGTTGATTAAATTAGATTAAATTCCCTAGTGTTCTAAAGATTATATAGTACATTAGTATTTAAGTTAAATTTAAAATGAACAGTGATGTATATATCCTTCTCTTCTGTGTCCCCGCCCCCCTAGAGTGCAGGGATATGTAGAAATAATACAGACACAAATGTTTCATTTCATTTTCTGTCCTTCATAGATTGTGAGGAAAAGGGTGCTATCAGATAGCAGTGAAGACAGAGATACTGAAGAGGCCTTGAAGGAGTTTGATTTCTTGGCTACATCTGATGAAGGAGATGGAGAGTCAAGAAGTTCAGGAGACGGCACAGACTGGGGTAAGGAAGTAAAAAGGAATTCTTCAGAAATGCAGGAACTTGGTTAAATGCAAAAAAAATGTAGCAGTTGTAATATTGTTAAGGATATGTTGCTGTAGCTTTGGGGTGACACAAGCCCTGCCAGATCCTCCCCACCTTTGTATTTTATCTAGATAGAATAAACAATTTTATTGAAGTTATCATTTTCTATGAATAGTTTGAGTTAGTTGTAAGATGTAACTTTTAAAACTCTATTCTGTAAGGAAATTGGCTATTCTTTGGGGATGCCACTAAAACATCATACAAAACCTTCTAACTCCTTAGGAACATGGCAGATACAGTGTCTTAGCCATGCAATGCTACGGAAACTGGGTGTAGAGGTAACCCAGTAGGAGAACGTTGTAGGTCATGTGCCTGTCATGACTTTATGTGTTTCATTGGTTGGCCAAGAAGGAAACAACACTTGGTTCAATCTCGTTACATAAGAGAACGACCAAGACGTAAACCACCTCCACTTCTTGATACTTCTTGGCGTTAAAGCCCTTGGGCCAGAATAAGCCCCACAGAGTCTGCTTTGGCATTAGCTTCATGACTTCAGGTAGTGAAATGGTAGAGTAAAAAAACAGAATGAAATGGCAGACAATGTGAGCCTGTGTCAGGGCAAAGTGGCCAGATGGGAGTCTGACATGCAGTGTTGGGGCTTCCCATTCCTTCTGAAGCCAGTTTTGCATGTTGGGTTCACTTTCATTCTCTGCACTCCCTTTGCCTACCAGACCAAGATTTATTTTTAAGAATGTATAAAATGCTTAATATAGAATATCTGTGAGTGGTGAACAAGAGGACATAAGGATAAATAATATAAGATCAATCAACTAAAAACTATGAAACATAATTTAGCTTCCTTTGTAGATTGTATCTCTGCAAACTCAAAATACAACTGGGGAAGACCAGAGTAAACAGAGAAGTTTTCAGCAGGTGTCTAAAATGCAGAATATCTGTCTCCTATCTCCTTACATGTCAGTTGTTATATACTTTATTTTTACTTGGCACTTCCTTGATGGCATCCTTGATGGCATTTCACTTCTTCCAGAGTAGCCAAATACAAATAATTTGAAACGGGATTGAAATGGTGCCTTTGCCTTTACAATCTGTTTCTGAAGGGTCCATCATACTAACCCATTTCCTGCAGATATTCTTGTAATCCTTTATAAACTCATACCTATCCATATTTACTGTTCCTCTGGGGCTGTGTGTGTGTGTGTGTGTGTGCGTGAGAGAGAGAGAGAGAGAGAGAGAGAGAGAGAGATGTTCCTTTACTTGGGAGCTCTCCTCCCTGGCTGATACTCCAGTTACTTCACTCTTAGCCAGTTTCTGTTGCAATCATGGTTCGTTGGTCCTTCTTATCTGGCGTTGTTGTAAACTCTGCATCTGTTCCTACTTTATTAGCTACTTGCTTCCTGACGATCACTTTTTGCTTAGTTTCTCAGCCTTTGGATTTTGTAACTGCCATTTGCTGAACTTCCTCTGCTCCATCCTGTCCACATCTGGCTATGTTTTATTTTTCTTTCTCCCACACCTGTTCAAATGGCATAGGTTGAATCCATCATACCTTATGCTCCACTGACTCTGGCAGCCCAATCACATGCATGTGTTACCTGGAGGAAGTCCCACCAAATTCTGTGGGGCTTAATCCTAGGTAAGTATGCATATGCTATGAACGAGAAATCTGAGAGCTGGATACTGTTGTGCATCAGTATTCAGAAATGGAAGAAAGAAAACACCTGAGTAATCTATATAGTTTATTAGAGCAAGATTTGCTTCATGTGACAAACAGACTTTAAAAAACAAAACAAAACGCTGGAATAGGTTACTTTTCAAAAAGCCACTTGAATGAATTTTTTAATGTGTTATCACAGGTGATGTATAACCAGAGGTAAAAACACGTTAGGACAAGTCAGAATGCCATTTCTACACAATATCTGGGGTTATGTGTAATTATAGCAACTCCCTTCTCCTTGTGACCCTCCCAAAAATGTAACAACAGGTGGAATGCCATTTCATAAGATCTGCAGAGGTAGCAGCAGTGTTGTGCACCTGACATGAACACAGTCAGGTGGTTGGCACCAGGGACGTGAAACACAAACAATCTGTACCTTTTTATTGGCTTCTTGCTGATGAGAGTAAAGAATAATAATAATTGGCGGGTGTATTAGTTTTTGTTACTATGTTATGCATTTTTGTGTTTTTATATTGTAAACTGCCCTGTGATCCTTGGGTGAAGGGCGGTATAGAAATTTTAATAATGATGATGATGATGATGATGATGTTGATGATGATGTTACAATGCTCCATGTTGGCTTCATTGTAATACAGACACTCTTGTATAAGCAGATGGCAAGTTGCAAAATTCTTCTGAAGTTCAGCCTGCGCTTGGAAAACAGTTCCCAAAACGCTGTGTTACATGTCATTACAGAACGTACAGATACCTTTAAGTGTGCTTTCAGATGGAATCCTTTGCAAGTGTTAAGCATGCTCACTTGGCTTATGCGACACCAGCATGGCATATGAAAATGTGCCAAGTCCTGTGGTAGACTTTGCTACTCTGAATTGACTTGCAGGATCAGTAATGTGGCAGTCTCCAAATCAGTTATTAAATGAACCTATTATTAGATGATACCCCTGGGCTTAAAGTACCTTCATTCCACTTGCTTTCTCATGTTACACTAGTTGGGGGGGGTGGTGCTTGTCATTTTGATGCAGCCTAAGATTCAGCCTTGGTGTAAAGTGTGGTTTGTGGAACCTAAGGACCTCTGGGTTGTGTGCCTTCTGCTATCTATAGCTGGTGTAAAATGTCATAATTTGAACTGTGTGAATGAGACCAGGTTATTCTTACAGCTCTTGAACACCATTATTGAAAGGAGACACACCCGCATTGAAGAATAATGCCTAGATTTACTGTTTCTGTTACTATCTAATACAGCGGTGTGCCCGTTTTCTTACTAAAGAATTTTAGTAATTTATTTTTATCTATGTTGCGCAACATAAGAGAAACCCAGTCAAAAGTAAGTGGGGATTCAAAGACTCAAGTAACATAGACAGTGAAGACTGAAAGGGGAAATGTTTGAAGTAATTACCAATTACATTAAAAATGAAGTATTTTCACTCAGAATGAATAAAGGGTTGGGATCAGAAACTGGCTATTGCTAACACCAACCCCCAATTACTTTTTTGAAGACTTCTGAAGAAGTGAAATAGAATGGCACTTAGGCTCAATTGAGCTGTGGTGGAGCCAGCGTTCATATTTTGGCTCAGTCCATTTATAAAGTGGAGAGGGGTGGGCGGATCTTACTTTTAACAGTACAAGCTGTGCAGCAAGGGGAGCGCTGAACTCTTTCCCCACTTATGCTTTATCTGTCTGCAATCAGTTGCTCCAGCAGCTTTTATCCTATTTCTGACTCTGATAACAGCAGTGAGCTGAGAACAGAGAAAAGGAGCTGGAACAACACAGAGGGAAGGCATGGCATTGAGTGGGGAAGGGTTCAGGGCTCTTCTCCTGTTGCTCTGCTAAACAACACTCCCTCTTCCTCACCATATGAATAAGGTGAACATGTGAAAAGAAGCACATACCGTTTGGCCTTCAACTGCAGCACTGTTTATTGTTGCCTTAAAAAAACCCCAAATGTATACATCAGCAACCTCTGCCGCCTTCAGTGCAAAATAAATAAATTACTTATAGATCAGCAGCTGCTGCCTTCTTCAGTATCAAATAAATAAATGACATAAAGAGGATGTTTCATTTGTTTTACTTTGTCTAGAAAAGGAAGACCAGTGTCTCATGCCTGAAGCCTGGAATGTGGACCAGGGAGTAATAACCAAACTGAAGGAACAATACAAAAAGGAGCGCAAGGGGAAAAAGGGGGTGAAGAGTAAGTGGAAAACATTGCACCTTAAAATTCATAAATTCCTGCCTCTTTTCACTTCACCAATACTATCTTTCTTTCAATGTTTTCCTCAAACTACTTACTCTTTTACTTTGCTGCTCCTGACTGCTTTCCTGTTCACAATTACCAGGGGTGGAAATTAATGATACTTAAAATCCAGAGGTGTTGGGGTCATTGCTTTTATCCAGTTGGATAAAGTATTGGGGGGGAATGCTTTTAAAATATTAATATTTAATTTTTGGCTACCATAAAACACTTCTTGTTAAGGTTTGTCCAAACCAGCCAATTTTTGTTTGACTTAGAGACCATAGAGGCTGTTGTTGATTGTGTGATCTCTCCTGGTTTGTATTTCTGGGAATCTTTGTGCAGAACTTAATGCTTCAGTAAATGATTGCTAATCATTCCATCTAATTTTTGAAGTTAGTTTAGTCTGTGTGTGCACCCTGTCATTTACAGTGGGCAATGCAAATTGGATCAGGAGAACCATTCAGCTATTTTCATGTACCCAAGGATTTGGGTTTGCATTTGCTTTTATTGAACAGCGTTCCCCAATGCTACCTGGCAAAACGCTTTTGAAACTGAGGGAGAGTGAAAAATGTTCTGATAGCATGCAAGAAGTTACTTGCCATGCACAGGCCTTTGGACTAACCTGATCCTATCACTTGATATGTTCAATGTTTATTTCCCTTTGGCAGCCCTGAGACAACTCCTTCCAAACAAAGCAAACAGCTTTGTATGAAGTTATAAACTTTGCCATCAAGTGGAAATACCTCATGCGCCCCCTCAGCACATCTGAGAAGTTAGGGTGTGTATATAGGAGGGTGTACAGTGCATATATTTAGCAGTTTTTTTTTTTTAAAGAATATAGTTATGGGAGAAGAAGAGGAGATGTATGTACTGCAAACCTGTAAAGAGCAGCTCATGAGACAAGCAGACAGATCTTTGGTCTGGACATACCCTTAACTAGAAGTGAAAGATAAAAGCAAATTAATTTCTACCCTTGTTTCTTTGTAATGTTTGCTACATGCAAGTCATGCTATCCTCATAATTTGAATGCAGGGCTCGAAATGGGGGGAGGTGGAATCTTGCCAGGCTTTTAATAATATCAGTAAGTCCTCATCAAACTTCTCCTAATTCGGTTGAGTGCTATTTTTATACCAGGCAAACAATTGGATCAGTATCTGAAGTTTAATTTCTAGCCCTGTGTGTCATACTTCCTTTCTGTGTTACATCTCTTACAATATAAATCCATTATGTAGAAGCTGTGTGCTCAAAATGTGCAATGCAACCCTTTTGGATGTTTAATATGGAAATCCTACGTTTATATGTCATACACAGCAGTTGTATTCTGAAAATTTGGGTACCAATTATATGGAACAAATGCACACAGAAATCAAGATTTACAAAAAAAAAGTAAGATGCTTAATTTTTAATGTTAGTCTTTGCAAAATTGATTCAAAAATTACAGTATTAGCTTTCCCCATTATTCTTGGGGAAGACTTTGCTAAATGCTAGCTTTCAGCATGTTGCAGAGGCTTTTGGTCTGTGCAGCCTTGTAGTGTTAGCACTGTTAAGATCATAGAAGAGATAATTTTTCAGCTAAAAAATATTATAATTGGATCACAGTACCAAATTTTGGTAGTGTTAAAATGTATTTGGTGATTACTTGTGGGCCTAATGGCAAAAGGCACGATAGAGTCTGAAATTTGGATGAATATACTTTGTATATTCCTCTATTTTGTTGCTCAAATTGCAATACTCATTCATCATGCATTTACAAACCTGAGAGAAAGTCCTCCTTACATCAGCTATTTCTTCTGCTGTGTTTACTATGGTAAACTCTAAAATATTATACCTGGCAAGTTACCTGTATTTCCCCTAGACGTTGTAGGGAAAGGAGAAGATACAGGTCTCCCTCCTTGAATTTTTTGAGAGTGCTTTACTGAAGCATAACCACTTCATTGATTCCCTGTATTCTACATCTGAGTATTGAAAAGAAGGAAGTGGATAATCCTATTTATTAGGTTTTTTGGTTATGGAGAAATGCTTCAGCGGCAGTAAGACAAGTAACTTGTCCCTGTCACCTTGCAAACCATTCTTTCAAAATGCTGTACATCATGTATTCGTCCAAAACATCATTTAAGGGTTAGCCACTTTTCTGGGACAATGTCCAGATCTCCTGGCAGCCTGCCACATTCTGTTTTGTTTTAAAACCCTAAGGCTTCTGCCAGCCCACCCAATTCAGCTAATGGGACTGAGACAGGCTTTACTCTGGCTGAATGAAGTCCTATCCACTGATCCTAAGGCCTACTTCAGGAGTATTCATTCTCCTGTTCATCGGTGCTGCCCCATAGTATGAGGGGATATGCTCTTGCCTTAGTCATTGCTACAAGATCTAGTAATTCAAGTTCTTTACTAGATTCTCCATTGTGAGGTTTGGCAAATTGCTCTTCCCTTTTCCATTCATTCCTTGCCACCCAAAAAATATCAGAATTTGGGACTCACTACAAGCTTGTTAAATGTTGAGACTCATGCAAAGAACATGGATAGATACGTGGTCTGAATATCTTAGATAGCATAGGCCACAGGAGTTTTGGCACTTTGCATTCGAGCATGGGCCTCTGCAACTCGTCATGCTGAATCCAGCCCACTAACAACATAGGGAGCTACATTGATCTGTAAAACCATTAATTAAAAATAACGTTATATATCACTCAATCCATTTTTCCATTGCTGGCGACTCGCAGCTCTGCAGCGCCCCCTGGTGCCACATTTTTATAACACATTTTTAACGTTATAACCTACCAGTGTAGGTTAGTCCCTGGTGTAGCCTGCCAGAGGTTCTCACTTTAAAGCTATATTTTTGCTCCCTACCTGAGACTACAAGAACTGAGGTGGGGGCTGCCAAATGCCAAGCAGGTCATGATTGGTGGAATGTGTTTCATTTAGTGAGTAGCAAACTATTGATCAGGATGAGATAAAACTAAAACACAGAGGACTGCACGAAGGTCGTGCTCAATAGAGTGGCATACCTAGCAGAAAAGAAATAGATTTTTAAATTTGAGATAAGGCATTTGTTTTGACTGGAAATTATTATGTGTATAACCAAATTGGGTTTTAAAGCCATGCCACTATTCTTTCTGAACTAAAGACCTAAATGTTTAAACAAGAGTGATGGATGAAAGAATGGAATTTGCTTCCCCCTCTCCCAGCTTTTCCTGATATGAAAAATAACTGGTTATGAATCTTAATTAAATGAAATCAAGTAGCGTTTTGCCATTACAGAAATTAAGCATCTGCTCAGGGCCAACACTCTTGGAAGATGCATCAGTTATGCATAATCTAGAATAGTTTGTAACTGTGATAAATCAGTTATATTTGGTGACAGAAAGCTTAAAAGTGGAAATCTAGGGGCATGAATGTTCAGCTGTAAAGCATATATAACTTTAATGAATGTGCACACCTGTAGAATTTTGTATATTTGCAGACAAGCACTTCTGTTATAGTCTTGCAAAATCCTGAAATGTTTGTCTGAAACAAATATCAGTTGTTACAAACCGTTGTTATTATTATGGCAGGATTTGGACCGAATAATTTGAGGAAAGTGCTGTGATTTTGCTAGGCTGCTGTAAAAAGTCCTTGTGAAGTGTGCTAAGTTCAGACCTGTCTTAGAATACACTTTAAGGTGACTAGAAATAGTTATATTATTTAGTAGATTAGGAAAAACGGTTATGGACTGTGGGTAAGATATTTTCCCATTCTTAATTAAACTTACAACAGGAAAAACTACCGAAGATATGTTTCAGCCTCAGTCCTATATAAAACAGTCAAAACAGGGATGTGGGAAAATGATGGAGCAAAATGCAGGTAAGTTTTGAGAAGGGCATGGGTTTTCACCACATGTAGTTTCAGGAAGAACAAAACCAGCGACTCTTGCTTGATTGTTTTTGTTTTTCAATTTTTTAAAAGTAATTGTCATTGTTTAGATTGTGGCACGGTCACAGTCCTGCACAATTTTGTGAAAGTTTGAAAACTTGTGCAAAAAATTTAACTCACAAGTGTTACAGTCTTTGGAAAAATAAAATTATTTTTTGTTTTATTTGCTGTCACTTGGATGCATTTTACATTTCTCAAGCAAGTCCATGCAGTGAACAGAAGTGTGTGTGCAAAACCTCAGTTTTCATCACTTCCTTCTTAAAGCACTTCATTTCATGCCATAAATTTAGTTACTGGTGGAAGTAGGAATCATTATTTGACTCACGTTCATCTTTTTCTTTTGCTATAAATAGCACTCATTGTCATTATTGTTGGTGCAACATGTTAGTTAATAGTAACACTACTTTTATTAATGTTTGCAAAACTTTTCCCCCACATTTTGTTGTTTTTGGCCAGGGCCCAACAGGTCAAAACTACAAGATATGCTTGCTAACTTGAGAGATGTTGATGATCTGCCTGGATTACAACAGTCAGCCATGTCTCTCACCAGATCCAGTACTTCACGGCTTATTGAACAAGAAATCAATAGAACAGATGAAGGTGAGGGCTGCTGTGTGTGTAAGGGGTGCATTAGAGCTATTGCTTGAGAAAACGAGGCCTAATCAAGCCTGCCAGACCTCTCCGTTTTGGCCAAACTACACCCTTTAGGGCCCTAAATTGAAAGGGTGTTTTGCCGGCACCTTTGATGGGTTGATCAAGGGGTGCTAGCAAAATAGGGCTTTGGAAGATGCTTCTGAAGGCCTCTGCAGCCACCTGACGTCATTGTGACATTCAGGCCCGACAGGTCTGATGGCTGGGGAAAATAACAATCTGACATTTTTGGCCAAAAAGGGTCCCTACTCCTGAATTAAAGGAATCTGAACTAGTTGATATTTGAGCTTTTGCCTATTATTCTGTCAGCTTTGTATATGTGTTCTGAAGCGAAGATGATTTTTAGAAGATGCATGTTGTAGCAAGCATAAGCTTACAAGAAGTAATAATCCTTCCTATGTGAAAACAAAGGGGAAATCACAGGATGGAGCTTCCTACCTGTAGTTTTTATAATTATTTGTATTACAAATACATATGCTATACATTTCTCTTTAAAAAGAAATCTCCCCCAATCTGTTGTCCAAATATTTGGGGGCATCTTTTTAGCTGATTAAATGTTCTTAATCAGTTACTCCAACTAAGAGTTGATTAAATGCTCCATCCTTTCTTTGTATACATACTAGCAAACTTCCTTCCTTTCAGTTTTGTAAAGCTGCTGTTTTGCATGGTAATTCTTATGAGTAAATAAGATCGCAAGACTACTATGTCCTGAAAATTTTAACTTTGCTAGTATTTTTCAAGCACATGGCAAATTACAGAACCAACTCTTAATGTACCTTACCAATACATAAAGCAGGAGTGGATTAATGGTAGATCTGGATCTACTGGAAGCTCTGGATGATTTGAAGCAGAGTGACAAGGATTCTGACTAGTGTTCTCGTTTAGTTGTGTCCGACACTTCGTAACCCCATGGACCAGAGCACGCCAGGCACTCCTGTCTTCCACAATGGCAACAAAATGTCCGTCTTAAATTATGCTGCTAGAATGAAGAAAATTGGAGGCAGGGAGTATATTAGAAGAAAAAAAGGAAGGCGGGTGGGTGGGTGGGTGAAGAGAAGCAAGCAGCCAGGAATAGATTTTTGTGTGGAAAGACTGTGAGCTTACATAAGTTTTGGTGCTCAGAATAAATGTCTGGATTCAGAAGACTTTAATTCTAGGTGCTTATCTTTTGCACCAGTCTCTAGTTGATAGATATTGGAGGGAAAAATTAAGCAAGTTCTGAAAACAGTTCCCCATTGGCTTATATAAAAACATCACCATTCCACTGTCAACAAGCTAAATAATTGGTTTTCTTTAACATGTCTTCCAAGAAAGCCCTTTTGATTTCATATTAAACTTAACCTTGCTAAGTTTAAGGGGCAGTTTACACTCGATGAGCATCTCCTGGCCAGCATTCAAATGAAGGTACCATTTGTGTAGACCGGCATGTCCCCATGGGGGCTTTCCATTTCAGTTATTGTGGATGACACTTTTTGAGAGGCTGCAGTTGCAGAAGTCGCAGCTGATTCTTCCTCATGCCTCCAACTTGAACGCTGCCAGATACCGGCCCTGAAATCTCCCAGTTGCCAATTGCAAAGCCACCTCTAATCGTGAACTGGATCCAACTTCCTCTGTTTAAAACTGCTGTCTGGGCATATTTATAAATAGAAAATATGTATTTGTCATGTAATGGCTACTAGTCTGATTAAAACAGCTTCTGCTGGCTGCATTTTAAGAAGTGGATGTAGCACACTACATGGAACAAGTGCAGCAGAACACTGAACAATCAACAGCCCACATGCTTAAAATATATGCTTTGAAAGACAAAATGTTACTTAGCAACACTTTGAGAAGTGGGGGGAAATCTCCTTTTGCTTGGAACATTTTTTCCCCATCCCACATTGGGTTCACTGCTGGAAAGGCCTAGGTGGTAGTTTTTCCATGATTGCTCAGTTGGGTGTCCTGAGCTTTCAGTCTCAGCAATGCTTTGACCTTCACACAATTGGGCTGAAGGCTACCTTCGATTTTTGAATGGGTGTTCGATGTTTTGGCAAACTTATGGCGAGATTTAGGGCTTTTACAGGTGATCCCCCGCCCCTGGCCACCACCATGTACTGTTTTTACTTTGTTGCATTTTCCTAGCATTCAGAATGCAATCTTTTTATTTTTAGGAAAATACAAATGTGACGCACCCCCTTTTTGGCCCCATTGAATTTTGGGCTGAATATTTCATTCTCCCTTTGGAATCAATGGGACTACCTGAAAACATCAGAGTGAACTTGGATCAGGCCCATCTAGTCCAGCACTCTGGTCCCACAGTGGCCAGCCAGATGCTCCAAAGGATGCTTACAAACAGAACCTGAGCACAGCACTCATCCCACCCGCGATGCAACTGGTATTCAGAGGGCGTGGTGGAACTTGGCCTCTATGGCTAGTAGTCATTGATCACCTTTCCCCCCTATGAATTTGTCTAATCTTTTCAAGTCGTCAGAATTAGACGGGCCACCCCTGCCTCTTGTAGGAGTGGATTCCATCGTTTAATAATAATAATTTATTTGTACCCCGCCCATCTGACTGGGTTGCCCCAGCCACTCTGGGTGACTTTCAGCATATATAAAAACATAATAAAACATTACACCTTAAAAAGCTTCACCATACAGGGCTGCCTTCAGATGTTTCCTAAGTGTCATATAATTACTCATCTCCTTGACATCTGAAAGGAGGGCATTCCACAGGGTGGGCTGAACGATGGGGGTGGAGAGGCTCCTTCAGGTATACAGGGCCAAGACCATTTAGGGCTTTAAAGGTCAGCACCAACACTTTGAATTGTGCACGGAAACGTACTGGGATCCAATGTCGGTCTTTCAGGACTGGTGTTATGTGGTCTCAGCGGCTCCTCCAAGTTACCAGACTAGTTCAACTATGCATTGTGACTCAGTTGGTAGAGCATGAGGCTCCTAATCTCACGGTTGTGGGTTCAAGCCTCACATTGGGCAAAAGATTCCTGCATTGGACTAATCGGCCCTCGTAGTCCCTTCCAACTCTACAGTTCTATGATTCAAAGTTCTTTCCTGTGTCTTCCAACATTCAATTTCATTGGCTGTCCCTGAGTTCTGAGTGTTATACAAGTAGGTTCCACCTCTCAAATCAATTATATGGATGCCATTCTTTTCTTCCTACTATCCCAAGTTTGCTTTTCTTCCCCTTAAAACCAGAATAAGTGCAAAGGCCATCTCCAGACACTTGCTTTCTCCTCTTGCCCCACTGTACATATTACCAGTTTTGTATTGGATCTAGCACCAGTGTTGTGCCAGGAATGCCCTAAAATTTTGCTGTGTGGAAACAATTTGTTAAAATATTTATATATATTTAAAATAAAACATAAAATGCAAAATTATAAAACACACAAAAGAGGAGATGCATAAGATCAGATAGGAATAACAGATACTTTGTAGCAGTACTTTTTTTTTTAAAAAAAGCAGCAATGTTCATTTAAAATAGTGGTTATAAGATTTAATGGCAACTTCAACTAAGCAAAATAAAAACTCAAAAAATGTAAAGCAAGTATTAGCTCTTGTACAACATTGATATGAAGATTTAAATTGGCTTTATATTTGATACAAATATTTTCAAATAGTTCAACTTTTGTACATACAGTTTGTAGTAGTAGTAATAATAATAATAATAATAATAATAATAATAATAGACATCTAAGCAAACTGTAGAGGGTGTACCATACAAGGTGAGCCACCACTGAAAAAGCTCTGCTAAGAAAAATCTTTAGTTGGGTTCTTCTTTCTCTTGAGTTACTAATTTCCATTAACAAAAAATGAATGTCGGTTGTGGTTTTGTTTTGTTTCAGTATTCTGTAAAAAAATAATATCTAAATTACTTCTCAGCTTATTCATTTATGTATGTATTAATTTTTTATTCCTTGCCTTCCTTCAAAGGGGCCGAGGGTGGCAAATAAGTAAATTCAAAAACAATACAATTAAAATATATATCCTTCCCTAGAACTACAAAACACTTGAAGGAATTGGGTGGGAGAGGGGTGGGCATGCAAGAGTCAAATCCAGACCACCGTTTTCCTTTGTAATGAACCAATAGGCCCTGGAAGTCTCTTGCACAAATATTAGTGCAATCAGCCAAACAGTATTTCCTTTTTTAGTGCTTAATTGTTTTGAACAATTCTGAAGAAACCAGCTTCCGAGGTATGTATATTTAAGAACTTTATTTCTGGCAAAAATGGATTCTGCTGGTGCTGATTTGCGCATGTTAATTTCACTTTGTTTTGTAAAGAGCTTACTCTACTGAATTTCAATTGAACTGCTTATGCCAAGCTTCTGATTGTATGGAGTACTTAACTTTCATTTCTTCTCTTTCAGTGGAAGCTTTAACATTCCCTCCTTCATCCGGAAAGTCTTTCATTATGGGAGCAGACGAGGCCCTTGAAAACGAGCTGGGTCTTGGGGAACTAGCAGGCCTAACAGTAGCCAACGAGGCAGATTCTCTGACATACGATGTAAGTGCTAGTTTGTCACTGTTGCCTCTATTTTTCAACAGGTAAAAATTGTGATAGGAAAATAGGAAGAAGCTGCCTTATAATGAGTCACTGTTCCATCTAGCCCAGTCTGTCTACACTGTCTACACTGACTAGCCCAGTCTACACTGACTGGCAGAGGCTCTCCAGGGTTTTGGACCAGAGGCTTGGACCTTCTCTATGGAAAGCATATGCTTTACCACTGAGCTATGGTCCTTTTGATCTACCTTATAGGATTGTTACAAGGACATTTCCTTAAGGTAGGAGTGCTGCATGATGCTCTGAAAGTCACAATAAGCCCAAAAGTCTGGCTCACAGGCTGCTACAGCCTTCTCCACTCCCTCTGTCGCTTCCATGATCTCTGCTTCCTCCTCTGCTTTTTCATTCCCTCTTCCTCCCCACCTTTTTTCCTGATTTTCTTCCGAAACCCTTCCATTGGTGAAATGGTTGAGCAGCACTGTGGCAACAATAGGGCATCTCCTACCTCTTTGCAAAGACTCTTGGAAGCAACGTGGCTGGAGTGGCTGCAGTGCCATCTATAGGCAGTTCTGACCTCTGCAGCTCAACCATTTGAATGCAGCCGTGTTCCTTCGCTTTGCAGTGGGAGGGAGAATGTTCTTCCCTATCCTAGGTGCCAGACCTAATAGTATGGTTCCTTTGGTGACCAGACTTCTGGAATGTTGTGTTCCTGTACAATGCGTAGTTTGGAAAAATCATAATTTAACATGTAAGATTAATAAAACATGCAAACATGCAAGAATATGAAAGCTTGCATTCACAAGGGTGCTCTGCCATTTATCTCTTTTGCAATCGATTCTCATAAGTATAATCTGCTTACAGTCCTACAAATGATGTCTATGCTGTGCTGATCCCTGAACTACCCAAAGCTGCCTTAAGTAGAGGATGTTCTTTTACAGGACAATGCTCTGATGTGGCAGTAGTTATTTTAAAATTGGAAGTGGCTGCTCTTTCTAATGCATGGCCAAGATAAATGATTTATTGCTGACCATTTATTGCATACACTTCCAAAAGCTTTTCAGAGGCACTGAATGGGTTACTTTCCATATGAATTTATCAACTTGTTGGAGTCATCAGCCGAGGCCTTCCTTTCTATCTCACTAGCATTGGTGTCGCCTTGAGACAGGGCTTTTTCAGGAGCAGTGTTCAGACTTATTTTGCCAGCTGTTCATTATTGATTAATGATTGCATTGTATTTTGCTGTTCCATGCTGTACTTGTATTACAGTTTTCATCTGGTATTTTAATGTAGTGATTTCGGATTGTATCTTTCCATTTTGTAAGCTACTTGGGATGAAAAAGTGGAATATATATATGAAATAAACGGTGAAAGCATGTTTTAAAGAAGGAATAAGAATGAAGCTATTTTTGCAGATATTTAAAGAAGCCACCTCTTGTGTGGATGAAATAGTAGGGAGGAGGGCAGAAAGTATGCGGACATCCAAGAATATACGCAGGCTTTTATGGGAAAGGGGAGGTAAGCATAATAATTCAGAGCAAAGAGAAATTGATGAGAAGAGGGGAAGAGGAAAATGAGGGGCAGAGCTTGAAGTCTATTGATACAGCTGCCAACTGTTCATAAGGCATGCTGTGTATTTCTTAAAAGAGAATGCTTGTCCCCTCAAGGTTCCATCTCACGCTGTTTTGCAGGCAACACTGTTAGAATGAAGAAATGCAGGTCGTGCAGCTCTTGATGGTTTTTTGTTGTTGTTAGTGGCTGGAGGGTTAACTTTAATAGGAAAAAACAGTTGCATCTCTATTTTTTCTTGTTACTTTTTCTGCCACATAGTCCGAACTGAGCATTTGATAGCAGGAAAATGAAATACCATCTGTTTTGATAGTCCCCCGCCTCACATTGGCTAAACTGAAGTTTTGTTTTTATTACCACAGATAGCAAACAATAAAGATGCACTGAGGAAGACCTGGAACCCCAAATTCACCTTAAGGAGTCATTTTGATGGAATAAGAGGTCTTGCTTTCCATCCAGTTGAACCTGTGTTAATTACGGCATCCGAAGACCATACATTAAAAATGTGGAATTTACAGAAAACATCTCCAGCAAAAAAGTAAGATTGTGATTGTTAAAAGACATGTGGAGATTAATTTTTTAGACTAATCATTGTAGAAACATGGTAGCAACATAATGACTAGTTTAGGCCTGATTAATCCTCTCAAGGATAAATATTACCTGCTGACTCACTTATTGGGTTAAAGAATATTGTTTCTCTTCCAGAATGCATGCCAGTTGGATTTAAACCTTATAAACATTTATAAGTCTTATAAATGGCGCATGTATATATGTGATCGTGTATCATATCAAATTATATAAAAGCAAATAAAGGTCCTATTTAAGTAATAACCTGTTGCCATTATAAGAAAAGGGAACTTACTCATAGTCTTCGGTATTCTCCTATATCTCAAGAATCTTAGGAAGGATCAGTTGGTATTTACAGCCAAAAAAAAAAAAAAGGCAGCTGTTGCCGCAACAAGAATTGCTTGGTTCTGTGAATATTCATTAGAATGCTGCGGGTAGACCAGTGATGGGGACAGACTACCTCCAACACATGACACTGGTGTTAAAAGACCTGCACTGGCTTCCTGTGTACTATTGGGCCGAGTTTGGGGTTCTTGCGCTAGTGTACAAAACCCTGAATAACCTAGGCCCAGCATATCTTAACCCCAAGTTCATTATTGGGATCATCGGGGGAAGCCCTTCCCACAGGAAGTTCGACAAACACCATCTCTGCCCCTACTGAATCTTGGGACTCTTGGTCAAAACTGTTTTATTTAAGGAGGCCTTTTCACCCTGAATGCTTCTCAGATGTTTTACTTGAAAATTCTTGAGTTTTTAAGTTTTAGAGGTTTTAATTTATGTTTAAAATTTTGAATATTGTATGTTTTGTTGTTTTGTAAGCTTCTTCAAGACCTACATGTTGAAAAGTGGGATATACATAAATACATACTGTATATACATACATAAAATAGCTTTGCAATAGCCACATTTTTTGTCTTTTTCCTTACACAGTATATAGGCCACTGAATAGGCCTATATAGGTGGTTGGCCACTGAAATCAGCTCTTGCTGATTCTTTCACAGTCCTTTTTTATTCTTTCTTTGTTTGATTATGATTTTTACAAGGACACTTTGCAGAACAAGAAATGACTGCCCGTGGCTTATAAAAAGTGGGGAGGGGCAAAGACAAGGAGTCAGGGACACTTAGTGTGCATGTAGAGGTAAAAGTGTTCAAAAGCGTCCTGTCAGTTTAGGCCAGGCATAGGCAAACTCAGCCCTCCAGATGTTTTGGGGACTACAACTCCTATCATCCCTAGCTCACAGGACCAGTGGTCAGGGATGATGAGAATTGTAGTCCCAAAACATCTGGAGGGCTGAGTTTGCCTATGCCTAGTTCAGGCCAACCTGGAAGCAAACTTTTTCATGCCTTAACAAATATTTTCTGAACCTGTGATTCTGCTTTTTTCTTCTTTTTTTTAGGAGTGCCTCTCTTGATGTTGAACCTATCTACACTTTCAGGGCACACAAGTAAGTAAACATTCAGAAACTTCTTTCTGTTATCAGAGAATATAGCTGCAGCACTTGACAGAGTTCTCCTTTTATGGGATAAACAGTGTGTTGACTCAGCCTGTCAAATGGTCATGTGGTTTCTTGTGGCTCGAGCTCAGCTCACCACTCCTCTAGTATGCTAGTGAACTCTTCCTTCCAAAAGGGGTGGGGCTGGTAAAAGCTGCAGCTTGGCAATGTAATGGTGCAATCCGAACTGCAGTTCAGCCTCTGGTGAGGCAGATTGCATTAGCCTTCCTTTCTTTTTTTGCTTTTTTCTCCTTCCGCCTTTCGCTTGTGTGGTGCTAGTGTCTTGCTATGTACCACACAGAGCACAGATACAACACTTACTTACCAAGAGGGACTTAGCTGTCTTCAGCATGTGAATTGGAGAGGGATGGCCAAAGAGGTTGATAAGTGTGCAGCAGGGATAGGGAAGGGACAATTTAAAAGTGGTTGAGAATGGACTAAAAAGCGAGGTTATGGCCAGAGCCATCCCACGACAATGCGCCCCCCCCCCCCGAGGTGGGCTGCTGCCACGTTTTCCCCCCTGAACGATCAGCATGAGCACCACCAGCACTTCCAAGGCCATCTCATCGAAGAGCAAGGCATTGTGCGTGACATGGCCCTGGAGGGCAGCTTCACTACCTCCGGTGTTTTGTTGCAGTATTAGCACATACTGCTTAAATTCTTAATGTTAAACAGTATTTCCTGCTGTTGCAGCAGAGCCGTGCTCTCTGAAGCCACCTCACCCACAATGCTTTGCTCAGAGCGAGGTGAAGACCAGCACTCAGGAGGCAGCCTATCTGAGTGCTGCTGGCCACTTCCCTGCAGAAGCAAATGCTGTTTTACTTACCACAGCAGCGAGTGAAAGTGGCGCTCTGCAGGTGGATGGCAGCAGTGGCAGATAACGCCATGGGCTGCTGATGGGGGTGTGATCTGCTGCCAGAGCCCTGTAGCTTATGACCTCATTGGCCCCATTATGGCAGTTCCGTAAATACCTTGTTGAGGGGATCACGTAGAGGAGGAATGTATGCCAGGGGGCAGAAGGAAAAAATGTTTCCTGTTAATTATGTTGCTTTGAAGGTATACGTCACATTTCATTTTCTTCAGTAATGTTTTATTGTGGATTGTTTTATTGGTGTTTTAATGTGTTGTAAACCACTCTGAGATTTTTTTCCCCTTAAAAATATAAAGCAGTATAGAAATGAAAATATTTGAAATAAAACTCCACTAAATCAGTATTGCTTCCTCTTGCAGCAGTCCTGTGCTTTGTGTGGTAATGAGTAATACTGGTGAGCAGTGTTATAGTGGGGGAACTGATGGCCTCATTCAGGGCTGGAATACTACAAACCCAAATATTGACCCTTATGATTCCTATGGTAAGTGTTCCCCTCCCCTTTTTTTTTTACAGGTTTCTCTTTTGGCGGGGGGCAAGGGAGCACATTAAAAATGCACAGCAGCTTATTGAATGCAGTGCAACTCACTATGAAAAAGGAAAAACGGTTCTATTCAGAAACAAAATGCAGCTTGAACCGGGTGAAAGAGAAATGCCTGATAAGAGATCACACGAGATAGTTCTGTAATTTGGAAGCAATCTTGGCTTAGGATCCCAGTAATAGGAAAAAAGATATGGAAGAGGGTCATGATGTATTATTGCTTTGGAGGTAGACTGAGTCAGCAGTCAGTGTTGTCAGGAATTCTGCAGTTAAGGAAGGACTAGAGGGTTTGTAAACTGCCATTAGAGCATCTTTACAGCACTTAATATTTATAAAGAAATCCCATTTCCCCTTGTATTGTGCATTTTTTTCATCCCACAGATCCCTCAGTCTTAAGAGGTGCATTTGTAGGCCACACGGATGCAGTGTGGGGCTTGGTTTACAGTGGAGCACACCAGCGCTTGCTCTCCTGTTCAGCAGATGGCACTATCCGTTTATGGAAAGCTTTGGAGATCTCTCCAGCTCTGAACATATTTAATGATAATCAAGGTATTTAATAAATCTCCTGGATTGTAACACTATCAAAAGGAACGTCGCTTTTAATTATCCATACTTCTGTTTATAACCACACTCTGACATAATTGTGCAATACAGGTAGGTTGATTTTAGTATGCCATCGAGTTTTAGTGGATTCCCAGCATCACTACATTGACGCTTGCTGGGAAAGCATGAGAGGAGAATCAAAACCCCACTTGCCGGTTGCATTTGTTTTGAAGGATGTGTGTGTTGCAGAATCTCACAACTGGTTTTTTTTATAAAGTAGCCACTGTTAATAGGACATGTTGATTGCTGTATTTGGGGCATTATAATGAGAGGTTCATTTTTAAGCAATAATGCAATAGTAAGTTATGTAGCAAACCACTAGATTTGAATCTTGCTGTTTTCCTTCTGAGGCAATACATTAGAAGTTTTAAAATGGAAAAAAATGTACAACTATTATTGTAGCACACACACTGGAGAGCACTGAACACTTCTTTATCATAGATTCTAGGGTTCATGTTTAAGAAATATTTTGGCTTCAGGGAAAGCCTGGACAAAAAAACAAAGCTTCACAAGATGTCTGAAACAGTTGACAACTGCTTTGCATATGGAAGAATGAAAGGCATTCCATAGTCAGGGGCAATATGAGAAAATGCCTGATTTGCGTCGGTCAGAATCCATTCACTCGTTGGGTATGATCTCATCCAGTGACAAGAGCATAGCATTCTGGGAGGCTGGCATCTCCTCTCTCCGTTTTTCTCTGCTGCCAATGGAGAGAAATGCCTGTTTCCATTCAGGTCACCGCCCTATGATGTGTGATGCATAGTTTACCAGATTTCATGAGAGATTCTGCTAGATGACATGGGCCTTACAGCAGAGCTGCTATAGCCTAGACCCGAGCTTTCCAAACTGCGTGTCAAACACGTTAGCGTGTCGGCTGCAATGTGTTGTGCGAATGTTCCCCATGCTCTTCCCAGGACTGGAAAGGGGTTAGTTTAATCTCCAGTTTGCTAGTAAAACTGAACTACTGTGTCGTGAAATGATTCATGTCTAAAAAGTGTGTCACTAATGTGAAAAGTTTCCAAAGCTCTGACCTAGACTCTCTTTTCTTGTCTACCCTTCTGCCTTCCTTTCTGAACCTTTGTACTTGCCCACCCAATATTAATCCATAAGACATTTGTGGTGCATTAGTCAGTATACTAGCTCTTGCTACTCTGCTCTTCTTGGGCATGGTGGGTGCACTGCACATCTCAGGTTACAGCAGGTCCTGATACCTATGTAAATGTAACGGGTTTGAGGATTGATTGGCTCATTACTGAAACAGAGTTCTAATATTCCAACATTCACACATCTGTTTGGACACTTGAGAAACCATATTTCTTGCTTTTACCAACTTGGCTGGAAAATTTGAAATGACTTCTAGATTTGTGCCAAGAAAATGAATGAATGTGGCTGCTTTCAGGTAGTGGCTAATGGACCAAGCTTCCTATTCTTCCTAACACTCTTCTGCTTTTGTAGAGATGGGGATTCCCTCTTCTGTGGACATTGTGAGCAGTGACCCAAGCCACATGGTAGCATCCTTTAATAGTGGCCACACAAGCATATATAACATGGAAACAAGACAACGCATCCTTAACTTGGAGTCCAACGCAGATACTAGTATGTATCCAAAGGGGTTATTTCCATGTGTTTTCATTGTTCGTGTTTATATTGATAAAGTCTGAGACCATCATGCATAGAAGGGAATTAAATGAAGTGTTCTTCCATTTAGGATACCGATGTTTGCACCTAATCGTCTTTGATGGACTGCTGGCGTCAGTCCACATGGGACTGATAAATCTAGCCATAAATGTACTCTAATACAAACAATTCTGAAAGAACAAATATGAGGAAATAGCAGATTAGCTGTCTTATTCTCCCTGACCCTCATCACCCACTTGCCATGCTTCCTTATATGATCCATAGGTATTTTGGGCTTCCTTAAATATTAGGTTTTCACCATCCCCTATGCAACTGTATGGTGTTCCTGAATTATACGTAGGTTAGTTTGAGAAGCAGGATGACAATATATTGAATGAGCATAGTAAGGTACAAGTAGATTGAGTGGACTGAACATGTTGGGATTTTTGCACCAGATTGGCCTGCTAAATCAGGTCGTTAGTCTTTCCAATAGCTTATTTCAGAGGTTTTCAACCTTTTTGGGTCCACAGTTTCCTTGACCAACCACATGCTTTTTTGCAGCACCCCTGTGGAGCTCAGGAGCCCAGTTATGCCACCCCTTGCCTGCAGAGCCAGCAGCCCCTCACCCTTTTTCGAACACCCTCCCTTGTGGTGTGTCCCCTCAGCCTCCTCTCTGCTCCCTTCTCCTTGGGGCTGTTCTCTGGGCAGCTGCATCTGCCACTCCTGGTCTCTGAGCTGCCACCCCGGCCCAAAGAGACTGCCCCACAGGGGCCTGGGAAGCACCCCCTGGCCAGCCCCAGGGGCACCTGGGGAGCTTGCAACAAAGAGCTGTACAAACCTTTGGGAGGCAGAGATGCAAGAGGCCATCAGAGAAAGGGAGTGAAGGAAAGAAGGACAGAGGCCAGTGTTGCCTGCGGCACCCCTGATCAGTCAAGGCACCCCAGGGTGCCACAGCACACTGCTTAAAAACCACTGACTTATGTGAATGAAATAATTTTTCTGTGTTGACTGTGTTTGCACTTGTTCATTCCTTTAGCAGTCACCTCTTCTTGCCAAATAAACAAAGTAATCAGCCATCCAACTCTTCCAATTAGTATCACAGCCCATGAGGATAGACACATCAAATTCTATGACAATAACACAGGTAAGCATAATTCTTCCCTCAGTAGGTCGTAACATAAAAAAACAAAAATATCATGAAATTGTCTGAAGTCCTACCCATTTAGAGAGAAATTTTGAAATTGAGGTTTGACAGTTCTATGACTTGTAAAACAGATGAGAGGAATACAGTGGTACCTTGGTTTACAACCATAATTGGTTCCGGAGGTCCAGTTGTAAACCAAAACAGGTTGTAATCCAAGGCACGCTTTTGCCGATGGGGCCTCCCCCCCCCCAAAAAATGGTTGTTATAAAAAAAAAGGTTTGTAATAAAAAAAATGGGTTGTAATCTAAAAAAAGGGACACACGGTTCCGGGTTTGACATGGTTGTAATCCAAAGCGGTTGCAAACCAAGGTACCACTGTAAAGGGTTATTGGCTGTGCAGAAGGAATTGGTGTGGCTTAGCATTTGAGTTACAGCTTTAACATCCTTCCCAGCCAATCCCGATGTTTGTCTTTGCTACAGAAAAGCGGATGATCCACAGGATCATGGAGGGAAATTTATGCATCCCTAATTTCCACACTGCACAAGATGGAATTGCTGCCAAAGCTTACAGATGCTTGTGTGTGTTTGCCTTTGTGTGTGTGTCTAAATAGGGTCGCGGGTGGCGCTGTGGGTAAAAGCCTCAGCGCCTAGGACTTGCCGATCGCATGGTCGGCGGTTCGAATCCCCGCGGCGGGGTGCGCTCCCGTCGCTCGGTCCCAGCGCCTGCCAACCTAGCAGTTCGAAAGCACCCCCGGGTGCAAGTAGATAAATAGGGACCGCTTACTAGCAGGAAGGTAAACGGCGTTCCGTGTGCTGTGCTGGCTCGCCAGATGCAGCTTGTCATGCTGGCCACGTGGCCCGGAAGTGTCTGCGGACAGCGCTGGCTCCCGGCCTATAGAGTGAGATGAACGCACAACCCTAGAGTCTGGCAAGACTGGCCCGTACGGGCAGGGGTACCTTTACCTTTACCCCTTCTAAATATCTGAAAGAGGAGCACTTAGACTCTTTACCCTTGTTCTTAAAGCCCCATGTTCTCCATGTTCACCCATAGTGAAGGAAAATATGTAAATCATAACTGTTAGAAAACTTGCAGTCATTTCGATTGGTATCTTAATTATGTGCTTAAAACAAAAACACACACAATGCATCATATTCCAAAGCTAGGCACCGTGTTAATGAACTCTGTTATTTAATTCTATAAATTTTGGTCCAGGTGTTTCCTGCTTGGTTTGGCAAAGGATCAGTAGGCAGAGTTAATACAAGCAACTTTGTTAAACCTGAGCCACTAGATAACTTCAGCCTTGTGACTTGCAAGGTTTGCTTTCAAAAGCTCATATCTAAGCTGCCTAGGAGTTCAGACTCTGTTTTCCGTGAATTGAGCTACCTTTTCTTTGATGTAGCAAACTGAGCTCAGGGTAGGTTTTGCTTTGCACTTGGAACAACAAAAAAGTGGGGGTACGTATGAATGATTAACATACTGTATCAAAGCGCTTGTAGAAATCTCTGCTTTACCTCTGCATCTCTGCATAATATATGGATATGGCAACTAAGGCAGGATTGGGTCATTGCTTCCATCTTAAAGGGGAATGTTGAAGGATTTATTTGCAAGTATTGAGCACAAATGATGGGCGGTCGTTATCCATTTTGTATCTGATTATGTGAGAATCCACCCTTCTGCAGTTTACTTCAATTGATAGTAACACTATTCAGGATAGGGATTTCAAAGATATGTGCCAGGACACACCACTCTGCTGTGAAAAATGCTGAAGTGTGCCTTGTAAAAACTCACGCACTGTGATGGATGCATTCTACCTTTTCTCCATCAGAGTGGTGTGACCCCGTGCATTGTTAATTCTCCCACCCCCATTACTATATGGGCAGTGACATCACAAAAGAGTGAACAAGGGTGTGCCGGGATGTCGCCTGTACAGGGAGCTCCCAGAAGTAGAACCATTACCCTGAAACAACCTGTTCCACCCCTGATTGACTGGGCAAAGTGGGGAAGTGGGATGCAGAGCAGCAACAATCTGTGTGGCAGCTGTAAGGAAGATGCCTGCTTATTTCCGTGGGAGCTAATGAGTAAAAACCTGTCTAGGTTGTACCTAATGGTGCAGGAGCAGAGTTCAACTCATTTCCACTCTTGCCCCTAAAATCTGCTCCAGGCCCCCAGAGCTGATTCTGAGGGTGTGCAGGGGCTGGAAGGGACAAGAGAGGAGCACATGCATGCGCAAAAATATTGTGCAAGTGGAGCTGCAGTGTTGGACCCTTTGGTGTGTTTTTTAGGGTGAAAGTGAATGCTACCTTCACTTTTTTAACTGCGGGAAGGCGCCTGAACCAGGTACCAAATTTGGGAAGCTGAGCTCCAGGAAATAACCGGGAAAGTGAAAGTGACCAGCACAGAGACACAGTCAGGCGATCACTTTCCAAAGGGAGGGGGGCTGTGCTCATATTCAAAGATCCTTTGTTTCAGTGAGAATAGTTGCTAGTATGCTTGATATCAGTATCATTTCCCGTAAGTTCTGTTAAAGCTCTGTATTGCATTAACTGATGACAAGTTGTTTTTTTAAAAAATAATGTTTTATTTCAAAGGAAAATTGATCCATTCCATGGTGGCCCACTTGGATGCAGTCACAAGTCTCGCTGTTGATCCTAATGGCTTGTACTTGATGTCCGGCAGTAAGTACATCCCACATCCACTCTTAATCCACTCTTAATTAAACGTAACTGCAAATCTAAATGTTTTTCCTCTTCTTTGTCTAACCTAGGCCACGACTGTTCAATACGCTTATGGAACCTTGAAAGCAAGACCTGCATTCAGGAGTTTACGGCTCATCGCAAGAAACACGACGAATCCATTCATGACGTAGCATTCCATCCCTCGAAATGTTATATCGCCAGTGCCGGAGCTGATGCGCTTGCTAAAGTCTTTGTATGACGCAATATTTCTCTCCCTCTCTAGCTGCCGTGTGTATATATATATATATATACAACAAGCTGTACAAATGACAAGGGCAAGAGCCTCCTCTTCATGCCCTTTAATTCAGTGAATGTTAGCAAATGGTCTAGGGTTATATTTCTTTCTTTTCTTTCAGGGTGCTCTTTTCTAAATAAGGGGTTCCTTGGGTTATATGAGCTCAGCTAGTGCTGAGAGCTGGGAAACCCTCTGTTTCAAATGGTCCATACAGAAGAACCGTTTTTATTTTTGAAGGTGTCAGTATTTGTCCAGGCCGGCCTTGGGCAAAATGAGATCCTCTGTTAACAATATGTGCAGTCCAGTGTGGGCAATAAGGAAGCAGAAAATCCAGTTTCTGTAGGATGTGGGTAGATAGAAACTTTTCTGCCTGTTTTTCCCCTCGAGAATATTACCCATATATTTCTGTAAAATAAGCCTGAATTTGGTGATGTAACTCTTAGAAATACAATATAAATATTATTTCTTCTCTTTTTTTTACGTATTGTACGGTTGAATGATGTACAGGAGAATAAGGCTTGATTTTGTCTCAGCCTGCTGGCTGTTACATTAGGTGGATTGGGTTTAAACATCAAATATGAATGCAGTTTCCCTAAATTGTATTAAAGCAGATATTAACAAATGCTTTAAAAATGTATGTTTTATTTTAAGCCTTTGAAAGAATTTGTTAACAAGTGACTGGCACCACAGTTTACAACAGGGATGAGGCTTAATTCAGATGTTGATGACTCTTCCATTCATAGCTAAGCTCAGTAAAATTATGAAACTTCCCTTTTCAGTAAACAAGAAATTATATCTGTGTAGGCTTTAACAGGCCTTACTGTTGAAATGCATGTTATTGGCATCCAAATAATTTTCATTATCTTGAATAAACCTGCTTGGATACCCCTCCCCTCTCCAAATCTTACTCACACACTCATGCATAGAAGTGACCTCTCTGTGATTCAGTCTTTGGCTGCTAAGAATAGTGTGTGTATATATCTAGTGAGAGAGTTATTTAATCAACTATGTGGGTGGGGCCTGTCTGGAGGAGATTTTCTGCTTGGTACTCACCCTTGTAATAGGGTGGTGATTGGCAGGAAAAGGGTGTAGAGTTGGCCAACGTGATTGCCAAATTTACAAACTCCACAGCAGCAGGAAGCTGTTTTCATGGGGTGTGGGTGTGTAGAGCAGCCTTCACCAATTTGGTGCCCTCCAGATATTTGAACTACAATTCCCAACTGCCCCAGCTGACACAATGGGTTGGAATTGGTTTTTGGAAGAATTTGGAATTCATAAAAATATGCCTTCATTTTTTTTGGAATAACTACCACACAATCCAGAAAAGAAACCATTTATTCTCTGTCATTGCATTACCAGCCTTAGGTTTGAACATGTTTTCTGCATTTGGTACTAAAAATATGTGGCATACCTATTTGTAGAAGTTTACACTCTTGCAGATTCTGATGTGCAACATGTTTCCCTTTAATGGAATCAAAACTATTACCAATAGATCTCAAAATGTTCAGGGTTCGTTAAATCCCAATTTTGAGTCAAAGCAGAAAGACCAACTGCATCAAATATACTTATCTATATGTGACTTCTGTGTATGTATCCCTTCTCTCTGTGATCTTATTTTTAAAAGGATTTTGCAAAGATTTATTTAGAAAAACAAATACATAAAGTTGTGTATATTGTGTGTGTACATATATATATATAGATATATATATAGAAAGAGAAATTGTAAACAGTATGTATTAAATGTGTCTTAAGGGAAGATTCTATGGGTAATTTTAATGTTTTAGTATTAAAAATTCTCCAGACTTTGTTGCGTACAAAGGATAAAAGGTATGGTTATTGTGCTTTTTGCTTAAGCAATATAATACATAGTTGCTGATGTTTAAATTGCTGTACATACAACTAATAGACCAGCATGCTTATTTTGGAGACTCCCATTTTGATTAAATTATGAATGTAAGAAAAAAGTTGCTTTTCAAATGTGGATTGGAAGTTGTTCAGTCCTGCTTAGTGGGCTCCTGATCCAAGTGAAGCGACTTTAAAAACAGGCAAATAGCTAGAGGCTGAGGTGCCTTTTGACAAACAAAAAATGTAGCCTTACCACGAGGTTGTGGACTCTGTATTTGTGTTCTTCTCTAGACTCTGTTAGTGTCTGTCAGTCTTCTCTGCTTGTGTACTATAGACTGCATTGTACTGTGCACAAATATTATAACTTCTTCAAGATGCTATCTTCAGTTAGAGATGAAAAAGACCCTTTCTAACCTTGACTGACCTATTCTGTTTATCTGCAAGTATTGGGTTGCACTACCATTGTGGATTTCTAAGCATTTGGTTAACCTCCAGACCACATTCTTTCCTTTCCCCTTTTGCCTTTACATGACCCTGTTGCAGCTGGCCAGGTGAGCTGCCTTCATTCGAATGTTAAGATCATGTCCAGCGATATCAAAGTTCTGTCTGTGGGTTTGATCTCTGAGGAACTGTTGTACATATGCCCGTTATCTGATGCTGTGATCGTTGAGCGGGGAACCTGCATGCATGAGCTTAATTCTAGAAGAAACTTGTGAACCAACAATGCACAGGTACCTTCTCTGATTCGTTACAAGAACACACCATAGCGTAACTTTCCCTCCCTTTCCTCCTTCCTTTGTAAACAAGGGGAGGAAATTAGAGTCTTGACAAAGCACAATTTTCCATTTTTTTCCTGGATATGAGAAACACTGGTTTGTTCAAAACATGGATGCTTTGCAAGCCGGGATCAGAGCCATAGTTGGATGAGACAGTTTGTTATAAACCACAAATGGATGCTTAAAAAGTTCCCACGCATATGTGGGTGGGTGGGAAGGAAACAGTGCTTCATCCCAAGGCCCACCCATTGCAGCACATTCTCATAACAACTGTGCATAGTTGATTTTTGTCAGAGTCTTACATGTGTGTGCAAGTGTATGGTTAATGTAACCCTCCAAAGGTTGGTGGACTACAACTCCCATCATCCTTGACCATTGGCTATAGTGGCTGGAATTGTTGGGAGTCAGGAGTTCAGCAACATCTGGAAGGCCAGTAGTTGTCCACCCCTGATTTAGATACAGTGAAAAATGTAGGAAAATGCTGAAGTTTAAAAACATAAGAAGCACTACACACAGACAGAAAAGGTATGTGGTATAGCCCTTCTGGTTATGTATCTTTTCAGCATGCAGATAGGAAATTGAATATTTCAGTGTTACCCCACGTCAAGAAACCCTGCAAGTAGAAATATTCAAGAATAAGGCTGGGCTACAACTCTTCTTGAGACCTAGATTTTCCACAGGGAGGGTTATTGGTGTGCAGAGCTTCCCTCATTGACATTCTGAATAGGTACATATCTCTGTCATAAAGCCCCAGGTTCAATAATTTGAGGAATCGGGACTGGGAAAGTCACCAGAGAGCTGCTACCAGTTATTATCAGCAGACTCTGTATAAGGCAGCATCAGATGAAGTGTAAAGGGTCCAGAAAGGTTGTACCAGATGCTGCTCTTGTGCTTTGATTGACCTTAAGATCTTTAACCAAACGACTTTGAAGTCAAATGTATTGAAGATTGAACAGCTTAACTTCATAGTTGCCATATTAAGACAAATCTTATGTGGTTTACTTTTAGAGTCTAAGCACCCTTTTTGAACCCTTACTTAGAATCTACATCGCAATGAATTTGACAAGTTGTGAGCTTAGAACAGAGTTATCTCAGACCTGGGAGCCCAAGCAGCCCCTACAATCCTCGTTCCCTGGCCTTGGGAACTCTCCCCAGCTCTCACTCTTCCTGCTTTGCCTAGCAGGAATATGTGCTTGAACTCTGATAATGCCTCTTTCTTTTCTGGATGCAGGTGAGGTAAAATTTACCTTTGTTGCTCCTTCCACTTTTATTTCTGGCCCTGCACACCACTGGCGTATTGCTCGGAAGAGCTGCAAAAGTTCCCCCGTCCCTGACATAGAGTATATTCAGTGGAGTGAACCTCCGGGGCTGAAGTCAAACCACTGCGATAGCAGCACTGAAGCGACCTCCCTAGGGCACAGGCCTGGGCTGCCCAGACAACAAGACCCCCCTCGGCGTTGCTGATATGGTCCAAAGGAAGACAGAGCAATACATTTGGCCTAAGCAGTGATGAAAATGTTGGCTGATTCAGTAGTCTTGGGGGTGGGGGGAGCAGTTTTAAAAATCAGAATCTTCTGCAGCATAGTGAATGCCAGAATATTTTAAAAGTTCAATTTCCCCCAATAAGCTTTTCATGCATAGATTGATAAATTCACACTGCAGTTGATCAGAAGATACGCTTTCTGCTGTTCATGTATTGGATACACACTGAAGTTGACATAGAACTTAAGTGTTTCAGAATTGCCTTTAGGTTCTGAGTGGACGAGGTCTGAGAATTCTAACTTTTTTGCACTCAGTTTGAATGGGGAGATCCTAATTTGATGTGAGTTCTGCGGCATATTTGTCCCAGTACTCAGAAAAGTTACACAGCTTTTTGCCAAGTAAAACACACCATTGCTTACATGGATAACTTAATGAAAACCAACCAAATTATATAAGGAATAATTGGAGGTTTCAGACTGAACCATTTTTCTTGCTCCTTTTGGAACTGGTGTTCTAATATAAGTTGGCTTCTAGGTGGACACCTTCCAAAATATTTCCTGCGATAGTCAGATGTCCATGATAAACACAGATTTTAGTGCCACAGCATCTGTGCCATTTTATATAAAGCACAGGACAGCTTTTGAAACCAGACAAAATATGTAACATCTTGTAACTGGGCAGCCCAAATTAACTGAAAGGGTCTCTTGTACTGTGTTCTTGGCTTTCTGAAACTCTGCAAGCTGAAAACACAGATTGACAACAATATTTCACAGTAATGTGTGCTGGGCAGATTTACCAATAGCAGTTCTTTTGAAGGGAAAGGAAACTATATTAGAATACTTTGTCTTACTGACTAAACTCATTGCGGAGGTGGGTTAGATCTGCATGTTACTCCATGCAACTCTGGAGCCAACACATTGTATTTTAGATCGAAAACTTGTATTAATCTTGATTTATATATTGTGAGATCATCTCCATTTCTTTTAACAGGCTAGTTCGTATTTTCCGCATGTTGGCCAGCTGTTTTCTTTTTATACATGCCTCCATGCTAGATGTTAGCAAAATTGCTAGGCCACCACTGGCTTTTGTTCTCTTGCAGCGGTTTTTCCTACTCTTCCAAATACTAAAGACACTTGAATTTAAATAATTTTGATTTTTACTGCTTGTTCTTTAAACACTTGTATTTTAAAGTCCCATTCTCATCTTTAAAGTAGAGGCTGCTGATGGTAGCCTGGAAGTGCAAGGTGTGTTCTTCATTCCTGACAAGGTAACTATACCTTGCTTCCATTGCTAAAATACAGTTGAACTTAAATCGGAACCAGTTTTGAAAAGGGATGTGGAAACTTAATGGAAGTAGCCACCCTTCTGCACTTGCATAGTGTTTTGTTTCAAGGGAATGTTCCAGCTGGTTACTAGGGATCATAACATTTGACGCTTTTATCATGTTGGGAATAGCGGCAAGATAGATGTGTATATGGGAATAGCTGAAATATGAATAGGCTACAGAATGCATGTGAGGAGTGGATTAAATTAGGACCAGTGTGAGGTGTGTACTATCCATTTTCTGATGCATGAATGGTCAGTTGCACCCACAGAGTATGGCTGGTTGCTTAGTCTAGTCAATCTTTCTAAGAGCAGTCATGCTCACCTGTCCTCATGGTTCCTGTCTTTATCATGGGTAATAAATTGCATATTGTTCATAGATCAACCGAGAATAGTTCTTGTAGTAAAAGATGGAGGGATGCTCCTCAATGAGCATGTGACAGTACTCTTTGGTTAAATACAATCAGCCTTTTTGCTTGTATACAGAATAGTCATTTTGGTGGAAAATCTCTACAGTGCAGTCGTATGAGGTAAGCCCCACTGCGTTCAAAGGGGCTTACTCCCAAGTCAGTAAATATAGGATTGATACCTTAGTATTGATGTGGAAGTTTTAATGTTACAATGTGATATATTGATTCTTCCAAATTTTGACCAACATGTTATCTAGGGGTGTGAATCAATGTTGCCATTGTTTTCATTGCTTTAGGAAGATTGAGCATTAATGGGGAAAGCAGTGTTGGTAGTACAGTTTAGGCACGAAGTTCTCACCAGAAAAAGACTCTTTGTACTCTAGAGTTGTCGCTTTCCTCTGAGAGACCATTATTTCATCCCCAAAAGTTCAAAAATCATTAGCAGCAGAGTAATGTGTGTTTGAAGAACCATTTTCAATATTTCGCCATTTTTCTCAAAACTAGATAAGTTGCAAAAGCATCAATAGTACCTGGTTTTTGTTTGTTTTTCAGTCTTTTAATAGTTAACTGCCTTTAAAAGTAAAGAACAGCAAAGCAGTTTGTGGAAGATTTTGAGTAAATTTGTTCTGGAGGTTGAGAAAGTTGTTCTCATTATTAAATACAAAAATAACTTCTGTTAATACCTCACATAAATGAGGCAATGCTGAGGTACTAATGAAGGCAGTGGCACTGAAGAGTTGCAAAGTGAATTTCTGTGTACAGTACCTACATTCTATGTTGAGTAAAATCAAATGGACCTTCCTGAAGTAACACTATACAGAGCAGCTTTACTAAATATTACCGCAGCAAATAAATGTCCTTTGTACTATGTATTTATGTAAATTGGGTGCTAATAAATACTATTTTTCAACATCTTTGTGTGTGTTCTAAATGTATATTACAGTTTATGGAACCTCTCCAAAAATACAAGCCATAGGTGAAAAAAGCCTCTTTATATGTCATCATTTGCTCCACAGACTTTATGAATTACATTTTTACTTCAGAAAACTCAGAGGTAACCATGTTGGTCCACTAGAAAAGAAAAAAATCAAAAGCGGCCATAGGGCAATTATTTCTTTGAATTCCTGATTTTGTTTGTTTTTATGTTATTTTTATTTTATTGTTATGTTGTACACCACTTAGATTTTTTAAAACATTAAGCAGTTTATAAGCACTTTTAAATTAAAAAACGCTTTTAATCCGTATCAAACAGAATATCTTAAAGTAGTAAGTATTTGAATTCTCCAGAACTCTTAATTAAGTTGGGTATTTGGCAGAACAAGGGAGTATTCTTTTTTTTTTAAAAAAAAGTTATTTATGCAGCATGCGTTATGCAGGCTAAATTAATTAAGGATCTGCTAAATACAAAACAGATTGCAGTTTGCATTGAGGGCTGCTGGATGAAAGTGTCAAAATGGTGGTTCTCCCTTAAAAAAACACATGTTCTGCCTTGTCACAAGAGAAAACTGTGTGATGTAATAAGTAGACACTTCCATTCTCTTGGAATTAATTGTGAATTTATTGCTAAAGCCGAAAATACTGATGCTTGTAACTTGCCTGAGCCATCAACAAATAATGATAGCACATAGGAATGTCTTGGGTTGCTCTATATTGCACTTTAATACTGAAATGAATGGGATATTTCACACAGATTATAAAGTACAAATAATTTCTGTTGTTTTTTTGAAACAAAACTATGTAGAGCACTTTACTGATTTGGAAGCCCTTTCCCTAACGCTTCATGCATGTGGACCATAAATACTGCAAGTAAATAAAGTACTGCTGAGAGTAAACACATTTGAAGGCACTTTCATACACTGCACTAAGGCCCATGAAAACATGTTGGGGTTGAATCCTAGCACACAAGTAAGCTTGAGAATATGCAATTGGAATGCAGTGCAGGCTTCTTCAGCCATTACTTCAATCCCACTGTAAAACTTTCAGCACTAATGCAATGTAGAATAACACAGTGGTCCATCTAGTCAGAATTATAAGGCTATTTAAGAATGGACCAGTCTAGATGTTTGAGGAGGGTCCAAGCTTGGAGTGGAACACATGCTTGACTTACTGAAAGTCTCCCTCCCATTTAGGATTTCCAGTAGTATTGCTGCGAAAGACCCAGGCGGCAAACCTGGAGTGCTTGGGAGAGCCAGACTGAGCAACATGAACCAATGGATCTGATGCAGCACAAGGCAGCTTCTTATGTTCACAATCCTAGGAAGCAAAAAGGGTCTACTCATGCCTTCTTTACAAGGGAAAAAGTCCATAAGCAGGCTTTAGTTTCAGGAGTTAGAGGGGGGGAAAGGTTTATTGGGTTTGTGTAAGCTTTCTTTTTCCTCCAAAGCAAATGAGATCTAGGACACCCTTTTTGTAACTTTTATTGCAAAAGGGTACAGCAAGTTATTTTTTAAAAAGCTCTTTAATGTAGGTGCATGTGCAGAGAGGGGAAAGTTAAAATAATATTTACAAACTCATGTTTCATCCACAAATCCTTTGCAAATGTTTGCATTCAGCTGCATTCTTTGCACTTGTCTTCGTTGCAGAAGATGCGGAGAAATACCGTGTATAAACCGACTTTTTCAGGGAGGCAAGGCAAATGATGATGATGAGATAAAGTCCTAATGACGATTTAAAAATAAATCTCCAAGCCTGGATGGTGTAGACACCCAAGAGTTCTTAAAATAACTCAGATGCGATATTGCTGCTCTTATGTAATAATATGTAAGAGGCCTCTGTACCTGAGAGCTGGGAAATAGGCAACACAGCACCACTTGTGGGGGAGGAAATCCAGGAATTCACAAGCCAAAAAACCTAACATCTGTTCTAGGAAAACTGATGAAAAACATGAAAGATACAACTAGCAGATACACAATTGGTAGGGAACCTTGGATCCTTCAGCTGTCGCTGAGCTTCATCTCCCATCAACCCCAACCAGCATGGTCAATACTCAAGGCTGACCATGTAGCTGTAGTCCATATGCAAAGCCAAATGCTCCTCAATACTGATATTTTGACTCACAACAAATTCTTTAAAGGCTGAGTCCTGTCAACAAGCACATAGGTGTGATCCACTGGACAGAAAGCACCACGGTTGCCATATTTCAAAAAGTAAAATTTCTGGCACCTGCAAAGGTGTTGAGCTTTTTTCAGGAAGACCCCAAAATTGTTGGGCTTTTGGGGGAGAAACTTCCCCCCCAAATAGTCATTTTAAGCTTTTGGAGCTGCGGTGCATAAACATCTGGGTTTTCCCTGACATTTTGCTGGCAAAATTCCCCCCGATGCCATTTTTACACCTGAAACCCTGGACATGTCAGGAATTTTCCTGACATATGGGAAGCCTAGTGAATACTCAAGACTTTTTAAAAGATAAGATCATTCTCCAAAGGCTCCTGAGTAAACTTAGTAGTCATGGGGTAAGAGAACAAGCTCTCTTGCGGATCAGCAGCTGGTTAAAAAACAGGAACCAGAGAGTAGGAATAAACGTCTATTTGACATCTTACGCAACACACCAAAGGCCCATTTCAGGACCAAATTGCTGATAAAACTATTCTTGGGCCTGAGTGCTAATAGCTGTATATTAAAATCAAAGAGAATTGACAGGGTCTGTTGCTTGTGACAGAAGTTGTAAAATCAGCAGAGGGCATTTGATGCTGATGTCCAGTGATAAATACTCTGGCTCATGGGATATAGAATAAATAATAGATTGCCACTGATGCTTTTTGTAATGCATCACCGCATCAACCCTAGAAGCATCTGTAAAAACTGCAGATTCCCTCTTAGGCGGAGGCTTGATTTTAGAATCTGAAGAGATGGAAGGAATATGATGTCACTGAACTAGGCATGTGGGAAGCTGCTCTCTGGGCTCGTTTATGAAGACAGGAAGGAAACCAGTAGGAACCATATATATAATTTACTGCCTTGCTCTTTTGGTGCCAGGTTACAGACTCTGTCTGCCTGTCCTGCATTGCAACTAACTTCAGTTGAACGTTCTGTGATGTGTAATTAAGCAATCTGTAAGCTTCAATTTCCCCCAAACTATTCTTTCAACACTTGTGCTATTATGCCCAACAAAGCAATTGTGGACAGCTGGTGTGAGTGCCACACTCCATCTTTGTTGATACTGATCCCCCCCCCCGAACCAAATCCTGATCTGCCCTGCTTGTTGTAGTCTCTTGTCCTTTGCTTTGCTTCCTGTCCTCATGTGTCTGCCAACAACTCTTAATTAAAGGCCGGGTTCCAAAGCGCCATGTAATATTTTAAAGCCAGCTGTTGGTTAGCCATTCTGCATCACTGGAGAGTTGAAATGGGGTGGTACCCAACAAATGCCATCTCTGGCATGCCCACTAAGTCCACTTCATCTGGGTTACAGCCTTAGACCTATTAGTCTCCTATTCTATGTGGAAGTTAACTCCAAACTATAGATTTGAGTCAAGTGAATTATCTAACCAAGGACTGTAGCCGGCTCCTCTACTGAATCAGTTTTGAAACCAGCAAGGGTGGGGGGAAGGAGATTGATCAGTCTACACCCATTATTGCCATGCATGGAGAATAGAGTTGACATTGGCTCTTAGCCACAGATGCCTTTGAGCCTCCTGGCTGGCATTGCTTGCCAAACATTTTCTCATGTAGTGATGCAGTGTTTCCTGGAGCCTGCTGCTGATTTCAGTTCCGTGGTTGCGAATTAAACTCGGTACAAATATTCTGGATGATCCTAGGAACAAATCTGTAGAGGCTGTCAAACTCGTCCACAAAGAAGGAGTGTTCTTTGTCGGGGTCAGTAGCAATGGCTTCCAGCTCATCTTGGGCAGCCCATGCAATTCCGACTGAATAGGCTATGACTCCTGAAGTGAGAAACATGAGTACATAATGAGGTTAATGCCTTATTTGAAACAATATTGCATTCAAAGTAATATCCGTATAAGGGCCCAAAAATATTATCAGAAGTGGTGAGGTGTTTAAACTTAAATAAATGAGGCATTCCAATCCCCAGGCTTGTTGTTCCCCATTCCCTATTGTCTTGTTGAATGACTCATACGTGTCCTTCCCGTGTTTCAAAAACTGAAGGGCTTAATGTTCACCAAGAATATACAAATACACTACTTTTTTTTAATTATTATGCCAAACTTGGACTTCTGGCTTGCAAAACTTAGATGCCATATTCTAGATCCAGAGCCCCATTGTTTGAGTGCTTTATGCAAAGCTTCTTTAAAAATAAATGAGGGGTTCTGGCATAGATGGGCCTTGGTCTGATGGAACAGGACTCTTCTGTTCTTCAGTGCTTTCCAGATGTTGCAGGACTCCAAATCCTATCACCTCCAGCCAGTATAAGCTATGGTCGGGAATGATGGGAGCTGTAGTTCTGTGACATCTGGAGGGCTACAGGTTGCCTACCCCTAAAATAGGTGTTTATAGGGTCTTCTGGCTTACCATTCTGATGTGCCGCTGCAGCCGGCCCCCGGACATCATCGTATGATCTGCCATCTGTAATAAGAATCATTATCTTCCTCTTGTTTGGTTTGGATTTGCTGAAGAGCTGTTCAAAGGCATAGTTGATGGCTGCTCCGGTGCTGGTTCCTCCGCTCCAATAGTTGATTCTCTTGATAGCGTTTAGGACATCCTGCTTCGTTCTGTGCTTGTCAAAGCCAAACTCCAGCCTCTGTTCGTAGGTGTACTGCACAGCTCCAATGCGTGTGTCTGTATCGGAAATCTCGAATTCCTTGCTGATGTTAGCGACAAACTGGAGGAGGGTGCGGAAGTTGCCAGTGCCAACGCTGCTGGACCCGTCAATGACAAATCCAATATCCGCTGCATTGAGACAGGTCTTGCTGCATGCCAGGCGATCAGAGTCACAGACTCGCTTCACTAACTGCTGCACTACTTTGTGTAAGCTGAACCAACTGGGCACATTGATGGAATAGTACCCATTGGTCCTGCACACAGCCTGAAAGAGAGAAAACAAAAGCAATGAATTTCAAGAGCAGTTACAGCAAAATTCATGGAGGCAACTTATTACTGTCAGTCATTGATTTCACCTTACGACAGCTCTGTCCCTATGTATGAAATGTTTTTATGAGACAAACTGGTATTGCATCAAACTGGTAGAAAACACAGCTGAATAATACCCGCCCTTATCGTTTCTTAGATGTTGAGGTCTACATCCAGCTTAAAGGCAGCTAAATGGTCTATACTTGTTACTCAAGTACCTGCCACATTGCAAAACTAGCATCTGAATTGACTCTACTTCTGTCAACAGGCTTAACATTCATTGCAGACGTGTTTGCTCTCATGTCTTAAAGTTATTTCCATTTTCTAAGATACAGCTACCATTAAGTCACTATGTATGAACACAGGGCTTCTTGCCTCATTCTACTTTCCCAGTCTGGCAAGTGCACAGAGGCTTACTGTGGCTCTTCCCCCATTCAAACCTAAAGGAAATCAAGACCATCAGCCAGTGCAATTCAGTCTGGAGGCTTCCCAGGTTGAAGGCATTAAGGGGCTTTGAAGTTCATAGGAAATGTATTTCATGGCACAGACACAGTGGAAAGTGCACAAAATTATCTGAAAGGGTGTCCAGAGGGAGGGGGAAAATAGATGTATTCTGAAGGACAGTTCTCAAAGTCCATTTTGCTTCCTGAGCTTGGGCTCATTTGCCAACCTTCCAGGAAAGACTACATACATGCCAGACTAACACCACTCAGTTGAAGAGGCATTTTGTCATGAGTACCTGACCTATACTACATAGCTTGTGAGAATGAGTTCTAACTGAAGTGTATCCAGAACTTTTGTGTGTTTTGGAGGAAAACTGGAGGCAAGAGTACACAGCGTTCAGTAAACATGATCTAACACTACACAACTTGATTGAGGCTTTGAAGTGAGTTGATTGCTTGAGTCTTGCAGTCCCACTTGCTGAACCTTCATAATCTGCCCTGTGTGACTCCACTGAAGAACTAAGCGTACATAGATGCATCCTGTTTATACCGGGGATCTTGTAAAACTTTGCCATATTGAGTCTCAATATAGTGACTATTGTAGCATGTGAATATTTCAAAGAGAGAACTATATAGCTATAGCTGGACGTTGTTGGAACAGAGTGGTAGCCAGTTTGCTCACTCACACTTGTGGGTTTTTGACTAGGCAAGGATGTCTCACTTTATATTGACTCGCCTACATGTGATGAAGAGTTCGGATCCCACCTTTCATCAGAATCAAGAAATCTTGCCTCTTTCTTGATGGATCCCAGTGTACCCCTTACCTTGTCCACAAAGTTTGTTTCAATAACATTCTGCTTTTCATTTTCATCTGGTCCTTCAATGGTGACAAAGAAAATGTTGATGCCAGATTCCCTTGCCAGCCGAGAGGCCTCTTCCACTTTATCTGTAGGCCACCCATCCACCATCACTATAGCAACATTGGGTGCACTACCTCTGTTCCCATTAGCATCCTCAAAGAAGTTTTTGTTAACAAAGGACAGCGCTCTCCCTGCATGAAGATGGGGGGTGGAGGGAAGTAAGAGTTGTAACTTGCTGAGCAAAACAATGAAAAGGAACATTAAAATCTCTTAGAACCTGAGCTCCTTGCCATTTGTATTATTGTTTTGCCTATTATTGTCTATAACTAACAACAGAAACTATAAAATTGAGGACAGGAGCAACAACAATTTGAGGATTCTCTCAAATCATCAGTGGCCCAGATCTAGTTACAGGCAAAAAAGCACATTCAATCTAAGTTGCTGGTTGAAGATACATTTTTCTATCCGCATGGAAATGGACATATATGCCCCCACCAGAGCCACGTGATGTCAAAGGGTTGCCTCATATCCAAATGTGCATAACAAAGCTGATGCAAATCTCATTTGTGCATTCACATCCCACATCTGCATGCGATCCCTCGTCCAATAACGGAACCGGCCGTGGAATCTTCGTATATGTGTGTGTCTTCCTTCCTTGCTTGGTTGGTCAAATGTGTCTCTAACTTCTGCCTGATATGTTTTAAAAGCCGAAAGAGGGAATAGATTTGCAATAAGGGATACTGAACTAAAGTCAGTGCTTTTTTCGGAGGGGGGGGGGAGCAGGGGTACACATACCCCTAAACATTTTGTGAATCTAAGTTTGGCTTCAATGATGGGCAGTATTTCAATATGAGTAGGAAAATGGTAGTACCCCTAAACATTTTTTTAGAAAAAAAAGCAGTGACTAAGGTATTAATTATTTTAATTTCTGTTTGGAACTCTATGGTGGTTGGTGTCTCACCAATGTGCTATATTTGCACTGTGAAAGAGACAAGCTATTCAGAGAAAACTTTCAGATATTAAATCCTGATTCTCTGGAAGACAAAGTATTTTCCAAACTAAGGGAAGAGGAACCAGAAATGAGTGAGGACAGTTTGTGGTCTTGACCTCAATCTGCCTAGAACATCTAGCATACCAACATCTTTTGATTCTTAAACTGATTAGCTGTGGATGTATTGTGCAGGATACATACCAACATTGGACAATCCTCCTTTCTGTAGTATTTTCTCTATGGCATTTTGCAGATCCTTAGAGTTTGTATAAGTCTTCAAGTTAAATTCAGTTGAAGGGTCATCACTATTTGTAAAATGAAAATGGAGCAGTTTCGTTTTGTGTTATCCCCAGGAAAATACGTTCATACACAATATGGCATTAACTATTAACACATTAATAATACTAGTTGTAATTTATAGTAATTTTGCATGAATATTTCCTGTGTTTTCATAGAAATGTGTAAACATGTCATATGTGAAACTTACATTCGTGGCTGCTTTTTAAAAATCAATTATTTGACAAAAAAAATGTTTGTAGGTGGGGCAACTGCCCTTGATGGGTGAGGGGTGAGGAACCTGCGGTCTCCCCCAGTGTTGTTGGACTCACATAATCCCTGAAGTATGGGCTATTAGAGAGGTTCTCAAGTTGTGGTCTATACACTCCATTCAAGTGATCTGCAGAAAGGTTGTGGAACAATCAAGAATCTCTGTATTTGGAAATCTTTTTCTGACAATGGAGATTAAGACTGGATTTTGACCATGGTTGGTTATATCAAATAAGTTAACAAGGTCCTAACTTAAGATATATGACTTTTATGATGCAGTGCTGGTGCAGTCTAGCAATGTGAGATACATATCTGCTTCAATTTGTAGAACAAAAAAAAAGTGTATTAAGTAGTTTGCCACAAGAAGTTCCTGTGGTGTTGCCACAGACATGGTGATGGATGTCAGACAGCACAGATGTTATGAAAATGCATCATACTCTCTTACCCATACTGGATGATGCCCATAAGAGGACCAGCTGGGCCCACATCCAGGGCTTGAGCAACATTTTTGAGGAACTGTTTTTGGATCTGAAAGCGGCGCTTGCCAATGCTCCAGCTGCCATCTATCAAGAAGGATAAATCAACTTTGCAATCTGAAAAAAGAATAGATTACAGTTAACTGTGGAGTTCCTTTTGCATATATTTTGTGTTTTTCCTGCATGAGTACAAAAACACACCTCAAACCATGATAACAGAGCATGTGCTCAATCATTCACAGAATTTACCAAAGATTACAAAGCTTTACTTGACATAGATAACAATAACCCTACTTGGCAAGTAGAGAAGAACTAGTGTTTCTGTTTCTGTTCAGAAAGAATTCTGTTTCTGTAAACGTTCCATCCACAGAGCTGGGCAAACTTCAGGATTGTTTAATCTACTTTTCTTCCCCCCACAACCCCCCCCAAACTTTTACCAACCAGAATTTAGTATAAAGATATGCACGATTAATGAACATGGTGCCTTGGAGCACAGTCTGAGCTTTGAAATGTGTTTTTATTACCAGAACTGAACCAAGTTTACAGTCCTTAAACCCAAAAGTTCTCTTCTCCTGGTCCACCTCATTTCAGCAGGCTAATCTAGGTGGGGAAAGTTCTTTGGCTGTTGCTATGGTTTGACAATCAGAAGTCAGAAACCCTTGATGATCTACTGCAGACTGCATCCATATCTACCAATGGTTCCCAATCTGCCAAGGTTGCAGGTTTGATCCGTATATGGGACAACGGCAATATTCCTGCATTGCAAGGAGTTGGGCTAGATGACCCTCAGGGTTCCTTCCAACTCTATAATTCTATGATTCTTCCTTCTACTTCTACTAGATCAGCTGATACAGGCCACCTTGAAAACACACAGACCTTTGAAAGGAAAGGTTAGCTCAGAAGGCACTTTTAGGAGTTCCCACATACACTAAGGATACAGTTGTATTATGCACACTTACCTGGGACTAAATCCCATTTGAATCTAATGAGGCCAACTTCTCAGAAGATGTATAAGAGGGTTGAGCTTCATGTGGGCTATTTGAATACATCAGGAGCAGTCATATTCAAATCATGTCATTAAATGATTGTATAAGATTTGACAACTTTGCAAGACTTGGACTTCAGAGGCACTTTAGACAAGCAGTTATTTATATGTGACTCATGCGGACTGAGCAACTTCAGGATGGTGGTGTGAGGTTGAATAATTAGTTGTCTCCACAGAACGAACCCAAACTAATAAACAACATTTTCCTTGCGCCTATAAGATGAGTATATTGCGAGTTAGCAACAGAAGAATTTTCTCTTCTCTGCTAATTTTCTATATGCACTGTGTGCTTTATAGGAAGGAGCACTGTTCTACCCCCCTCTCACCAAGTCTGAAGTGGTACGGTCCAGCAGCAGTCTTACCGCATGAAAGTTTTACCACACTGAGTGCCTCTCTTTCCTTCCTGCATTTCAGTGTGCATTGTGGTTGTATTCTCCATTCCTGCATTCTGACTTGTATAGCTATTTGAAAACAAAAAACCAACCCCCCCATACAAAAAGTGTTCTTTAATTAGTGCTGGAACAAAAAAATTCCTTCTTTATTGAAGTGGGAATTGCTATTTTGCCAGACATGGAAGTAATTCAAAGAATGATAATCTCCTTTGTGGCTTTCAGATCTGCCTCTCCAGTCTAGATATTTAAAAACTTGATTGTAGTCTTTTAAATGCACGTGTCCTCACTCATCTTGCTATTTTGGCTCACAGAACAGTAGACAAACACCCAAAGCTAAAGCAACCTCTTCTCTCTATTTCTTTTTTTAAGTAACCAAATTTATTCATTCTGACCTGCAAGGAGTGTCTTCAAGAAATAGCAGTCTATTCTTCTTTTGCTCTAAGCTGCTGAGAAAATACTCGTTTCCTTGAAAGGGATCAACATTTGGATAAGCTTAAATGGCAATTAATGGTTTTTGTTCCTAGTCAGGCTTCTTGTATGGTTTTCTTTGAAACTGCTCCCACCAAGACAGGTGTGCCAATAAAGGTATATTTCACTTAAGAGGTGCCAGGCTTGCAAAGATTCCCCATGTGAGTAATCTTGTTCCGAGTGCGTTCCAACTTACTTACTCCGAATCAGGATTTGTACTGTGTGCTGAGATTGTTCCTGGCTCCTGCATGGCATTCCTTTCATTACAAGATTGGCTCCAGAAGCATAAACCCCTGACAAAATCCAGCAATTATTTGCGGAGAACTGTGATAAAACCTGGTGAGGCAGATACACCCACCTTGCTATTTTAGGAGGAAAATTAGCACTTTCCTGCAGCTATTTAAAGGTGATTCATAAATTTTGTCCCTGAGTAGCCATAATCTAAGATTGATATTGATGGCATTAAGAGCAAGAATTAGGAGGGCACGTTTTGAGAATGAAATTAATGCCTCTGGGGCAGGGAGAGAGGATAAACAGGCTTGTGGCCCATGATGGCTATGTTCTGCCTCCACAGCTGGAGTTGTGTGCTTCTGACTATCAGTTGCAGGTAGAGTGCTCCTGTGCTTGAGTCCTACTTGTGAGCTTCCCATGGGCATCTAGTTGGCCACTGTGAGAACAGGATGCTGGACCATTGGTCTCATGGAGAACTCAGTTCTGGCACCTCTCAAGTGGATGCCATTGCCATTCTAAGACAATGAGGGAGGCATTCATAGTGAGTTCCGGCACCTCTCTTTCTAGTAAAATGGCACTGTTCTTATGATATTGTTTTGCAAACCCACCCACCCACTACCTTTGCATTCTGATTTGCCTGGCAGAAAAACCTCCACGCTTCCCTATACCAGGTAGCATTTTCTCCAATTGTGTTTGTACTTTAAGACAGGAATGGGGAATCTGCGGCCCTCCAGATGCTGAACTCCAAATCGCATCAGCTCCAACCAGCATAATCAATGTTTATGGATACTGGAACTGCAGTCCAACAACATAGCAGTTCAACCCCTAAGTTAGGATAAAGTGTCACTTTAAATAGAATTCTATATTGGGTCAGAAAAAAGAAACCTTACTGTATAATCAGATATATATATATAATGACTGCTCAGGAAGCCCCTGATGGTTTTACCATGGCAACAGACCAAGGATAGGTGACCAGTGATCCACTTGATCAGGGGTCAGCAAACTTTTTCAGCAGGGGGCCGGTCCACTGTCCCTCAGACCTTGTGGGGGGGGGCGACTATATTTTTTGGGGGGAGGGAGAACGAATTCCTATGCTCCACAAATAACCCAGAGATGCATTTTAAATAAAAACACAAATTCTACTCATGTAAAAACACGCTGATTCCCGGACTGTCTGCAGGTCAGATTTAGAAAGCGATTGGGCCGGATCTGGCCCCCAGGCCTTAGTTTGCCTACCTATGCTCCAGGACTAAAACCCTCTAGCTAAAAGGGTGGGTTGCCCGTTGAGCATGCTGTCTGGGGCTGAGAGGAGTAACACCCTGGGCTGCTTCACTGAATTTTTAGGCAAAATTTTGCAGCTCTTGCAAATGTGTGCCTCAAACATCCAGTTTATATTACCATATTTTTTGCTCTATAAGAATCCCTTTTCCCCTCCTAAAAAGTAAGGGGAAATGTGTGTGCGTCTTATGGAGCGAATGCAGGCTGCGCAGCTATCCCAGAAGCCAGAACAGCAAGAGGGATTGCTGCTTTTGCTGCGCAGCGATCCCTCTTGCTCTTCTGGCTTCTGAGATTCAGAATATTTTTTTTCTTGTTTTCCTCCTCCAAAAACTAGGTGTGTCTTGTGGTCTGGTGCGTTTTATAGAGCGAAAAATACGGTATCTTGAAAATCACAGCTAGGTTAAACAGCAGCTCAGTCTGCAGCAGTAAAAACCAATAACTAGTCCTGGGTGATTTCTCTTCAGCTAACTTAGGAATGGATTCAGCAAAAAATAAGCTCATTAGCAAAATGTGGATTCCACTGCAACCTGCATGACATCTTTGAACCCTGATACATCCATTCTTTCCCTTCTCCCAGAAATCACAATGGGGAAGACCTCTAAGAAGGCTCTCCCTTTCTCCCAATGGCTGAAGCTTTAAAAGGGCAGACTCTCAGGTGCCAATACTTGGCTGGTGCACATACTTGGGTTTCCCTGTGAAACTGGTTCCAGGGGTTTGGGGACCACGTCTTCCTTGGAACTGAAACCTGGAATGATCAATAATGACACAGTCGGTTATTAAATGCAAAGCGCATGAGATGATGACTCATGGGCATATTTTTGAGGGCCTTCTCAATAGTGGAGCCCTCCCTGTGGAAAACCTTCCCTTCAGATGTCAAGGAAACAAACAACTATTTGACTTTTAGAAGACATCTGAAGGCAGCCCTGTATTGGGAAGTTTTAAATGTTTGATGTTTTAGTATGTTCTGACATGTGCTGTGAACCACCCAGAGTGGCTGAGGAAACCCAACCAGATGGGCAGGTTATAAATAATAAAATATGTACCACATACATCTGAGATATAGTGGTAGCTACTAGCTTTTTTGACTTCAGAATTCATGGATGTTAGGCTGTTATATGTGTGGTTCATTCACCTACTGATTAAAATTCACAGCCCTACTTGCTGATATAAGAGGTGGGATAATTACATGTGCCATGAGGAAACATAGAAAGGAGTTCTTGTCTCGCCACAATGAACTGTAAATTCTTGTCTCGCCACAATGAACTGTAAATTATCACCAGGTATTCTTGCACTTTGGGGCATACCACAAAATGGGGCTAACAAGGGGCATACCACAAAATGGGGCTAACAAGGCTCTGTTCCACACATTAGACTGTGTTTATGCACTGTGTCATCCTACATGGAATTTACCCCACAACAATTTCATTTTGAAACATGAACAACATGGTCCATGTGGTGTTTATCTTTATTTGAACTTTACACCTCTAGAAAGCTGAAAATTAGATCAGCAGTAGGAAATCTTCACCTCACAGTATGGCTTGGCTCAATCCGTGCCCTTTACCCTCCCCATCCATCACCAGGTGTCATGGACAGGTAAATTCACAAGATAAAACTGAAAAGAAAGCACTGAGAGTGTGTTCTAACTGCACTCCTAATTCTTCCTTTTCGTGGCTGGTCTGGTGCTTTTTGAATTTGGTGCCGATTCACAGCTGGAAAAGAGTCGGGAGAGCATTCTCATTCTGACTTTGCAGCCGCAGCCATTGTTTGAGTTTAGGCTGAGGCTGTAGAGGGAGGTCTTTCCTTTGCAGCCTGGCTTTCAGGCCACTGCTTGACTGCAATTAGATAATTATATAGTTCTTTTTAATAAAAATGCCACCCATCATGTATCACTGAGAAAAGGCAATACATTGAAAAGGCAGCCCTTTCTAGTGAGCCCTTCTAGGTTCCCAGGCTGGCTTGAAGACTCTATTGTCAGTCCTGGGAATATTCCCTCACTGTGCCTTGGTGCTTCACTGCAAGCCAATTAAGCTTTTTCACCACTGAGTTGTCACAGCTGTCCAGGCTCATTAAATCTCCACTCAGGCAATACTTGTCACATACAAACTAAAAATAATTCTCTTTGAAGTGATAATCAGCATGCATCAAACTTCATCACTGAGCTAATTTTTTATTGTATTCTGGTCCCTTGGAAAATTTCCCTTTTCTCACCTCAAGCTGTGTGATGAATAATCTTGCCTGCAAATAGGTATCCAGACATCCACCTGAACATTTAGAGTGTTTTTACTTTCTGTTGATGGTAATCTCTTAACATCCTGATACATGTGCTGAGATTCAATTTGGAAATGTAAACCTTTTGGCTGTTCTGACCTGTGCATATGGATGCATCGCCTATGCAAGCCCATCCTCACACAACTCTCCCACTTTAGCAAACAAGAAAGGGCAAAGCATAGCTAAAACATTATGGAATAGGACTAGGGGTGTGTTCACAAGCACATGTACTCAGTAACTGCAACATAATGACTTACACAACCGGCAAGATTCATGTGATGAATCTGCTTTTGGGCGGATTAAGTTAAAATCCCTTTCTGTTTCATGTATGGCAGGATCCTCCATAACGTTGACCCCTCATCTGCAGATTCATCATTCCAACCTCACGTTTCAGCTGTGACTCTCTGCTTTCTGATTTTTAGAAAGGCTTCATTTTATAGCACACACATGCAGACCTAAATATGAAAACAAATTGCATATCTTGCCATAGCTTAATATAGGCCTCTCCTGGTACGCCCTGCGGAGGACCTTAAGGTCCACAAACAATAATACTTTGGAGGTCCCGGGCCTCAAGGAAGTTAGACTGGCCTGGAACCAGGGCCAGAGCCTTTTCAGCCCTGGCCCCAGTCTGGTGGAATGCTATGTCGCAAGAGACCAGGGACCTGCGGGATTTGACATCTTTCCGCAGGGCCTGCAAGATGGAGCTGTTCCGCCAGGCCTTTGGTCCGGGCCCAGTCTGACTCCCTTCTTTCTATAGGACCCTGTATGTAAGTGGCCTCCTTGGCTCTTTCAGTTGGCCCATATGGGACCAGCACGAGTGGCTGGGTCTGGTGAGCTTTTAATTCCTTACCCCTATGGTTATGATTCATGGGTTCCCACTTAATTTTATTTTGATTTTAAATGCCATTCAAATTGTATTTTAAACTAATCGTTTGATTTTGTGTTTTGAATGTATTATATATTTGGTGTTAGCCGCCCTGAGCCTGGCCTCGGCTGAGGAGGGCGGGGTATAAATAATAATAATAATAATAATAATAATAATAATAATAATGCAATTTTCTTTTCCTACATTACATTTGCTCCTGTCAGGGCTTGTCCACCCTTTCCTCCACACTTTCCAGGCATGGTCCATGCTTTAAAGCTCCATGTCGGAGTGGCTCTGTTTTTTGCTCTGGAGCTTTCCCCGCAAAAACCCACTCCTCACCATTGGATTGGCACAAATACCAATCCATTAGAAACCCAAACTGAATTGCAAAAGAAAGAGTGCTTGGACACATAGCTTTGAAGTGCAGACCTGTGCCTCGAAAGCCCAGGGCAAAAAGTAAGTGTGGATTTGCCCAATTCATACTCAGGATAGCCACTGTTCACAACAGTTCTGTGGAAGTTTATAATGTGTGTGATGATCATACAGGTAGATTTCTTGCATATAGCATGCAAATGCTTCTCATGTAAAAAGGGCCTTGTAATTTCTTCCTAAAGCAGCAAGTGGGGGAGCTTCTAGTCTGTGGACTTAATTAGGCCTTGCAATTAGGGGTGCTTATTTGGCCTATGAGGCTGTTTCTTCCAAGCCACACCCACCTACGTCTGGTGTGAGGCAGGTAAAGGTGCAGCTCCAATCGAAAGCCTTAAAATGACAGAGTTGGTGATTAGAAAACATTGCGTAATACTACCTGTGTCAAAAAGGCTTGATCCCAGTTTCCACAAGTCTGTTTCTATAGCTTCCACACACAAGAGGGAAAAACAGTAATTACTTAAAAGTAAAAGAAACAAAAGCAAACCACTAAACCAAACCAACCTGAAGTTAACAGAACAAATGCTGTTCCTTTAGGCGAGACCCTTTGTAAAATGAAGTATATGTGAGAATAAGCAGAAGTATATGTAAGAAGCAGAATAAATAGAGCATGACATGGATATGACAGATCCTTCCTTAAGTGAAATATTAAGTTAAGAGACATTCTGTGCCAGAAACAAATGAAATTTTTTTTTAGTTTTGACATGAACTTTTGAGGAGGGTACTTATGTGGCTTTCTTCATACTGTTTGTTCCAACAACAAAAAAGTGACAAGCCAGCTGTTTCCTGGGTCTTTGGCTTGTCCCATTTCTTTTAATGATTGTTTCTCAAAGAAGGGGCTGATGCACTATGGAAATTGCCTTTTGTGTTGTTTTTTGTCAGCCTCAATTTCCAGTGTTTGGGCAGATACTGTGATGTGAGATGGGTGATTTGTGCTCATGATGCTATTGGGGCAGTCATATGTGACCTCCTTTTCAATACTGTTTGCATCTGCAAAGGTTGGTTTTGTTTGTTTTTGTTTTTGTTTTGCTTTGTTTCCAATAACCGCATATCCTGCCACTTCCTGATGAAATCCCATAGCATTTTAAACCAGAAATGTTCTGATTTATTTTTGCTTTTGCTTTTATTGCAATATGGCCCCTCCAGATAGCAATAATGTGATAGATAGCTTTGGGAAACGCTGCAGAACAAACCAAAGCAGGATAAACCCACTGCTAATGCACTATGATCATGTCAAGAATATGTTGCAGTACAGATCTGCAATGGAACACCAGGCCCTTACGAACAATACTTTAATCAAGACTAAAGTTTATTCTGCATATATAGGAAACTGCCTGAAAGGAAGCAAATTGTTGGTTGGTATCATGAGCACCAGACATAGGGAACTGGATGTAAAAGAATACTCAGATGACTCAAGCACTGCTCTGTTGAAAACAATAGATTTTTTGCATATGAGGTGAGAGGAAGTAGTGCTTCTGGTTCAGACTAACAAGCCCAGAGAAATCTAGGTGACAAATCCTGTCAAAATCTGCCTTGGTTTATGGGGAAACTTACCTAGATTGGCAGGAGAGGTGGAAGGTTTCCGGAATGAGACAATCGGCTCTTGCCTTTGAAGACCTGTGTGGTTTGTCAAAAGGGTCAACTTTAATACACAGAGGCATAATTCCGGTGAGTCTATTTCACCAGTTTTAAAATGGGGGTAGTATTAATAGGGACTTCCCTGTACATCAAGACAGTTTAGCTTCAGCAAATATTATTAGGATGGGCACTCTGGTCCTCAGCATTTACAGCCTGAAATGCTATCATAATGTCACACAGAAGTCAACTGACCTCTCCTGGGCTTGGGTTGCAAGCTATACATGATTTAATCAGGTCAGTCCTGTTCATTTTATTAGAACTGCTCTGGTGATGTTAATGGGTTATGGATTTCAACTCCTACAAAATAACTTGACTCAAGTAGTTTGAACTTTAGAGGATAAGTAGCACGCGGGTGGCGCTGTGGGTTAAACCACAGAGCCTAGGACTTGCTGATCAGAAGATTGGCGGTTCTAATCCCCGCGACAGGGTGAGCTCCCATTGCTCGGTCCCTGCTCCTGCTAACCTAGTAGTTCGAAAGCACGTCAAAGTGCAAGTAGATAAATAGGTACCACTCCGGCGGGAAGGTAAACGGCGTTTCTGTGTGCTACCCTGGTTTGCCAGAAGTGGCTTAGTCATGCTGGCCACATGACTGGCTAATAAAGCGAGATGAGCGCCGCAACCCCAGAGTCGGTCACGACTGGACCTAATGATCAGGGGTCCCTTTACCTTTACCATTTTAGCAGACCACTACAGGCCTGTGGGTATAGGGGGGTATATAAATTTAATAAATAATAATACAAAAATGGTGCAAAATCAAAATGGCTGCAATCCAACCAAATCTTTTTATTTTAAATGCCAGCGATTTCATATGAAATCGCTGGCATTTAAAATAAAAAGAATCTACTGAATTCTACAGTAGAATCTACTGAAATAACAAGGAATTAAAATTTTTAACTCGGGCTAAATTGTATCCAGTATTTCTTAGGTGTATTTCCTAAGTAGTAATTGTAGGTAACTCAGGGAAACTTACTTCCAAGTGAACGTCTTTAAGAGTGGGCTCTGGTTGCTGCTTTTTATAACATTTTAAAAATCATATGAAGGTTTTACCTGTATTAGGTCGAGCGATATTTCTGTTACTTGCATGGCTGGAACTGCCTCTGAATGCTTTAAAAATATTTTACTGGTCAACACATAAACTTGAACATAAATTGTAATTAGTAAATATGATTACTTTAAACTAAACTTAGCTTAAATGAAGAAAATATATATTCATTTAAGTTAGGACATACCTTGATTCTGGGTTCTTCCTTGTACAGCTTGAACCTGCCCTAAAATATGCATTAAAACAGAAAATTTTATTTGCAGTCCCCAAAACTATTTTTAAAAGACATTTCTTTTTAAAAGTGATAATTTTATAGCTGTAGGAGGTAAGAGACTGTTGTCCTAATCCTTTAGTTTTTAACATAGAAGCACACAGGTCATCTAGTCCAACCCCTTGCAATGCAAGAATCTTTTGCCCAATGTGAGACTCAAACCCAAAATAATAATAATAATAATTTATTTCTACCCCACCCATCTGGCTGGCTTTCCCCAGCCACTCTGGGCGGCTTCCAACAAAAGATTAAAAATACATTAAAACATCAATCATTCTAAATTTCCCTAAACAGGGCTGCCTTCAGATGTCTTCTAAATATCATATAGTTGTTTATCTCTTTGACATCTGGTGGGAGGGCATTCCACAGAGCGGGCGCCACTACCGAGAAGGCCCTCTGCCTGGTTCCCTGTAACTTCACTTCTCGTAGTGAGGGAACCGCCAGAAGGCCCTCAGCGCTGGACCTCAGTGTCCAGGTAGAACGATTGGGGTGGAGACACTCCTTGAGGTATATTGGGCTGAGGCTGTTTAGGGCAGGCATAGGCAAACTCGGTCCTCCAGATGTTTTGGGACTACAATTCCCACCATCCCTGACCACTGGTCCTGTTAGCTAGGAATCATGGGAGTTGTACTCCCAAAACATCTGGAGGGCTGAGTTTGCCTATGCCTGGTTTAAGGCTTTAAAGGTCAGCATCAACACTTTGAATTGTGCTCAGAACCCAGAACCCTGAGATTAAGATTCTCAGGCTCTACCAACTGAGATTAAATATAGGATTTATGAAACAATAATTACAGAGAGAGATATATTACTTAGCAGGAATGGGGAACTTGTGCCCCTCCAGATGTTTGACTCCAACTCCCATCAGTCCCAGCAAGTGTGGCTTAATAGCAGCTGGACTCCAACAGCATGTGGAAGTCCAAAAAAGTTCCCCACCCCTGTTATGTAGAGACGGGTCTAGTCACAAGAAAGATTCAAACTAGTTGAACAGTCATTATCTTTTTCCAGGGAACCTTGGGAACTGTAGTTCTATGGCATGGATGGAAGGTATGGAGAACATCTTATAAAACAGGGATTATTGAAGTTAAGCTACTTTTTCCTTAGTGAAAAAGATAAAACAATGGCCATTTAAAGACATTCCCATGGTGTGTAATCAGACATAAGCCCACTAATTTCCATGGGCTGCCCAGGATTGCAGTCCTGGTATGACAATGCACTGCCTCTGTACTTACTTGATGCTACAGCTGCTACTGAGGAGTAAGCTGGATGGACATTGCTAGAACCTAATAATAATGATAATAATAATAATTTATTATTTATACCCCGCCCATCTGGCTGGGTTTCCCCAGCCACTCTGTGCAGCTTCCAACAAAATATTAAAATACAATACTCTGTTAAACATTAAAAGCTTCCCTAAACAGTTCCCTAAGAACAAACCAGAGAAGCCCTCACTATAGCAAATGGAAAAGGAGAAAAATCAGTATGCAAAACAGAGAATGAGGCGATGGAAAACAAATGGCCAAAGTGCACTGTTCTGTGAAGATGATGATCCTTCTTTAAATTGTAAGAGCAGACAATGGGGAGGGGGTGAACGTCAATGCACAGGAACCAGAGCAGCAAGACCCATTACCAGAGCCAGAGGGGCTCCTATCCCCATGAATACAGCAGGCTCTGAGGTGTAGGGAGCAGCGGGAGTGGCACCCTAGGAGGCTGAGACAGGCAAGGGTCCACAGCCCAGCTCCCTACTTGACCTGGTGGGGCTCACTAGCTCTGGGAGGACGGGGTGTGATTGCTCAGCTGGAGTAGGCTTGGAGCAGGTGAGGGTCACCTGCCTCATCAATCCCAGATGCTGCAATCAGCATGGAAATTACAAAAGGGAAGCAGAGCTGAGGGGCTGTTTTTTCTCAGCTGCCCATGTTGATGGGCCTTGATTTGGGTGTTTCTGGACCGCCACAGGACTGAGCTTCAGGTTTGACTCTGTATTGTATTCTGACTACTGGACTTTGGACTTGGCTTGACCATGAACCTTGTCTCCTGACCTTTGGATTTGGGACTTTGGTTGTGTGAGCTGACCCTAAGGCGTTGAACTTGGCATACCGACTTGCTGCCTGGTATGGCCACCCAACTGTCGACTAAACTGATATCCCATCCTATGGCATCAGGTAAATAAATCCAATCCTTTGCAGCCTTTGCTTGACTTCAGAGTTTTATGAATTCACAACCTGGCTTGAACACACGCCAGAGTCTTCCTTTTGAATTTAGCTGTGCTGAGATTTTACTTGTCACACTACAAGTGACAGCTTGGGGAGGCCTAACTAGACCCACAGGTTGAAGTTTCCTCACTCCTGTTATAGCAAAAACACATTGTTAAGCCACTATGACCTCTGCCATTCTGCTCACCTATGTCCCTGACCTTGTGAATCGCAACTGGAGGCTTTGTAGCTACACCAGTAGTTGCCTGGATAGTGATGGTTGTTGTGACTGTAGTTGGGATTGTTGTTGGCTTTGGAGTTGTGCTGACAAATTCGGTTGTCCTGATAGCAGCTTTTGCTGTTGTAAATGCACCTTGTGTAGTTTGTAATGGCACTGCAGTTGTCCGATACTCTTTCCGTTGTGAACCTCCTATATTAATATAGAAATATAGTGAATTTATATCAAAGAAAATGCTATCTATTTGCAGAGATGCAAAACTATAGGTGCTGTGAATTTAGTGTCAGCCACACATTCCTTTGGGGTGCTTGTGTGTGGTGGTTGCTACCAGCTTTATTGGACACTTGGCATGGTGTTGCTGAGTTTCATATGGCAGCCTTTGCTCCCAGTCCCTGTAAGCTCTGAGAGGGGAATAGGGCCTCTTAATAACTCTCAGCGCACTTAACAAATTTGAGGACTCTGGATTCTTTGGGGAAAACCATGACTACTTAAAGCTGTAAGATGCTGCTTTACATGTATAGTGCAGGTGGAGCTGTATATGAAAGAACACAACCAACACACACACACACCCAGCAGAAAATCTTACACTTGCCTTTAACAGGTGTGTTAGAGGAAGATGAATATTCAAGTGTTGATGGGTACTGCACACCTTTTTTGGGTTTGCCCTCTGTGGAAAACAAACAAACAAACAAACAAACACAAACAAACAAGAAAAGCCAAATCGGAGAGAGTACATGACCTTGCAATAAAGCAAACACATTTTAATCCAGTAGATCTACAGCACATATCTAATGCAGTATAAGATATACATATTTAGCATAATATAAGTTCTTAAATCAGCCTTCAGGTAATTAGACCTTTGCAATTTTCCCCAGGGCTTTCAATTATTCACCGCAAGATCTGCCACACCAGCTGCTCTGTGGTACAAAAGAACATGTGGGTGGCCTAGTACCTTTTATGCGTAAAACCGCTTTAATATTAAAGAACAAGCAACTTCACATTGCTTTGCCATTCATGTCTCCTGAGGTGGTGGTGGTAACATAACAAAACTGATTCCACTGAACTAACCAAGATTTATGTCATGGATGCAAGTAAAACACTACCTCACAAAAAAAACCCATGCCTCTAGGTGGTTCCCCTTATTTACCACATACATAATTTTTAATCAAGATCCGTTTCATTACAGATTGTTTTTAGAGCCCATGATTTACCATGATAATAGTGAAAGAATTCAATGTGTGTTTTAAGCTACATTTGAGTTCACATTTAAACCACATATGGGAGATCGTGACAGTTATAGTCTGGTACAAACCATAAACCTTTCATTGTGCCACATCATATGTTACCTCTCTTGACATTTCCCACATCAAACTACATTATAAAGCAACATTTCTAGAAACGGTAAATGTTTTTAACATTTACAGTGGTAAGTAAATGTCTTAAGAACTTTTATAGCAACAAGCAATGATATGCCAGTCCTGGCCAGACATGTAGATGTGTTTAAATCACTATTGTTAATTTTAACTATTTTTAAATATCTGTTTTAACTGAATTTTATCTTACAATTTTAATCTCTCGTGTATACTGCTTAGATGTTTTACTGCAATCAAGTGGTATGTAAATTTTGTTAAGTAAATAAATAAATAAAATATACCCAATAGGAGTAAATCCCACTGAACTCAATGTGGCTTACATCTGAGTAGGCATGTATAGGACTGCACTATCAAGCTCCTTAATTTCAGTGGGCTTAAATATACACAACTCTGAAATTCAGGCTGATGTGTGATAAAACTGCAACATGCCCAAGACTAAGCATGTAATTAATCAAACAGAGGAAGTGAATTAGATTGGCTTGCCATGTAGCATCTACTCCTTGGTTTTTCGTTTTAACCCTAAATGTGTATATACATTTTTTAAAAGAAACAATTGGCAATATAGTTAGTTTTGATCATTTTTCAAATGAATACTTTAATTGCAGCATGGAAAACTAAGGTGAATATAATGTCCATAACTTTCCCAAAGACATCCAGAACAGATTGCGTTACTTTAGCAGGGAGCTCTCATTGATCTGAATGGAGTCATTCGTTTGCACATAAGCCAGCACATTTCAATACTCTGAAAGTGAGTACCAGCCAATTTGCATACCTCCTAGTGTGCTCATCGCTTGAATCCTGTGAACTTGCCTCTTTTCTTCACACTTCACAATATCCTGCTTCCTAGCTTGGCTTCCTAGCCCTAATTCTTTGTTTTCTATGGGTCTTTGTACAGTTCCTGATTGGCCAAGCTGGCAAATCCCACACTCCTAATTGTTTGCTAAGTGGAAACACGCTGCCAGTATGGTTTTTGTTTTAAACTTTGAAATGCCACTATTTTTGTCTTGTAGACAATGAGCTCAGTTGCAATGGATGCGGCTCAACTGCTCAAGCTTAGCTTGGCTTGCTCTTTAGATGTCACTCACAGATGACTTGTTGCAATTTTTGTATTTGCAGTGGGAATTATTGAGTGGAGGGGAAGAATTCAGACTGGTTTCAATCTCTGGCTTGTCTGAATTACTTGAAAGAATACCCCAAAGCAAAATTATTCCAGATAACCCCTGCAGACTTAAACCACATCTGCCTTATACATTTAAAACGCTATTATATCACTGATAACAGTCATGACTGCCCCCAAACAATCCTGGGGCAATCCTTAACAATAGTTAAGGATGCTGAGACTTTCCCATCATAGAGCTATGTTTCCAGAATGGTTGTGTATCAACGTTTCAGTATCAATAATCAGATCATCTGATTTTTAGTTTTCAAAGTATGGCAGTGCCAAAAACAAAGAGATTAGCTATAAAAATACCTGAAACAATGAAGGACTCCCGCCACCGTGGTAAAGACAACGATCGGATGCCATTGGAGAAACTACCCTTGTAGCCAGATTGTCCAGCAACCTTTTGAACCAGGATTTTCCCTCCAGACTTGTCAATTGTACCACTGCAAAAATAAGGCATTCAGTTCAGAAACACCCTAGAATGCTGAATGGCTTTTGAATGGCAAGCTTAACCCACACAGGTGCAAAATTCCAGGTGCTTTACACATTTTCTCCAGACGTTCCTCAGAACTGGACTTGTTCTAACCCAACAGATAGTTGTTGTTGTTGTGTGTGTGTTTTTGTGCTTTCTGGTGCTCATTAACTCCACAGTGCAGCGCTAAAGCCATTTGGCAAGCTACTTTATAATTACAGGACTAAGGATAATTCTTAGGTGGAATGTACCTAGTCTAAACCTCTGATGTGAATCACTTCCACGTGCTTAATCTCCCCTGATGCGCAAGAAAAAGATTTCAGAGTTTCCAAATTAAGATCAACGAGTTCTACCCACAGCACATACCGACCAACCAAGGCCCAAACATGGAATCCATCACTGTGGTTCCATTGTTTGACTGGCTCCTGTGATGTTTGCCAATGCACCTCCTTCCACCAACAGTAGTTTACATGGGGCTGCTTCTGAAGGCAGTTTAGAAACTTCAACTGGTGCAGAATCCAGCAGGTTGCTCACTGCAGCAAGACAGTTTGAGCATATTACAACAATCCTGGCCTGCCTGCACTAGTGGCCAGTTAGCTTCCAGGCTCAATTCAAAGTGCTGGTTTTGACCTATAAAATCTTAAATGGCTCAGGACCGCAATTCAAGGACCACCCTGCCCCGCCCCCCCCAACATGAACAGAGCCAGAACCTGCAATCTTCATCGGAGGCTGTTCTATGTAAGGCTCCTCCATAAGGTCCAGAGGGTGACAACACAAAAACTACCCTTTTCTGGAGTGGCTTCCCTCTTCCAGAAAGGTAAAGCTAAAGTTTGTCTGAAGGAGAAGCAAGACTGATGTTCATGCCAGTATTCAACCTAAAGGTATGCACACCTTTTGTGAGAAAACCAAGCTCATCCTGCAGCTGTGAGCTCTCTACAGAGTGCTTGCTGTTACCCTGGAAAGGTTGCTAGCCCAAAATAAATGTGCTACAATATATACCTGGTTAGCTATCAAGTGCAGCAAAGTTAAAGGGAGAGAAGGGATTATTAGTTTTAAGCGACTGTGGAACTACTAAGCTTGTAGAATTATTCACTCACACCTTGTGAGTTTCTACCACTGAAGCAACCATCATATTTCCCTGTGGTTCTGTGCGCTGTCTTAGATTGAAGGGCAACCCTGCTGACCTGTGAATAGCAGCGCCACATATACTGGAAAAAGAAGCATAGATATCAGTGCCGTAGACACGATATTTGACATCCTGACATCCAGAGGGACACTTAGCGATAAATTCAGGGTTGATGATCTTTGCAGCTTTGATGTCACAGTCGATCTGAGGAACATCTGTGAAGGCACAAATGGAATGTTATTTTTAATATTGGTGCTCTTGGTAGCATTGAAACCATGCAATTAACACAGAAGTGTTATGTCAGCAGCTGCTTGTTCATATACACTTAATGAATGCCATTTTTGTTTTTAGTACAGTGGTGCCCCGCAAGACGAATGCCTCGCAAGACGGAAAAACCGCTAGACAAAAGGGTTTTCCGTTTTGAAGTTGCTTCGCAGGACGAATTCCCCTATGGGCTTGCTTCGCAAGACGAAAATACCTTGCGAGTCTTGAGGGTTTTTTCGCTTTTCCCCCTTTATCTAATCTGCTAAGCCTTTAATAGCCTTTAATAGCCTTTTAGCAGCTAATCCCTAAGCCTTTAAGCCTTTAATAGCCGCTAAACAGCTGATAGCGCTAATAGCGCTAATCCGTCAATGGGCTTGCTTCGCAAGACGAAAAAACCGCTAGACGAAGACTCTTGCGGAACGGATTAATTTCGTCTTGCGAGGCACCACTGTACTCAAGTGGTGTATATTTTTAGGCAAAGAAGAGTAAGTCAGGATTCTGGACTAGACGGCCCTTTTTCCTGATCAAGCAACACTTTTCTTACTTTCTTATGTATTTAAAGCTGTGTGATACAACCCCAGTTTTGGTATCTTGCTTTAAGCGGAAGAGATCTGGTATGCCCCCAAGATGTGCAGTGAATACCACACATGAAGCCTCTCCCTATTCTCACGCAGGGTTGATGTTGAAAGCTCCCATCTTCCATCAGTCAGGTGCATTGCTTTTTTCACTTACATAGTTTGGACTTTTTCTTCTTCGTGGCTTCTTTGGTGGCATAGATACAAGTCAGCAACAGAGCTGAAACAGAGCAAGTTGGACAATGTGAGGGAAGCAGACATTTGCAGCATCAGTTTGCATGACATTGAATGTTTTCTGGAACGTACAGTGCAATCCTATGCATGTGTACTCAGAGATAAGCATCCCTTAGTTCCATGCTGCTTACTCCCAGGTTGTGTGCTTATAACAGGTAGCCAACATGATGCCCTCCAGATATCCTTGAACCCCAACTTCCATCAGTCCTAGGCACTGCAGCCAAAATTCAGGGGTGATAGGAGTTGCAGTCCCATCATTCCAATAACCCTGGTGTATAGGACTGCAGCCTATTGTTTATAAGGTAAAGGTAAAGGGACCCCTGACCATTAGGTCCAGTCGTGACCGACTCTGGGGTCACGCTTGATCTCGCTTGATTGGCCGAGGGAGCCGGCGTACAGCTTCCGGGTCATGTGGTCAGCATGACTAAGCCGCTTCTGGCGAACCAGAGCAGCGCACGGAAATGCCGTTTACCTTCCCGTCAGAGCGGTACCTATTTATCTACTTGCACTTTGACGTGCTTTCGAACTGTAGGTTGGCAGGAGCTGGGACCAAGCAACAGGAGCTCACCCCGTCGCGGGGATTTGAACCGCCGACCTTCTGATCGGCAAGTCCTAGGCTCTGTGGTTTAACCCACAGCGTCACCCGCGTCCCTCCCCTATTGTTTATACCAGTTTTAAAATTCTCCAAATGAAACATCAGTACTGTTATAATCTACCTTTGTTACTCCAAACCTTGTATATCAATTATCTTAGATTTTAAACCCTTTTGGAGGCAGTGGCTCATCTGTCTTTTCTGATGGAATTGGTGTAACCCAACCTGAATCTGTGGGATAGGGTGGCAAGCAAGCAAACAAAGCAGAGATGGTAAAATATGAAAGTATGTCCCTTACTTGGTTACTTACCAAATATTGTTGCAATTGTTGTTCTTGACTTCATAATGAGAGTCTTGGAATTTTAATCAGGTTCACTGTAAAGTAAAAATAAAATATCGAATACTTCCTCACTTAGTTTAAAAATCTCATTTTCTTACCATTCATCTGTGGTTTGGTTTATCATTGTTTGAGTAGATTAAGGTTATCTTTCTTGAAGTCCTTTCAGAGTACCCTAGTTCCTTCCAATGTTTGCTTATTTATTTTTAAAACTGGCACATTTATCAGAGGGATGTGGTTTTTTAAATTATTTTTCATTGAATGGATATGATACATGTTTTTTTAAAAAACATGTTGTCAGAGCTGCTTCCAGATCCTAGCTCACAGAGGATCACGCTAGCCAGCGATCATTAAACAAAAGTCTTTATTGAGTTACAGTTTCCATTCTCAAACTGCTGCGTGCAACTCTACGTCTCATGGTTAGACCGGCGAAGCTCCGTCTGAGTCTCCGCCCCTTGTACACCAACTTAATATCCTAGCCCTGCTCCACCTTTTCCGCCTGACTGTTCTTCTCTGGGTCCCTCTGCCCCCTGGGGTCTCTTCTTTCCGGGATTCCTCTGACGCTGACCCCCCTGACTCTTCTCCCTCCTTTCGGCGGGCTTTGGGACCTGGCTCCCTTTCCGGGCTGCCTACTGTGCCACCTTCCTGTGCATTTGAACTTGGGCGCGCGCCCAACCTTCCACCTTCCGTCTGACCGTTTCTTCGCTCCCCGATGGAGGTGTGGCCACTCCTGACTCGTGCCCTCCCCCCTGTTGTGAGCTGCCAGCGCTTGATCCCTGGCTCCCTTCCTCTTCCCTGCTCTCTGGCGGTGACGCTGGTCCCGATTTCCAACTGCTCCCCTCTGAGTCCCCTCTGGCTCTATCTTCCTGGGGCGTCCCCCTAGGCTCCCCCCTTGCCCTGGCCACTGGTGCTCCTTTCTGTGAATCTTCTGATTCACTGGAAAGACTCGGAGATCTCGGGTCGTCGTCATCACTCATCTTTTCTTCTGCCTCCTCCCCCTCGCTCTCTGTTTCCTCCCTTGCCCTTGCCTCTGCTCCTGAACCCCTGACATCCATCCCCCCCCACGAAGCCCCCACTTCCCCCCACCCCACCTTCCGGTGCGGGATCTGGGTGCTGCCGTGTCAGGGGGACGAATGTCGGATACAGTTCGCTTCCCGTGGCGGGCCGCCATCTGAAGTCTTCCGGTTCTTCCTCCCTGCTCTCGTTGACGACGGTCACCTCCGCTTCCATCTCTGTGCCGCCGTGCTCGAAACCCGGGTCGTCCCCGAAACGTCCATGTCCGTCTCTCCCTCGTTACCTTCTGGAGACGTTGCTCGTCCTGGACCCTCCAGCCACCTTCTGCGGAACTGCTCCTCTGGTCGATCATCCCACCAATACGAGGGTTCTGAAGCAGATCCCGAGGGTGACCCCTCCGGGGAACGGGCGTCTCGTGTCGGTTCCTCGTCCGAGTCGAACCCCGGAACGTGCTGGCTGAAAGTGTGGGCGTGAAAAGCCAGTCGTCGATAAAGTCTGCTGGCTTTGGCCTATGTGGGAAGAGGGCATGAAACTCTTCTTTGAGCAGAGGTTCGTCTAAAGCGTAGCCCGGCACCCAGCTGTTGGCACTGGCCGGGGTGCCCTCCTTGGCGAGAAGGTATTCTACCCCCTCTTCCCCCATCTGGAGTCCAAAATCTCCGTGACTTCGTTGATGCGCTCCTCCCGTGCCACTCCCCCCTGCCCGGTTCTCTCTCGGAGCGGACCCGGTGCCGTTCCTGGTTCCTGAAACCTGTGAGGTGCCTTGTATGGAGTGAGCACCGATCTGTGGAACACCGGATGCATTCTGGAACCCTCCGGAAGAGCCAGCCTGAAAGCCACCGGGTTGACCTGTTCTTCGACTTGGTAGGGCCCCAGTTGTTTATGCCCTAGTTTCTTCTTCGCCAACGACCTGGCCGACACTGCGTGGGCTGCTAACCAGACCCAGTCTCCCACATGGATCTCTTCGCCAACCCTTCTGTGTTTGTCCGCTTGTACCTTGTATGCGTGTTTAGCCAGCTCCAGGTGCCGCCGCAGCTGATCGTGGACCTCCTGCAACTCCGACGCGAATGCATCTGCTGTCTGCGGCTCCCCTCCCCCATTCTTTCCAGTCCCGGGAAGGTTCTGGGGTGCCTCCCGTTGTTGGCGAAGAACGGCGTGACCCCCGTGGACACGTGCTTCGTGTTGTTGTAGGCGAACTCGGCGAGAGGCAGGTAATCCACCCACGTCGCAGGCTGTTGATTCGCATAACATCTCAGGTACTGCTGCATGATGGCATTGACTCCGCTCCGCTTGCCCATTGGTCTGCGGGTGTCTAGCCGACGCCAGGTTGATCTTGACGTTCAGGAAGCCCATCAGCCTCTGCCAGAAGTTCGAGATGAACTGTCGCCCTCGGTCGGACAGAATAGACCGCGGCAGACCGTGAACCTTGAACACGTGGTCTATGAACAGTTTGGCGGTTTGTTCCGCCGTGGCCACCTTCGCACACGGAATGAAATGTGCCATCTTGGAGAACAAGTCCACCACCACCAGCACAGCCGTCTTGCCCCTCGAGCTGGGCAGATCCGTGACAAAGTCCAGGGCCACTCTCTCCCATGGTTCGAACGGAGTTTGCAGCGGTTCCAGCAATCCGGCCGGCGGTCTGTGCACTGGTTTGGCCCTCTGGCAGGTGTCACACCTCGCCACGTAGTCCGCGACTTCCCCTCTCATTCCTGGCCACCAGAAGTCTCTGGCTACTAATTCCACCGTCTTCTCCTTGCCAAAGTGCCCGGCAGTGGGCGCGTCGTGCAGCTGCTGCAGTACCTTGGCGCGAAGTTCGTCTCCCGGCACGTAGATGGCCCCTTTACGGATGAGCAAACCATCTCGCAGCTGGAACTCGTCGGTCGCTGCCGTGCCCCTGTGCGCCTCTGCCATCTTTGCTTGCGCGAAGGAGTCATCCTGCAACGCTCGTCGCACCGCCTCCAGGTCAACTGTTGCCGCCGTGCACGCCCACACTGTCGGTGCGAAGATGTGCATGGCGGCCGCTGGCGTTGCCTCCTCCAGATACTGCGGCTTACGGGAGAGAGCATCCGCCATGATGTTGGTGTCCCCGGGACATACTCTATTCGGAAGTCGAAATTCGCAAAGAACTCAGCCCAACGTATCTGCCTCTGGTTCAGGAACTGTGCCGTGCGCCAGTGCTCTAGATTCTTGTGGTCCGTGCAGACCTGCACCGTGTGCTTGGCGCCGATCAGGAAGTGCCTCCACGCTTTGAACGCTGCATGAATGGCCAGCAACTCCCTGTCCCAGATGGTGTAGTTCTGTTCGGACTTGCTGAGCTTCCTTGAGTAAAACGCTCCCGGCCTCCAAACCCCCTGCGGGTCCTTCTGCAGCAGGACTGCTCCCACGGCTCTGTCCGAGCGTCTGTCTCCACCCTCATCGGCTTGCTGGGGTTGACATGAAGCAGTTGCCCTTCCGACGCGAAGAGACGCTTGAGTGCCTGAAAGGACTGCTCCGCCTGCTCTGTCCAGATGAACTTCTTTTCTTGGAGCTGAGCGTGTCCGTGATGGCCGCTGTCTGCATGGCAAAGCCTTTGATAAACTTGCGATAGAAGTTCGCAAAGCCGACAAACCGTTGGACCTCCTTCCGGTTGCGTGGGCTTTTCCAATCCAACACTGCTCGGACCTTGGCGCTGTCCATGGCGAGCCCTTTATCAGACAACTTGTAGCCCAGGAAATCCACCTCCGTCACGTCGAATTGGCACTTCTCCAGCTTGGCGTAAAGCCTATGTTGCTGTAGCCTGCTCAGCACTTCCTTGACGTGTCTGTCATGCTCCTGCTGCGATTCCGAAAAGATCAGGATGTCATCCAAGAAACAGACGCACGTCTTGTAGAGGAGCCCCGCCAACACGTGATGCATGAAAGCTTGAAAACGTGGGAACCATTTTGCAATCCAAAAGGCATAACTCTATATTCGTAGGTGCCCAGGGGCGTGAACATGGCTGTCTTCCACTCATCTCCTTCCCGCATGCGAATGAGGTTGTACGCCCCTCGCAGGTCCAACTTAGTGAAGACGCTGCCCTTCCGTACCTTTGCGAGGAGGTCGTCGATTCGGGGCATGGGGAAGTCCGATGGCTTGGTCACGCTGTTCAAAATGCGATAGTCCACTACAAGTCTTTTCTGAGGCGTGTCCCGCTTCTTAACAAAGAATACCGGACTGCCCCCCCGCTGCCTTGGACTCTCGGATGAAACCGCGCTCCAAATTATGATCTATGAACTCTTTGAGTTCCTGCAGTTCGTCCTCAGACATGGAATACAGCTTCCCTTTGGGCAGCGCCGCCCCCGGCAGCAGGTCAATTTTGCAGTCATATGGTCTGTGGGGGTAGCCTGTCTGCCTCCTTCTCGCAGAAAACCTCCAAAAATTCTGCGTACTTGTGGGGAACCGCTTGCAGCGTGCCCAGCTGCAGCTGTGACTCCTCTTCCTCTCCTTCCTGCCGGGGCACGATGCAGTGTTCAGCGCAAAAGGAAGAGCCGAAGGTCAGCTGCCTCTGGTACCAAGCCAGCGTCGGGCTGTGCTTGTCCAGCCAACTCATGCCCAATACAATGGGCGTGTCCGATAGTTGAGTGACATTGAAGCTGATGATTTCCCTGTGATTCCCAAGCCGCATCACCATTGGTGGCGTCTGCTTCACCACTTGCCCCCCTAGCAGCTCCCTGCCATCCACCGTGACAACCTGCAGGGGCAGCGTGGCAGGCAGCAACTGTATAGCGTGCCGGTCGACAAAGTCCTGCCCTATAAAGTCCGCATTGCTTCCGGAGTCAATGGTGATTGGCACGTCCATGGTGATTCCATTGGGCAGTTGGAGCGACGCGGTGAGCCTCACTACTGGTTTGGGCGGGAGGGGGTCCATGGGCTGTAAAATCTCTGGGGACTGCTTCACTGACACGTCTGGTTGGGCCCCAGTGCCTCTTCCTCCAACCAGACTCCGTCGTTTCCCTGCTGTGGTTCTCCTTGCTGCGTTGCTGCAGTTACCATTGCTGAAGCTGCAGTGTGCTTGTGGAGCCTCTGGGGACACTCTTTCGCCATATGCTGTGGAGCATCGCAGATGTAACACTTCCTGTTCCCTCTAGGAGGCTTCGCTCACTGCTGCCGGTGCTAGGGCTCTGGCTGCTGACTGAGCCCTTGCACCTCCAACCTCCATAGGTTCCGCTCCTCCTCCTGGCGGAGGCGTGGATTGCGCACGCGCTGCTTCTCTGGGAAGGAAGGAGGAGCCCCTGGCTGGTTCGCGCCCTCCACGCCCTTCGTCCCTGCTCCACGGACGTTCTTCCAGCCGCACCCCCACCGCCAGCGCCCTCTGAACGATCTCCTGCGTGGTCCGGGGTCTCTCCCCTCGCAATTTCATCTTTAACCGAGCCGTGCAATCCCTCCCAAAACAGGTCTCTTACAGGAGCCGAATCTCTGTCCCATTCCAGAGCACTGACCAAAGCGAAAAAGCGGGCATGGTACTGCCTTACGCTGGCCCTCCCTTGCTTCAGTCCATGTATCTGCTGCCGAGCAAGATCCACGTCAATGCTTGATAAAAAGCACCCATCCATCGCTTTAATAAAGGCATCCGCATTTTGGAGCGCCGGATCCTTATCTCTCCACAAATTGCGCAGCCATGCTTTAGCATCTCCATGCAAATGGGACATGATGAATCCCACCTTCTCTTGCTCATCTCTAAAGTCTTTGTCCAGCAGTTGCAGTGCACACATTACATCTGCTCTAAAGTTGGGGTACTGTTGCAAATTCCCATCGAAGTGAGAGACCAGACCGCCTGTTCGTCTCCCCAACCCAATCCCCTCCGGTTTGGGTGTCAGTTGCCCTTGCTTCGTAAGCACTTCCAACCTGACCTGGAGATCCCTGTAGGCGGCAGCTGCGTCCTCCTCTCTCTTCCTGGATGCGAGAGCCTCGGCATTCAGTCGTGACACTGCTTCTCTGAGTTCCGCTATCTGCTGTTCGGCCGTCATATTGTCTGCCTTTCGTGAGCTCGCTAGTAGGCACCCGCTTTCTCTCCTCTCCGCGAGGCTGTAGATGCCCACAATTTAATGAGACGGAGCTTACTGTCAGAGCTGCTTCCAGATCCTAGCTCACAGAGGATCACGCTAGCCAGCGATCATTAAACAAAAGTCTTTATTGAGTTACAGTTTCCATTCTCAAACTGCTGCGTGCAACTCTACGTCTCATGGTTAGACCGGCGAAGCTCCGTCTGAGTCTCCGCCCCTTGTACACCAACTTAATATCCTAGCCCTGCTCCACCTTTTCCGCCTGACTGTTCTTCTCTGGGTCCCTCTGCCCCCTGGGGTCTCTTCTTTCCGGGATTCCTCTGACGCTGACCCCCCTGACTCTTCTCCCTCCTTTCGGCGGGCTTTGGGACCTGGCTCCCTTCCGGGCTGCCTACTGTGCCACCTTCCTGTGCATTTGAACTTGGCGCGCGCGCCCAACCTTCCACCTTCCGTCTGACCGTTTCTTCGCTCCCCGATGGAGGTGTGGCCACTCCTGACTCGTGCCCTCCCCCCTGTTGTGAGCTGCCAGCGCTTGATCCCTGGCTCCCTTCCTCTTCCCTGCTCTCTGGCGGTGACGCTGGTCCCGATTTCCAACTGCTCCCCTCTGAGTCCCCTCTGGCTCTATCTTCCTGGGGCGTCCCCTAGGCTCCCCCTTGCCCTGGCCACTGGTGCTCCTTTCTGTGAATCTTCTGATTCACTGGAAAGACTCGGAGATCTCGGGTCGTCGTCATCACTCATCTTTTCTTCTGCCTCCTCCCCCTCGCTCTCTGTTTCCTCCCTTGCCCTTGCCTCTGCTCCTGAACCCCTGACACATGTTTTCTTTTTGTTGGATTTAAAGACTAAATAATAGTAGTAGCAGCAGCATCAACATTTTAAGGTTGAAGTCAGTGGTGAATGCTTTTTGGAAGGACATAGGTGTGGGAGAAACACAACCAGTCTGTAATTCTATCTAGAGAACCATACAACCATTCCAAAACCTTGTGTAGATAAATCCTGGGACCCAACAAAAGGCTTTTTTACCTCCTTACTTGCTTCATGTTGCTTCTATCACACCAGAGTATCAGTATTGGAACCCAAACAGCAAGCATACCTCGTAGAAGAGAGACTTTTGTGGAGATTTTGACTTATTGTAGCTGATTTGGGGTACTCTGAAGATGTGTGACAGGAGTTCTGATTCATAGCACTGATGACCCACAAGCCCACTTAGCTGAAACTGCCCTAAAACCTGGAAAGGTGGTCACTTTGAACACACTGATCACACAATCAGCTATCTCTTTGAAAAGGGGTTTTATTTTTAAAGCAACCATCTTTTCCTTCTTTTGAAGAATAATATTGAGTAAGTTTTAACATTTTAAAGAAAATAGATGTTTTGAAACCACACCTAAGCCACAGAATGTCTTCCTTTTAAATTATGTTATTGATAGTCTGACTTTTAGAATGCCCTTTGAAGGAGCTGGAAGATTAAAGAGCTTCTACCAGTGGATTGTTTAATCCCACAAGCAGTTTGACCATGGCTAATCTTATGTTTTTAAATGGAAGTGCTGGTTTTCAGTATTTGATTTCCACCTGTGGATTACATGTGCAAACAGAAATTCTTTATGGGCATGATGTGATTATCTTGGGCAATGTAAGCGGTTTACTGTCACTAATCTTCAGGAGTAAGTTTGCCCGGTCTTTTCTACAGATGCAGATGTTTTCCTTCTCTCTCTCTCTCTCTCTCTCTCTCTCTCCTGGTAAAAAAGCTGCTTCAGTAATAGCATAATAAACAGTAGGGGACTATGGTCATTTTAAAAATAGTTGGAGGAAGTGGCTTATTGGAACACTCTCAGCTTTGCATGCAGGCCTGGAAGTTAAATATAGTTTTATATGGGATTCAGAGAATGCCTAGTATGGGAATAGGTGAATGAGAGGTAGATTGACATATGTTTTGATTACAGCAGACCTGCACAGCTAGTGATACAGCCACAACTTCCACACTGTAGTCTGCCAAGCGCTTGATAATTCCTGTTTTTGCAGTCCCAAGAGGTTTGCCAAGCATGAATGATTGGCTGCAGTCGGTTTAGAGAGTCACAAGATGTGATATTGGAGCCTTTATACCTGTGTGGGTCTTATATGGCTTAGGCAGAACAAAATGTGCAAACATTTAAGATGTGCTGTTTCCTTTAGTTGGAACTCTACTAAATGGTGCTGAAACAGTACAATAAAGGAAAAGCCCACCAAGACAGAGGAGATTTGTTTAACACTTGAACAAGACAAAAGTCCCTCTGATTCCAAAAAGGAAAATTAGGCAATTATGGCTTGCAAACTATACAGCCTGCCAGTCCGAGCATCTTTCTAGGAAAGACAAATGGTTAAATGATTAGGGCGGCCATTGAATCTATGGCATGGGGGCATTTACCAGTGCTGTTGTGACAATGGACCCCTTTGCTGGTGCAAGGAAATAAGTCACTCTTTTGGATCCCATTTCTCAGTGCTGTGGCTTACATGACCAGACTGTTGGGCATAATCTCATATGACACCTTAGAGACTCAATGGTTGATTTGGCATGCATTTTTGTAGGCTCAGAGAGCCAAGAAATTATCAGGATTGTTGATTCAGTTACAGCTTGGCCAGACAAGGTGGCTTAGTGTGTCAAATTTCATAGCCTATAAAACTGGAATGGCAAAAGAAAATACACCATTCAAGCAAGGTGTGAGTTTTCAGCTGAACTTTCAGTTGCAAGGTTTGAAAGTGTGCAGCTGCTGAATAATTAGTTGGTCCATTAAAAAGGTATACATTTGCCCGCTGTATAGATCCCATTTTGGGGGACCTGCATGGCTATAAACAACTTGATCGCCTTCCTCTTAGAAGTTAGTCCTACACATCTGCTTCCAAGGTAGAGAAAAGCAGTTGCCAGACGTAGTTTTGTATCTGTGAATATAAGCAGAGCTCGGCCTATAAAAGAAGAAAAAGTGGGAACACACACATATCACTAGTAAATATTAAACATTAGTATAGCAAGCTTGCATTTTGCAAGCAAGGATTGCATGCTGCTGGCTACTACTTGGAGGTGTTCCCTCAATTCAAGTTGTAGGGTTGCAGTGCTTCCTGCTTTAGCCAGTACTGCCCTCTATCTTAAGGGCTGTCAGAAGATAGTCTTCTATTTGAAGGCATCCTCTGTTTCAGGCATAGTCAGTGTGGTCCCTCCAGATGTTGTGGACTACAATTCCCATAAGTTGCACCAAGCATAACCAATAGCCAAGGATGATGGAACTGTAGCCAAAAATACCTGGAAGGTATGAAGTTGGCTAACCTTAGATGAAACCTTTGCATGACTATTGCTTGTGTGGTTGGTCTGTCCTTTGCCTTATCACACTGTTGAGGACTGCTAAATGACACCAGGATTCCATCCTTAATCATGCTGCACTGACTGAAGCTGAATCGGCTCCAGCCTGGGCTGCACATGAAAAGAGCCCTTGTTAAAGCACTGCCATGAAAGTGTCACAAACACTCATTCAGAGTGTCAGCTGTTTTCCAGCATTGCCCTGAGCATGGGCTCTGCTATAGGATTTCATAGGAACACCTGACACTGAACTTATGGCTCCACATAGCAAAGTTCTAAATGGCGGAAATGTGAAATCTCCTTAGGATGATTAACTCCTCCTCCAGCCCCTGTAGGCATTCAGCTTCCATCCCAACTGGCCGACACCTGTGGAATGTTTATACTTTTATTCAAGCATCACTCACACACCTCCATTCATTATACACATCATAGGAACTTGCATGCTTCCAATAATTCTCGCCTAGGTAGTCAGGAGGGGAAGTGTACATTAATTCGAAGCAGTTAAATGACTAGTCTGCCATGCGTTCAGAATGCAAAATCCATGAGGTTTTATTATTTGATTTTTTTTTTTGGCGTAATTTTCCTTTGATCCTGCAAACTACCTCACTACTCCTTTTCATTTGCATATAAAATATTTTAAGGTTGCTCTTGCAACTACCCTGTGCAGTATGATTCCCATTTTACAAATGGGGAACTGAGACAGAGGGAGAATAATTGGCCTTGGGTCACTCTGCTTCCCCCGAGTATTCTAGGAATGAGAGACTGTGAGAACAGTGCTTAGAATATATGACTAGAGAGGTACACAACTACAGGTCCCAGACTTTCATGGGAGAAGGAAGAATGATTAAACCAGTTAAAGAGCTGTCCAGGCCACAGTTCTGGGTTCTACATTCTAAGGACATTGACCAGCTGAAGAGGGAGGGGTAATTGGGATGGTAAAAGGATCTGGAAGTCACATCCTATGAGGAATGATTGAAGGAGTTGGGTATGTTTAGCCTGGAGAAAGAGAAGATTAAGGGTAGATGATAGCAGTCTTCAAATAACTGAAGGGCTGGAGCAGGCTTGCTCTCTGTTGTTCCAAAGAGCAGGACTAATGGGTGGAAATTGCAGGGATGCAGCTTTCAACTGATTCTATCCGTCCTATGATTCTAAGTGTATGATACAGACATGTCCAATGGGCCCATGGCAAATGTATTACTTTAACTCTAGGGCAACTCTAGCCCTACTCATGGGTTTCTCTGCTCATAGGATGAGGGGGACTTCCCAGTAGTTCTGCCACTTCTCCCACATCCTAGTCCACAGTCCCACCACTGTCCAGGAAAATGCCTGTATTGGGGACCCTGTTGTATTATCCATTGTGATTTAGAACCATACACAATTTGGGCTCTACATTGCACAGGAAAATTCTCCAAATGCATTGGATTCCCCACTGCAGACCTGTTTGCCCTTCAATTCGCGGAGGGTAGTAAGGCAAGGTGGTGGAAGTACAACAGAAGCGGTGGATCTCACTAACCCAGCCCCACTGTTCTGTCATGTGATTCTCACCATGCAAGGGGAACACCTGTCTCGGGCTTCCGTTTCCATTGGCTGAAATCTAAAATGTCACATTTCTAACCGTTTTCACTCAAAAGGCAGTATAGAAAGGCACCAAATACAGAAATGAGTTATTAGATTTATCTCTGGCCATGAAAGAAAGCAAAGTCTTGTACTTGCATTGTACTTTTTTGCAACCTAGGAACGATTTTGCAGTGCAAGCTTTCCCCTGAAGGTACATATTTAGTCTATGGGAGCAAAGAATTCACGTCTAAGACTTTTTGCTCCTTGGAAAAAAAGAAAACACCCCAGGGTTGATTTTATGAATTTTTCTTACATGTCCGCACAGAGCTTGACATCCTTCTGAAGAGAAGGGCTTAAGAGCAGAATTTCATACAACTCTGTGTTGTTTATACAGTCTCCCCTCGGTAGAGCTAATCATACACTATAATTGTCTCTAACTGGCTGAAGCAAAATGATCTCTGTCTGGGTTCACCTGTTTTGTGCTAAATTCAGATTTATTAATAGAACCATGAACCAGGATGATGTGATATTTGCTCATACTTGTTGCATATGCATCCAGTTAGATGAATGAACATGAAGCTAGGGAGGCTCCCATCTAGGATGCGCCTCAGGCTTTATGGGGCCCTAAGAAGCAGCTGGTAGTGAGGGGAGAAGCTGAGCAGAGGCCGGGAACAACAAGCTGCTCTTCAGAAATGGCTCTGGATCAGCAGCTATGTCCAGATAACACAGAATGGTGGGATGGTACAAGGACCTATGTATTGGTGTGAAAAAATAGCAATCTTCTTCCTCAGTACTATTTTTCTAGAAAAAGAGTGCTGGATCTCACCCTGAGGACCTCCCTGGTTCAGTTCCAGCTGGAAAAAAAATGCCCTGCTCCTCTTCATCTCCTATACCACTTCCATGTTTTCCTTCTCTTTTGTTCTGGAAATGTCTGGCAGCCATTTTGGAAAGATCCTCGCTGCTGATTCATAGAATGGCACTGTCCTTCAGTCAGCTGTGGCCACATGAAACTCTAGGACCTGTAGTTGTGTACCTCTCTAGTCATGTATTCTAAGCACTGTTCCCATAGTCTCCCATTCCTAGAAAACTTGGGGGAAGCAGAGTGAGTAGATACATTGTGTGACCCAAGGCCAATTATTCTCTCTCTGCCTCAGTTCCCCTAAACATTTTTTTTAAAAAAGCACTGGGCTTAATGAACCACTTGGGGAATTGCAGCTCTGTGAAGGGAATAAAGGTCTCCTACCAATTCTCGGCACTCTACCAGACTACAGATCCCAGGGTTCTTTGTGGGAAACCATGCACAGAGTTGTACTGTAGGGATACTTGAACAATGAACAGCATTGGCAGGAATCAAGTCAAACAGGTTCCTTCTCTGGTCCCTTAAAACTCCCAGATAATTTATCACTGCAAACATGGGTGCAAACTAATAATTAGGATGGCAAGGTAGAAATGGGAATTGCCATGGAGCCAGGACTGGATCTTTCTAAAAATTACAAGCAACTACGTTAACCATTTATATGGAAGTATATAAAGCCAGGATGTATAACTAGTCCGGTTAATGATTTGAAACAGGCTATCATTAAAAATGTGTGAATAAATGTGGCTTTATGCCATAATCAAGTTCTTGATCTCCCTGCCCTCTACATTCACACCTTTGGTTAGTTAATTTTTACTGTAATGTTTTTGATGGCCTTTAAGCATCTGCCTAAAACAAAAAGCAAGCTTTTGAACATTTAGCTGTACTTCCATTTTTTCAGAACTTTTTAGAAATCACAGCTTGTGGTATGACATTGATTTGGAATGGGCTCTTTAGCTGACGTAGGGGTGCAAGTCATGGTTGTTGCTGATTCCCAGAGAATTTGGTCACCTGTCGTATTCCTTTACATCAGAGTGCAAAGGACTGAGCCATCTCAGTTAAATAACAGTTTGATGACTATAGATCCATGATGTCACAGGGTGTGATGCAGGAAGCCTGAGCCAATCAGGAGGTGCTGAAAAAAAGAATCCACAGGATAGAAGCAGGGCTGCCCCTGCCAAGTGAGGTGGGTGCCTCAGGCAACAGGTGCTGGGGGGCAGGCAAGAGAGTGACGGTGATCAGTTAGATGACAGCTGTGGGTGCCATATGGCTTCCTTGCTACCACCCCAAGCTAGCCTGCTGCTGCCCTCAATGAGTGCTTTGCCACTGTGTCAGACTGGTGGTTTTCTGTACTTTATCTCAGGCAGCAAAATGTTATGGACTGACCCTCGGGAGATGTCAACTGTTTTGTAAAAAGCTAAGTGAATACTGAATAGTCTATAAACTGGGGCATTGGCAGATAGATTAGGGTATCAGTTTCTGATGTTTCTGTTTAAAGAGTCAGGCGTACTTTTATATATTAGGCCCTTCTCTCCCCCCACCCCCCCCGGCACACCACCAATCAGATTTTATGACAGCTTTCTAGTCTCCAGAAATAACATCACCTTCCCCTCTGCTTGGCATTTCTTCTAGCTGGCATGTGTGGGTGTGGGTGTCCATGTTAAGCAAGAATTATATTCTTAATTTTTGTATATCATAAATGAGCACACAGGTGCTCTAGGAAATGGAAGAGCTCATGCTATCAATTGTATAACATGAGTTATTTACCCAAGGTAACTAACTGAGCCAGGAAATGAAACTTTCGTTTGTAATAGTGCTCCGGCTTACTAGATGATGCTGAATCTCTCTCTCTCTCTCTCTATATATATATATGTATAGATATATATAAACTTTCTCAACCTTCAGGTTTGGTGGAAGGTCCTATGGGAGTGTGAGAACTCGGTGTTTACTAAATCCTCACCAAACAAAGCAGCGGACCCTCCTCTCCTGTCCACTGCCCTGGTAACGATACACAGCTCTCTCCATGTTGGTGGGATAATAACTGGCCACCTACACAGATGCCTGCTGCACACTAGCTAGAATGTGGTAAGCTCAGCTGGTAACTGGCCAAACTGAAAAACTCAGCTCAGCAGCAGTTTTCACAACCATCCACCTGTGAAAAGGTTATGCCTCTCGCATTGAGAACTGTATCCCAGAAAACAAACAGCACATTCCAGCTATAGGAAGCATCAAGAAAGGGGTGGCAGGTGCTAAATATACATTGATTCCTGCAAAAACATCACATGATGAATGGGAAAGTTTCTTTGCCCATCTATTTTTGACCAAAAATATAAAGCATCTAGATGTATGATATTAATAGCTCATTAGACTAACTGGATGCCAAATCAGACGAGTGGAATGCCTGTGCTTGGCGTTGCCAGTAACAATAAGTGAACCTAATCTCCTAGCTATTGCTCCCACAAGTACCACATTTTTTCCAGTGGAATTTGTGTGGGAACAGCATATGTTGGATTGTGCCCAATATATTCAGCATTGTGCAAAAAAGACTCCTCAGTGGAAGTGTTAACAATCAGTGAAAATCTTGGGTTGTATTTATACCAAGGTGTGAACACGTCCTTTGAGGTTTCCAAAAACTGCAGCATAGCTTACTTTTTGCAGGTTTGAAAATAACATTTAAGAAGCATTAAACCTACAAAAAATAACCTTGAGGTTATATGGCGATTGCAGCCTAGGGAGCAAGAAGGGCAGTTCTAAGGTCTTCGTTTTAATAGCTTGTCTTGTGAATCTGCCACACTGTGAGGAAGGTTAATCTAAGAGACACTAACTGGCCAAGAGTCACCCAGCGAGTTTCATGGCTGGGGGTGTGGGGGGGTGTGGTTTGAGCCCTACTCTCTCAGTCCTTGTGCAACACTACTACACAACTATAGCTCTCAATAGTTATTGGTATCAGAAGTAAGGTATAGAAACATTCTGATAAATTGGATTAGTAAGTAATAGGTTCTGAATGCAACTGCAAACCATACATGGCATATTATTTTAAAAAATTCCATACCTGCCAGTGTTTTGTTTGCAAGCATAATTGAACTGATTTTCAAGAGTAGGCACAGCATGTGTCCTGGTGTCAAAGTTGCATTGATATGTTTATATAGAAGACATATGATGCACAGTTGAGAATGCAATATGGAGCATAAAAGCAGTCTGAAAACGTTAGGAACACATGAGTGACTAGTGGAGTGCCGCAGGGTTCTGTCTTGGGCCCGGTCTTATTCAACATCTTTATCAACGACTTGGATGATGGACTCAAGGGCATCCTGATCAAATTTGCAGATGACACCAAACTGGGAGGGGTGGCTAACACCCCAGAGGACAGGATCACACTTCAAAACGACCTTGACAGATTAGAGAACTGGGCCAAAACAAACAAGATGAATTTTAACAGGGAGAAATGTAAAGTATTGCACTTGGGCAAAAAAATGAGAGGCACAAATACAAGATGGGTGACACCTGGCTTGAGAGCAGTACATGTGAAAAGGATCTAGGAGTCTTGGTTGACCACAAACTTGACATGAGCCAACAGTGTGACGCGGCAGCTAAAAAGCCAATGCAATTCTGGGCTGCATCAATAGGAGTATAGCATCTAGATCAAGGGAAGTAATAGTGCCACTGTATTCTGCTCTGGTCAGACCTCACCTGGAGTACTGTGTCCAGTTCTGGGCACCACAGTTCAAGAAGGACACTGACAAACTGGAACGTGTCCAGAGGAACGGCTAAGGGAGCTGGGCATGTTTAGCCTGGAGAAGAGGAGGTTAAGGGGTGATATGATAGGCGTGTTCAAATATATAAAAGGATGTCACATAGAGGAGGGAGAAAGGTTGTTTTCTGCTGCTCCAGAGAAGTGGACACGGAGCAATGGATCCAAACTACAAGAAAGAAGATTCCACCTAAACATTAGGAAGAACTTCCTGACAGTAAGAGCTGTTTGACAGTGGAATTTGCTGCCAAGGAGTGTGGTGGAGTCTCCTTCTTTGGAGGTCTTTAAGCAGAGGCTTGACAACCATATGTCAGGAGTGCTCTGATGGTGTTTCCTGCTTGGCAGGGGGTTGGACTCGATGGACCTTGTGGTCTCTTCCAACTCTATGATTCTATGATTCTATGATTCTGCATGATTTGAACTGGGTAACACTTCCATCGTCTGAAAATGATATAGGCTTAATTTAAGATGGAGCTCATTGCTGCTGTTCTTATCCTTATAGCTTGTCTTTATGTGAAGAAATGATGGACAAAAGTGTAGCTTTGAGCAACCACAAGCCCTTACACAACTGAGATTAGGGTTGAATATGGACATTCATTGGCAGGTGTTATGTCATTGTGCATGGAATAAATGTTGAACATGGAAAGCTGTTTGCCTGAATTTCCCTTCCAAATGGTGAGGAGCATTCTATCACACCTCTCTAATCAGGTAAAATTCTTCTGATTACTTGGCAAGGAGATGCAAGTGCTGGCACAAGTGTAATGTGTTAGATTACCCACATGCTAACTGTTTGCATTCATCCCAGGGCTCTCTGTATGGAGGATACTCTCAGAGACTTAGTGCTATGTTGACTACATCCCCAAGGCAGATTCCATATGCATCTACCACTGGCACCCCCAACCCTGTCTCCCCGGCAGCCATTAGCACGAGACAATTCAAGACACTAGTCTATCCCATCCAGGATATTATTACATGTATATGATAAATTTTAGATATTAAAAGTGTATACTGTGTAATTTGGTAAAAAAATCTCAAGGCAGATTACATAAGAACAGTAAAATACAGTTAGCAACAGTCATTAAAGTCCTAAAACCCAGATTTTTTTAAAAAAAGCAAATAAAACTGAGCAGTGTACTGAACCAAAAAAGAGAGGTTAATTAAGTAATTAAATTAAAGAAATTTAATTAATAAACTTAATGGAGTATTTTTAAAATGTACTTTTATAGCCCAACTTGGCTTTTAAAGCACTGGCAAGTATGTCCAGAACCTGGCAAAACTGAAATTCGAAGCTGTTTTTGCCTGGTCCACAACTCTTTGCAGACATGTCCAAGAGTTTGTAGCAAAATTTTGTACTTTTGCCTGGCAAAAAATCTAAACCAGCCTTCCCCAACCTGGACCCCTCCATGATGGACCACAACTCCCATCGGAAGAACCAGAACAATTTTCCCATCTTCTTTGGTGAGGCTGCCACCAATATAATGGAGGAAGAGCAGCCAATGAGAGGGTGAGGTTCCCATTCCCCACCTTATAGCATGAAGGGACCTTCAGAAGGAAAGTTACTTTAATCCCAGCAAAATTGTTTTACATCTACTCAGTACAAAAGAAATTGATCCACTTCAATCCATTGATGAATGCAACTGGTGGCAAACTTTCCAAACACCAACAGCAACATTAAAGTGTGGCAATAATGGTCCAGGTGAAAGAGGAAAGTAAGGAGATAATCCCCCACTTCTCCAACAACTCTGAATAAGCTCAACGATAGTAGCTACTGACTGAAATGTTTGGTTTGGGCAGAGTTTCGATAAGCAGCAATGTGGTCCTCCCTCTGGCTGCTTCAAGCTGGCCAGACTCCTCATAGAGGGTTGGTGTTTTACTCTGCCACATCAGCCATGACCAGATCTCAGCAGCACTTGCAAATGACACAATCCCTACACAACTCTTCCCCTGCCCCATTTTTGACACTGTGTCCTCCCAAACCTCATTTCAGCCCATCATCAGGGTCACATTAAATCATCTTGGTAGTGATGTTTCCTCCATTTGTTTCCTTTTATGCATGCTTTTTTAAAATAAAGAAATAAGACGTCTAAATGCATTTCCCTTTTCCCCCCAGAACCCTCACCTCTGCCAAGCAATTTGTCAGATCACATTAAAATGAAATGAAAAACAAGTCTGTTCAGAGTCTGGTAGCAATCCGCATTCAGAAAACAGCCCTGTGTTATGATGTTGTCTTTTGGGCAATTTCAGTAATAAAACTATCTGTATTTCCTTTCACCTAATTACACATACACCCCGCCCGCCACCACACACACCAATAAGGATTGCAGGAACTCACTCTTTGTTTAATATACAAACACACTTTCTTTGTATCCATGTTTGTATCCATGGCATGGTGAAATGGAAGCTGGTTGATTCTGTTTGCTGTAAAATCCCTTTTGAAAATCTTGGGACATTGACTGAATTCCTTTTGGGGCAGTTTGACAAGCTAATGAATGATGGGATTTTAGCTGCTTTCTGATTTGCCAGTCTCTGAAGGATCTGTTTTGTTTTCTAATTAATGAAAGGCAGAAAGAAGGATAACTACCCAAGAACCCATCCCCAAAGTGTGATTTCTTTATCAATCCAAAAGTACTAGAATTATATATAAAAAAAAACCCCAACAACCCCAACTTTTAAAAAAAACACCACAAAAACCTTTCTTTCTCTGAATTTTCGCTTGGGGTGATCGGTACATGTTGCTACTGGCCTGACACAAATCACATTGCAGAGACTTATCAAGAATCCAATCTCCCTGGGAGAAGGTGAGCTGCTGTGACAGGCTTGATAATGCTATTCCTCTTTAAAGTCTTACTAGCATAGCAGCCATTCAACACAAAAGGATATTGGGGGCAGGGCAGGGAGCACAGGGGTGAAAGGAGAGGCAGAGAGATGATTCCAGTGCCCCCCCCACACACACACACTGCATTATCAACCCTCTTTTTCCACATAACTTTATATAGCAACCAGTGAGACAATTGGAACCCCCAGCAAGGAGAAAAATATATCAGTGCCCAAAGTTAGCTCAATATTTGCGCAGTTGTAAACTAGCAGTGCTAGTTATTAAATACGGAAAGAAAGAAAGAAAGAAAGAAAGAAAGAAAGAGGAGAGGAAACCTACTTGAGAAAATGAATATGGTTCTTAAAGCATTAAACAAATTACAGACACCTAACTTGCCTGTAAAAGTATTTAAATGATGGATTTATCAAAGCTTTGTAGACATTGTGTGTGTCTGTATGTGTATGTGTGCATGCGCTTTGTGGGCATATCAATAATGCATAGACATGATGGTATTTGCATCACAATTTCATTTTAAAGACACTTCTTACCCTCAGGGCATCTCCCTAACATGCAAAGCATTGAATTATCCAAAATATAGAATTATATGCTTGCTCTCTCCCTTCCAAAATTAGATCTATAAATGAATCATACATAGGGAAACAATCAGTATTACCTTGCCGGAGGTGTGTGAATTTTTAAAGAGAAAACTCCTTGTCTCCAACCAGTATGCCTGGGTTATTTTTTCCCAAGATATTCTGCAGCACAAACTTCAGACAATATTATTCTAAAGAATCAGAAATGAACAAGAAAAAAAATCCAGGGCACCTTTTTGCTTTCTCATTAAATATTCCCGTCAAGCTCCCAGTAGTTTGAAAGACACAGTAAACTCTCTCTCTCCACAAACACAGAGCTCCTTAGACTGATGTAGTTGCTGAATTAGGCGGTGCTCTTTTAAATTTCTTCTCCCTCCCACTTCCCCCCTCCTTTTCCTCTTGTGGGGATTTTTATATTGTGGAAACTAAATTGGCATGCGCTGTTTTATTCAGAGTGTCAAACCTTGAGGAAAAGTAAAACTCGCTTGTCTCTATTTTGGTTCTACTCAGGGTGCGTGCGTCCATGTGTACATTTATTTTACCACTCCTGAAATCGATACTTTGCAACCTCTTTGGTAGGAGAGGGATTAACAAACAGAATACTGATTAGAATCTAATCATCTTTAGCTCACTTGGTAGCACATGAGACTCTTAATCTCAGGTTTGTGGGTTTGAGCCCCACGTCGGGCAAAAAATTGGACTAGATGATCCTCATGGTTCCTTCCAACTCTACAATTCTGAGTCTATGAAATCATAAACAAAGCATGCACACAAAAAAGAACAGTTTTCTCAGACAAGTTAGACCTTCTTAGAACAGTTAATATAGACCCAATTATAGAGTTGGGACCATTTCTTGGGTTGACGTCAAGAGCAGCAATATATTATGAGGTATAAATTCACCTGTCTTATCTGCCTCATTAGATTCCATGCAGCTCACCCGAAGCTGTTCCGCTTCCATTCACAAGGGCTCACAAGGGTGACTAGAAAAATGGACTGTCATTTTTGCCAGGGATGCAGAACTGTATGATCTAATGCCTGACTATTGGCCATGCTGTCTGTGGCTGATGGGAGTTTAACAACAACATCTGGAGAGTGACAGGGTTCTTCATCCCTGTTCAGTGTCGTCTTCATGGTCTCTTGCAATGAGCAATAATAAGTCTTTGTGTTCAAGCTTAGAATCTAAAAGACATGACTCAAAAGGAAAGGTTATTGGTAAGGAGGAGGAAGAAAGTAAACTCGGACCCCAATTCTTACTTACAAAGTAATTAAAATTGCTCTGATCCATGGGGCTGGGGCAAGGCAAAGCTCAGCACCTTGGAGAGGTACCTAGGTGGGGGTTTCAGGACCACACTTAGTGATCCTGCAGCTCAGGCAGAGCATGCAAATTGTCTCAACATTGTCAAGGAGCAACGGACAGAGCCTTGTAGCTTGGTATTTGAGGACCCAAACCCTGGCCCATTAAAGGACCAGTGCCCTTGTCTGCAGCCATTGGCTTATTTTAGTCCTTGGGATTTTAAAATGTAGGAATATATCCTATGGGCTCTTCTGATCTCTGCAAGCAGTTTGTGGACCAACCAGCATAGCCTGGTGAAGGAAGTGCCTCCTCAGGATTCAGGGAAGGAAATTCAAGCTCTGGTGACTGCAGACCGGGGATCAACTCCATCTCCTCCTCAGGGCTACTGTCATTGGAGGACTGCCTCCAAGGACTCCTGACCTGGGACCATAACAGTAATGAGAAGCTGGAATAGAAACAGTTCAAGAAGGAGACATTGCTGGTCTCAGGTGAACCAATCCCTTCTCTCCTTGTGCTGCATGGGATGGCAGGGAGGGAGAAATCTGAGGGCTAGATGCATCTAGAGCATCAATTCAACACAGACCAGTCTAGTGTCACTTCTGTTGAGCTTCCTCTCTATCATTTCTGTTCCCTGTAGGAGCTGTTTGTGATGCAGCTAGGAAGTAGCAGCTGGCACATTCTTGCCTCTTCCCAGTCTACCACACTCCATGGCTGCAGGAGTCAAATGTGACTCATTGGAACAAGAGTGACTTTGGTGTCCACCACTAAAGACTTGTTTGTTCTGGCTGACTCTTGGTGAAGGGGGCTAGGTCAGGAAACTGCAAGTCTTTCCCAACCCTACAATTGTACCAATCTCTCTCTCTCTCTCTCTCTCTCTCTCTCTCTCTCTCTCTCTCTCTGTGTGTGTGTGTGTGTGTGTTTGGGTTGTTTTGCAGCCTCAAGCAATAATTGAGGATGGAGATTTATATGCTTAGACTCTGAGGCTTAAAGTATACTTAGCAAGTCGCCTCAACCATGACTGCTACCATGGATGGTGTTTCTTGTTTAAAAATATAAGGGCTCTGCCAGAGTTCAGCAGCGGAGTATTCTGTTGATTTTGCAGGTTAAGTTTTGCACATGCTTAACAGTGCAATTACATGCACATTTAGTCAAAAGTAAGTCCATATAAGTTCAATGGGACATCCTCTCAGGAAAATTTGTAGGGCCGGTAGCCAAACCCCTCAAAATTTGGTTTAACTTGAACTGAAATGCTGTTTTGGTCAACAGATTTAGGTAAAATGTGTTCTAATCTTGAAATGAACTTGTATGACTAGGGTGTGGTGTATTTTAGTCTGATTTTTTTAAAAAAATCATTCTTATTACAAAATTGAAATAAACACACACACACTTTCTAGAAAGAGTTTAAAGCATGGGAGTCTAACCCCCACTTTGGGAGTCTGATCTGCGCCCCACAAAGCATTTTTTTCTAGCCTCCTATAAAACCCTGTTATGGTGACTGGACTGCAAAAAGAAAAAATAATAATAAAAAGTAGGCCCAGCTCTGTGATTAGCTGAGCCCGAGAAACCTGATAGGAGGGAGTACAAGATGCCATCCAACCATCTTAGGGATTCCCGTCTGGATTTGTGTAGAATTTATTCCTTAGACTTTTCTTCTATGTTCCACCAGGCAGCGGCTTTGTAGGGTTGCAACCTCATAATTTGGACAGTGTCCATATGTTTTTAGAACTCCTGGTAAGGCGGGAAAGAGAGCAAACTGCACCTCCTTCAGCTCATTCCCTCTGCTGCCCAGTCAACCTCCTCCCTGCCATATTTGAGACTAGCATGCTATAGCAGGTAAGGGCTGGGACATGTGTCATGGCTATAGTTGAAGCGGGTGGAAGGAGGTGTGACTGTCTGTCTTTCTGCTTTAGCAGAAGATTAAAAAGTGCATGAAAGCTGTCTGGGATGTGAGGTTAGAAAACAACAGAGATTCCTGTGGCAAAGACTAGGTTGTAACTCCATGTGATGCATCTGCATGGTGTTATAAATTAGATACAATTATGCAAGGTCATGATCCTCTGCATAGCTGTCAACTGTTCCCTTTTCTTGCGAGGAATCCTATTCGGAATAAGGGAATTTCCCTTAAAAAAAGGGAAACGTTGACAGCTATGATCCTCTGTCTCTCTCTCTTTCACACATACGAAAAAAAACCTGTAGAAAGTTTTAAATATATAAGACGAGGAAGGAGGGAGAGTAAAAGATGACAGGGATATTGTGCGATAAAAAATTTAGTGTTTTATAAATAATGGTGCCATTATACTGTCTAGTTATCGCAAGATGACACTGGACTTACCTGGACAGAGTTAGGTGTTTCCTGCTCCTGCTGCTGCTTTTCCATTCTGGTTTTTAGAGGGACAATAAAGTTTTTCTCTAGCTTCTTGACTGGCGTGTCCATGACAGATGAGTAAACTCACAACACATAAGAAATATTGCACATTGTCTATAACCTGTATAATGAGCTACTTTGCTATGAAGAAATTTGTCAAGTGTAGTACTGACCAGGCCAGGATGAATGATAAAGTGTGGACTGCCCAAGCTGTTTACAGTATATGCAAAATGAGCCAGACTGGCCAGCCAATTTTGGAGCATTGACTAAAGCAGGATAGCTATGGTCACATATTTTAGCTATTTCCCTGACAATGCTGATCAGTTAGAGAGGTCATTTACTTTTGGTACAGAAAACTGGGGCACTGAAAATTGCAGAGCAAGCACTGACCTACTGAATGAAATGTGTTCTGGAGAAGCTGCTTTTCCCTAGATGATGCTGGACTTTGTACTGTATTTAGAACTTGAAATGCCCACAAATTCCATGTTGTAACTTAATTACCATTGACAGTAAGAGTCCAAATTTGAATGGTGCCCATTAAATTTGGAATCAGGAAATACCATAGGGTAGAGTTGGGGTGGTGTTGGTGTTTTGGGGTCTTTTTTCTTCTTCTTCTTCTTCTGAGGAAGCTTGTGTTCATTATAGACCACAAGCGTCTTGTTAAACTGTTTGCAGCTTAGAATGAGGGTGCCAACTTCAGAGGCCACTGTGGTGAGAGAAGTCAGGCTGGGTGTTGCCTGCTTTTTATATAGGCTTCAAGCAAAACTTTACTAACTGGGTGAAACATTTCCCTCAGTTAATCCTTTCGAAACCTTGTTTTGACAAACAAGGTGTAAAGTGATACCAGATTGCATTTGATCCTAAGTTTGCCTAGGCCAGGGTGTGGAATGCTCTCAAGGGTGCCAAATCAAATGTAAATAAGCTTCTTTTATGCAAAGCAAACAAGGGATAACAGAATGTAAGAAAACAGAAGCAGAGGTTCCCAGTTTTTGGAGTTTTTTTGTCCAGTGGTCACATTTGGAAAGTAACATGGGTGTCAGTCACAAAATAGCTGCTCTATGGGATGTGGTATAATAGAAAATAGCTGCTGTATCTAAAAGAGCAAGAAAAGGAAAAGGAACATTAAATGAGGGGGAGAGCATGTTCAGTGTAAGAGAGTCCAAGCCACTGCAAATAGGAACTGAGCAGGAAGAACAAACAGTTTCTCCTGCATTGTGGAAATTTGTGGGGATATTTACTGAGATCTTTTGTAGGCCCCAAAGGATGTCCTGGTGGATGCTGAGGTGCCCATTGGCACCTGGCTGGCAACCTATTGACCTCTTACCAGAATCCAAAGAATTACTTTAGGCACATCCAATAGCTTGTGTGTGTTTTGTTACATTTGTCATTGGTTAGTAATCCTCATGACATAGTCAAAGCTCTCTGTGGACAAACACCAGCTCCCTCGGCCTGAAAGCGAGATGAGCGCCGCAACCCCATAGTTGCCTTTGACTGGACTTAACCATCCAGGGGTCCTTTACCTTACCTTATGATGAACTGCTTGTGGACCTCCCCTCATTTTCAAAAGTAGTTAATTAGTGTCTGACAAATTAATCTCACCCAATGGACCAGAATGTGGCGTAAACCTCCCTTTAAGTCCGTAGCAGCCAAATAAGGAAACTCGCTCTGAAACTCACCTGCAGGTGGTACTTAACACCACGGAAACTGGTGCTGATACACCCAGGAACCTCACCAAGATGATGGAGAGGCTGCACATGTCATGGGAATGCCCTAAAATCCAACCCTTCTGGACAGCAGTCCTACAAGAGATATGCAAAATAACTAAACAGGTATTAGAACTCACCTCAGAAGTGGGCCCTACTGAACATCTTCCAAGATCATAATGACCACTCACAGTATACAGAGCTTATAACCCACCTATTCTCAGCAGCCAGAAGCTTCATAGCCAGACAGTACAGAGACATGTCAGGAGTAAACATGGACTACTGGTATCAAATTGCATGGGAAACGGCCTTACTAGAAAAGCTACCCAATAAAGTGAAACTCACACAGGGACAAATAGAAGAGGACACCTTTCCCCCAGTATGGCTCCCTTTAGTACATACACAGCCCAACAAGACAACAATAAGAATCCACCAACACATGCAGATCCATCTGGCTTACCTGACCCAACAAGCTCTTCCACACTGACAAATGCAAACAAACCCCACTGTTGCCAACCACAGATAACCAACCACACCCTGCCCCCCAATACCTCTCACTACTGACACAAAACCCCACACGCACACTGTACAAAAGAATATGCCTCACCACACCATCCCTCCTCTCGCCCCTCTTCTTTCCCAACCTTATACTGTACTCAACATCAATGTCTCACAACAAATGTAACTGATTTGTAAGAAATATTGTACAACCTGAAAAAAGAGGCCAGGTGTTCTTTTGTAAACCAAGAAAATCTTTAATAAATTTTTAAAAAAGAAACTTCTAAAGAGTTGACCAATCGTTCGTCTAACCAACTGAGGGAACATTCAGTGGTCTTCAAGCAGGACTTCAAAACTAAGATTTGATGTTACTATATTATTTCCCACTGGGCACTTGCTATTCATTCTCTCTCCCTCTCCCTCTCCCACCATTATGCACAGTGAGGTGACTGACTTACACAGCTGATTTTGGCTTGATTTATTATTGCTGCATTTTTACTGTTAAGGAGGGACTGGTGGGATGGTCCGTCTCAGGTGCCAAAATAACTTGGCTGCACACAGGTATTCTGCTCCTTGTCTTGGAGGGGAGGGTGCCATTTGCTGCTTTGCTTCAGGCAGCAAGATCTCTTGGGCCGGCCCTACCAGTGGTGTAAAAATATTTGCTAACCAAGCATTGCACAATCATACAACCACAAGGAGTTACATAGTGCAGGTCCTCTAAAATATGGGGTCCTTCTGCCGTAAGCAATCTTATGTAGTGCTCAGGCAGTTAATCAGTTGCTGGAGCTTCCCATAGCGTTGAACCAAAGTGGAAGAGCACAAAGCTAAGAACAGGTTTTGTGGTTCACAGCTGAATCTGAGTGACTTTTACAGTTTGCTTTGCCCTTCGCTGTAAACCAGGCTTATGAAATATAATTCCAATAAGGGCCTCCGTTGTGTTGCTCCTCAGAACTTTTCCTACAGGGCTTCTGCTGAGATTCCGTGTGGCACCAGCCTGTCAAAGCAGGTAGGCAGTGCCAGCAACAACTACTTAGTGCCTGCTTCCATGAAACTGAACAGATCCTCTCTGTGGTGTGCTTGTCCCTGGCTACTTCATTCAGTTCTCTAGGGATTAAATAAAATGCAGATTTCCCCCCTTTTTTCTGGAGGGAACATGCTGGAACTGTAGTACAGCACTGGCACTTTTACATTTCCAAATAGTTTCTGCAGCCAGAACTGCCAATGTCATCAAATGGGAGATTAATTTATTTCTCTCTCCTGATTTTGAGATAGTTGGAACCCTTCAAAAGAAGCCACATCTCCCCCACTCCTCCTAAAACCCACACACTTCAGCTGAGAACGCAACCGACCGTAGTTTTCCTAACCGATACGTAAAAGGGATTTATTTTTCTGAGAGCTTAACTATATGTCATGGACAACCCACCTAGGTTGTCTGTAATGGTTTTATGGTCACAGTTTTGTAACATGGCTCTCATGGGAGAAACGGTGTCCGAGTTCATCACATAAACTGCGCTAGAAATACTGGCTGTTTCTAGTCGAGAGTACATACAGGCCAAGTGTTGTTTGAGGAACCAGCTTGAGATCTTAATGAATGGCTGGCACAATCAAAAGCAAAACTCGACACTGGAGGCTCCTTCTTTCAAGATCTTGTCAATATTGCCAAGTGTGTGCCCTGCTTTCATTTTGGGTGGCCCTCCTGAGCTCAGAATAGCTCGAACCTTTGTGAAGTGGAAAGCCTGAATAATTCCTAACAGATAAAAGTGGGGAAAGATGTTGAGGGCTTTGTGTGTTTTCTCTCTGTTTAACAGTTGCACTGCATAGCGGATGGAATGACGTGTGAAACTTACTGCGCCCTTATATAATGTGCTGAGGATGGGGCATGCCCTCCACTATCGTAACACAATCTTGGTGATGATAGGCTGTTTCAGGGAATAAAGCTGGGATGGTGCAGTCAGGTATACCGGGACAAATATTTCTAACAGCCTTCCTGGAAGGTTGGGGAAGGAGGGGTGGAAAATGTTCCTTTCATTAACTTCCTTAGGTTTGAATCCAAGCCTGATTTGGGGCAATTCCCCTCTCCCACATCAGTCCCTGGCTTGTGTCCCATTCTTCATGGCCGTTGTCTGTTCAGAGAGGGGGGAACACAAGGGCCTGCAGAGGAGAACAAGGGAGATGAAACTCTGAATGAACTTCCTTACTTCACTTTAAGTGGTTTATTAAGAGAAGCAGACACGTTGCTAAGTGTCCACACAAACATTAGCCCCAAATAAATAGCCACCTTGCCCTGACAAGTTGCACATCATCAAAAGTAAGTCAGAAAATATGAGAATGGGCAACGAAGCCAAATTGTTAGTGTGAGTGACATGAATGAGGCCCAGCATCTGTTTACAAAGCTAATAATATGGAGTGGCACATGAACAAAGAATGTCACCCATTCTCAATTTAAATTCCCTTTAAGAGACTTAGAGAGATCAAAAAGAGTTTAAAAGCCTTCTTTGAAAGCTCACTTTGAAAATACCTGTTCCTTTGTTCGGTCTAAAATGCTGAACATAGCTGTCCAAATCTTGTTAGAGAGATAATGCCTTCTAAATATGTCCCTGACCCTCCTGCTCTGACACTGGCCTCTGGGCAGTGTCTTACCAGGTAAGTCCTCAGTTAGATCATTCTGATAAATGCACAGCCAAACTATGGAGAAGCACAGGCCCAGAGGTGACACAGTGGTGTCACCATGTTCAATCCTCTCTGGGCTAGGACAGAATAAACCACAACCAAAATTTCCCTAAATATTAGACCATATAAAGCCAGTTGGCATCTGTCTGTCTCGAGAAACAATGGAAGAGTCTACCATTCGGGGTTGAAGTCAAACCACTGGAGAGTTACAGTGCCTGCTGTGGCTGTAGAGACCAATGCAGGAGAGACATGTTTTAGTGCAGCTTGGGCAGATGATGGCATCCAGTTTCGCTGTTACACCTTAAAAACCAACATCTATTATGGACTTTAACAGACGCCAGTCCACTCCATCAGAAGTATGAAGCCTTAACCAGAGCTGTATTTTTCCTGCATGGATTGACTGAGAGTACAGTATGGTGAATCAGCCATCTTGAGCACAAAGGTTCAACGTCTCTATATTAAGTGAACATAATTTGTTCTTGCTCAGTTAATTCAGCCTCTCTGCTATCACCACCTCATATGAACCCGAGGAGATCTTCCAAACCGCATTAATGTGAAGTCTTCCAAGTTGCTTTTGTATAATTGGAAATCCCTCCCACACCCGTAACCTCATCTCCACCTTGCCCCATTCATAAGGACGATGGCACTGCAAACAAGCCATTCTTAGAGAAGTGCTATGTTGAGCTCTACCAGTTTAGTTTGTCAGTGGTGGTCAACAGTCCCTAGCTCTCAAACCCTGGACAGGTAGTGTGTCTTCAGAGGCTTTTTGAAGGAGCTGTAAAAACCAACTTCCTAGCCTAAGGGTGTTTCACATTACCACCTTAGAAATTACCCCCTGCTCCACTGGTTTGTTTCACAGCTCGCCCTCCCACCCAGCCAGCTGTCCACATTACAGCTTAACTAATGTCAGATTCGTTTGTTTGTATACACGCCAGGAGGTGTTGGCGAGGCAGGGATGTCAAGAGACGAATCAGGAACAGCTTTAAGGATTCCAATTGGTGTGAAGCTGGATTGCCCATTGCTGCCTCCAGCATACCCTCTTCCCTGTAGGGATGGTGGTTAAGGTTGGGGTGGCACCTGTAGAACCAGCACTGGGAATCTGATCCTCTTGCTGATACAATCATGACACTTACCAGTCCTGTCCTGTCCAGGTAACAGCAATGTTGCTGGTGGGAGGAGGGCTCTATGGCTGTTCCCACCCATGCCCACTGTCTGAGATTAGTCTACCTAATGAAGGGATCATATGACAGGACTAACCTATCCTCTAATCCACCAAGTTTTCAGCACTTAGGGGTAATAATGCTGTTTCAGCAGATGGCAGTATCGCTCTTGCTGCGAAAAAAATACTGACGTTGTGCTCCCCTGTGTTCCTCCTCTGCTACACTACTGGTCTATCTTCTGGAGGGGGGGACATGATATAAAACTTTGATTTTGATAGTTTATTGGGTCATACCTTGTGTGCTTTGTTGCGATATGAATTGTTCAGCTCCTTCAAGGAATGAGGTCTAATGACTTGATAAATCTTTTCTTGGGTTGTATTATTTTTTTTAAAAAGACAACAAACAAACCTGTTAAATCAATCAGAAGAAGTCAGGAGAGTTTCCTCTACTTAACCTGGACTCCTGCTGGTTTTCTATACAGCTGAGCAGACAACCCTGTCACAACATTATAAGGCCAATTAACATCTCGGCTGGATAGGGGAACCATGCAGCGACTTTTTCAGCAAGCCACAGACATTCTGGCAAGGCACACCAAGACTTATTGAAAGAAGCACCTTCATTCTGAAAAGGGCTAGGGAAACTTCCCTGACGTCCTTGTGACCGTATATTAAATCAGAAGTGAAGTATTACTGTATATATGCACTTGTGGGTGGAAGGAAGGCCTGTATACAGTGCTTGGGGTAAAAGCAACTTGCCAATGTTATTATAATCACCCTACTGATGTGGAATAGGGCTGAGGACTTTAGAAAGATTTGGACAAATATGGTGTCAGGCTATTGCCCTCAAGCCCTGCTTGTGCACATCATATAAGGCTCTGTGAGAAACAGGATGTTGGACTAAGCAGTGCTTTGATCCAACAGATCTCAGGGAAAACCTGCTCTTTAGTGCTAAATTGGAACAAACGTCAGTCCAGAGAAAACTCGAACTGCCATTTGCTCTAACTGAACACAAAAGAGAAGCTTTTTCTCAAGGGAAAGTTGCAGGACAAAAGGAAGTGTGGCTGAGCCCTCAAAGGTGCTCATGGCAAATGTTTCACCTTTCTATTTGCCACCTTAAATGCTGAAAAACTAAGCCCATTGTTACTCTTATTCCTTTTCTTTCATGTTTTATATTAATATTCCACAATTACCTTACCTCCCAATAGTCTCCCATCAGGGAACAGATCAGATCCGCACCTGTTTAGCTTCAGCACTTAGGGAGTAGCAGGTGTTCCCTGAGCCCAAGTAAATGTTGCATTTACTAATCTACTGACTAAACCAATTAAAGTTTGCAACTATGTTTGTAGGTGAGGGAACTCAAATAACACCCATCTAATCTGGCTGGGGAAAAGATAATTTAGTGGAAAGAGTTATAGACATGTTAATTAAAACAACTAGTGACCCTCATCGTTTGGATTGATTTAGGGAACTCAGTTAAAAACAAAAGTCATTATACCTCACATGAAGTCTCCACGGAGAAGGTCAATGGCTTTAGGCCTCTCTCTGCAAGGAAAATGGCTAAAGAATTAATTTCTGAGCACCAGTTAAGATTAAGCCAGTCACAAGGCATCTTAATCACAAGACTTTTTTTGCACAGCGAGGGTCATGCTTGGAGCAACATTCTAAGGGAAGCTGATCCAAAACCCATCTATTTCCTTGGTCCAGATGGGACAAAGAGGTGTTTGGTTCCCCAAAAGAGACAGAGTTGAATTAAAAATAGCAGAATTGGAATTAAAAACACTAAAATAACCACCCCCATCACTACAAATCCTTGTAAGAAGTTCAGATGAACTGAAGTTGTGGTTCATAACCTCCTTCTCCTTCCCACCTTAGAAACAAAAGCTGCATTTCTTAACAGATGACCTTTTTTGATTATTCACTAACAGCAGTCAGCTTGAATAGCTAGGGAAATGTTACATAACCCATTGCTGTGAGTGCACTGTTGAATTCGAAGGAATGCCATTCCTGAAGTTTGTTTAATTATAGCCCAGCACATCAATGTGCTGTCCATCTTTGTTCTCTCTCTCTCTCTCTTTGGATTGCCAGTGAAATGTCACAGCTTTGGCTTTTGTGGAGGTCAAACACCAGCCTCACTGTTAAGTTAAACAAGGAGGGCTTCTCAAGCAGCCATTGTTCAGAGATTCTTTCCAGGAAGGAGGTGCCACCGACCAATTATCTGCCCTGTTCCCAAATACTCCAAAGCACTTTTACACTCTGCTTCTTTCATTAATTGGATTATTTGTTTTCAAGTATCTTGCTGAGAAAGTCAAATTGTCCCACGCCTGGTTAGCAAAAGCCTAGGATAATTGTGATTGGTTTGAAATGGTTTGAAGTGGGATGAACAGAGCATAGAGGTCTGTTCTGGTTCCTGAGCCTGCTGTGACCATTTAGTACATGCTGGGCTTATCCCCAGATGCCAGGGGATCTGAATCAGCCATCCTATAGTTTAAACATCATGCATTGCACACATGTCGATCCACTTTTAAAGCAGAAATGAATCCAGTCAAACTACTGGCAGGACTTCCAAAATTAACCACATCACCACTATGGAGAACACCAGCCCTGTGTGTCCCCCACCGCAAATGAACAGCGTTTAGCACAGAAATCACAGCCCCAACATTTTAAAAAATGTAAAAAGTCTGCAAATTAAGCAATGGTGGCATGGAGACACAGCACAACTTACTTGCTGTTAGAGAGGGAAAGGGAGGAATTGGTGATGGTGGGAACAATAAAATGGATAGGTGTCAATGGGTGGGGATAAGTGTCGACGCAATAATGTGGGAGCATTGGGAAGCATTGCAGAACAACTGATAAAAGTGGGATGTGGATGATCTGGTACAAATATATTTCAAATGCACTATTAATGCAATCAGCAACATGTTGCTACATACGTCTACAATAAAGCAGCAGTCTGGATGGGTTCTACTGCTATTTTATATATTGCTGTCCTTGCCATGACCTAATTCTAGTCCTCATTTTCTATCTCTGTGTATCTTCTCGGAGGTTAGAAATAATTGTATTGCCACGCAAAACATTCCACACACCTGAACCACTTGGCAAGATGAGATAGCGAGCTCACTGGGGTGGGAGAGTTCACCCCATCATTTGTATGTGCTGTCAGCCTCATTCATAGGCTTGTGGTACTCTACAAGGCCAAGTATGGCCCCCCCAACAACAAATGTGCTTTGCATCTCTTCTGCTTTCTGTCTTGATAATAGCTGTACTTCTCCACATTGGTTTAAAAGCCACTCCCTATTTAGCCCTTTATGCCACCTATTGCCTTTCAAAATCTTCATCTTGGCACACAACTGGCACACAACTGAGGGCTGGTGACCAGCCTTTGAGCATGATAGCACTGAGCATGTGGTGCAGAATTAGCTGCCTCTAAACAACACCAAAAGAACATTTGTCTGCTGTTAGATGAGTGGCAAAGTTGTGTTTAGGAGCCTGCACACTTTATGATTGATACAATATATGATCAAAAAACGATAGCTATGAATTTCATACTTATATGAATAGTGGAAGGAAGGAAGGAAGGAAGGAAGGAAGGAAGGGAATTTGAAAAATACTCCTGTTCGACAGCATCTATTTTAAAAAGTACAGTTGCCCACCCTGGAGTGTGGTGAGGCCTTAAAAAGGTAAAGGTAAAGGACCCCTGGCAGTTAAGTCCAGTCGTGGACGACTCTGGGGTTGCAGCGCTCATCTCGCTTTACAGGCCGAGGGAGCCGGCATTTGTCTGCTGACAGTTTTTCTGGGTCATGTGGCCAGCATGACTAAGCTGCTTCTGGCGAACCACAGCAGCGCACGGAAACGCCGTTTACCTTCCCACCAGAGCGGTACCTATTTATCTACTTGCAATTTCTGGTGTGATTTTGAACTGCTAGGTGGGCAGGAGCTGGGACCGTGCAACGGGAGCTCATCCCGTCGTGGGGATTCAAACTGCTAACCTGATTGGCAACCCAAGAGGCTCAGTGGTTTAGACCACAGCGCCACCCATGTCCTTAGTTATGGTTATTATGGACCTCACTGGTCTAGCCAGGGACTGTGGCCTTTGGCCCTATACAAACAACATGCAAAGACTGAGGCACAGATCTGGTGGCATTCTCCATACAAAGAAACAATGGGGGAAAGACAGCTTTTGCTGCTAGACCAACAGGTGGGCAACTAAAAGGATAATCTGTCACAGACATAATAAGTGTAGCATTGTGTTGAACATCAGGAGGGAGTGGCAGGACCATTTTTAAAGCCATTCTATGGCCTCCTCATCCTGCTTCAGCTTCCAAGGAAAAGGAAAAGACTTGGCTATTGGCATCATTTGGTTCATTTTGCTTCTGAAATGAACCCAGGATGAAACACACTATATGCATTAGCTTTTCATTAGTCATGGTAATGAAGTCCCTCAAGAGAAAAATCTCCTATTTTCTCCTAAAAATGAATGTGCCCTCAGTTCGTCTATGGCCATGAAAGACATCATAGTCCTCTTTCTTATTGCTTATAAAGTTTATTTGTTTTAAAATTGAAATTAGAGATGATAATCTCAAAACAAACATGCTGAGGGAGGAAAGGAAGGTTTTTTTGTAACCATCCCAAGGAATACAAATAGAAAATGTAGCTTTTGCAAAGACACATTAGGCTCTCCCCCGCCCCCTCCCTTCATGCCAGTGAGTGTAAAATTCCACAAGTTTTAAAAATGATAATGACCCCCCACACACACACACCACATTTGGTGGCCAAATGTACAAATATGATTCTATGGGTGCATGAAAAAAGAATATTCCAGAGCACAGATCTTTATCACATGTGCCCACTCATGGATACTGTGCTGTTGTCATGGCAGTCTTTGTATAAAAAGCCAAATGAGAAAGAAAGTTGTTCATATCCATGTTGAAAATGCTGCACCAGGGCCTGAAATCCATGCCAAATCATTTTAAAAACACAAAGAGCTCTCTTTCTCTCTCTTTATATAGTGAAGCAGTGTGCTTTTCATGGCGCATGACTGCAGCTCCTGGTCTCATCACTGGCATTTTAAGGGCTCTCTGATAGAAGGGCAAGTAAACCCCTCAAATGCTGATCATAGAGAGACCCTAGGTATCCCCCAAAATTTGTATGCCCCAGACTTACTGCTAACTACAACAGCAGTTCCTACTTAGCCTTAGCACCTTTGTATAAATATAAGACCTCTCCTGTGAAATTTCTGTTTACTTCACAAAAAATAAAGTATGCCTATTAGGGTTTTGCTGGGGATTTTCTTCCCCCCTGCATGAACAACACCCCCCTTTTCTGTGGAGAGATAAACAATACAAATCCCAATCTCTCTCTTTTATTAATATTAGGGTCTTGTCCTGGTTGGCAGAAGGTTTAGGGAGAAGATAATTCTATGAGGGCCAAAATAGGGACATAGCATGCAGCTGCATAACTTGCTATTCCTCAAATGTTTATAAAGGAGCCTCATTCTTACTGGGATGGCAACCCATGGATGTCGCCGGCCTCCCACCAATTATCATAAGAGTCTCCCCACTCCCATGTATTTTGGAGCCTTGTTTAAAGAAAGAAGTATGTCTTCCCAGTAAGAATTAGGTTCTTCTGCACCTGCAATTATTTAAGACAAAACAAGGTACATACCTTCCTGCTACCTATTAAACTCATTTCTTGGTTTGGTTTGATCTGTTGTGGTTTTGCCATGAAGCTGGTGTTGGCAATTAAGAAAAAAACCTTCTGCGGTAGTTAGTTGATCTTTGATTTGTCTTTTTTAAATAGAATAATGGTTTGTATTATATGGTTTTATGTACAATGGTTGTAAACTGCTGTGATTTTTTTTTAAGTGGCGGTATATGGATATAATCATAAATCAGTAAAGCTAGGTGAAGCTGCTTCTGAGGACAAAGAGGGATGCCGTTTCCTCGCCTCGATCTGCCGCCTCTACATATTACCCAAAATTAGCAGGGCAAAGGTGTCATTTGTACTTCTTAATTCAGGCGGGAAAACATGGTAGCAATAGCAACAGGCATGAAAAGCACCGGGTCGTCAATATGGCATGCAGGGCAGTTTATTAGATCTCACCTGTGGCCTGAGTTTCTGTCAAAGTGGGGCTTTGGGGAAAGAAGTCCAAGGGCCCCATTCAGAAGAGGAACAGGAAGGCCCCTTCTCCCCACTGGCAGGCAGTGTTCGGAAGTAAGTGAATTGATGCATCTAAAGAGGGCTTTCCTCCATAAGACCGTTAAGTCCGGAGTCTAAAATGACCTAACTGCACCTGCGATTAAGGACTCAGGACTTCGGCTCTAGTGGCTCAGCGGCAGCCTTCAGACTTAAGAACAAGGGTTTTGGTTCTCATAACTGCTCTCCAGTAGGCAGCACCTGGGATCTGAAATGTTTAGTCTCCCACAGGGAGTACGTTAAAAGACTATCCACCCTCTGGTGGCTGACTGTGAAGCAGCATTGCAGTGCTATTTCCTGACCGGCCCCTGAGTAAATGCACTGTTGTGAAGACTGCAAGCAAAGTGAATAAAGCCAGGATTTTAAGCAAGAAATAAAACCAGCCCAAAAGATACGTAACTTCTGAATTATATTATTTAGGTGGAGAAAATATTGGTGATTTTGTTTTTCTTTTTTTACATGCCAGTGAATGGATTTCCCCACAAAAACGTCTTTCATTTGCAGCTGCAGGGGGGGAAACAAATCCCTGCTCAGGCTAGATGTGCTGCTCACCTTTATATTTAATCAGTCACTCAGCAATTTTTAGGAGTCTCCCCTGTGTACCGCACATGCTTTTAGTGCTGGTTTTATGTGTCCTGCTTCACTGGAAGTCGAGCTGGTATGTCATGTTAAGTGCTAGAGGAAAGGGCAGGGGTGAAAGAAATTGGGGCAGCATTATCCTATGGGTTGTGTTCACTGGCTGCACATTTTGAACAGCCGGGTCACAGCCTGTCGCATTCGATATCAGGGTTGTTGGACGGGGTATCAAAAGCACCAAGATACACCTCCCTGTTGACAGGAGGCGGGGTGTTAGAACGACTCCCCACACCAGAATCAGGACTCAGTGCAGGATGAACTTCTGGCGCGTATTTCTCCTCTCTCTGAGAAGGCGAGTTCTCCTGTTTCTGTTTGAGGTTCTTGAACCGCTTGAGCTTCACGGGGTCCTTGATCTCTTTGGCACAGTGCAGCAAGATGAGGATGTCCTTCCGGAATTTGGAGCTCATTCCAAAGTAGATGATGGGGTTGTAGAAGCTGGCAGATTTCGCAAAAAGGCTGGCGAGGATGCTGGTTAAATTGGGCACAGAGTAACCATAGGCAGACCACATGGAGATGACCGCGTATGGGGACCAGGCTGTGATAAAGGCTGTGCAAATGACTATGGAGACCTAGAGGAGAGAAAACAAGACTTGCCTGTTTCCACTTTCTTGCCCAAGGGATCCCTGTAAAGAAGGTGGTCCTGGAAAACTGGGAGACTTGGATCGTATTTCCAAGTGTCTCATTGGCCCACAGACCTAATAAATAGGTTTCAATCCTCTAGAATTATCTGTCTCTTAGCTACCTCACATTTTAAGGTTGTCTAAGCTTTACAAGTGTTTTATATTAGAAAATTTAGTTTGCCCCTCACAAGCGCTGCATTTCCCAGCACCCTCAACAAATTACAGTTTCAGGATTCTTTTGGGGGAAGTCACGTGCTTTAAATGCATGGTTTGTATTCAGCCACACTGTGTGCATGTGTGTTTGAGAGGAAAGGGGGTGGCAGAGAGAGAAAAGGAGTATCCGTCCCACTTTTGACTTTAGCTCCATCCACCACTGGCCTCAATTCCACCCACCCCTTGTATGCTGCTCTGACTACTTCTCTGAAGGAAATGCAGCCCATGGCTTTTAAAAGTTTCTCCACCCAATGCAGACTAAAGAAAAGCCCAGACTGACCCTTGTGACGCTTCGTTCCATTCGCCTCTGTCTATCAGTTGGGTCACCTGCTCCGCTTAATGCATGGCTCGACTTGACAGTATTGATGATGGACACATAAGCGAAAACCATGACAGACACAGGCAGGAAGAAACAGCAGATGAAAATGGACACTATATAAGACTTGTAGATGGTTGAGAAGTTAGCTTTTGCCCAGTCTATTTCACATGTTCCATACATGCGATCTAGGAAGCAAAATAACTTGGTTAGTCATTCGTTGTTGTTTTTTAAAAAAAGCTTGCTGCGATTTACCAGTTTTAAAATTCATCAAGATTAATTTCTCTTTAGAATTCCAGGTGGAAAAGAAAATTGAAATGTCTTAATGAAGTCCAAAAATTACAGCAGAGTTATTGCTGTAATCTTCACTTTAGTTTAGCTTTCCACCAGAGTAATAAGCAACCACTTATTACTTAGGGACGCGGGTGGCGCTGTGGTCTAAACCACAGAGCCTAGGGCTTGCCGATCAGAAGGTCGGCGGTTTGAATCCCCGCGACGGAGTGAATTCCTGTTGTTCGGTCCCTGCTCCTGCCCACATAGCAGTTTGAAAGCACGTCAAAGTGCAAGTAGATAAATAGGTACTGCTCCGGCAGGATGGTAAATGGCATTTCCGTGTGCTGCTCTGGTTTGCCAGAAGCTGCTTAGTCGTGCTGGCCACATGACCTGGAAGCTGTCTGCGGACAAACGCTGGCTCCCTCGGCCTATAGAGCGAGATGAGCGTGCAACCCCAGAGTTGTCTGCAACTGGACTTAACTGTCAGGGGTACCTTTACCTTTACCTTTAATAAGCAACCACCTGCAACCTGCCCTTTTTAGCACAGAAATGGCAATGGGTTTGGTTGCACCACCACCAAAAGTGGCAATAACAAAACAGCCATACACTGTTGTGGGGGTGTAAAAATGCACAAGGAAAGAGCTTCCCAGCCTCCTTTGGAGATAGTTCTTCTTGAGTGGGTGAGGCATGAAAGATGCACAATCCAGTGGCGTAGCGTGGGGGGTGCAGGGGGGGCCGGCCGCACCGGGTGCAACATCTGGTGGGGGGCGCACTCGCACTCGCAGCTCTCTGCCCCTACCTGGCTCACTCACTCTCTCTCACGGGTTAGGGGGCGCAAATTACTTGCCTTGCCCCGGGTGCTGACAACCCACACTACGCTACTGGCACAATCACAGTAGTGCTACAGTGCTCCTATGCTGACAAAGTGATCCCCCCACCAACAGGAGTTCCTTTGAAATAGTTCCCACTGAGCAATGCAAAATGCTAAGTTAGAATTTTAAAAATCCATATGGATTTTCAGGATAGATGTGTGACTCTTCCAGTGAGATTTAGTTTGGGATTTTGAAGACTAAAAAAATTAAGATTAGTGATGCAATCCTAAATATGTCTATTGGACTCAGAAGTAAGGAAAATAGGGCTTACACTCAGGAAAGTGCATAAAGGGTTGCAGTCTAAATTGTAAAATGGTGATGCCTACGTCTAGAATGCTTAGATCTAGAAAACTGACCTAGATTCCAGCACTGTTAGACTAAAATAGTGTAAAAATAATACTTTATTTAAATTGCTCATTGTAGATATTGGTTGTTGTGTTTCCAGATTCCCACACATACTTTAGAGAGAAATTCCCACAAAGACCTTCTCCTAGAGAGAAATTAATTACCTGTGTAACTGCCCCATCCCAGGACTGGAGCTACTGACCAGAAGAAAGCTGCTATCCATATAAGAAAAAGGGCCACATTGATGTTGCTATTGTTGATACAATGCCCTGAAATACACAGCAGAAATTTGGTGCTTAACTCATTTTGCTATTGTACACTTAAGGCACACAGTCATAATAAAGAAAAATGGCATGGATACATTTGTGCAACCAGGAATCCTTGTAGATTCCCTACCCTTGATGGAAATATTGGGATTGCAGGCCTTAGGTTGGGAGGTTTTGCTGCAGATTTAATGAACCACAGATTAGCAGTGTTGCCAGAACCGTAAACTGTGGTTAATCTTTACAATGGTCAGTTGAAACAAGAAAGCTTCATAAACTATAGTTAAGACTAACTGCATTTTGTCCAGGTTTGGACACAAGGCTTAACTGTGATTAGTCTTGAGTGGAAGCAAAAAACTTCTGAACTACTCCTGGCCCTGATAAAGGAGAAAATGGCAAGTGAGTGTGCACAAGTTTAAGGTTCACTTGCTTGCTACCTTAATGATAAACCATGGTTTATTGTTACAGTCAAATTAGAACAATATGTCTATAAGAGATTCTCTAGAATCAAGGTGGAGGGAATAACCCAGTTTTCTTTTAAAAACATTTAAATTAGGGCAAGTTTGGCCTGTTGTAAGAAAGGAATACCTGTGAGACAGGATATCAAGCCTTAATAACACAAAGCCATGCAGTTTGTGTTGTCCAAAATACCTTACCTCTGTCTGGATGACATCCTTTTATATAGCGAGTCACGCTAATCACTGTGAGTGTGTTAATGCTAGCAAGGCCAAACAGCAGTGTCAGAAATCCATCAACCTGGAAAAACAAATAGTAATAGGGTTGTTCCCACATCTAAGTTTCAGAATGCCAGGAGCAATAACAAATATTGGGATGGTGCCAGTGAGCTCATATGTTCTTTAGGGCATACAAGCATTTTAGATATCAGTGAAATATTGAATGTCAGGGAGAGTTATCATCCATATGATCAGTGAACATGTAGGTATCTGAAAACCAGGGATAAATCATGTGGTTGAGGAGTACATTAAATGAACAAGCAAACACATGCTTTAGACACACACTCCTAAGCTCCTGAATTACTGAAACGCAAAATAAAGAATAAAAGTGCATTTAACATTCTGTACAGAGAAAGACTATGAAGCAGTCAATCGAAGTATGCCATTGATTTCAGTGGAAGAGGCTCAGTTAAGTCAGTGGGGCTTGCAAAGTGCTTAACTGTGGGTGGACTGTAGCCAAAAGAACTAAGCAGAAATCGAGCAGCTGAAACTCCCTATGCCAGGGAACGATTCACCCGCTAAAATAGCTTAGCTACAATGATCCACACTTGTCTGCCAATCTCCCGGTTGGACAACTGTATACATGGAGCTGCTCGTAAAGATAACTCAGAAGTTTCAGAATTTAGTTCAGAATTCTGCTGCCAGACTTCTGTCATGTGGGTAATTATAGAACTTCTTACGAGTATTTCAATGACTGCCCATTCACTTCAGGTGACACTTCAAAGTGCTGCTGCCTACCTTTAAGGTTCTAAATAGAGCCCTGCATGCCCTGCCTTCTCCCATACTATCCTGCCCTTGCAGTAAGGTCTTCTCTAAGAACTGTCACTTGTTGAAGTGTCTTATGCTAGGAAAAGACCTTTACTGTGGTGGTGCTCTGACGGACTGGCATTGACTTTATAGTCCTTTGGGCACAAGGTTTAGACATGATTCTTTCCCCAATGATTAGAAAGCGACTACATATATTTGGTTTTCAGTTTCTGTCTCTTAGTTTTAGTATGGTTTGTTTTCATTTTTAGGATACTTTATATCTGGTTTTTATTGCATTGTGTTATTGTTGTCCTGCTGTCCATTTGGATTTACATGTTCTTGGAGTTGCGTACTATTTCATTACCCCTATTCTTGTGGTTTTAACAGCAGCTTGACAACGGTGTGCAATTGTTTATCAATAGGGATTTTCAAATAATGCAATGAGCACATTAAAACTTACTGTATTTTTTGCCCTATAGGACGCACTTTTCCCCCTCCAAAAATGAAGGGGAAATCTGGGTGCGTCCTATGGGGCGAATGCAGGCTTTCGCTGAAGCTTGGAGAGCGAGAGGGGTCGGTGCGCACCGACCCCTCTCGCTCTCCAGGCTTCAGGAAGACATCCGCAGCCTAGGCAGCCCTGCGGGAGGTCCCGCAGGGATGTCTAGGCTGCGGATAGCAGCCTGCTTCCCGGAGCGTCGGGCGCCCTGAAAGCAGAGGCGCCAGGACGCATCCGCGTGGGAACCTACAGGTCCGCAGGCCCCCAGTGGGGATAGCAGCCTGCTGCCCGGCGGGCAGGGCGCCCTGAAGCAGAGCGCCCCGCGCGCCGGGCAGACATCCGCAGCGTGGGGAGCCCTGCAGGCGGTCCCCGCAGGGCTCCCCACGCAGCGGCTAGCAGAGCGCCCCTCGCACCGGGCAGACATCGGCCAGCCCCACAAGCTCGGGGGACAGCAGGGAGGGCAGCGCCGCCATCCCGCTGTTCCTCGACCTTGTTCGGTTTCCCCGACCTGCTTTTGGGGGGGGGGGAAATAAAGGGAATTTTTTTTCCTTTATTTCCCCCCCAAAAAACTAGGTGCGTCCTATGGGACGGAGCGCCCTATGGGACGAAAAATACGGTAATGCCAAACCATGGTTTGGTGTTCCAAGAACAATTCTTGATGAACATTGTGTTTGTGGGCTCTTGCCTTCCACAGCAATCATTCTTGGTTTACAGAAAACTATGGTTTGAAGAAATTAAGGAAATCAGCCCTGAGTGCTCACTGGAAGGACAGATTGTTAAGCTGAGACTCCAATTCTTTGGCCACCTCATGAAAAGAGAAGACTCCCTGGAAAAGTCCCTGATGTTGGGAAAGATGGAGGGCACAAGGAGAAGGGGACGACAGTGGACAAGATGGTTGGATAGTGTTCTCGAAGCTACCAGCATGAGTTTGACTAAACTGCAGGAGGCACTGGAAGACAGAAGTGCCTGGCGTGCTCTGGTCCATGGGGTCACGAAGAGTCGGACACGACTAAATGACTGAACAACAACAAATGGTTTGAAGAAAATAACAGACTATGACTTTAAATGGCAAAGAACTATCATTTGCTGTAAAATTTTCTAAGTGCTGAGCATGAACAGAGGAGGGAGGGCATAAGCCCAAAACTTATTTAGCTTATTTGACTAGTTTATTTACTCATTTGGTCTGTGTAGTTCTCTTCTTCCATACATACAATAACTGCTCAAAAATCCTACAAATAATATTCCATTAACAAATGGGGACTATTCAAACATTACACCAATAACCTACATTGGTGACTGGAATATTATTTGTTGGATTTTTGAGAAGTTACCATACTTACTGAAGTGTGGAATAAAATAACCACTCAGGCATCTAAACTGGCAAATTAACTCTGACAACTTTACTAAACATCAAGGATGTTTAGCCAATCTCAGTATTGACTCTGTCAGCTCTTCTTACCAATTAGAAAATATTAGCGGATTGTCAGTTTTGCTTCCCATCCCACAATTACATCAGTACTGTTGTGGGCAATTTAGAGAGTAACAAATTTTTGTTCACTGATTGCGTGCTAAGACATGAACACAAGGAAGGGTCCCATATTTTAAACTGCAATATGCCCAGAGAACCCTATATCTATATCTCAGTGTGCCTTTGCTTGAGGGCAATTCCCGTTTAACTCAAAAGCAATTACTTCCTGGTAAACATGCACAGGGCTGAGCTGCTAAATATGGAATGTATGTTTTTGGGGACTTCAGCTTCAGACAGCAAATTCATTTATTCTCCCAACTCTGGTGCACGTAACAAAAGCCTGACACACAGAAATATAGATGAAGTTTTTTCTGGTATGAATATAAGGGGTGAGAAAAGCTTCACTTGCTAAATTCCTGTATGCTCACCAGAGGTTTAATACACAGGAACACTTCTCCCTAAAAGTTGATAACCCTAGGAAGTCCTTACCTTTTAGAGGATACACTCCTATCTGAAACCCCAGAGAGCTCCTACTAGTCAGTGTATAAACCTTTTGAGATCAGGATACATCACCTCACCCCTTATATACCCTGTCAATTACTGTGTTCTTGTGGGGGGGGGGACATCCTGCAGATACCATTTTATCAGGAGGCGAAGGAATCAACCCACAGCAATTCCTGTCTGTTAAGTGTTAAGACAGTTGCCATCTCTATTGTCTTTTGGGCAGCTTTTGAAGATCTCCCTCTTCCAGCATATCTCTAGCCATACCTTTCCAGTATGACTGGCAACTATAAATCCAGGCCCTTCAGACACTGAAAGATCCATGCATGGTAGTCACACAGCAGCAAATATTCTATTTTAAGACTGACAACATCAGAATTTGTAAAGCAGATTTTTGGGGAGGGAATCTCCCCCCACAACCATCTTTCCTATACGGTAGTAGGCAACAGGAAATATTAGTAGGGAAAAAGCTCCCTCCACCCTTTCAGCTTTTGGTTTTGCTCCGTGAGTTTATTTTCAAGAGACTCCATTGTTAATTAACCAGGATGCTGAGGTGAGCTTACACAGCGTGTCTCCTCAGCACTTTTACCACCTGCTTTATCTGTTAATGCTCTTAAGGGCTGTCAGTTCTATGGTTTGGTTGTTATTTATTTCCATCTTATACAAATGTCAGGAATAATGAACTATATATAGGCATGAATCCCCAGGAATACCTGTGCTTCAGCTACTACTTAATTAAGTCTGAGAATCTAATTCTCAACGCCCATTCCATTTAACAATTTCCAGAGGGGTATTCGGGTTAGGCTGCTGTAGCAATACCAACAAATGTTCCTGTGGCACTTTAAAAACTGATTATTATTTATCCAGGGGTCAGACTCTTCGTCCCATCCATGCAGTGTTATCCTGAGTTATACGTAGATATGGAGGAGAAAACTGATGCATTTGAAGGTGAACCTACATAATTCACAATAATAAAAAAAATTGAAATTTGTACTTTTGGAAACCTTTCAATGAAGATCTTCAATCACGTGGAACGTGCTCTATGGGGAGCTGGCTTCAGGAATGAGGCCCACTGGCAGACCAACTCTGCGCTACAAAGATGCCTGCAAACATGACATGAGCCTGGTAACATCAACCCTGCTGTGTGGGAACCGCTTGCAGACGACCGCCTGGAGACTGACAGTCAGGTCATGTACCCATAGCAGTGACCAGAGGAGGAATGGCCACTGGGAGGAGGGCAGAGAGAAGAAACACCATGATGCATCTGCAGCAGCACAAGCAGACACCTACCTCAGCCCCAGCTGCAACAAAACATGTCTCCCCCATATTGGTCTCTACAGCCACAGCAGGCGCTGTAACCTTCCAAAAGTTTGACTTCACCTCCAAAGGTGCACTCCTCCATGGTCTCCCAGGACATATGAATGCCAACCAACGATACTTCCCTCTTGTTTCCCAGTGGCTCCTTTTTGGCAATAGTCCTGTTGCCGCTCAACGCCTGAGTTCTCTATTAGGAGTGATAAGGTCCACCAGAATCCCAAACGCTGCTCACGGAACACTACTTTCATGAACAAATGTGTTTTGGTAACTCACGATATGAGAAGACTCACCAGATGAGACATACGTGGAATACCAACATCACTGTGAGCACAACTCTAAAACATGTTGCTTACTCAGATGTAAGTCCCACAATATTATGTGAGGCTGCTCCCTAGTATGAGCATTTAGGATTGTAGTCTGTGTGCATTTTGATGCTTCGGGGAATTTTTTAAAAGTCAGTCTGAGTTTCAGTCAGTTCCCTTGCAGCTGACATGACTAATTAATCCATGTTGGCAGCCTCTGCCAAGGCAAAAGGTTAAACACGTCCAGGGAATGAACTGTTTCTTGAGGACCGCTGGGTCAGTTTTGACGCATGCTAGCAGGGTGGACTGAGGAGATAAATAGAGTACTTCTATCAACTTCGGCTGATACACCAGCTGCAACCATCCAGCAGGATAGAGAAAGCCTGGCCACAGTTACCCATGCTCTGGTATTTAGACTACAGCAATGCATTGTGGGTGGTGTTGCCTTTCTTTTTTTAAAAAAGTCTAGAAACTGCAGGTGGTTCAATGTAGGCTACAATACTGTTAACTAGGACTTTGTCTTTCACTGCCAATGTTTCTTCAGCTCCATAGGCCCCCAGTCTGTCCGCGGTTTCAACTTAAAGTGCTCGTCTAAAGGTTACAGAGCCCTTAATTTCTTGGAACCTAAATGATTACCTTCTCTTATATATGCATGCTCTCCTTAGAGGCTGTGGTCTATGTTCCCCTCCAAGTGAAGTGAGGAAAAGGACTTCTTGGTGGTAGCACCTCGGCTATGGAATAGCCGCCCCTTGGAGACTCATCTGGAACTTTATCCAACGTCTTTTCAGCACCAAATGAAGACCTTTTTATTCTCCTGGGTTTATATTTATTTAGTTGATTTGTATATCGTCTTTTCACAAACCACAGAGCAGTTTGCAGAAGAATCAAACAAGGCAAAAACAATGCATAAAATTCCACTAAAAACCCACAACCCCTAAATGCAAAACATAGCAACCCACAACGGTTTACTAACTGCAGCAGAAACAAACCTTGTACTGCACACTAGAGCTCCTGGCCCTCCTGTCTGATCCTCTTTGGTGATCTTAAGAGCCTTTTAAAACCTCAAATGTTCGCATGTATTCCTAGTCCTCTGGCTACAGCAGATGGTCCTGGCTCCCTTCCTATCTTCCCCATCTCTCTTGGGCTGCCAACTGGCTAGAATTATATTGGCCCAGGTGGAATTTAATCCTTGATGCTTGTTGCTGGAACAGCAGTTTGTAAATCCATGTGCATGTTAGTCAGTGTTCCTTGCTGTTCACTGTACAGTAGTTAAGGTGTACAGAATGTATTGAATCATGAGCGTTCCTGCCGCAGTAAACAAATTAGGCCACAATCCAGTGCAGATGTAGGTGGATTTTAAGGCCCCACTATTCCCTAAATCTTTTTTTTCCCCTTTTCATTTATTGTCACCACAGGCCTCTTTCTATTGCATGTCTTAACACTGCTATTTTAAATAAATCCATTAGTGAGATCCATTTTCAAAGCACCAGCTGATTTCCTTTATGGGGGAAAACACTGAACATACTCAGAAGCACTGGACCTGTAGGTACTTCCTCTATTCTGTACCAGACAGAATCCTTTCCAGCTCTATATTCTGAACTCAGTACTAATAGAGAATCTGTTCCCATTTTGAAGGAATATTTAGCCATGCAGCCTAATCCTGTGCAGGTTTACTCAGAAGTAATTTCCTCACTGAGTTTAATGGCCCTGGCCTCTCCAGCCAGATCCTGTCAGGGTGCCATAAGAAAAGCCCTCTTAGATCAGACCAAAGGCAGTGAGCAGTGAGGTGGCAAGTTTGCAGGTGGCATTAAATTATTCAGGGTTTGTAAAACAAAACAAAAAACAGGGTTACAAAGAGCTTTGAAAGGATTTCTCCAAACTAGATATATATGGGCAATAAAATGGCAATTGTGGTTCAATGGAAGTAAGAGTTAAAGAGGTGCACATTGCAGCAAAAATCACTAAGCGGTAACTGACCAGAGAACTTTGGATAGTTGTGGCTCTCTCAGTGAAAATATAGTCTGTGACAGCTAAGAAACTGGCAAATTACATGGTAGGAATCATCAGGAAAGGGATTGGAAAAATAAAACTGCCAATATTGTAATGCCTTCATACAAATCTGTGATGTGACAACACTTGAAGAATGGGTACAGTTCCAGTGATCACATCTCAAAAAGGATTATTGTAGAGATGGAAAGGTGCAGCCAGGATTATTATAGAGATGGAAAGGTGCAGCCAGGATGATCAGGGGCCTGGAGCAACTCCCTTGTTGGAAAAGATTACATTGCTTGGAGACTTTTAGCTCAGAAAGTAAGGTGGAAGGACACACGTGATAGAGATGTATAAAATTAGAGGTGTACAGAAATGAATTATGCATGGTGTGGCTAGAGAGAAGTTTTTATTCGTCATAACATCTGAACCCAGCAAAGTTCTTCATACCTCATTATTAAACAATGGAATTTGCTACCACAGTATGTGGTGACAGCCATCGACTTAGATGGCTCTAGAAGAAAAGTAGACATTCATAGAGAATAAGAAGGCGATCCATGGCCACTATTCATGATGGCAACACGCTGCCTCCAGGATACCAGTTGCTGGGGGATAGCAGTGTGAGAGAGCTATTGCTCTCATGTCCAGATTGAAGGCTACCCATAGGCTTCTGGTTTTCCACCATGGAAACAGGGTACGAAAGTAGGCCATTGGGCTGATCTATCAGGGATTTATTATTATTATTATTATTTAGCTCACCATCCTGTTTCCCAGCCTACATTGGGTGTTTATGGTTCACTATTGTGTACCATTCTATTGTGTAGAATCACTTATTCAACCCTTGATCGTCAAAAACTTACTATTCATGTTTCACCTCACCCTCAGCAACATCTCCTTATATTAGAGTTTTCAAGCACAATTAGCAATCTTGTTTACATGAAGGTCTGATGAAATGAATGCTTAGGAACTCTTCCCAAACCACTGAACAAATGAATTTCACTCCTATGTATATAAAGTTTGTTCGCCAAGTATCACACACATCAAGTATTAGGTATTTTAAATTAAGGGCAAAAATATGTTTCCATATTGTACATGTAAAGCCAAATTGTAAATTCTGGTGTGGTTTATTTTCCTTCAAAATATTACCAATGATTTCAGTATTGGTCATTTCATGGAAATCTGATGGCATACTGTGACTGCACGTTCTGAAGTCTGTTAACACAATTTTAGTTTCCTCTTTGCAGGTTAGAAAAATAATTAAAAATGGAATGTTGTTGTTGGCAAAAGTTTGTTTTGTGAAGCCAGAGTTCTAGTCAAAATGACAGCCAAACAAACACTGACAGCAGAAAGACATAATTTTTCTGTCACCTGATATATCTGGCATACCTCTCAACAAATTAGGTGGCAATTAACTCATGCTACACTTTTAAGAAATGTTGGCAAAAACATTTCTTCTATAATTTAAAAATGGACAACGTTCCTCATATGTTCTGTTTAAAGCTCTGTTATGGACATGCATTTGTTTTAATAAAATATTTACACAGTCACTTGACTAACATTTTTGCATGAAAATTGAATAAAGGGGCATTTGTTTCAGCATCTCTGCCCAAAACGTGGCCCAATTTGGATTTCCATTACCTGCTAAATGGTCTCAGAAACACTATCCCTCAGTTTTTATGGGCAAAATGGAGCCAGAAGTTAACTATAAAATGAATAATCCAAAGGAAAATGTAATCCTGAATTCAGCTCAGTTACAAAAGAGAGTGCAAACCTGCACTCAATACAATTGCCTAAATCTTACTGGATATTTTATTGATTGATTGATTTGATTTGGGATCAGTGGGATTTAAGCTGCCTAACTGTGTGCAGGCTTGTAGCCTAACTGTGCACAGGATTGCAGCCAACTGACAACTTTCCATGGGGAAAAAAAGATTACATGCTACCTATAACTGAAAATTGAAGGCCAATGTTCAGGTACTGCAGTGGCCCACTGAACATCAGTGTCATCTGGATATCCAAAAGTTGCATTATCTCCCGCTCGTCTCCCAAGCTTTGAGCAAAGATGTCAATGATTTTTCATTGCACCTTTTAAAATTTATTTATTTATTTAGCTGGACCAACTCCAACTTTTTTTTCCCACCAAAGGAAGCACTTGTAAATGCTGGAGTAAATCCACCCCTCTCTTTCCCGCATTGATCTTCATTTAGCACAGAGTGCACCCAACAGAGCCTCACCGACATATACAGTGGTACCTAAGGATACATATCCTTCAGGTTACATACTCCGCTAACCCAGAAATATTACCTCGCGTTAAGAACTTTGCTTCAGGATAAGAACAGAAATCATGCTCCGGCGGCGCAGCTGCAGGAGGAGGCCCCATTAGCTAAAGTGGTGCTTCAGGTTAAGAACAGTTTCAGGTTAAGAACGGACCTCCAGAACGAATTAAGTACTTAACCCGAGGTTCCACTGTATCATGACCTGCCAAGTACTTGAGGACCCCTCCTCCCGTTTTTTGTATTGCACATCAGGGAGAAAAAAATAAATGGGAAGTTTACTGAATGCTGGATACTTGTATGTAGTTGGTGAAAGGTATTCGGTTTAGTGATTCACAAGTTGTGCAGCACTGGTATGGCATTATATCTGCCCTAACCACTTAACTAGGGTTTGTAAACCACCTTCCAATTAATGAATAAGATGCAGGACATGGTTAGCCTTGGTGTAGAAGTAACACTAATCCATGATTAAAGTGACAAGGGAAGAAAGGTGGTTGAACTTGCTCTGGAGAGGTGAGGAGGGAATGCATTGTGTCTGTACTAGGCCATGGATTATATGATATTTATGTTTCATGACTGGCCAAACCACTGAAATTTAGTTCTTACCTGACAAGTCCATATGGATGTGATCAGAAATCCATCATCTCTGAATACGTTGAAGATTTCAATGATCCCTCGGGAATAACCAAAGACAGACACACTGGCATCAGATACAGCTAGGTTAAATGTCAAGTAGTCCGTGGGCTGAAGGGTAGCCCGCTGTCTATAGAGTACAAAAATTACAATGCTGTTCCCAAACCAAGACATCCAACCTGGAAAATAAAAGGAAATGCTCAGAATGAAAAGCTGCAAAAAGCAGCCCTTGTCAAGTAGGAAACACTTCACAGCACGAACACACAACATTATAATTATTGCAGCTTCTACACTGGAACCTTGTAGTGCTGCAATCAGCTGAACGTAAGTGAGAAATGGGACTCTTAAATGTATTTTATTTGCTTTTTAATGAACATGCAAGAATATGTTGTGGTACCTTAAAAAGTAACAAACTGTATAATAGCATACATGTTGATGAGGAGGGTGAGGTCAGAAGGAAATTAAATGCATGCAGTACTGATGGCCAATTGCATTGTTAAAGCCAGCTGTTCAAGAGCAGTTGACAATGAGCTATGGATAAGTTTGTGAAGGATCCATAGTCAAGCCTTACTAATAGCCCATTGAACATCATAGGACTTAGTTCTCAGTAGATAATGGTTAGGATTGTGTCATGCTTAATGAGATGACCAGGGACATGCCCTCAGGCCTCAGATTTGGCCCTGAAATCAAGGTATGGGATGCCCCTGACCAGGAAACCCTATAGAGGAGATAGGAGCATACCATTAAAATAAATGCATGTAACTTCTTCCCAGACATAGGGAAATAATACTGGTAGACTGATGGGTAAGATGGTCATACAAGCAAAAGTAGTTTCTTCAAGAAGCATTGCTTGAAGGGTCAAAGAGACTTGGTAAAGGCAGGATTTAGAAAGTTTCACCACAGGGTTGAGGGACCTTTGTCCATCTGAGTGCCAGATTCCATCATGCAGAAGCCTTTGGAGGCCACGTTGGTGGGAGAGATCAGAGGAGGGAGAGCTCATAGTGGGGCAGATCAGAGGCAAAAGTGCATGAAAGGGCTCTTACCTTTGTACAGTGGGCTACGTTCTAGCCGTGAAAAAGATAAAGGTTTCCATGTGCATCTTTTTCCAGCAAGGCAAGCAAAGAGGCCTCATTGCAGATCAAAGACCCATTCCAGCCAGGAAAAAGCACTTAAGAGAGCACAGAGCGGGGCCAGTGAGGACTGTGGCATGGACAAGGAAGGGCTGGATGAGGAGGCCTGAAGGGCTGCATCCTGCACCCAGGCTGGAGGTTCCCCACTCTTACTCTGCAACATCAATCTGCAGATGGGGACCATCTGTTTATCAAGAGGCTTTCAACCCACTGGACATGTAACCATTTCCCTTTCCTTTTTTGAATTGGGCATCCTTGAGTTTATCTGAAGATAATTTTAAGAACACAAGGAAAGCCTGGTATGATCAGACCAAAGGTCCATTTAGTCCAACATCCTGCTCTTACTGTGGCCAACAAGATGCCTTTGAGAAGCCCACAAGCAGGACCTGAGCACAAGCGCGCTCTCCTCACTTGGGGTTCCTAGAAAGTGGAATTCAAAGCCATACTGCCTCCAAAGCTGCAGGGCAAAGATAGTCATTGTGGCTCATAGTCACTGATAGCTTTATCCTCCATGAATTTGTCTAGCCCTCTTTTATGAATCTGGTTTTCTCTTCTTTCTCCACAATTCTGCTTTGTTTTTTGTTTAAAGAGGAAGTGACACATATACAAACAATCAGCAAATACAGACTTTCAGGTTTAATTTTGTGTTCGTTTTTTATGACTTTCTAGTTCATTATGTTTTCCACATGCCCATCCAGACTGAAGAAGATGAAGACCGTGGTTGTGCAACGTAAGGCAAGCAAACTGCCCAAACTCCAGTTAAGACAAATCAAAGAACATCGTTACTTCAGTAAGTACTGGTTATGTGCTAGAACAACAATTAAGCACATTTAAACAAACATAGTGCACTAATGACACTTAAAGCCCTAATTACTTAACAGCTGATGATTACAAGGACAAAAAAAGGGTTTTAAACTAAGAGGTGGTTGTCAGTGGCGATTAAACATTAGGGAGCACCTCCTATAAAATTCTGTCAGGGATGCAGAATAAGAATCTTCTTCTTATTTATCTGTTTAACAGGATTTATATACCACTTAATCATCAAAACCTCCAAATGGTTTACACAAATGTATTTCAAACTCGTACCTTTCTGAATCTGGCAATGGAGTTCTCTGATCAAAAACTGTTTTCAAAAATGCACATATTGGGGAAATGTGCATCAAATGTATATATTAGTGAAAAGAGTTTACAAAAATGCATTATACATATTGCATACAGAAATGTATTGGGCAAAATTGCATACATAAGGTGAATATTGGGAGAAATCTGCAGTGAAATGCTGATCAGGTCTCATGAGGACTTTTAAAATTTAATTTCACAAACTGATGCAGAGATAGGGAGAACTGAAGAGTAGAAAAATGTGAAACTGAGGGAAACTGAAGTTGACAGATTCATCTATTCCTACCATAGTAAGGCCAACATCTTGGGCGGTTTACAACACACTACATCGTGTTGGAGGTGCTCCTTCTGCTAAACACAGGTGAGAGGTGAGGTTAGGAGACAGCATTCCAAACTGTTTGCCCCAACACTTTAGTGTGTCAGTTGCAGTGTGTATGTCTGTCACGCGAACGCTTCCCGTGCTCCTCCCAGGGCTGGAAAGGGGTTAGTTTAACCTCCAGTTTGCTAGTAAAACTGAAATACTGTGTCATGAAATGATGTATGTCTAAAAAGTGTGTCACCAACATGAAAAGTTTGGAACGCTCTGGGTTAGGGCAATGGGTATTCACATTCTCTGTGTGAATTAATTTTAACAAAGCACTCCTATATCAGAAAAGAACCACTTCAATTTTGAATTATTGCATTCATATGTAAAACAAAGTTCTAATCAGCTAAAGTAAAAAAGAAAAAGTCGAAAATAAAAGAACAATTCAACCAGCTGTCCTCCCATGTTAAAATTGTAGGAGAAACTGCATCAATAATTTTGACCATTGCCTTAGAAAACACATATTTAGTTCACTAATACCGATGTAGAACGTTATCTAGCAACTTCGGAATATCGAATGCATTAAAAATTAAGAATTAAGAAGATTCTGCTCTTACTCTTGATAGTGTCTCGCTTATTTAAAATGTTTAAAATCTTGACACTAGGACTCTCTAAAATATTGGGTCTATAAGAACAGTGATATTCCTATGATAGGCCTCAGCTATTCACCAGCTTGTTATATTACAGGGTCAGTATCTTAAAGGGGGTGGGGAATGCAGCACTGCTGTTTTATTATTAAGTAAGCCCAGCAGTGCCAGTATGTTCAAACTTCTGTACTCAAATGTCTACAGTTTAATAATGCTTGTAACAGTAAATGTTAGACAGTGTAGATTACTTTTTTGAATGCAGAAGTAGCTTAAAGTCTTACAAATTTAATAGGGCAAATGGCATAATTTATTAGTCTTTTATTGTTCCACAATATTTTTATATTTGCTGCAACAGACTAACACAGTAATCACCTTGGAAATTATCAGCTACATACATCACACACAAACTTTAATAAACTGAATTATTTTTAGCATGCAAAGCAAATACATCTTTTAGTTAGCAAGAGGTAGAGTATTGGAACAGTAAATAAGTGACAGCAGTATTTCACTAGGATAATATGAGGTCATCTATTTCTGCACATGATTCTTCTCCCATCCGTTTTATTTCTTTGCCAAAGAATCTTCAACTGCACTTTAGTAGAGGAGCAGCTTGGATTATATGTAGGCTGGTTAACCCCAAGTATTTGGACTCAAGCCATTTTAATTCCATTTGAAATGAATGGGAGCTAATCCAGTTAAAGTCCAGTATTTCATCTTACCTGGACTTAACAATATTGTCTTCCCGCTTCCAAATGTTTCAATGTTTTCTTTAGTAAAAATGCACCGCTGTTCTGTTTCAATAAGAGCTGCAACTAATTAGGCTCAACAGAAGTCCCTGTGAATTTTGCAGGCATGCTTAATGCATAAATCCATATACATACCCAGAGCCAGTAGATAGAAGCCAATGATCTTCTCTCCTTGTTCTGAGACAGGAGCGTCTTTGTTCAAAAAGGAGATATTGTTGTTTCTCCATGGTGCCTGAGGGGAACTCTGAAAAGACATTTTCTGTAGTTTCTGACCCAGGTCCTGGTGCAAAGAGAAAGAAACCGACCTCTGCTGTCCTGAAACCTCTGATCGCTCTCTTTCTATGGAGCCCCGAGACTGATAAGGCAGAGGGGAATCTAAGGCGACAAGTAGCAGCTTTGCAGCCTGCTGGCCTGCTTGCATTTGCTAATCCTATCTATTAATACTGGTGATCACCAATCTGTGACTAGACAAAGACCCTGGCGCTTTGTCATTTACCTGGGGCTAAAGTATGCAGATGGTCACTTCAGCATGTAAAACTGTGGCATCAAAAAATGGAGGTCAGCTTGAGAAAAAATATGTAGTAGGTAAAAATCAGGCTTACAATATGAAAACACAAGCTGCCCACATTCATTATGTGCAGAGACACATAGCCATAAATTGTTCTGAAGGAATTTCATCATCATAACAACAGCAACAATAATACCCCAGCCACCTGGGTAGCTTCCAGCATGTATAAAAACATAATATAACATCGAACATTAAAACCTTTCCAATACAGGACTGCCTTCAGATGTCTTCTAAAGGTTGTACAGTCATACCTTGGAAGTCAAACAGAATCCATTCCGGAAGCCCGTTCGACTTCCAAAACATTCAGAAACCAAAGCATGGCTTCTGATTGGCTGCAGAAAGCTCCTGCAGCCAATCAGAAGCTGCGGAAGTCCCATCGGACGTTCAGGTTCCAAAGAACATTTGCAAACCAGAACACTCACTTCCTGGTTTGTGGTGTTCAGGAGCCAGAACGTCTGAGTACCAAGGCGTTCAGAATCCAACTCCTTGACATCTGATGGGAGGGCATTCCACAAGAAGGGTGCCACTGCTGAGAAGGCTCTCTGCCTGGTTCCCTATAAGTTCACTTCTCTCAGTGAGAGAACTGCCAGAATGCTCTGGGAGCTGGACCTCAGTGTTCAGGCTGAACGATGGAGGTGCAGACGCTCCTTCAGGTATACAGTACTTTTACTACTAATATAACATAATATTTTACCCAAGACTTCCACAAACGAGTTCATATAACAACAGAATGGTGTTCATGAAAGGAAAATTTATCTTAGATAAACCATGAAATTAATGTATTCCTTGTTTCTGTACATTTTAGGGGGTGGGGATTAACAAGTGCATTGCACAACCTTTTCAACCAACCATTTGAGGGGGTGGGGTAACCAAATATGCCCTCAAAAAGGGTGGGGTGCAAATTATGTTTGGATAATTATTTTTTGGGGGGGGACATTGTCACGTGGGCATCCCTGGGGGTGCTGCTGAGCTAGAAGCCTGCCTGGAGAGCTGTGAGCATGCATAACGTTTTTACTTGCACAGTGTTTAAATAAAAATAAAGACTCCCGCAGCCACTTTGCACACTCAAATAAGGCAAACACAGCTCTCCCCATTCTTCAAAAAAAAGTTCTTGCCAATTTGCACTGCCCATACAAAAGGAGCAGAAAACAACGCCCCCATCCTAAAGTTGCAGGGGAAGCAGAGGAATGCATGACCCTGCAGATTTGGGTAGCAAGTATTGGTCCAGCTCTAAAAAGAATATTCGGAAAGATATAAGGGTACAAGGAGAAGGGGGCAACAGAGGACGAGATGGTTGGACAGTGTTCTCGAAGCTACCAACATGAGTTTGACCAAACTGCCAGAGGCAGTGGAAGACAGGAGTGCCTGGCGTGCTCTGGTCCATGGGGTCACGAAGAGTTGGACATGACTAAACGACTAAACAACAACAACAAAAAGAATACCTTTCTGATCCTGCCACCTGCACACACAGTATATGGCAATAAACATGGCTGCCCCCATAGATCTGTGGGGGTGCCATTCTTTTTGCTACAAAATATCCATGGGAAGCTCTCAGGGCCAGGTCTATGAGGGCAACCATCTGTCCCACCTCCTAGCTTCTGTGCGAGGGAAGGGACATCACCATACCTTTCTCAGCTATCCCTAGCTGCAGCTGCTTCTTTGGGCAACGTTGGGGGCTATAATTCCCAGTCTGGGTTGTGGCCATTTTCTTTCTCCTCAAAGCTGAGGCAGTGCTGTACAGAATGAAGTAGTTCTAGTGACAGTTCTAGTCTGCCGTAGTTGAAACAAAATAATTTGTTTTTTTAAATTCCTTCCAGTAGCACCTTAGAGACCAACTAAGTTTGTTATTGGTATGAGCTTTGCATGCACACAAAAGCTCATACCAATAACAAACTTAGTTGGTCTCTAAGGTGCTACTGGAAGGAATTTTTTTAATTTTGTTTCAGGAATAAAGTAGGTTTAAGATTCTATCCTGTCTGTGGGGGGAGTACCGGTAATTTGCTTAATTGTCTGTCTCTGATACTGTACAGTTGCAAATTTGACTTTCTTTACAATAATTTGTCTTTTTTTAGTTTTTACTTGTGCAGGATGAGCAGCCTCAAGGTTAAGCTGCCATTGTGGATATGTCACATTATACAGTGGTACCTCGGGTTACATACGCTTCAGGTTACAGACTCCGCTAACCCAGAAATAGTACATCGGGTTAAGAACTTTGCTTCAGGATGAGAACAGAAATCATGCTCTGGTGGTGCGGCGGCAGCAGGAGGCCCCATTAGCCAAAGCGGTGCTTCAGGTTAAGAACAGTTTCAGGTTAAGAACAGACCTCCGGAACGAATTCAGTTCATAACCCGAGGTACCACTGTACCACCAAAATTAGAGATTTTGGTATTTTGTAAAAGAGATTGAAATACTAAGCACCCTCAAGTTACATAACGACATAGTTCCTTTGTTGAACAAGCTACATGAATAGCCCTTAATATTTGTATTTTGGAAAAATGACCTCCACCTTTTGGGCATCCACCTCCCCCCCGCTTCCAACACGATGGGAAAGGAATCAGCAGTGCAGTTTCTGGGAAAGCAAACTGAGGTTTGGCTTAGCATTGGGTCGCCTATGGTTCTTTTGCGTGCTCGCCAAAAGAACTGTTTATGGAACGCAGGCATTTAGGCCATGTGGTAAAGAATATGAATTTCATCACAAGGCATTATTTCATCACAGCTCAATAGATGCATCATTATGTCACAGACAGGATATAAGTATTTTGTGTAGAAACTCCATTTTTGGCACATCATACTGGCTGGCAATTTGAAGCAACCAGCTTTCCGCTAATATAAAGCAAATATAACATTTTATAACCAAACCAATAGTGCAGCCTTTGTATGTGAGAGCTTTTACTCCGAAAGGTACACGACTAATACTGTCTTACTGGAGTGCTCAGAAGCCATTAACCTTTTAGTAATTAGGAAGACACTAATAATCTTGTTCAACAAGCTAAATTAGTCACTGGAAAATCCCCCCTCATACTGGGATATGTTGCTATGAGCCATGATGTCCTTTTATGCTATGGTTTGGACAGGTTATTGAAGCTGGAAGGCAGGGAGCATTGATGCACATATGCTTGCAGGCAGAAACATTTGGTTCCAAGAGAGCCAGTGTGGTGTAGTGGTTAAGAGTCTTGTAATCTGGTGAACTGGGTTCGCGTCTCCGCTCCTCCATATGCAGCTGCTGGGTGACCCTGGGCTAGTCACACTTCTCTGAAGTCTCTCAGCCCCACTCACCTCACAGAGTGTTTGTTGTGGGGGAGGAAGGGAAAGAAGAATGTTAGCTGCTTTGAGATTCCTTCAGGTAGTGATAAAGCAGGATATCAAATCCAAACTCTTTTTCTTCTTCTTCAAGCTTCTTCAAGCATCTGAAATGTTCTTTGAGTCATACTTGAACACAGTTTTGACTAGTTTGGCAGCACTACCAACAAGTTGGGGGGGGGAACATGGCAACATGGCAGCCTTCTGCACCTCCTTCTTCAAAGCCAACTGCCAGTGAGTCTTTTGATCGCCTTTCCCATTCACTGTTGAGGTTTTGATCAGGGCTGCATTTGCTGCCTGTCCTCATCCCTGCATTCATGGGCAACCTAGGGTTTATTTCTGGCCTTCCTTACCAGCACAAATCCTCTTCTGTGGGAAGGACAGAAAGAGAAAACAACAACAAACGAATATAAGCTTAACTTGTTTTAACAATGTCAACATAGCAATAGGAGATGGGGAATATTTTCAGACTTAGAAACAACAATGAACAACTCACATTTTTGATAAACTGTATGAGTAGACTTCTTGTGCTGACATGAGAAATGGTTTGTGAACTTCTGAATGGAACAGAATAACAGAAAATCGCTTTTCATTTGGAAAACCATCTGTACCTTAAAGCAGAGTTCCACACTTGGAGAAGGGACTAGATTACCCTCAAGGCCCCTTCCAACTCTATAGTTCTAGCCCCTTCAACTTATCCTTTAGATCAGAGTGCCCTCTAGAGTCTTTTAGCATTTTCTGCAGTCCTCTGATTGTCAGTTCCCTTTACCAAATCCTGCTTGGTTCCTAAATTAGCCCCCCTCTCTCTCTTGGGGCAATGAAGAGCTTCAGCCAAGCTTGTACACTATCTTTACTGCACTCACAATAAGAAGTCTTCCCCCAAATACAAAAAAGGTTTTGAATAAATACCGCCAAAGGGTAACAAACACCATACAGTATAAGCCAAATGTCAAACCCCTCCAATAAAAATGGCCACAGTTGAAAAGTGCTGGAAATTGACACATTAACCCTTTTTACTGTTAAACAAGCATGTGATTATTTTTTTCTGTGAAAACTATTATTCATTTAGAACATTATAAACTGCTTGATCCAAAAACAAACAAAGAAACAAACAATTTCCAAGGCCCAGATCCAACTACATAAAAACAAGACTCAAATATACAGGGGTACAGAGTTACGGAAGAACAAGCACCATGTGGCTTAACGGGCATGTGGTTAAAGGGCTGGGAGCTGCATATCACACTTTAAAACTCCTGACCACCCTCACTGACCAGCTCCAATACTTCTGGATTGGAGAACTATTTTGGGACAAGCGGTTTGAATGAGGCTGAATGGGGCATCTTTCATGGATGCTTTTGTGATTCCTGCATTGCACGCGGTTGGAATAGATGACCCTTTAAGTCCCTTCCAACTTTACAATTCTGATTCTATTATGAGAAAACCGGCATTAGAAAAGCTGCCCTCTTAGCCTGCATTTTGATCTGCCCAGCCTTACAACAAAGGAAGCAAACATCCAGTGAGTGGCCTTCTGGTTAAAGCTCCTTCAGCAGCAGGAGAGGTACGATGGTGCTGGCAATGATGATGATGATGATGATGATGGAGGGTGAGATCAAAGCTTGGCTGCAGAGATTTAAAAGCAAGCTCCGCAGGCAATTGCCTCTGCCTTGGAAGACAGCCCTGCACCTTCCTACCTCAGGAAGCCTCATGGAGCAGCTCCACCCTGCACCCTCTTCCCTGTAGGCACCTTGCACCCATGGGGTCAAACAGGCTTGCCTGGTGCTGCTACAAACAACCCCTCTGCAGTGCCACAAATCCAACTCAATGGTGTAACATTGGAAAGTGTCTATCACTTCTCCTACCTGGGCAGTTATTTTTCCACAAGGGTGGACATTGATGCCAAAATACAGCATCGCCTGAGCTCTGCGACTGCAGCTTTCTCTTGAGGACAGGGACATTCGCAGGGAAACCAAAATGCTTGCTTACAAAAGCTATTGTACGACCAACCTTACTGTACCGTGAAACGTGGACCACTTATAAAAGCCATCTCCTTGAAAGATTCCTTCAACAGTGTCTCCGAAATTTTTTACACATCACTTGGGAAGACAGGTGAAGTAATGTCAGTATACAGGATGAAGCAAAGATCACCTGTGATTCTTCAACATCAACTTCGTTGGACTGGTCATGTTGTTCGGATGCCCGATTATCATCTTACAAAGCAACTACTCTATTCCAAACATAAAAATGGAAAGCATAATGCTAGTGGTCAACAAAAGAGGTTCAAAGACTCTCTCAAGGCAAATCTAAAAAAATGTAGTATAAACACCGACAACTGGGAAACACTGTCCTGCAAGTGCTTCAGTTGGAGAACAGCCTTTACCAAAAGTGTCACGGACTTTGAAGACGCTCAAACTCAGGATGAAAGGGAGAAACGCGCTAAGAGGCAAACCCTCACCATGATCAACTCCCGCCCAGAAACCAATGTCCCCACTGTGGAAGGACGTGTGGATCCAGGATTGGCCTCCACAGTCACTTACGGACTCACTATTAAAACCGTGTTTATGGAAGACAATCTTACTCGGCTACGAGGGATCGCCAAAGAAGAAGATGAAGACCCTGCGGGGGGGGGGGGGCTCCCTTACAAGAACCCCTCAGGCGTGCTTCTCTCAGCCCGGCAACATCAGCCCTGGAGCAGCCCCCGAGCGGAGGCAGCGCTCCTTGTCCGAGGGGAGCCTCCGCCGAAACGAGCAGCAAGCGGCCGAGCACCCGCCCTTCCTCGCGTCTCCCTCCTTCCCAGCCAGCCTGGGAAGGGCAGTGGGCGGGGACCGCCGGCTGACAGGCAGGCCGCGCCTCTCGAAGGCGCCGAGCTCGGGGCTCCCGGCAGCCCCCCAGACGGAGGGCGGGCGGCTGGCTTTGCGCTTGCTCAGCCGCCGCCCAAGTCCGGGGGGAAGCCGGCAGGTCTCTCTCTGCAAAGCGAGGGAGGGAAGGAGGCAGCGCCGGCTCCTCCATCTTCTTGTGGCGCAGGGAAGGGGCAGGCCCGAGCTCCTGGGAGGAGGAAGGATGCCCGCCAAGTGAGCGCTGGCCTTCCATCCCAGAAAGAGGCCGGTGCCTTAGGGGGGGTCGGCCCAGATGCAAAGCAACCAGGGCGACGTCAGCGCCTCAGCGGAGGAGCAGCCCCAGCCTGCGCCTCCCGCCGCCTCGCCGACCCCTTCTCCAATGGCGCTGGCTGGGCCCGAAGAGGGCAGCGGCCGCGGCGGAGCCCCGGGCCCCGAAGGCGCCCTCAGCCTGAACCCTGGGCAGCAGCAGCAGCAGCAGCAGCTGGAGGAGGAGATGGAGAAGCTGCAGGAGGAGAACGAGGCCCTCAAGGTGAGCAGGAGGAGAGGAGGGCGGCGGGTGTGGCCCAGCCGGGAGGGGGAGGAGAGCCCTTTATTCTGCTCTCTCTTCTGTTGTCAACCCGGCTTGTAGGAGGCGAAGTGATAGAGAACAGATAACCCCCCCATCTCAGCAGCAGGTGCTAGAAAAGGGGAAAGAAAGCAGGTTCCGTCCTTTGGGGGGGGGGTTGTACAAATGATAGTCGTTTTTGTGTGCCACCGAAAAGGAAAACCATTATATTCCATTCTAGTTCTTAATGGTGCAGCTTCCTGTTGTTCTATTCCCTTGGTAAAATGTGGGAAACTTCTGCCTTAGAAAAGTTGAGTTCCCTGGAGGAAAGTAGCCCTGGCCATTTCAGACCTGATGCTAGCCCACAGATGGCGAAAAGCACTATATAGGCAGCCGTGTGTGCCTTGCCTCATAATCACTCCCTGTGGCATGCTTCTCACATGTCACATATGTGTTTTCCCTTCAGACTCTCTGAAACATGCATGGCTGACATGCTGTGCAATGGTAAGGCCCTGGATTTTCATCCAGCAGAGGAAGCCATCTATCCTGTTTGCTGCATGCACTTGTCCCTTCATGACATACTTTATTCTGAATGTTAAGGGAGAATGCTTAACATAACAGCATAACAATTACTCTTTTCAGATCACATTCCCTCTACAGTTTGTCTCATCCGTGAGGGAAGGGTCTTGCATTCCAGGCATGTCTTAAGAGTACATCTACACTTTTACAGTTAGTGGTAAAATGTTCAGTGGAGTAGCAAGCCATAATTCCGCTGTCTAGCTATGGCTATGGTGTGTTGAGAAAGTGAAGACTCAGCACACAAATTGTGTTCCTATGTAGAACTGGTAAGCTGTATCACAGGGGTGGGGAACCTTTTTCAGTCTAAGCGTTGGATCAACTTCCAGGAGCTGCATGACACCAGAGGGTATGGTCAGGGGCAAAAGTGGGTGGGAGAACGGATATGACTCTTGCTTTTTTACAGGAGTTTACATCCAGTCACTTGTCAGAAGTTGCTCTACACCAGTGTTTTCCGAACTTGTGTCTCTGGTTGTTCCCATGATCCCTGGCCACTGGTCCTGCTAGCTAGGGATGATGGGAGTTGTAGTCCAAAAACAGCTCAGGTTTGGGAAACACAGCTTTACATACACATACACATACACATACACATACACATACACACACACACACACCTTTCTCCATCCAGGCAAGCAAAAGACCATCCCAGCAAGGGAAAGCCACTTGAGGAGGGGGTGGAGCAGGGCCAGCATGGGCGTGGCCTAGTGAAAGGGGGTGTGGCCTTAGAAGGGCACATGGCTTAGGGAAAGTTCTGAGGGCCAGCTATAAAGAGGCCTGGAGGGCCATATTTGACCCTCTGTTCCCCACTCCTGCTGGTGGAAGTGGTGGCAAAACCAAGTTCTTCCCACACTGCATAACTCTCATCCACCCATGATTTTATCATTGATTACCTCTTGGTATACATGCCACACATGTGATGTTTGAAGGGCAGGCATAAGATAGTGATTGATGCTTTTGGTTGTTGTTGTTTTAAGTGAAGATCAACTTAAGTCCCATTTTTCCTTTCATTTTATTAATGTGAACTTGCATTGCCTGATGCATTTCCGACTATCCTTTCTGAACGGGTGCCAGAATGAGATAGATGAGCTGAGGACTGAGATGGATGAGATGAGGGACAGCTTCTTTGAAGAGGATGCCTGCCAGCTGCAAGAAATGCGCCACGAATTGGAGAGGGCCAACAAAAACTGCAGGATCCTTCAGTACCGTCTTCGAAAGGCAGAGCGCAAGAGGCTCCGCTATGCACAGACCGGGGAGATTGACGGAGAACTTTTGCGAAGCTTGGAGCAAGACCTGAAGGTAAACAGGACCAGAAGCTGGCAAGTAGGTGGGAAGGCAGTGAGGGGGAAGTACAGGTAGACTATGAAAGTATCATAGGCTCAAGCTGTTAAACGGAAAGCAGAGATCTGATTTGTCTCATGGTTCTAAGAGTCAGTAATTTGATGACCTGGATCCTGACTCTCAGAACTCACTTTCTAGATAGCTCACTTTCAGATACAGTGGTACCTTCAGTTGCGGACGGGATCCGTTCTGGAGGTCCGGTCGGATCCTGAGGTTTCCGCAACCTGAAGACCGCTACTGCGCATGTGCGCGCGGCGAAACCTGGGCAAATACTTCTGGGTTGCCGCTTTCGCATCCTGAAGTTTACGTAATCAGGGGGTTATGTAACAGGAGGTACTACTGTATTTACCCCTTTTCCAGTTATCAGAGAGTAAATTCCTAGGTATATTACACTCTGTTGCTTTGACAGTTGTTCCATTGAGCTCTGTGGAAAGCGTGATGAGGCTGTGCTGCTCACTTGACCTCTCTTCAGCCCAGCCACTACTGCATATTGGGATGGAAAGGAGGGAGGACAAAGACAATGCAGTAGAAAGGGCCAACTGGAGTGACAGGTTGGCTCCACTGGCATGTTTGCACCTCACTGCCTGACCCCTCAGCGACTCGGCTAAAAGAGAGGTCAGGTGAGTGGTGCAGCCACCAACCCACCATGTTGTCCGCTGCTGCTTTAAACTAATTCAGTTAATAGACTGAAATACATTTCTGTAGTGCCAGAGCCTCTTAGCTTGAAATGAATCTGCGCATTGACACATCTTGAAAATATAACTTAGAATTTAATAGAGGTTTGAATCCAATTAAATTATACTTGCAGTAGAAAACAATGAACTTTTAAGTTGTATCGATTGTTTTCACTGAGTATGCTTTAAGTGTGATATAAGTTGGATACAATCCGTAATTCATCACTCATTATTAGAAAGAAAAGCCATTTTAAGGGTTTCCTTTGCATTCCATTTTGCATACCAGAAGCAAAATAGCTAAAAAATAAATGTTTGCCCTTCTAGAGCAACAAGTGAAAATCGGTACTCACCAAATAAAATTGCTACCCATGATTTATCTACTAAAGTGTTACTTGATTAATCAACTAATTATAAGGTGTACAGTTCCAGTTGTAAAGAGGCTTTTCCATTGAAAAAGCAAGTGAGACTCCCATGTTAAAGCCCAACTTTGGGTAGCATTGTGTCCAGTGTTCTAATAGATAGAGAACTGGTCTTTGACCTAGAAATTCCATGTACAAGTACAACCTAAGTCCTGTAATCATGGGATACTACCAGTGCTCAGAGTCACACTGTCTGGAAATAATCAGGAATAAGCTAGAGTGCATGTGAACTGAGTAATAATAATAATAATAATAATTAATAAAAAATAAATAAATAAATAAATTTAAATTAAATTAAATTAAATTAAATTAAATTTCTGTGAAACCCTTCACCCAAGGATTACAGGATGGTTTACAATATATATAAAAAAGAATGCATACCATAGTAGCAAATGAAAACAATACCTCCCACAGTTTAAAAGGCCATGTAAAGTATTTAATTAGCCAAAGGCCTGGGAGAAGAGTTTTGGCCTGGTGCCTAAATATTTGTAATGAAGGCGCTCATGTTTTTAAAATCAGTGGAGACTTCTAATGGAATTGGATTGGAGACAAAACTAATCAGAATGCCATTCTGGCTCTAGAATACACTAATCAGCTCTGTTTTTGTTGGCTGAAAACAGGATTATAAACATCACATGATCATAGGGTTGTATCAAACTTAAGAGTAGACCCATTGCATCAATTGACCTAAGTGATTTATGCCTATTAATTTTCATGTGTCTATGCTGAGTATGACTAACATTGTATACAACCAGCACTTTTTTTTCTGGGGGGACGCAGGGGTATGCATACCCCTAAATATTTTGTGAATCTTTGTACTTTTGTCCATTTACTGTATTTATTTCCCCCGATTTGAACTATAAAATGGTGATTTGCTTGAGTCAAAATGAGAGTACCCCTAAACCTTTTTTTTAAAAAAAAACAGCACTGTATACAACCCATAATTATCTTCGCCACAAAAATGTTGTCTTTAAATTTTAAAATTCTGTTCCATTAGGTTGCAAAAGACGTTTCAGTGAGACTTCACCATGAGTTGGAAAACGTGGAAGAAAAACGTACCACCACAGAAGATGAAAATGAAAAGTTAAGACAGCAGCTGATAGAAGTAGAGATTGCTAAACAGGCTCTGCAGAACGAACTTGACAGGATGAAAGAGGTTAATGTTCAGTATTTACTTTTGGGGAAATGCGTTTTTATTCTACCCTGAATTTTATAATGGTTGGAATAGTAGTGCATGCACTTAATGGAGGAGGACGTCAGAGATTCTCAGAATGCTTGACTAAGTAAGGATCCTAAAACGCAATGAATAATTTGCTTCGTAGAAATGAGAACATAAATGAGGGAAACAGTAAACATTTCCTAGAATTAAAAATGGCTGCCCCTTTCGTACCTTTGCTCTTGGTCAGTTTTTGCCTTCTACTGTGAATTGTTGGTTTTCATGGATGAGTAGAAAAGATTTGTATTTGTTAGCTTCTATGTATTTGTTTGCTGAAAAGCATTCCCTGTACCTGTCTTTGAAATGAGATACGTTTATTCTGGAATGCTATTGAGAGTGCTCTTGTGCTCTTGTTTTGTTGATGAAATTCTCATAGGTATCTGGTAGGCTGGACTGGATAGACACTTGATCTGATCCAATAGGACTCTTCTTACCATAAAATAAGGCATGTCTGTGCTACTGGATTTTTAGAAAAAGTAAAGCCAAACAAAGCTGCTAGTTCAACCGCTTACACTCCCATTGAGTTTAGAGAACATAAAACTATGGGCCATAATCCAGTCGTCTTTGTAGGTGTATCCAACAACCTGCATGAGTCCTATGAGATTTGTGATAGTGAACTGCAACACCCAGTTCAAACATTAATAGCCCAAATTTATTTCTTACTGCCGTGCTTCCTTATACCTACCTGTGTTATTAATTAGCGATAGATAAATCTACATAGCCCTTCAGGTTTACTGAACTATTTACTGGTTTGTATTTGGATAATGAAACTGCTAATGAAGTGCTCGAATGGCTATATTAAGAGTTGTTAAAATTTGGCCTACATTGTTCTGGTGTGGCCCAGTTGCATTGTGCCTCATTACAAAAGGGTCTAGATCATTCACTGGCACCCACACTGTGAAAGGGAGTGTTTGCATTGGCTTGCATCTTTAGCTGTCAATCTAAATTGACTGCAGAAATATCCTATCTCTTAAATGACGATATTGGATCCTGATTGGCAGCTAATTATACACCAGGATTTATGATTCTCTTTTTGTGTGCGTTTTTGTTAAGCCAGCACCCATTTTGAATATCTCTGCTCCTTCTGTTTTCCCAATCCCTCCTCCCCACCCTGCTTTGCTGTTGTTTTGGGGTGGTGGTAAATGGTATTTATTCAAATTCACGTTTATTGTTTTCCCATATTGATTGGTTGATTACTTACCTTTGGGCAAGCTCTCACTGGAATTATGTATGTTGGTGCAGAGAACATTTCATTGGTAAAAAAATTGAGTAGTCCCCAGTTTCCATACCAGGAAGAACTATTTTGTGACTTCCTGTAATGGAATAAGGAGCCAGAGAAGAAAGAAGTCTGCTGTATCTCTGCTTGTTAGACAAACCAGGCACAGATTACTGAAAGAAGATAGATGGTGATACCATTGATTAATATCTTGACACTCAGGGCATTGGAAGAAAATAAATGAGGCTCTTTTCAAGAGCTTGGTGTATTACAGGTAATTTCTGGGTGACATAACACCTCAGTAGTTGGTATTATATCATTCTTTTCTTCTCTCATGAGGAGAAGTAGAATATGTGCCAAGTGACACTGTACCACACTGATTAAATGGTTAGTTAGGGAACAGGGTGTAGATCTGTATGTATTAAACACCAAAAAATGTAATATCTGAATGTATGCGGGGATTGGGTTACAAGTGCTAATAACTGCTCCAAATTATGAATAGTTCCTCTCTTATCTCTGCTTGTACTGCTGCTAATAATGATTAGCACAGTAGTTAGGTTTGTTTTTATCATGTCTATGGAATGGACAGGGAAAATTTGGTTACAGTAATTTATGCTGTGGTAACTTCAGGGCTGAATTATTGCAATGTACTTTATGCTGGGCTGCCTTTGAAAATGAGTTGGAAGCTTCAATTACCTTCAAGAAGCTTCAGTGTGTCTGCCCAACTGTTGACACGTTCGAGGCAAACCCGCTCTTTCGTGGCTACATGTATGCTTCCAAGTCCAATTCAGAGTGCTGGTTTTGACCTATAAAGCTTTTTCTGGCTCAGGGCCCCAATAACACCTTCCCTGAACCCTTAGATCTTATTCTGAGACCCTTCTTTGGTTCTGCCCTTTGCAGAGTCTCAAAGGATGGTGACAAGAGAGGAAGGCCTATTCAGTTGTGGTTCTGTATATTCATGCATTGCTTCCATGGAATGCTCTACCTAGTGAGGTCTGCCTGGCATCTTTCCTAACTGATTTTGTTGTGCTGTTTGTGTGCTGCCCAAGCTGCCTGTGGTTGTTATTGTGTGTGTGTGTGTGTGTGTGTGTGTGTGTATGAATGAATTGCAGGTGTTTGTATGCAAATACTAAATTCACCACAGTTGTCAGATAAGGAATTTGAAATTTAATTTTAGTTGAAACTTGCATATCCAATAAATTCCTTGTTCTAGTTTTCAGATGACTGGCCATCATGCCTTGGAAATATTTGCTCTGCACCTGCTACCATTCTGGTTGCTTATAATAAACAGATACTTATATTAATTTAAAGCATGATTGATAGTGTCTGCCCTAGAAATCTAATTACCAGAAGCATATGACTATGCCTTTGGTTTGACTCTGCCTTTAATTGGAATAGATGCCAGCAGTTTAGATTACAATAATGTGATTTAGTTCAATGGTTATAAAAATGACAGTATACCAGGAAAGTAGGCCTTCCTGATATTGGTGGAGGGAGGTATATTTCACACAGCTCAGTTGGTTGGAGTGTGGTGCTAATAACGCCATGCATTGCAGGGAGTTGGACTAGATGATCCTTGAGGTCCCTTCCAATCTGCAATTATATGATTCGATGTGGTTGACTTTCATTTGAAAGATGCAAAGTCTGAGCAGGAGGATTTTCATGAGAGCTTAACACAAGTTGGTTAGTTCCCCACCCACTCAAGCACTATATTATTCAGCATAATTAAAACAGCTGGAGAACATGTAGCTTGAATGTAAAAGGGGGGAAATGGATCTCGACCCTATAACAGCACAAAAGATGAGAAAAAACAGCACCTAGCGTTGCACTGAACAGAAAGGTGTGTATTTGATACATAGGGTCATATTCCTCTTCTCCCCCGCTCCCCAGACCTCTGTATGTGCTCAAAATCAGCTGTGGAGTGTTGGGTCATCCTCCAAAGCAGATCTGGAGGGAAAGCAGGCAAATGTAAAGTCTTATTGTGCCAGCAGTTGTATGTGTGTGAAGCATTGGATACAACCCATTGCTTCCTTCCTCCCCCCCCCCCCCCCACCAAAGTGTGCATCTAACAAACAGGAAAGCAGGGCTTTTTGCCTCCCTGGTGAGTATAATGAAGAGGCCCATCCAGCACTAGGAGGGAGAACCACTGGTGCTTTTTTCTACTTCCATTTGAATTCTTAGCTGGGCTACCATTTAGAATGCTAGCCTGTCATCTTCCAGTTACTTGCAGTGATTATGGACAACTCTGGATCACTGTCAGTAAAGATGAATACTTTTGCCACTTTTAAAAAACCAGGATCACATGATTATGATGCGGACATATAGAGGCCCATCCTTAAATCCAATTCAAGTACCATGGCTAAATCGAGTTGTGGATTGACTATTGGTTTTTCCTCTGAATTTTCATCAACTTTAATATGCCAGTGAAAGCAATATGAAGTTTGTGTATTCCATATATAGAGAGGTAGAAGAGTGGTAAACAAGTGCTATCTCTTTCTACTGAACTGTTGATACATTGCTTGTCAAAACTGCCTTTAATTTCTGTTGAAATTCAAAGAAAGGATAAAAATGCTTTGCTTTTTGCAAACCTAAAAACATCAGACAGGCAACCGAGGATATTAAACTTGTCATGAAATGTTTTTCACAGAACACTGGGCCTCACAAAGCTGTAGGGCATACTGGGGCAGCAGGAACACAGCATTCTTCAAGTCAAAGATATAGAACTGTAGGGGATGACAGTATCCAAAGGTCGTCTTGTCTACCTCTTGCCTGCAAAGGAACCGAATGTTTTGCATCTGGCCACAGTTATTTATGTACTGGCAGCATCTTGTTTAGTTCACTATAATGCTTTCTACGTGGGGCTGCCTTTGAGGTCTGTTCAAAAATGACACATTTTGCCAATTCCTTAACAATCAAACTGGTTCCTGGTCTGTTTCCAAACACAGTTCAAAGTGTCCCTCTTGACCTGTAAATCCCCAAACGGCTTAGGGCCAGGCTACTTGTAGGACCACTGCTTCCACTTGAAAGCACCTGGGTGTTAAGATCAGCTTTGGAGGCCTTGCTCTGGTTTTGTTACCCTTTGAACTGGTTGGTGGCAGGCCTTTTCCACTGTGGCACTTTATATTTGCAACTCCCCTTCTGGAAAGTTTGCTTGCCACTTTCTTTGTTTTCCTTTTAGTAAGTGGTGAAAAACTTTTCATACCCCCAGCCCTTAAATGTGTTTCAACACTTAAACCCATATGGTGGTGTGGAACTCCCTCCCATCAGATGTCAAAGAAAACAACAAATATCTGATGTTTAGAAGACATCTGAAGGTAGCCCTGTTTATGGAAGTTTTTAATGACTGATGTTTTAATGTATTTTTAATCTTTTGTTGGAAGCCGCCCAGAGTGGCTGGGGAAACCCAGCCAGATGAGCTGGGTATAAATAAATAATTATTATTATTATTATTATTATTATTATTATTCGGTAGGCGTGTGTGCGTGTAATGCTGAGGTTTTATTTCCTGCTTTCTCTTGTTTTGAGATTTTAAAAAATATTCTGTTAAACTGCTTTATTTTAAATCATGCTAAGAGCATTTGCTGAAGACCTCCAAAGAAATAAACAGACCTTCCCATTTTGTGAGGGGAAATGAGTTCATTTATTGCATCCTTAGATCTTCAAAGTAGTATCAAAATCATTCTGTTTTAGAATCATGGTAAACAAAGGGTACATATCTGGGAGACAAGTATTTACAATTATCTTGGGTCAGTTACTTCCAACTAAAAAGTCTGTTTGCAGTTACATTGAATATGCTTTTTGGTTCCTGGTGAGGTTTTTTATGTTGTTGTTTTTTTGGACTGTTTGTGAATTATTATTTTTAATATTCAAAGTACTCCAAAGTATGTTATACAAATGAACAACAACAACCTGAATTGTATAAAAATATCCTGGTCTCTGAATTGTGGAGCAACCAATATTTTGGGGGGGGGGACAACATCTGGTTTTTGAAAAAGCTTCTTGTGATTTCAATGGTTTAATGGATTTATATTGTAGTCAAGCCTATTGAGTTGTTAACTTTTCTCAGGATTAGCCAATTGTTTTTTATTTTGCATTGTTTTAACAGTGTTAAATGTTTTATTGTATTTGTATATATTGTTGTGTATTAGTTGGAGATACATGACTGTTTTAAAAAACAAATATACATTTAGTAAAATGCATACTATACTTTATCTTTCTTTTATAGCAATCCATGAAAAGAAGAGGAAGCAAAGACTTGCAAAAATCAGAAAAAAAGTCACAACAGACACCCACTGAGGTAACCTCAAATACTTCTGTCTGTCCCATGGCACAACCCAGTAAACCTTATGGTTATTAAATAAAAAAAATCATTGGTGCAAGCCTTTCCTTAGTCAGCATAATTGGAAAACTGTGACTATTCTTATGGTGCTCATTTAGTAGCCTGTTAGTAACCAAATTTTTAAATGTCGTTTTAGTAAGCTAGTTATAGAAGCTAGTTATAGAGAAGTTCCTAGCATCTGCACTCCTGAAATTTAAAGTTGGGGCTATTCTTGAATGGCTATTACAGTGATACTTGGAAAAATAATGGAAACAGCTATATTTTACTTGAAAAGATGGCACAGACCATGTCCCTGCTATATTGATGTCCTTTATCTCTTGGTCAGAGAGATTTTCAGCTTTCAGAATCTTAACAGTTCTCATGAGCAAACTCAGGGCCACTTCACACATCACTTGCTTTTAGGTGAACCCTTGTACTTCAAACATAACCTGTGAATGCAATAAACACAAACGTGTCTGACATACAGGTGTACTGTTAAGGGAGTTATGATAGGTTGCAGCTTCCTGTTGATTGTTTTGGCAGATTGCCAACCATTTGTCAATGTACTATCAACAGGAAGCTGCAACCTATCATAACTCCCTTAACAGTACACCTGTATGTCAGACACGTTGTGTAATGTGTGAAATAGCCCTTGGTAGAGAGTAAAACCTGCTACTGAGTAGGTTTTGAGGTGTAATGGTTCAGAACATGGAGTAATGATTTTTAAAATAGGTTTAGTGGCACATTTTGCTTTTGTTTGATATTTGAAATGTGTATCAAATAGAACCATACCTTCATGGAGTTCACTGGGGCTATTATTTTATGATTTGGAATTTTCATTTGCTGAATTGCCAAATGGTGTCATCACTTGTCTAGTAACTGTTGGATCTTCTTTCTTTTTTCTAAGGAGGACAATGAAGATCTGAAATGCCAGTTGCAGTTCATCAAAGAAGAAGCTACTCTGATGAGGAAAAAGTTGGCCAAAATAGACAAGGAAAAGGACAGATTTGAACATGAACTACAAAAATATCGGTCATTTTATGGTGATCTAGACAGTCCCTTACCAAAAGGGGAGGCTGGAGGCCCACCTACCACAAGAGAATCAGAACTCAAGCTTCGTCTGAGGTTAGTAGAGGAAGAAGCCAATATTCTGGGAAGGAAAATAGTGGAGCTGGAAGTAGAAAACAGAGGGCTGAAAGCAGAGCTTGATGACTTGAGAGGAGATGATTTCTCAGGGGCAGCCAACCCGCTGATGGGGGAGCAGAATGAATCACTCTCTGAGTTACGGCAGCATCTGCAGCTAGTTGAAGATGAAACGGAGCTGCTGAGAAGAAACTTGGCTGATGTAGAAGAACAAAACAAGCGCATCACAGCAGAGCTGAACAAATACAAATACAAGACTGGGGCTCATGACAGTTCAAGGCATCACGACAGCGCCAAGACAGAAGCGCTCCAGGAAGAGCTCAAAGCTGCCCGCATGCAGATCAATGAACTCAGTGGTAAGGTCATGCAACTTCAGTATGAGAACCGAGTCTTGATGTCCAACATGCAGCGCTATGACTTGGCCTCTCATTTAGGGATCCGGGGCAGCCCCAGGGACAGTGATGCTGAAAGCGATGCGGGGAAGAAAGAAAGCGACGATGATTCTCGTCCTCCACACCGCAAGAGGGAAGGTCCCATCGGTGGGGAGAGTGACTCAGAGGAGGTCCGCAACATCCGTTGCTTGACCCCCACTAGATCCTTCTACCCAGCACCAGCAGGGTGGCAGAAAAGCTTCACAGACCGGCAGCAAATGAAGGACATCCGCTGCGAAGCGGAACGCCTTGGCAAGACGATTGACCGCCTGATTTCGGACACAAGCACCATAATAACAGAGGCAAGAATTTATGTGGCAAATGGGGACCTGTTTGGACTTATGGATGATGAAGATGATGGCAGTAGGATACGGGAGCACGAACTTCTTTACCGAATAAATGCCCAGATGAAGGCATTTAGAAAAGAGCTCCAGGCCTTTATTGACACACTAGAAGTTCCAAAGTCTTCAGATGATCGAAGTACAGATGAACCTTTGTCAGTGAGTCAGGTAGACTTTTACTTAATAAGATGCCTAGGTAAAAACTTTCAGCCCAAGGTGTTGTATGGATGGTTGACTGGCATTTCCCTTACATTCTTATATACCACGAAAGGCACATTGTTTAAATTTGCTGTGGCTTTCTTAGTTTGAAGTTTGTAGCGTAGTCCTAATAATTGGGTTACTAGCACCACACAGGGCTGGTATGGGTTGGCATGACTTGGCAAGTGCCCACACCTCTTCCGTGAGCCCATTGCCAAGAGCCCCCTCTTCCCATCTGCTGCTTCTCCCTGTCCGCTTGCCCTTTCCTTTGGACTCACCGGCGACAAATGAAGGCAGCGTGAAGGAGAAATACCAGACACTTCCTGTGGTAAGGAGGTAATACAGTGAACAGTAAAGCGGAAGTGGTCTCATAATAAAATTGTCGGCCAAAGGTTCTGCTGCAGTTTATTCTGGGGGAGCGGATCATATTTTGAAATATGCCACTTGTTAAAACCATGGCCAGCTCAGGGTTTAGGGAGCCCCCATCTGCACATTAAAATTGAGAAAGTAACATGGCAGAAATGATTGGATGCCTGGCTTAGGGGCAGAATGTTTGACTAATTATCATTTGAGATGCAAAGAAGTGACCTGGTTATATAGAATTATGTGCCATGAAGATGTACGGAAGATGGATACTGAATTTTAACCAGTACTTTCTAGGGCAGTTCTGAGGTTCTTCTTCCCTGTCTTACAAAATGCACTTCTCTCTTCTGAACCTGAAACTATACAGTTCCCTATCCATAGCTGAAAGGACTTCCTGTTACAAATTGTACAGATACATTGAGATACAGTTTCTTCCTCTCTTAAAATGCTGAAACTTGGGTTAATTCAGTGGAATTTGTTGGCAGGCATTTCATAACAGTCATTTTAGACAGCTAGCTTCAAAGTGACCTTGTACATATTTGCTTTTTTTTTTTGGTCAGGCCATTTCTGTAGCGCTTAATATATAAAAATATCTTTAAGCACTACAGAAACCAAAAACAACAGCAAGAGGCAATTTAACAACAATACAATTTAATACAATTCAACAGCGACAGTGTTGCATATACAACTGTTAAAGGTAAAGGTAAAGGTACCCCTGCCCATACGGGCCAGTCGTGTCCGACTCTAGGGTTGTGCGCCCATCTCACTTAAGAGGCCGGGGGCCAGCGCTGTCCGGAGACACTTCCGGGTCACGTGGCCAGCATGACGAAGCTGCTCTGGCGAGCCAGCACCAGCGCAGCACACGGAAACGCCGTTTACCTTCCCGCTATAAAGCGGTACTTATTTATCTACTTGCACTTAGGGGTGCTTTCGAACTGCTAGGTGGGCAGGAGCTGGGACCGAACGACGGGAGCTCACCCCGCCGCGGGGATTCGAACCGCCGACCATACGATCGGCAAGTCGTAGGCACTGAGGTTTTACCCACAGCGCCACCTGCGTCCCATACAACTGTTACATTAATGCAAATTACTAATAAATATAGACCAATAGCCTTCTCCTCCTGACACACCTCCTCTCAGCTCCAAGACTGTACACATCCACCCTTGCTCTCATTCAGGGCTGAACAAACTCACAGTTCTCCCACAAAATCTCACAATAAAGAGGGTTCCTGGAATCTGCTGGCATCATCCTAGTTTCTCACTCTAGTCATGTTTTGGAGGACTGGCACCAGGAGGAAAGAGCTTCCTCAGACTGCCTGCATCATTGTCCCATGCAGCACTCAGCTGTACTGCACACACCCAGTTCACAAAACTAAGCCTCAGGTGTGGTTCTTTCTTTCTTTTCACTTGAAATGTTAAGTTTGCTGCTTCATTAACATAGCGTTATCTTGTCTTTGTATCTACCTTCCCAGATGTTCCAGCCTATCATTTTACTTATTCTCATCCTTGTATTATTTTCATCCCTTTCTTATGCAACAATATTTAAACTTGTCTTCCTTTTCACATTGTTCTTTGTGCTGTAGTAAACAGACCTTTTTCATCATTTTGCCATTCATTGTAGTATTCTTTTCAGTTTGTTTTGTTTTGTCCATCCTTCCAAGATAAGAAGTGCAAGAGCTGTAGTTTCTGTAGTAATCGCTGCTGTAAAAACACTGAAGACTACTCACTGGAAAGAAGGGATGCCATCCCTCACAAGTCAAATAATATAGGACACAAAAGAAACAAAACCCCCCACAACTGAACCAGAATTGTGCTCAACCAAAAAGCTAGGTAAGCATGTGAAAAACAGGTCTTTATTCTTTTTATAATAATCTTTCTTTTTTAGTAAGTTTGGGATAAAAATGAGGCTGAAACTTATGCAAAAGTTGACTTTCCAGTAATTGAAACATAATTTAGAATGCTAGAAATGTTGTATGTTCCTCATCCCAAATTCTTACATTGCAGTCGCAAGCTAACTAAAGGTTCCTGCAGTTTGTGCGATGCAAATATACACATTTGTATAGGTGACAGATAGCAGAGTTGTTCAAAACAGGGACTTCGAGTTTATAATAATTCTACATGGAGTTTGCCTGACTTCTACTCCTGACAGTTTAAGACACAGAACTTCTACTGATATCCTTTGGGAGCAAGGCTCTCGAGTCCACAAACAGCCCTCTGGCACATGAGTGGCAGTTAAGAAACAACAGTGAATCTCTTCTAGTCAAAAGCTTGTCATATAAATTATTAGAACAAGATTGAATTGTAGGTGGGTTTTTTCCCCTGTGTGTGCTTTAAAAAAAAAAATTCATTCCCTTGAGGAAAAGTTGCTTTGAGAGTCACCATTTCCAGTTTCTGAAAAGCAATTAAAAAAACCCCCAAGAGCAGGCTGCTCTGCTTACTCTCCCTTACTTCTGTTAGGCTGGGCTGCTGCTCAACCCCCAGCACAATAAGCTTGACAAGTTTAAATATTTAAAATACCACTGGAATGGCTTGTGGATCATGATGGTGCTACTGCAAATAAGTAGAAGGTTCTCTCTTAAAGACTGCAATATTGCCTTGCTCTGAAGAAATTTGTGCCCAGAACTCCTGATTACAGTCATAATAAGACATGACTCCGGCGACATGTGTCATCAACCCTTTGGAAGCAGAAAAATACGCAGCCGTTGGATAACAAGACATTCACAGAAACAGTGCCAAAGTCTGTCATGATGATAAAGAGAAAGAAAGCTAGATAGATGAACTGTAGATGACCTTCAGAAGTTGTTTACAGCATGTCTACAGCCTTAGGAATATCACACTCCAGTTCCTTTGCTTGGCTTGTGCTGGATCAATTTCAGGCTGCTGCTATTGCAAGGGAAAACAAAAGCCGCCCCTGAATTCTGTATGCTGGTGCAAAATCCTTACCAGCAAAATGATTATGTGAATGCTATAAATTAGTGAAAATGATAGCCATCCATTTCCAATAGGGCACATTAGAAAAGCTACTGTCATAGCTATTACTGTTCATTAGATTTATATCCCACCCTTTCCTCCCAAAGGAGCCCAGGATGGCACACACACAGGTGATAATACACTTAAAACAGCTATTTAAAAAGTGAGTACAGATGCAGACTGGAAAAGACCTTTGCTTAAAATGCTTGTTGAAAAAGGAAGCTCTTCAGTAAAGACTACAGAGATGGCACTTTTCTACTGTTCAAGAGGAGGGATGCGCAATAGATGGCCTTATTTTTGTTTTGTTTTTTTAAAAGCAAAAGCTAGTTTTGTTTTTGTTTTGTTTCTACATATGATTGATTGTTGTTAAGATAGATAAATGGAGGAAGGTTGATACCAGACCTGCACTAAATATCATACATGCATGGGCCAGTAAAAGAATGCTCCCTTAGAAAAAGAACACTACATTTTATAAAAGAAGTCTTAATGTTTTGCACAGGCTGATTTGGCAAGGTTTTAAAATGAGCTCTCTATGAAACTTAAAACATATCATAGACAGGAAATTATTTTTACGTAAACTATGAGAATATGCAATGTGATACAGATGGCAGAGACTTCAAAACTCTTCCAGGTGCTGACATTACATGAAAACCAGTTATTAGAATGATGTTAAATTGTCTTCAGTTGCAAAGTTGATCTAACAGAGTTCCAAGGGTTTTCCTAGTTGATAAGCTGATACTCTCCTTTCTTTGAAGGATATATGTGTGACTGGAACCCTTTCCCCTCCTCACTGCATTCCCTGCTACGTTACATCTGAACTGAAATACTGCTGAAAGGATTCTTCCTCTTCAAAAGGTTGGTGCACAGTTTGTTTTTCATTCTAAATTTTATTCTTATTTGATGATAAGAATAATTTCAAATCGAGATGGGTTTAAGCGTGGTTTTTTTGCACATTTTTTGGGGTGTTTTTTGACACCAAACTGGGAGGGGTGGCTAACACCCCAGAGGACAGGATCACACTTCAAAACGACCTTGACAGATTAGAGAACTGGGCCAAAACAAACAAGATGAATTTTAACAGGGAGAAATGTAAAGTATTGCACTTGGGCAAAAAAATGAGAGGCACAAATACAAGATGGGTGACACCTGGCTTGAGAGCAGTACATGTGAAAAGGATCTAGGAGTCTTGGTTGACCACAAACTTGACATGAGCCAACAGTGTGATGCGGCAGCTAAAAAGCCAATGCAATTCTGGGCTGCATCAATAGGAGTATAGCATCTAGATCAAGGGAAGTAATAGTGCCACTGTATTCTGCTCTGGTCAGACCTCACCTGGAGTACTGTGTCCAGTTCTGGGCACCACAGTTCAAGAAGGACATTGACAAACTGGAACGTGTCCAGAGGAGGGCAACCAAAATGGTCAAAGGCCTGGAAACGATGCCTTATGAGGAACGGCTAAGGGAGCTGGGCATGTTTAGCCTGGAGAAGAGGAGGTTAAGGGGTGATATGATAGCCATGTTCAAATATATAAAAGGATGTCACATAGAGGAGGGAGAAAGGTTGTTTTCTGCTGCTCCAGAGAAGCGGACACGGAGCAATGGATCCAAACTACAAGAAAGAAGATTCCACCTAAACATTAGGAAGAACTTCCTGACAGTAAGAGCTGTTCGACAGTGGAATTTGCTGCCAAGGAGTGTGGTGGAGTCTCCTTCTTTGGAGGTCTTTAAGCAGAGGCTTGACAACCATATGTCAGGAGTGCTCTGATGGTGTTTCCTGCTTGGCAGGGGGTTGGACTCGATGGCCCTTGTGGTCTCTTCCAACTCTATGATTCTATGATTCTATTCTAAATGGCTCTTCCCATTGCTCTGTCCAGAAGAGTGGTTCTGATGTTTGGGGACCATGAACCCAGATGACATTTCAAGCCAGGATTTGTGGGTTGTTGCTCCCAAAGCAGAATAGCCAAGAGCATGGGAGAATGGAGACTTTTGAGCATAGAATTCTTTTGCATAGAACTGTCAGTTAATATGTGCAGCCATAGCCAATGTGTGACATGGAAACTGGAGAGATGTAAATAAAACACTGGAAGCAAAAGTGGATGAGTAGGCCTAAAGGCCTAAAATGGGCTGAAATAGAACCAGAATGCTTCTTGCACCACCTGGAGAACCAAATGCCCACCACATATAGCGGGACTGTATGACTAGTAGAGCACCAAATGAAGAGTCTTCAAGAAAGAGGTACCTGTGCAAACCCTGCAAAGCTTAACAGAGCAACAAAAGTAACTAAATTGATTTCTGGGTGGCTAAGCTGACTCAAGATCCCGCTAAGTTTTGCTGGAAAAGCTTCAAAAGAGCTATGGGAGGGGGGAATTGACTTTCTCCTGCAATTCAAAGTTCCAGGAGGAGCAGTGAGTACAGTCAGGTTCTGAATTTGCCAGAATGGTAGGAATGAGAAACTGGGACAGGAAGGTTGAGGAACGGAGGACCAGCAGAAGAATTCAACCAAGTACATTGGAGTTTACTCCAAGTATGGCAAAGAGAAGCAGAATTTTGCATGAGGTATAATCTACTTTTTAAAAATGTATTCCATTTTTATTCTGCCCTTCTTCCATTTTACATATTCTGCCATAGTAGAAATTTTAAGAAGAGCTCTAAAGGATGATTTAAATATTTTGATTCCCATATGGAAGCTGTCAAAAATGCTTCCTGGTTGCAGGGATTGTTTTCCTGAGGTGAAGCTCCACAAACAGGGGCCACCACTAAAAAGGTCTATTCTCATGTGGCCACCGCCACACCGTTCTTGGGTGAAGCACCTATACCACTGCGAAAGAATATGCCGCTGGTATATATGTTGTCAGTGTTCCATTGGACGCATTCTAATTCTAAAAAGTACAAAGACCTTGATGCAAGCATATGAACAGTGATGAGAAGTATGTCATTCTCAGCTAACTGCTTGTCTTTGGTTTAATTATTTTTCCACTTCCTAGAGAGCAGGGCAATTTTCTGATATTCATTTTCATAATAGTAATAACTTTTAATTTTAATTCTAGAACTTAGCCTTTTTACTCTAAGAGGATAACATGGCATTAGTAAAGGAGAGAAATAATCTCATTATGCTATTGTAAATCCTTTGCCATAATCTTCCTTTTGAACAATGTTCAAGGCTGCTTGAAATAAAATAAAATTACACTCTTTTTTATCTTGGGAAAGAGAGAAGAAAAAGGATTAAAAATAAAAGCAACACCAGGTTATCAAACTGGGTTGGAGAAGGAAATATTATTTAATGAGGAAGAGATTATTGTTTCATTATATTTTTCTCTTTGCACCCTGGGGAGAAGGCAACAAAAGTACCCTTCCTGTGTGGAAACTAGCCAGCTTCTCTAGTGGCAATAACTGGGCATATGTGGTTGTGCTCTGATTTTCTTGCTAGGTTGCCCCAAGGTTGGGGCTCCTGAGCTGAAAGTGACCTTCTCTAGTGGTAGAAATCACCAGCTCTATTATAACATGGCTTATGGGCAGGGATTATGGGAGTTCTCGTGCAACAACATATGGAGGGGCAGATTTCTCACCCACTTTAAAGTCTTTCTGCCGCAGGCATTTTGTGTCTTCCTTAGTTTCTTGACACATACAAGACTTCCGTCATTTCATCTTTCTATTACATGGTTGTTGAGGTTTCTTCTGACTTCTTTACCCAAGAAGCTGCCTTTTGTTTTCTAGGTGTCTTTGCCAGCTAAACAGTCAATTGGGAAAAGTTTCTCTCAGCCAACTTGACAAGCGACTAGATGGGACCTGCAGGTCAGCACCACATGCAGTGTGAAGGATAGCCTGGAATTGACACACTCCGGGGTTTTTATTGAGAGATCCCAGTGGATGCAAACTCAAGAGTTGATTCAATGCTGTTGTGAAATCTCCATACCTCACCTGGACTCTCATTTTCATGTTCCTAACCGTGGCAAGTTCTATTGCAATCATATGTTGATCAATGATGACCCCTCCTTTTTGACTTTGCTGGAGAAGCGTATTTGATTCGTAGATCATCCTTAGAGTCTTCAGTGTTTTTAACAATAAGATAAGAACGCCCTTCCCACATGTGTATATATATCCTTTCGTAGCTCACAGCCGTTTTTGTTTTCAATTACTCGTGCTGATATTCATCGCCTCCATTTTTTTGTAATTTAAATAATGTACAGCTCTGTATATTCTGTCTTTCAATGCAAACAGCGGGAAGAAATGCTGTACGCATGATCATGTGTTTGTAAGTGCATGTGTTGGAATAGGAAGTATACCAGTCTGTATTTAGAAGAGACAAACTCAGTACTAGTACTGACACTGAAATTATAGGCCTACACACACACACACACACACACACACACACACACCTAACTTTGTGGTTTATTTTGAAGGTTAGAAAAGACATAGCTCTGGTGATAATTATATTTTGTATATATTTTACAGGTTTCACAGGTCTAATCTAGTATTTGATATACAGAAACTGACAATAGGCTTTTTGTTTTTGTTTTTGTAAATGGATAGCAGTGATAAGGCATTTGCACAATATTTACCAGAGGCAGAATAGCTCATTGGATCGATTCCTCATTCATGGTTGATGCTCCTTTTTTCCTGCTTCACTTCTCTAAACATTGCAGTGCTAGGTCAAAATCAGCTGGGCCTATTTTTCTGAATTAAATGAACTGCTGCTCATAACTGCATTAGCCTACATACCTAAAAATGGTCAACTTTCATAAAGCGCTTACACCTGCCATTCGTTGTCGCATTGCTTGGAGACTAAATTCCAGTGCATTTTTATTTGCAGTGTTCAGTGTGTGTTGCACAGAGGGGAAAGGACAAGACGGACGGCTGCACAATGTCTTTGTGAAGAACTCACCCTTACAAGAAATTCAGGGCTTCTGCTAGAACTGGCCCCAAATCTTGAGATGCCCATTTCCCTGTCAGCTGCAGAACATGATAAGGAGCTGAGGTGGGAAAACACTAACTGTTACAGTGTCCAGACATGAAGTAAGATGCAGCCAAGCCATTTAGGCAATTGCTGTCAGGGTTTGCTGAACGTCGGGGCTTAAAGCTAAACTGGGTGGATTTTGTACAGCTCCTCCCCCTTCCCATTACATTGGTTCAGACTGCAGTCAGAGGTCTGGCAAGGCAAAGTTGGTTTGGAACAAAAGTAGAAGCTGTTGAAGTACAGTGGTCTACTTCTCTTCTGCTTTTCTTAATCTCCGACTGGGCTTCAGATGTCCAAGGCAATTGCACACATTCTGCTCCCTTGGGTGATACAAGCAGCTCTCTGCTGTGAGGTTTGCTTGCATTTTGGCATAAAGTACATGCTGAATCCAGATAACTTTTCTGGCTTGCCAGAATGTTTAGACTGATGGCATTAGAAATATCTATTTGTCATAACCCGTCTCTGTGTTTTGGGCTGTTAGTGTGCTGTGTACATGGCCTGGCTTATTTCCCTTCCCAGCAGTCTTAATGAAATATAGATCCTGCTGAGATGTCTTATTTTAAGAATCATAAAAATGCCTTCTTTTTATCCTCCTTAGAACTACATAGGAGGAGCAAACAGCAATCCACTCAGCTTACTTAGGAACAAAGAGGCAGTTCTGTTACATCAGCCTGGTTTCTTACATTTCCCTTCCCAACTCCAACTAAGTACAGGTAGCATGTTCACAGACATTTCAGGCAAGCTTTCAGCATCCACCAATAGCTCAGTTGGTTAGAGCATGGTCCTAACGCCAAGGTTGCAGGTTTGATCCTCGTACGGGTCAGCTGCACATTTTTGCATTGTAGGGGGTTGGACTAGATGATCCTCAGGGTACCTTCCGATTCGATGTTTCTATGATACCATTTTGCTTAATGGGCATTTTCTTAAGTTTGCAAAGAGAAGGACTAATGTTGTCTTGTAAGGTGACTGTAATACTCTTGGGGAAATTATTGTGCTAATCCAGATAGTGATTCTATTACCGTCATTGTGTCAGTAAAAGAACCAGAGAATAGACTAGTTTATATACCGCACTAAAGTTTGTTTTTTTAAAAAATCAAAATTCTGTGCTATGTAATTAATGCCAACAAAAGCGTTTTCTCCCTTCTCACAAAGAATTATATCTTTCTAATCTACATAACCAGATATTTGAATTCTATAAATAGGTAGGTAGGTGGTCAGTTGTTTGATTTTTGGATTTAAACACTCAGCCTGATAAAACAGAGCTCCCATTGCAAATAGTACCCAGTGGCTGCAAGGGAAGCTTCAGTGCAATGTGTTATCTAGTTACATCTCTTTTAAATGGATAATGGTGTGAAATGTGTTTAGCATTATATAAAGAAAGTTTGTGACTAAACTTTTTGTAGCGTGTGGGTTCTGGTGTGTTGTGCTCTCCTGCTGGAACTTCCAAGGAAACAAAACAGACTTATTAAGACTCTTTCTCCTGCCCCCCACCCCGGATTGAGAAACTGTACCAACACTGGTGATGGGTTTACCATATTGGCATAGCTTACTTCCTCCGGTCTCTTGTGTTGGTCTTCTGGCTTCCACTGCTCTCTGGACTAGGAATAGGAGCTGGTAGTGGTAGCAGAGAAGGATCAAAGGAAGAGCTAGGCAGGAGAGCAAGTGGTGCAGTCCAGAGATGTTTGCAGAGGGACTGACAAGTTGCAGCTGAGCTAAATCTTGCTGCTGCAGTTTCTGTAACCCTGTAGGTTTGTGTCAGTGGGAAACTAGCAAACATTAGGTACTAAATATCCATTTTCTGCTTGATCAGACCTTGCTGAGTGCTTCCCTAGCTCTAGAAAAAATTCTGAAGTATATTAAAGAACTGCAGTCATATGATCCCTTACTTGGAGTACGCTCTGGCAAGCAAAACAGGATTTACTTTCAAGTTACGATTGGTCCGACATGCTGAAATCCTGAGCATAGTTACTTGGGAATAAATCCTATTAATCACATTTGGACTGATTTGGGAGTAAACATGCCAGGGATTTGGCTGCACCTGACTCCCCCCCCCCCCCCCATAGACTTTCTAAACTATTATTTTTGTTTTAGACCATCATGATAGAATTCCTTTTCCATTCTGTGTCTTGGTAAAATCTCAATTCAGATATATGGTTTTTTATTCAGCTTCATAAACATATAATGAGGCATTCCTTTGCTGTCCTGCTTTTGAGGTGTGTCTTTGTATTTGGCATTGCCATTGAAATAAACCAAACGTGTGTTTTATGAACCTTGCATGAGAATGAAGTAAGACTGTCTAAACTGCAACAGAACCAGCTATCTTCTCGGGCACAGAGGACTCCGTCATCAAGTGGCTCACACTACCAACTATTAAAATGTTAGTATGGTGAGGCATGTGGGGAAACCCTGGAGTTTGAAAATAGGCTTGATGTAGGCACCCCACAATTTTAAAACTTAGTTTATTTAAAAAGTAGGCTTTTAGGGTGCCTGGGAGCAGAAATAGTGGTTGATAAAGGCGAACAGCCCAAAGTTCTCTCCAAATTTGGAGTCGCTCAGTGCATATTTATGTGCCAGGTGCTGCTTGTCTGTGCAACCAGCATCCAGTGCAAGATTTTGGAAAGCCCACAATATATATTCAATTGTCTTGTATGGCCAGAGGGGAACCCTCTGGAACCTGAGAACAGGTGTGATCCCCCTATGATTCCCCTTCCATCGTTAAAACACAAAAGGGGAATATTTTTGCCTAATTTTGCACTAGCCACATCTCTGTAATATGCAGCTCTTTGTGTGAAAACAAAAGCATACCTCACAGTGGTTTCCAAGATGAACAGGACTGGACAGCAACACGTGCTCCCGATGATGAGTACACCTCCTGGATGATAGCTCTCACAGTCAATTTCCCAATTCCAAAGTTGACTACAAGCTCCCAGTAGCACTTCAAGGTTGCCAGCCACCATATTGAAAATACAACCTGGGAATAGCATACCATGTGACTAGGGTTTATTTGGAGTGGTGGCCTAAGGAGATCGGCTGTCTCAAAGCTGCACAGTTCATCCTAATGTAAGCCATCCTATTAACATTTTGTATAAGAACACATTTAGTTTAAAAAGGCTGCTGTTGACTAATATGTCATAGAAAAAGACAGACTTTCTTTTGAGGAGTTGTCTGTGGGGTTATTAGCTACATAAATCCAGCACAAGGAACCTCAGCTGGTGGTAAGCATTACATTCTGGACACATTGTCTCTAATTCGCCTGAGTGCTAGGAACAGATGCTGCAAGTGAACACTGCCACCGTGTGGTCGTGTTTAAATATGTTCGGGGGGGGGTCACTGCTAATGAAATTATAGAGGCAAAATTTTCCATCTTCAAAGTACTAGGTTAAGGCCTGATTCAGAAATAAGATGTTACACTTGAACACAATGCACTATTTGCTTTTTAGTCATGCGGTACAATATGAAGGCACATTATATAGAACTATGCTGAACCTAAGCAGTCCTGAGCCTAGACCGTGTCTGGATTAGAGGTTGCTAGGAAAGTTTATATATTCTGTTTTCAGATGCATGGAAGACGGTGGGATATTACTGAGTTAATGACCGATAACATTTTGTTGGTGTAATGTGAACAATGGGTAAAACTGCACAGTTCTTGGGCTCATGTCTTGAGGTGCACATCCCCCATGCCTGGAAGTTCTGAGATAAGATGCCAGGTGCATTGGGTTACCATAGCAACACCAGTGAGGCCGAGTCATTCACCCTCCCAATGGTTCGAGATATATGCCTACATGTAGAGATGGGTATAATAGTCTTTAGGGTATGGATTTCATTATGTCTTGCCATGTCCTGTCCTGTTTGCTGTCGGGGTCTAACTTTGAATCTGAGAGAGTCAGGGGAAGAGGTGGTAGGTTTTAAGACAACAGCATTAGCTAGCATGGTGATAGTGGATCTCTCTGTACTTATTTATCTTTATTCCAAAGACCAAAAGAACTATAAATTGTAGATAGTAGTGTCTAGCTTTGTCTTGTGTCTGGGGACAACAAACACTTTGTTACTTTGAACTGTATGGGAGAGGAGTTTTTCCTTTAACCGGGGACTCTGGAATAAGCTATCTGCTGGAAAACGAAATCTCTGAAGACTCTGCTGGGGCTTCTCAAACTCTGCTGATACATCACACTGCTTGGGTATGGTGAACTACCAACTGACTTCCACAAGTCAACACTTTCCCCCCTTTTCTCAGCATCTTTGTTTTACAATATGATTTTTTTCTTAAAAACTACAATTTCAAATAGTTTTTTTTTTCTTTTATAGTGCATGCCTCAAATAATTGTAAGCTTTAATTGGGTGACTGTCAATCATTCCAAAGTTCATTTGTCATTATGCTAAGATTCACATTCTTTGTGACGTTATTTGGGCTGATCCCTGCCCAAAGCAACCAGAGTGGGGGAAAGATCTTTGCTTGGTGTCCGTGGTGTGGACCAGAGGAGGAGGAGGAGTTAGATTAGCTGGTTTGCACACACATTCCCCCCCACCCCCATGCAGGAACACACAAAGAAAATAGTGACACCACAGCCTTGTCTGTAGAAGTTAGTGACACAGATGTTTTACCTCAAAATGGAAGGGCAAAGAGGAAATACCCTTATCTCTAATACAAGGGAAAAGAATAAAATTTGAAATTTCAATCAGCCCCATTACTGAATACAGCTTTTTAATGAGATCTGTGATATAATCTCCCTCAAATCAATACCTATTCACCATTTTTAAAATATTGGGCCTCTGCCATAAAGGCTTAAGCTCTAAAGCCGAAAAGTCAATAGTGTTAATTTATATTTGATCTGGCCCTATGGGAATGGAAGGTTGTTTTTTTAAAAAAGGTCAGGCATTGTTAAGCATTTAGACATACCCAAAAAAAAGGAATTTTTTTTTAGTTTTAACTTCTAGGATTGGATTTAGAGTCAGTGACTTTGACATCTCCAAGTCTTCCATTCATACATGTAAACACGTGGTATTGACCTAAATGTAGAATAGTACAACTAGAAGAGACCTTAAAGATACCAGTCCTCTGCAATGACAGGATTTATTTGATTTAAACAGCCCCTCACAGATAATATGGCCAATTCCTCTTTTAAAACTGCCACAGTAAGTGCCATAAAGTTAGATGGCTGTTGCTGTCTCATGCAGACTGCGTTTCTATGCTATGCAAGAAAGGATACCTGACTATGACCTTTTTAAATGGAGCTTCAAAGAAAATCAATGGGCTGGATCCAGAAAATAACAAGCAGAAGAATAATCTGAAGGGGACTTTTACCCCCCCTTCCTTGCATTCCCCCCTGAAGCCATCTCCAGAGGGTTGGGAGCATCTCCTGAATGGCATGGAATGGGGGGGGGTTACAGGGGCAGGGGTGAGGAAACGAGCCAAAATGAGGATGAGACGCATTGTGCAAGTACAACACAACTATCAAAATACAGGACAGACACCACCAATTAATATAAGATTAGCAGCAAAAATTCTGTATACAAAATAGTGATGAGAAAAAGAGAAGTCTCTAATTGCAGATACTGGTACCTCATACTATGTGAATTTGCAACCTTAAGCAAAGTCACCTCCAACTTTTAGGTGAAAAGGGACAATGTTTTTTGGGATTTATAAGAAGCTGCATCTATGATTTTCTCAGATACTAAATAAAACCTTAAACTAAAAGCATACACAAATTTAGCAAGATAATTTAGGGGGGAAATCCCTACTAGTGCTAATTATAATGACAATTATAACTATATCAATACATGTCTATTTTTGTTCTACTGGTTTAATTGCTTTAAACAGTCCATTGTTTATTGTTTCCTCTGTTAATACTGTGTCATTATTGTTTTATGGTCCTTGACCTAGTGATTTGACTTTTTAAAAAACAATGCAACACTCTACATCTAGTAATCAGTTAGTTGCTTTCCAAACCAGCTTTGCTGGCAAGCAGCCATTGGCCTCTGTGACATGTCATAAATTTAGATACCGTAGATATGCTTAATATGCAATGGATAGGGTTTCAGTATTATTATTTTCTGCACCAAAATCACCGTACACAATGGATCCACACTGAGGAGGGGGGTGGGAAATGTACCCTGAATTAATTTTCGTTACTTCAGGAGGGTATATGAAAACTTACCAGATGGTTTGTGCCCAGGTATACCACATCTATAAATAAACTGAAAGTCGGTAGATCTTGGAAAGCGCAGGTTAAAATCTGTCACAAACACTGTTGCTAAGCAGGCAAGCTGCTACCCTCTCAACTAGCTGCTATTTCCGGCTGTCATGAAATATCCTGTGCATGGAGGCAATTTGATCTGGAGGTGGCGAAGATACATATCGCTGTGGTGAGATTAGCATCCCAGAGGAAAAGTCATAACTTCCTGCTCAGACAGAGATAACGTGAAATCTTCTCAGCTGCAAAATGAATCTGAGATTAGGAGAAGTCCATAAAGATAGGATACCCTTGATAAAAAGAATTTCCATCTGCCAACCCCTCAGACTATATTTCTTACTTTACTTCTAACCAGAGCTGCTGTGATGTGGCTACGTTTGATAAAGGAGGAAAGATATTGAACCTGCATAGGTGTTCCCAGGAACAGGGTAACATTCTGTTCTAGTATTAGACACACCAGCAGATAACTTGTGTATTGGGTCACATTCTTGACATTTCAGGAAACTGAAGGCTGCAGCAAGTTGCACAGGATAAACAATCCTGAAGTGAATGCTTTTTTACAGCCAGTTTTTTAGCACATTCATCTCTTAAGCTGTTGCTCTTTCCTGTCTGCAGTTTTGAGGATCCTTTGTAGCTGCTGAGACACTTGAAAACTTGGTGAGACTTCTATTTTGTTGTTATTGCCAAGTCCCACCTTTTAGAGGAGTTAGTATGTTATGCACCGTAAGCAAAAGAAGTGCAGTGGGCAGACATTGTGCTGCAATACATAAAATCAAATAACAACAGGACAACAGTGTCTTTTTAAAAATGTTCATTAATATACTGCAGCATATAAAATGTTATACTATGACCAAACATTTAACATGTGGACTAAAAAGCACAATAGCAGCAAGATATTCATATTCAACTACATTCATTTAAATAATTAAAATACTGAGCACAATATTAATGGGACAATAATTTGAAACAAATCAATCAGGAAGATTTCCCATGCAAGGCTGACTGTGGTCTTTCACATATCCCATTCATTTCCGTGGGGCTTGCGGAGAATAACTTCCTGATGAATTGTAATCTCATTAAGCGAGCAACCAGTAATGGAAAAATGATACCCTACCTCTTTTTACTTCTGTAGAGTGCTGAAAAATTGATGAGAATCGGTAAACAGTAACACTAAACACAACAATACTTCTTTTTAACTCTTACATAAAAAAAAAGTTCAGTGCTAGTTCCCATATCACTATTCTAGAGTCTCCCATGAAGAACTTCAGTCGAATTTTGCAGTGCAGGTTCAGCTTTTGAGCCATTTTACACATTTAATGCAATAACCTATTGCAGTTATTATTAAAGTTCTGTTTAACGTAATAGGTTTTTATTTACACTAAAGTTTCTTCTTCTTCCACAGACTCAGATTGTTGTGGAGGATAATTACATGCCGTGTGTTTGTAAAAAATACTGTTTAAAAAGCCAAAATAATGCATGTGGATAAAACTGTACAGCATTTGTTCTCTGCTCAAATACATCACACGAAAATAATGGATGAATTCTACATACTCTGGAGGACTCACTCCAGGATTCAAAAGTCCAAGCAGGCAATGAAAATAGTAAATACATGAGAACACAGGGCCAAACTGAAAGGCTTTGAACAACCTTTGTCACAGGAATTAGCCTGGCTGCCTTTCACCAAACACAGCTCTCTTCATGTAGGGCACAAAACTGCAAAAGAATAAAGATATGCATATAGGTATTTTTGGATTGGCTCATCCCAAAACAGTGTCAGATATGAGCTAATAAAACTAGAATGCTGAGATCTCTATTCTAAAAGCGTTACCAAATTCACAGGAAGCAATTGCTATGCATAATGAATATGGACCTCATTCCCCATCACACAAACAAAACAAATCCATAAAGGAACACACACTACCATCAACTAATTACTTACAGAAATGAGTTAAATAGAAGGTCATGTCTTAGGTGACACAGAATAATTCTTTTAAAAAGTAATTGTCCAGATATCTAGCAGATCTCTCAGATACTCCATGCAGCAAAAATGAAAGAACAACTCTGATGCAAAGTGTACTCTCTCCACTGACAGATTACAGCGGGAGTCAAGACATGTCCTTTACATATTCCTCATTCCTGCTTCAGAGCTAAAAGACACAAACCTCAGAGCAATCCAGCTTTCAAACCAATGCTAGCACAACACAAAAGCAAATGAAGAAGTAAGGTTTAAGGTTATCAAAAGAGGAAAAAGTACATATTTCTTTAGTATCATGAACATTTTGTGCTAATCTGAAAACAGTTTTTTATTAAGAAAATCTTTACCCTGCAGGTAATAAACTATAAAAGTAGTGTTAAAATCCCATTTTAATTCAAAAGGTTGGAAACAAAAACCCAAAGCTCAAAACCACACCAAATATATATATTTTTTCTTTAATAGCACACAAACGTTATCGTGTGTCAAGTTCTTTTCCAACCTTAAGTCAACCTAATGAGATTCTTGGTCGAATCTGCAACAGATACTCAACCAGGAAGGTGAACAATTTCTCCCTCTTGCAAATGTTCAACACATTTTACACAAAGCTTGACATGGAAGAGAGGTGTAACCCTTTCCCTTCCCAACCCTGTTGCATGCCAGAGCTTTAAGCAATTTTCTTTGCTGTTCCTCTGCTGCTGCTTTTTGCCATTGGTTTTCATTCCACTGCCTACTTATTTAGGTTCAGGAACCTTTACGCCAGCAAGGGGTTAAAAGTACTTTTTGTATTCCATTTGATTAGCCTTAAGCATTGCATCGGGTGAAAAGTTTCTCTCTTCAAAATTCTGCTTTATTGGCAGCACCAGACTGCATGGGCAATTGGTTTAAGAAGGTATAAAAAGTTTCATTTCAGATTCTTGCAACAGGAGTTACTACTAGATATGAGAACTGTTTTTATATAGGTCTTTAGGTTATATTTTGTGCTTACTAATGTGGGACATTGCTGGTTTGAAAGAAATATATTTGGTTAGGGTATTGTTTGGTTTGTTAGACATATTTGTACTGATATGTCACTCCAAGTAAAAAATCACAAGTAAAAGAAATATGATAATTGTTTCTAAAAGTGTATGAGGACATATTTTTTAACATTTTATATTTTTTATCCCCTATCCTATTTGTGCTATTTGCATATCTGCAGTGCCCAATGAATTTTCCAAAGCCTACAATAAAGTTCATTTCTAGCACTCACACCGTGAATTCCAACAGGCACAAATGCAAATCCTATACTCTTACTGCTACATCGAACTGACACAAAAGTATTTTGCAGCAGTATTGCACCAGGTATGTGAACAGCATTACATTGTTGTACTTGCTTTTTTTCGACAAGTCAAATGATAAAGACAAAATGGATTTTCTAAAAACCAGCTTAATGGATTGTTGTTTTTTATTCAGCTGCAAGTTACCACCCTAACCTTAGAAATCCTTTTCTAAAAAATCCTCATACTACGGAAAGATTTCTCTACAGTTGACTCACAACTTGCACGCATTTAACTTGTGTGATTGCCGCTTTATGCGCTTGGTGGCCAGCCCCACACACCATCACACAAATTAAACACACACAAGGTGGAGAGTTTAAAATACCACTTTGAAACACTGCACAGGTAGAACAGAACACTGCTTTTCTGTCAGCTTCTATAAGAATACCAGTTAAACAGTTAATGAGGAATATGTAACAATTCTCTAGAACCTTCTCAAACATTGCATAGGTCTCATTAAGACATGAGCAACATAGCTTTTAGTGCTGGCATATTTCACGAGAGCAGCTTTTCCATGTGGCAAGTTGTTTACAACCCCTATAAAATACTGGTGTGAGGAAGCGTTGCCCTTTGAACCACTTCCAAAGCACAGACAAATGACTTTTAAGTCTCTGCACCCAATGTTTAATCTCCACATCCCAGAGCTCTCCCCATCTATGTGTCTTCACCTACTCCATTCGTGAAGCCAGCAGAGTGTTTTGATTTATTTACTATTTCAAATTCACATCTCACACCCTTCCTCTCCAAAGGGACCCCAGGGCAGCTCACAATAATTATATTACATAAAACAAGTTTTAAAAACACTGTAACATACTGCAGACAGCAGTTAAAACTAGTAGTGAAATGGTTTTATAAAATTATTGGCCAAAAGCCTGAATGGATAAAAGCCTTGAAATGTAGAAATATTTCATACTCTACAAATTAACATTTTTTTAAAAAAGATGCAAGACTAGCTCACCCTTCAAAATGTAGTCTGTTAATAAGCTTGGCACTTTCTCACTGTCTTCTTTCATGGCATGAAGAACTGTAAAATGTGGAGAAGATGATCAGTGGAAGAAGCACCAACTTAGTCAATATAAACATGGCATTCAGAGCAGTGCTTTCCAAACCCTTTTCACACAAACTACTGGAAAATTGCCGAGGGTCTTGGTGGACCATTTAATGATTTTTCTGCCTGTTGTAGCAATTGCAATGCACTGTGCTAGATAAGGTGTGATTTTAACTGTATTTTTACAGGCACGTAGTCTCCTACCTAAAAGAAGTGCACTGACAACTGTTTAGAAACCCCTCATTAGAGCAACTGTATTGAAGGTTATTGTGCACATTATTTCACCCCCTCCCCCCACTTTCATCCAAGTCAACCATGGATAAGAACATTAAACAACCATAGTTTTAATCAAGTGTATGTCTCCTCAACAAAGTGGACTGTTCTATTAATCTCTAATAATAGGGTTCATTTTCCATGATCGCACTACTTGCCTGGGGACCCCACAAATGTCCCCCAAGTTCTCAGGGTACAAGGGCAGGGGTGCCCAGCTGCAGTATTGGAAGCTGGAGTCTTTAGCGTTGCGCTCCATAGTCATCAAGTGGTAGATAGCTCACTTCCTGGCTGCCTTGTCCTCAATGCACCAAAATAATTATTTCTCAAGTGCATTCAAAACAACCCCTGCCCACAATAGGTCTAGAAACCAACAGATGCTGGTAATTTGGTAAACTGGCCACTTGTACTAACCTGCCAAGCGGCAAGGATAATTTTACTATTTCCCTTTCAGATCAATATATGTGAATCAATGTTCAATGCCGTATCTGGATTTTCTGCTGGAGAGGAAGAGATGAGAATCTACCCTAGAAGAAAAGCTATCTAAATGGAACTTTAGGGACATGGGACATGTTTTCTCCTTACTGAAATATAAAATTCAATGTGTTGAGATCAAACACAACCTTTTGTCAGTTTCTAGAAGCCTCACTTGAAAAACAAACAAACAGATTAATATCTGTAATTAATCCTTTAGTGCCTTCATAAAAGAATGAGAAGGATTTCTATGCGGTGCCAAAAAGATGGTTCCTAAGATCCTTCTACAAAAGTAGCCATTATCCACTTTGGTTGCTCGAACCACCACTTTCTTTTTAAGAAAGAACTCTTGGAATGTAAAAGACATTCATGCCTACAGGGTTTTAATTCATGCCTAAGGAACACTGAACCCACTGCAAATCCAGTAAGAACTTGGGTAGGCAAGTGCCTCCAATTTCCAAGAAAGCAAGCTGCAATTGGGAAGCTGCTCGAAGAGTCGGAAGCATGCAAAAATGTGTTTAAGAATTTGGAAGATTTAAAAAAAAACTTGGTTAAGACATAAGCCTTTGAAAGTATTTTTGAATGAATTCAAAAACTTTAAACATAATATAGCATTCTGAATCTAAGCACAGTTACTCTGTTAAATCATTCGATACAATCTATTCAGACTGTCCAGTAATGGCAAAAAGCCTGCTGTTTACAGTATCTGGACTATTTACAAATAGGGACACCAATTCTTTGATAATGCAAATTGCAGCTAATGAATTTCCAAAAAGGTGGCTTTCTTAAATTCTATACAAAAATGTACAGGGAACAAAAATTTCTCTTGTGGGAAGTTTACAACTCAAGTGTTGGCATCAGCCAGCCTCTCTGATTTCTTTTTTTAAAACAATCATTTTATAATTAAAAGCTCTCTAGACAGAGAAGTTAAATAATGGGCAACTTTTATGAAGAACACATCCCAACCTCCTTAATATTTAAGAGTAAATATGTAGAATTATACTGGATTGTAGCACATTTACTGTTTCGTTCTGAAATATTTGTATATCAATAGCTAAGAGTCTAGTGCTCTAAATAAATGTTTTGAGGCCTGCCACACAGTGTTAGCAAGGAGAGTCTGGAAGTCTGTTACTGAGTCAAGAATCAAGTTGCAGCTAGTCAGTGGAAAACAATACCGTTAACTCTTTAGACAGTGCCTCCTCTGAACTGTATGAATGGAGAAAAGGATAGTTCTTCATTACTATGGCTGTGACCCTTGCCAAGTACTTAATACAGAAAAACAATCTGGAGAATAAATGTTTCAGGAGAATCGGACAACTATTTGCTTGGAAGTTACTGCTACCTTGGGATGCAGACAGCGAACCTGAAGAAATTTGGCTTAAACATATTATGTACCTGAACTTCCTGGCTGATTAAAGCTAAACAGTAGAAGTTAGTTCTACCAGTTTCAGAATATTAATGCCTATCTGAGCTCGGGAATAACACTGATTTGACCAAAAGATGCAGGAAGGATACAACCTTTTAAATAAGTCTTCATTTGATCTCTGTGCCATGGGGCAGTTAATAGCCTCTCTGGGTAACATGAACAAGCATATGGCTGCTGATCAACTCCAAGCATTTTTTAGTTATTTCAGAGTCTAGAACATAAAATGCTTGCTTTTCTAATGCAATTTTCCTCCAATGATACACTGGGAGATGTGCAACCCCACTGACTCTTCCGGACACCAGAGAAAATAATGTAGAATTTGACTTTTCAAAGTAGTCACTGTTATATACTTACTTTTTGTTAATGTTTGGAGATCTTCAACTGATGGAGGTCCACTTTTCTTCTCATAAGGAATAACTGTTGTCAGGTACTGCCAAATGAATGCAATGATTACTAAATAGCATCAGTGATTCTGGGCACAACTTCCAGTTTACAGTCATACGATAAATATATCTCATTATGTACAAACCAGATTTGCTAAATTCTATCTAAACACAATGAAGCCAATTCAAATATATTCTAGAAAGCAACAAAATGATGTGTGTCAATACAGTGTGTCAAAATTGATCTTAGATTCCTGAATACTGTTTACAAGGTAGCATCCAAGGGTGTCCATTCCCTCACTAATGGAAAGAATCTGTTTGCAGAATGAGGACAGAAACCATTTCTGGTGATTCCGCAAAGCAGATTTGATGCAGACAAAATGCTGAAAATTGTTGTGCTCTCTCATTCTTCTGACGGATTCCTTATGCCAATGGACACTGTTGGATATGACACATTGTAGTTAGCCAAACTCTTCCTTTTAGAGATTTTCTGCACTGTAAGGAAGTTATAATGGGATAGTACACACATTTTATTTTTGCATTTGATAACCTGGATAACCAAATGTACACCCACAGATCTTTTAAATGCCAATAATAAAGAATAATTACTATATTTGTTCAGGAATTGTCTGCTCGATCTTTTCATCATGGATATACTATATGTAACTCTCTCTCTCTCTCTCTCTCTCTCTCTCTCTCTGTGTGTGTGTGTGTGTGTGTTGGGAGGTGCCTCCATGGAATGACTTGCTGCATGAATTGTGAAAAGAGTTAGTGTAACCAACTGACCAGCATCCAGACCAAGGAACACACCCAAATATATTTGGATGAGTGAAATCGCATTCTGGCAGGCCCAGCTCCCACAGCTGCTTCCAGGAAAGGTTGTGTGCTAGCTTCCCCTATGCACTTGCATGCAGGCTTACTCAGTGGCAGTGGCAACAGGTCCAGGGAGCTGAGCTGCCCAACTGTACTGAACAGCCCTTATTTGCTTTCACTTTGTGGACATAGCCCATTTTGCTTGGACAGGCATCTCTGAAGCTAGGTATTCTTTTCCACTGCAGCTGCTTTGTGCTGCTGAAGAAGCAAGGTGCTTTCAATCAGCATTCTGTCTCTAGTTCTTCAGCATTTTTCCTTTGGTGGCATGTTTTATTATTGCCACACAGAGGTGTGCAGTAGTAATAATAGTAATGGAAAATAGTAGCAGTAGTAGTAATGTTTTATGGCAGACACCCACCCACTACTCAAGTCTTTCCAATTATGTATTTCAACACAGTTGTTCCCAATACATGGGCTTACATTATCCACATCTGAATTTAGTTCAAATTGGTTTGAATAAATATACAGATTTCAGAAAACTGAACATGTTTCTTTTGAAGCTTTTACTGGCAATATTTTTTTGCTCCATAATTTCAAATTTGGCATTCATTGGGGGTTTTTTTGTAGACTCTCAAACCCAAAACTGAACTCTTGGGGATTTCAGAAATAAAGAAGCCCTCCTTGCCAATAGGTCACAAGGCAATATGCAGAGCTGTACCCATGCAAATAACATCTTAAAACTCTTTCAACCATTGAAACCAATTGACTTGTTAACCTATGGCAACATACACAGAGTATCCCCCCCATGGTAAGAATATAATAAATAGCATAACCCTATACAAGTTTATTCATGGAATCACAGCACGAGGGTTATCTAGCCCAACCCCCTGCAATGCAGGACTTTTTTGCCCAATGTGGGGCTCAAACCCATAACTCTGAGATTAAGAGTCTCATGCTCTACTGACTGAGCTATATGAAAGTCCTGCTATGTTCAACCACTTATTCCCCTGTAAGTATGTTCAGGACTGCAGCCTGAATGACTGAGAAGCTGCTGCCTGAAGCAGAATACCTTAGAATGAAAAGAAGCATTATGCATTTTAAAATTCCAGAAAAAGAAATATGCATGTTAGCATCTCTGTACTGTATTTGAGATAGAGAGCTATCAAACTAGTAAAATACTTATTTTGCAAACTACAGAGGTGGTGTCAAATTAATGTACATAGTACACATACCTTACGATGAGCTTCTAAAACAATGTTGAAGGTTCTGACAGCAAACAATATTGGAGACCCCAAACCGTGCTCAGCAAATGTCACACAGCCCCTCCTTTCAAAACTCTGCCCACACCAAAAGTTGATACAAACTTTGCTCCAGTTCAGAGACTGATAAGTAGTACATGGGCTTTTGCAGCCACAGAGTTCTCTGCCAATAAGTTGGGCATTTATTTCAACAGAAGGGCTTAATTTGCAAGCACCAAGTTGAACAGTGATCTAGGCATCTGCAGGAGCTCAGTGTGCAAACGGATTGTATTCGTCTAGTATAAGGACTACCATGGAAGCACTGGCAGGGACTGCTTGGAATGGGCTCCACTGGGGACACTGACAACATACACAGCAGTCCAAAAGACCCCAGCTCATTCATTTTAGCTCCATGGCCTTCTTCTGGACTTAGATTGCAAATCGCTCTAACCAACTGAGCTATCCAGGCTGACCCAATAGAATTATAGTTGGAAGGGACTATGAGGGCCATCCAGCTCAGTTGATTAAAGTGTGGTGGATGCCAAGGTTGAGGGTTCGATCCCCATAAGGGACAGCTGTGTGCTCAGACATTGCAGGGGTTGGACTAGATGATCCTCAGGTTCCCTTCCAACTTTATGATTCTATGCAGCTGTCCCATACAGGGATTGAACCTTCAACCTTGTTTTTATCACTGCTCTTCTACCTTCCATATTCTTTAGGGACCCAGGATTTAAAGAGTTCTAATGTTCCCAGCCTCTCTTCAGGACTCTCCAAGATGAGGGCTGGTCAAAATTAGATTTTACCCTCTCCAAATCCTATTGTCACTACTCACTCCAATGTTTATGCTAAGTGGTGCTAACTGCAAAGAGAAGCTGTCCAATGATTTTAATACTGTTAAAAAGATAACCACAGACTATGAAATGCGTACATAGAAAGCTACCTTGTCTTATACCATCTGTCTCAGAATTGTTTTTGTTACCTTTATTTAAAGCCTGTACAAATATAGAAGTACATGTTCTATCTGAGTTTTTTAAAATGAGAGTGTGTTTAGTAAAAAAAATTGTGTGTCTTGTCTTTTAAACAATTTGATCCTCGTGGAAATATGAGCACAGCACTAGCTGTGGGTCTGATCTAAAACAAATATGCCTGGTCATAAAAGCCAGCCAAAATCACATACACACCTAGTACTTACAGGTCATTTGTGTCAATACTATATAGTGGCAGTTTTTGATCACTACTCTATATACACACTTCTTCAATAGAACCACATAATTGTAGAGTTAGAAGGTACCCCTAGGGTCATCTAGTCCACCCTGATTATTGTAAAGTTGTTTAGACATACCTTTTCAATACTATAATACAGTCTAGCAATCTGACATTGGGATATAAAGCATAATAATAATAAATTGTTTGGAGAAAAAAAGTATTTATGGCATTTAATATCCCTTTGGGTTGTGGATTACATATATATTTGCTTAAAATGAAATAAAAAATTGTCCAAGGAAACACGCGATGTTTTAGAATCCATAATAAAGAGGCTTTAAACCTATTGGAAGTTGCTAGTCTTATTTACTATATACTATTTCCATGCATTTCTTTCTTCTTGTGCTGAAGTATTTAAGCTGACATGACCTTCTACTGCTGATTTCTTATGCATGCAGTTCATTCCAAGTATGTATTATGCTGATGCCTATATTTTATTTTCAGAGGTTAAATGAACCCTAGAGGGAAATTGTTCATTTGCTGCAATTTTTCTGTGCATATCAAGGCTTGTCTGCTCTTTAACTACCGAGGAAAGAAAACCTTTGCAAACAAATCATAGCCTTGAAGGCAGAGAAGACGCGAGTAAGCATGCTAATATCCCCTCCCCCCCTCCGGTGATCACTTGTAGTCTGAAAATGCTACCGCTGCCAGCTTTTTAAGGCCTTGATTTATATAAAGACAGAAAGGATAGCACAAGGGAAAAAACAAAGCGTCAGAGGATAGCCCAGCACCTGTTTTTCTCCACCCGAGTTTCCAAACGTTTGACGGAAGCCATTCTGAATAACATTTGAGATCCCTTCCATGCTGAACCGCTATAGGGAGCAAGAACATGGCAGGAGGGAAAAGGGAAGGGAGAACAGAAAAATTTAAAAGCTATTAGTTAGGATTTACTAAAGATGCAAGCAAGGTAAATGACAGAGACAAGCTGTTAGGAATGAATAAATGCAACTGCAGTTTAAGCGGAGAAAAACTTACTTTTTCAATATTTAGTTCTTTAGCAAAAAACTATAGAATTTAGAAATAGGACCATTAGTACAATTTTATAAACACAGACCTGATACCAAAGTGTTTTCTACATGAATTATGTGAGATGCTAAATGTCATAAAACAGACTTATTTGCAAGCCACAGCCTAAAGCTTCAGACACCTGATGTTTGCCCACCTGTCAAACTAACCTATGGAGGGTTCACTACTTCTGGATCTGGCCCTCTGGCTGGATCCAGTTCCTCACCCTTGCTATAGTAGCTAGTCTTTTACTTTATTCACACCAACCATTAAATTAATATGCAGCATGTAGAATAAAGAAGAACACTTAAAACCTAAATAAAAAAACGTATACTTAGTTGTCCCAATAGGCATGTCATGCGTAAAAACAAGTCCCTGACTGGATCCCTTGCATTTAAAAGGGTGCTGTGTGTATAGCACATGTGAATGTACATGGGGAGATTGGTACTGGGTAAGGTCTGCATGTATGTATAGAAGTGAGAGCTGAACAATAAAGCAGGCTGATCGCCGAAGAATTGATGCTTTTGAATTATGGTGCTGGAGGAGACTCTTGAGATTCCCATGGACTGCAAGAAGATCAAACCTATCCATTCTGAAGGAAATCAGCCCTGAGTGCTCACTGGAAGGACAGATCGTGAAGCTGAGGCTCCAATACTTTGGCCACCTCATGAGAAGAGAAGACTCCCTGGAAAAGACCCTTAATGTTGGGAAAGGTTGAGGGCACAAGAAGAAGGGGACGACAGAGAACGGGATGATTGGACAGTGTTCTCAAAGCCACCAGCATGAGTTTGACCAAACTGTGGGAGGCAGTGGAAGACAGGAATGCCTGGCGTGCTCTGGTCCATGGGGTCATGAAGAGTCAGACACGACTAAATGACTAAACAACAACAAAGGTCTGCATGTGTATCCCATAACATGGTTTGATGCCAGTGGCAGTCACGTGTTTGTATTCTACCTTTCTCTGTTCTGACCTCCCCACTGACACAAAAAGGTAATTAATGATTGCAACGTGAATAAAACCAACCATCTGCCTTGACTGCTTTGAATGCAAGACGTTTTCTCATGCAGGCCAAAAATGTGCAGGTGCACAGGGACCATTGATTTTGATTAACACATCAGCTTAGTTTCTATTTTACGACCCGCAGGTGGGGAATCTCAGGCTTGGCGGCCAAATGCAGCCCTCCAGGTCTCTCTCTTTGGCACCTGGCACTTTCCCTAGGCCACACCACTCACTGGCCCTGCTTTGCACCCCATGTGTTTCTTGCCTGGCTGAAATGTGCACTTGAGCACTGATAATACCTCCTGCTTGTCCTAATGGAGGATAGAGAGGGGTATGCAAATGTGATTAAAAACTAGCTTACTATACAAATATAACATTTATATTAATAGTTTCACCTCCAGCTCCACCTTCTAATGGAATGTGGCCCTCAGGCTGAAAAAGTCCCCGCCCCCGTTCCAAACCCAATTGTTTTGTATACCAGATGTTCTCCATCTCATACAGCATTTTTAGTTCCAGCATCTTTTGCAGAGACTGCAGCTGGAAATCCTTCCAATGCAAAAAGCACCCCTCTCGAAACTACTCTTGCCTCGGCTGAGGAGGGGAGCAGAAAGAGGAGTTGCATACCAGAAAGAGGAGTTGCATACCAACAGACCTTTTTCCTACAAAGAGCAGCATAAAGAGGTTGCAAAAGGGAGGGTAGCATTTAGGGGCAGCTCCCGGCTGTCCTCCTGCATCTCCTCAAGCCCCTCTCACAGATAAGCAGGCCACAAGGCCCTGTGCAATGCCAGAACCTCTCTCATCCTTTGTACCACTTGCGATTAGGGCCACTTTTTGAACTTAGATACCGTACTCAAGTAAAAAGACATGCAGATTGCATCACATGTAAATGGTACACATGATACATGTGAACAAAGGTAGCGAAAAAGACTGTGCCTCGGACGCATCTCTAGGGTTCAACTAGAAACTCCTTGGTGCTCTAGCACATGATGTTTGAGCATCTGTATACTTCTCTCTGGAGCAGATTGACCTTTAAAATGACAGTCACTTATGGTACATGTTCCTATTCCTCCTAAAATTAACAAAGCTTATGACTAAACAATCTCCTGGCCAATGCAGAGTCTATTAATGCTGTTATTTATGCATTTACTATTAAAAGCGCTCTGTCCTTTTTATGGCAATATTATTTATACATGAAGACCTTCATAAATATCTTTCATTAAGCACCTACTCCCTAGCTATTTTTTTTATTTTTAATGAAGGTATAATGCCTTGAGGCAAAGCTTACTTGACACTATAGCACAATCCTACTAAGCACAGATCTTACTAAAATCTGTGGCAGGATCTTTCTGGTCCCCCAAAGTCCCTGACATTAAGAGGATGCGCTGTATGTGTTAAGTACTCCCGCATCTCTAAGTCGTAGTCTACCTGGAAAAGGGTTTTGAGGGGCCTCTACATGCTAATGACAACACTGGCAAAATAATGTGTGATCCCTGAGCAACTGGAGGAGGCAGAGGCTTGAGCAGGACATAGAAGACATACAGAATTGAGAAAAAAGAAGGCTAATGAAAGGAGATGGGGTATGTGGAAAACTTTATATGGCAAAGGGTATGTATGCTGTTGCAATGACAGTTACTGAAATCTGTCCAACAGTTCTGCATCCTTGTGCACAACTTAACTTCTATTCCATTTCTGTAATCACTCTAATGAAAAATTACTACCAAGACCTCTGTACTTCGGATTTCTAGATTTTAGACTGATAGGTTTCCATCATTTTCTGAATTCCCAGGGCAGTATCATTCCTCTTTACTCCTTACAAGTTGCTCAAGCAGGTAAAACAGAGCATGTACAGTATGCATTCCCTTGAACATAGTAAGTGCAGTGTTTATCCATAAGGAGTACAACTTCTAAGTATTTGACTGAATTGTTGTACTATTGCAAGGATTAGCACTATGTTGAATAGAGCCCACTGTAAATGTATAACTGTTACAGTTTGATGAAGTCATAGTTGCTAATCAGAAGCTATGAGATTCCCCAATAATGGCAACCAGAAAGACAGGAGCTGTATATACTTTAAGAAGTAAGACGTAGATAGAAAGTGATCAACTAGAGTTAAAATTCTAATTTGGTTTATATCTACAGACACAAAGGACAACGTTCTTACTGTTCCAGGCATATGACTCCTCTCTTGCTTGCCATTCTGAGGACTGCCATTTTTCAGTTTCTTTTTCTTCTTTGCCATTTCCTTCTGTTCTCTTTGTTTGTTTTGTACTTCAATAAGGACAGAGATGAAGCTGTTCTTTACTTCCTTCTCAAATTCCAGCTCATCTCGTAGTGCCAACTGCTGTACTAGCTCCTCAGAGTAGTCCTTGATGGCGGTCTCAATCTCTTCTAACAGATCATTTAATTCTGTCACAGATAGATTTTTCACACCTGTTTTCCAAAGAGAACAAAAAAAATGTTGCGTATAATAATGCATATCAAAAGCAGCATAGATCCAATACTTTGCTCCCAACAAATGCACCCAAAGAGCAACAGCTGCCAAATCTATGAACTTATGATGAAACACTCTTCCGCAACTGCAACTCACTTCACATGTGATGGTGCATATCAGGGGTGGACAAGCAATCACCTTCCAAGTGTTGTTGGACTACTTGCATCATCCCTGACTGTTGACCAGAAGAATTAAAATGTTAGTTTCAAGAGGTGTCACCAGTTTTAAGGACAACGTGTACATCTGTCCTACTCAACAGCTGCTTATAGGAGGAGAAAGCCTATCAGGATGGGGCAGAAAAATGTTTAGTTATCCTGAATAACTAAAATTCCTCAAGACTGTATTTCTACAGAGAATTACAGACATGCGCATCACCAAATACAGTCTGCTTCCACTTCCACTTGGCCTTATCTGTAGACAACATAACAGCGAAACTACCAAGAGAAAGATAGGCAAACATAATAAATTGAAACATGGTAAATCAGGTGTTCATCATTCTATACTGGAAAATACTTTTTTTGGGGGGGGGGAGAATATCACTTTTGGGTATATGAGGCAAACTTCTGTATGTTACACAAACTGGGATTTGCTTTAAAAAGTTTCCTTATAATATTTATTATATCCAGATGGAGATCAGTGCCATACAGGCATTAGCCTTTACAGACAAAACCCTGTTATGTGAAGATGGCATTGCAGTACACTGGAGCATAAAGGTCTTCAGAAGAATCCCAGCTCATTGCAAACTATTCCATAATCAGGCAAGCTCCAAAAAAAGCAAAAAGACTCCTGACAAAATGCAGGAAAGTGTTCTGGAAAATGTTTTATTTTGACAGATCAGAAACATATGACTTACTGTTCTGACCTCTTCAGACAAATCATGCAATCAAGGCATCTAATGAAAATCATGCCTAACTGTGTGTATAGAAGCGAAATGCTCTTTCAAACATTGAACAGTTTGTAAGAAGAGGAAATCAAATGCAAAATACAGCAGAAGGATTCCTTACGTTCTTCATAATTGTGGTTTGTACTAGATCTCTTAAGCGTTTGAATTTCCTGGGACAGTAAGGACAGGCGGTCTGACTGGGTTGGTGTTTCTTCATCATCTGGATCTGGAGATTCCTGCATCATTTCTTCTATTTCTTCAATCACCTTTCAAAGTAAACACACAAACACAGAGTTATAGAAAATCAAAGACACAACATTCAGGGCTGATTTTCAAAACTTAACGATAACTTTCTAAGCATTTTCCTTCAATATAAAATATTGTCATATGAGGCAAATCTTCTCCTGATATTTCATTTGTGTCTTTTTATGAGAAGGAAGCATACCTGTAAATCCAAACAAAATTACAATATGATAGCAAAGGCTGGACTTTGGGTTACATTCCTGCATTCCTATAGTTTGTCTCCAAGTGTGTTTAGTATTTCTTCCATTAGAGAGATAAGAAGCTTATCAGGTTCTGTTATCAAAGCTGCATGGGTGCTTTCCGTTCTTTACCTGCTCAGCTGTGAAGAGTGGTTCTTCATTGATGCAGGAAACTATAATAGAATGCATGTCTAGTTGCTCTCTCAACTCTTCATCATCTGATAAGTCAAGGTTCATGTTGTCATTAACCTATATAACAAAAAGAAGAGTAAGAAAATCATTATTAAAAGCATCAAGACATTATGTGCCAAATCCCAACTATTGTTTTGGGATCCTAAATCCTTCCAAGAAATACGTGATCACTTTAAACCAAAGGCAATCCTAAACCCACTGACCTCAGAGCCCCACAACTCCATGGAACTTACTTTTCAGTAAACATGCATAGGATTGCACTGCAAAGCAGTGGAAACAAAACAACATGGTTCAGTATTTTAATACGTTCTAAGTCGCTTAATTTTTTTCCGAAAAAGCGATGAACAAATATAAACAAACAGCCACTAACTTAAATAGAACTTACATAACATTGCATAAAAGTTTGCACACAACTGCAAGAGTGAAATAAATGTTAAATATTATTACTTTATTACCCACTGTTCATCCGCAGTCACAAAAAATAGGGTGGGTGCTGAAAATATACAACTCAAGTGTCAAAAGGCCAAGGCAAAGAGGTAAATACGTCGACTCTCATTTCTAATCATAGAAATTTGGCAGATATATTTTTTAAGAGGCAGCCTCAGGATGGAAACAGGATATTGAGAATTTATGTCAAAAGTTCCTTTATTTGACAAATGATGCAACAACATTGTGGTTATGTGCCACAGCATCAAGCATTCAAGAGAAAGCTGTTCAGAAAGTATTGTAGGCGTGTACTTACTCCCTTTTCAGAAAGATTCAGTGTTGGCAAATGCAGTGCTCTGGTGTGTGAAGACTTCCAATCAACTGGCATTACATTACCATAATTATCTGTCAGAGCATTCCAAATCCTGAGGGGGGAAAATAAATTATATTTTAGCCTTCAAGCTATACAGCAACTACTATATTAAATCTGACAAATATACTGAGCAACACCGTGGTTTTAAAAATGCATTAACCAGGTGAATCCCACAGTGGTTCCAAAATCAAACATTTTGGAACTACATACATAACAATAAAAATGAATCTCTCAGCTAAGATGGAATGGCCCTAACCCATCCTTACTTGTGTGCAATAAGCTGTGGCCCAGATGGTAATACTCATTCCTACCCCCCACCCTTAGGTAAATAAAAAGCTATATCCAGCCAGTTCAATGGGACCCAGATGGATTTCATGATGCACATTTATAATGCCTATGTGTCCATGGAAGTATACTTGCTTCTGCATGTGGATTTCCCTTGCTGGGTAATAACATACAGTGTTCCCTTTTAAGGTTATTCCCTTTTAAGGTGATAACATACAGTGAGGGGGGGAAATTATTTGATCCCCTGCTAAATTTGCCCATTTGCCCCCTGACGAAGAAATGGCCAGTCCATAATTTTAATGATAGGTTCATTGTAGCTGTGAGAGACAGAATAACAACAGGAAAACCCCCAGAAACCCAGAAGACAAAAGTCAGAGATTGATGTGTATTATAATGAGTGAAATAAGTATTTGATCCCTTTGCAAAAGATGAATTAGTACTTGGTGGCAATTAGTACCCTTTTGGCAATTACAGAGGGCAGATGTTTCTTGTAGGTGGCCACCAGGTTTGCACACATCTCAGGAGGTATTTTGTCCCACTGCTTTTTGCAAATCCTCTCCAAGTCCCGTCCATCGTCCCTTTGATGCGGTGAAGGTGTCCTGTCCCCTTAACACCCCCAAAGCATAATATGTCCCCCTCCGTGTTTGACGGTGGGGAAGGTGTTCTTGGGGTCGTAGGCAGCATTCCTTCTCCTCAACACAGTGAGTTGAGTTGATGCCAAAGAGCTCGATTTTGGTCTCATCTGACCACAACACTTTCACCCAGTTCTCCTCTGGATCATTCAGATGTGCATTGGCAAACTGCAGACGGTCCTGTAAATGTGCTGTCTTGAGCAAGGGGACCTTGCAGGCTCTGCAAGATCTCAGTGCTTCACGGCGTAGTGTGTTACCAACTGTTTTCATGGTGACTATGGTCCTAGGTGTTCTCTTCTCGGTCACGAAGAGTCAGACACGACTAAACGGCTAAACAACAACAACATGGTCCTAGGTGCCCTGAGATCATTGACAAGTTCCCCCTGTGTAGTTCTGGGCTGCTTCATCACCGTTCTCATGATCATTGCAACTCCACGAGATGAGATCTTGCATGAAGCCCCAGACCAAGGGAGGTTGATAGTTATTTTGTGTTTCTTTAATTTGCGAATTATTGCACCAACTGTTGTCACCTTCTCACCATGCTGCTTGGCAATAGTCTTATAGCCCAGTCCAGCCTTGTGCAGATCTACGATCTTGTCCCTGACATCCTTGGACAGCTCTTTGGTCTTGGTCATGGTGGCTACTTTGGAATCTGCTAGATTGCTTCTGTCTACAGGTGTCTTTTGTACAGGTACTGTAACGAGCTGTGATTACAGGTAAGACCTCTCCCTTACAGCAGGTGCTTCTAATCTCAGCTCGTTGCATACAGTGAAGATACCAGGTAGCCTGACATCTGGCTGGTTGACAGGGGATCAAATACTTATTTCACTCATTATAATGCACATCAATCTCTGACTTTTGTCTTCTGGGTTTCTGGGGGGTTTGCTGTTGTTCTTCTGTCTCTCACAGCTACAATAAACCTACCATTAAAATTATGGACTGGTCATTTCTTCGTCAGAGGGCAAACGGGCAAATTTAGCAGGAGATCAAATACTTTTCCCCCTCAATGTAGATACGTCAATAACAGCAGCAATTAGTTTTGCATGCGCAGAGGCAAGAATCTAACAATTGTCTTGCTCGGTTAGACTGTACTCTTGTCTGTAACAGTGGTCAAATCATCTTTCTCTGGGAAGCTCACCAGCAAGTCAGCAACACAAATAGCTGACATGTTTTTTGTCTCCAGTAACTGGACTGTGTTATCTGAGTTCACAAGAGCTCTGAATAATTATTCCTCAAAGACTTACTACTTTTGGGGCAACCCAGAGAATATGTGTTTATAAACAGAGAATCTAATGAGAGAGGATTAACTGTATTGGAGAACAAATCAGAGCAGATGACAAACTGCTAAAAAGCAAACAACATAAAAAGACAAAGTTAAAGTTCCACAGACTTTAAAGAGAAACCACTAGTGAGCAAGAGGTTTTAAGAACACTGACAAGCTGGTTCTCAAATATTATGGTTTAGAAGCAACAAATCATGTCTGTGTATGGAAGCTTCCCCTGCCTGAGGCTGCAATCTTTTGACCAGGAATAAGCCCCACTGAATGCAGCGAGTAAACATGCAGAGCCAACACGTCTTCTGGGACTGGACGGGTTTGTAAAGGGCCTCTCCTTAAATAAATCAAAGGGCAGTTTTCTGCGCACAGATAGTTCTCCTTCCACCAGACAGAGAAGTCCCCGCTGTAAACTGGAACCCGGTTCTGGGGGACTAGAAAAAAGCTTGCCTGCGTGGCCGAGTCCTGACGTACTAAAGAAGCTTCATAGAATGGCAGAGTTGGAAGGGGTCCCCACGGGTCATCTAGTCCAACCCTTGGCACGCGCAAGCTGGCACGATACCTACAGGAAACCGCTCTGAGCTTCCGAGCAACCCCCCCTCACGAGCAAAAGGCCGAGCTCGCCGAACGTTGCCCAACCAACCCTAGTGTTGCATTCCGACGTCTTCCTCAAGGGCCTCGGGGACCGCGCAGTGCTGGGGAATGCAGAGGGCGGCGCAGCTCCCTCCCGCCTCCTCGAGGGGGCGATTCTGCGCTCCCAGCAGCCCCTTATCCCCAACCGCCAGCTCTTCGCGGGGAGAAGCCTCTGAGGGCCGACGCTCCCCGAGGGCGTTAATATTTGCCCCCCAAACTATGCACCCGTCCCGAAAAGGCCACACCGGCCTGGGGGGGAGGCGGGCCCGTCACGCACCCTCCCCGGAAGGGTCCCCGGCCCGGCCACTCACTCGTCTTCGTGCAGCGCGCTCTGGTCGCTGAGAGGCCTCGGCGGGACCCGCGCTTCCCCTTCGGCGCAGCTCGGCGGCGGCGGCGGCGCCTGGAAGCACAGCGGCAGTTGGGCCGCCAGGTCGTTGCCTCCTCCTCCGCCGCCCCAAGAGCCCCCTTCCCGACACGTCGCCGGGGCCTCCGGGCAGCCGCTCTCCTCGGCCGGGGGCTGGAAGCCCGAGAAGTCCTGCCAGTCCCCGGCAGGATCCCGTTGCGAGGCCGCCGCCGCCGCCATGGCCGACGACGCAGCGACTGAGGAGAGAGGCCGGCCGGGCCCGGCCTGCGCGTGCTCGCCGCCTCGCCTCCGCCCCGGCGCTCCGCAGCGCGCGCTCCCGGTTTGCCCGGGCGGAGGGGCGCCCCGTTAAGGAGGGAGGCCGCCCATCGCTCGCACCGAACCCGAGATCTTGGCCTCTTGGTTCGGGAAGCTTCGCAATAGGCAGTTGGGTGACTCGGAAGCCGGCCCTGCATTGTTGAGCGGGGCTTTGCTCCCTAAGTTTATTTATCAACTCTCCTCTAGAATTTGCAGCCTCTTTTGAATTTAAGAGCTAGCCAAGTACCGTAGTAAACCACACCGGTGCCCGGTGCGAGCCGTATCCCGCCCCCATTGCTACCTATCACTACCTGCTTCAATTAGAACAACAGATTTTGAATTGGATTTAAACAAGAAGAGTTACATCAGGGGCCGCTGGTGATAACATTTCGGGTGGGTTGGGCTGCAGTTTTTAGCCTGACATGTTTTCATAGGAAGTGAGTGTGCGGCACTTTTTAAGGAAAGGTGTGCCATTACACATGTGCAGAGTGCTACTGTCTCCACACTTTCTCTAAAATAAGGGGCGAGGAATTATTCTTGCGCATCTACGGACATCTTCCAGGCAAGAGCACCGAAGTATGATTTTCAAACAAGGTTGACTCCATAACTCTTGTTTAGAAATTTAGTTGTTCCATGTAAGTTTTAAAATCCATGTATCAATGTCACTGACCATTGCCAGAACTCTAAACATAGTACACACAACTTTGTAAAATGTGAGGAACACAATGGCATGCGGTTTTCATGCCTCTACAAATCAGTTTAACTTTTAATGATAAAAAATGCTTTCCCCATTCTTAGTTGTTGTTTTTTTAAAGGATTCCAACCAACAGACAAAATAAAATAAAATTGTTTCAGCCAGGGCATAGCAGAACATAGTTGCAATGCACGGTTCAGTACTGAAAATGACATGGCTCATGTGCAGAGCATGACACTAGTGTAATCATAATTGGCTTCTGTGTTAGGAAGAGTATTTTCCAGATTTGAGGAAGGATGTAGAGTCAGTCACTGTGATATTTAAACAGGCATAGAGCCCAAACTTTTCATTTTAAAAAGTCACTGACAAACTCTCAAAAAAGCAACCTCTAAATAATAGTGACTGCATTTTCATGCATTCCTCTGCATTCAAGAGATGATGAACTTAAGCTAGGAGAGAGGCTTGTTGGAAGCAGATCTACAAGCTTGGTGGATCAGGGGAATGCTGTGGACATAGCGTATCTTTATTTCAGTAAGACTTTTAAGCATCACTTAAATCCTAAAATGAGTGCTGGGGATGAACTTCATGGATGTCCTCCAAAATGTTTGCATTCCCCCCCCCTCCAAAAAAACCAAACAAAAACATTTTGCTTCTCAGTGAGTGACTGTGAACATGTACAGAACACCTTTCCTATTGGATGGGAAGCATCCAAAAATATGTATCTGAGCATAGAGTCCATGGGTAGCCAACTTGGTGTCTTTCAGGATAATGGATAGGACCTTCTCTACCAAGCAGAGAGGCACTACCTCACACAACTGATTGAGGGTGTCATGGAAAAGCAGCAATTCATTAACTAATTTATTTCTATTTTAGTGCCAAGGAGGGAGGAGAGGTGCTTGTGGGATTTTATGCCTCAGCTGTCATAATAACTTGATAGGGCTTGGGTAAGCACCTTTATATGCATAGTCATATGCAATTCTGCTTCTTGACATATGCAGGTGTAGGAGTGAATGTGCAAGACAGATAGATGTATTGCTGCTGTAATGGGCTGGATGAGAGCCAATAACCTGAAGCTTAATCCATACAAGACTAACGCAATGGTAGGGAGTGGTTCCTGAGACTGAATGGAGTGGATTTTTTCTGCTCTGGATTGGATTACACTACCTCTGAGGGACTTCTGGATCCACTACTGTTGCTCAAAACTCAAGCCTTGCAGTGAGGTGCCTTCCACCATACACCCTGCATGGACAAGCAGTTTAACATCTGTTGTCTAGGCTCTGGTTAGATTACTGCAATGCATTATATGTGGGGCTGCCTTTGAAGATGGTTTGGAAACTGCAGCTGATGCAAAATTCAGTGGCCAAATTCCTGACCAGGGAACAATGGTCCAAACATATAAAACCAATTATGGTATGACTGCTCTAGATGCCAATTACCTTCTGGGCTGAATTCATACTGCTGGTTTTGACCTAAAAAGCCTTATGTGGCTCAGAACCCCAATACCTCAAGGACTGCCTCTCCCCTCATGAACCAACTTGGAGCCTGTGTTCCCTTTCCAAGGCCCTTCCACAGGGTGTGGAAAGTGGTGACATGAGAACAGGCTTTTCAGTGGTGGCTCCCTGCTTGTGGAATGCCTTTAGGCACCAGTATGGACAGCTTTAATACATTTTTTTGTGAGCTAGTAAAAATGTTAACTCTAAGTTATAATTGGCATTTCTGCTATCTAGTACAGTGGTACCATGGTTCTCGAACTCAATCTGTTCTGGAAGTCCGCTCAACTTCTAAAACGTTCGAAAATCAAGGCCTGACTTCTGATTGGCTAATTGGCCCCGGAAACAATGCTGACAGCCAAAACAGATGTTTGGCTTCCGAAAAACATTCGCAAACTGGAACACTTATGTCCAGGTTTGTGGCATTTGGGAGCTGATTTGTTCATCAGCTAAGCTGTTTGGGAACCATTTTTTGCCATTATATGTGTTTCTTTCAGATACTTAAGCCCAGTAACTCTGAAGTAGCACAATCTGAAGCAATAGTTGGCTCCTGTTTCTACATGCTGTGGAACCATAACCAGGAGCTGATTCTGTGTGTACAGCAGGGGTAGAGAACCTTTTTTATTTTGATGACCACAGTCCCTTATCAGTGGTGGACAGAGGAATAAATGCAGATTTTACCTTTGTACATGCCAAAGAGTGAGCTGGCAGTAAATTACAGAGCTCAGAGTTGGAGAAAACTTTATCAGCAGAAAGACAAACTGCAGAGACAAGGCCAAGTGTCAGGCCTAACGAGCACAGCTGCTCCTCCCAGTAGGTCTTACTCCATGAATCAGTTGCTGAGACTCACCACAGCTGTCAATAAGTCTACTCCACTTCAGTGCTTTTTCCAAGAAAAAGTGCCTGTGTGTAGCCAATCTCTCCACCCTTTTCATGCCTTTCCTGGTTCTGGGAGATTGAGGGTGTGGGGAGCTTGTTGCAGCAGGAGGAGGGTTACCTGTGACTTTTCAGCAGCCTGACTCATCTCTGCCTCGTTCTCGCCTCCTTCAGCTTCTGCATCTGATTCTGGTCTTCTTTCTGCCACACTCTTAGCTCACGAAACCCTGTTCCCTCTTCAACTTCTGACACCTCCTCTTCCCATTCTTCTCCCTCGTCATCCCATCAGGGCTCCATGGTCTCTGAGTCTTCTCCCCTTGGTGGTTCTCCAGCTGGTTTCTCCCACCATTCTTCTGCGTCCAACCAGTTCATGACAGTACAGCCCTCTAGTTTCTTTGCACTCCCACATCCCTCTTTGGCCTCCATCCAGACCCCCAAGAAGCACCATCAGAATTCAAGGAAACATTCCAGCCAGGTAAAAGCACTCAAAGAGGGTGCAAAGCAAGACCGGTAAGGGGCATAGATTTGGAGGTGTTGTGACATAAGGAGAATTTCAAGGGCCAGCCAGAGAGGCCTGGAGTGCTGCATTTGGCTCCTGGGCCCGAATGTCCCCGCATACAGTGACAACAGTGGCAGTTGGGTCCTCTTGGTTACATAAAGATACTTGCTGTCCCCCTGTGCCACCCCCTTCCCATTATTTGTACTAAAATGCTCTCAATCTCTTTAACAATTGCTGCAGTGCCTGGTCAAGTAAACATTTTTGTCATACATTTATATTAGTGGCATACCAACAGAATGAAGAGTAATGATAGAAAGTTCTGCATATGTCACAGTTAAGGATTATGTTAAGGATATGAATGCTTAAGTGTTGGTGAAATGTTTGGTACAATTCTTCAAAAATAAAGGGGAGAAATCCCCCCAAACATCCCAATATGGACTGAGCATGCTTAGTGGACACAAAATGCTGACTGTTGGAGGAAGGAAAACAGAAAACTGCAGTCAATATATTGGAATATCCTAGCTGAGGGTACTGTTTGCTGGAATCGTGAACAGGAACACTCTACACTGCAACACTGTGGCAGCAGGTTCCACTGTATACCTTTTTTGCCGCAATGTAACTGGGAAACAATAAAACACTAAAAGATGTTAAACATAACAGAGAAGAAATCAATTAGAAACTTATGAAAAGTTCATCAAGTTAATTTTTATTGTGCTGCCAAGAGCCAAATTACAAGAAACCGTCTTACATTTTAAAAAGTAAACAAGCAATCTGCCAAATTGCAGTGCACTCCAAGTGCCACATATGCATCTATTTATTTATTTTTCAGAAAATTATCTGCATTTCTCTTACAAGAGCACAACAGGAACCAAAGTAAAAGAATGTAATGGATACAGCACATAGGATAAATAATATCTTCAAAATAATAATAAAATAATAATAATAATAAAATAATAATAATAAAACATTTTACACCATGTCCTATATCCTGCTAATATTTCTCAGAATATGGCCTTGATTGTAAAATAAAAGCAAGCATTGACAATTTCTGGATAACGACTGCTTACTCTTATGAAAGGAATGGATGATTTATCGACAGAATCTGGGTAATAACTGGAGAGTAACATTTGTTTCAGTGTTGTCATATGAGTATAAAATGCTGGGGGGAGTGACTACATTTTTTCTTTGTTTTTTGGAAACTGAATTTATAAACAGAAAAAATGTTGAGCCTTTATGATACACCTATTTTTCTCTTTGATGCAAACAGCTAGAACACTTTTTTGATATTCTAAAACAAGACATTTGTTAATCTTCGGATTAATAAATTAGGTCATATAATAAATTAGGTTTTTCAGTTTTAAAGTTCAGTAACCTCTGACCAAGTATTTACAACAATACTTGAGAGTTCCTTTACAAAAAATACATTTTCTTTTCACATTAAGCAAACTGGGTATCTGTGTCTTATGACAAGCAACTGTAAAAGAAAGAGGCATACACAAATGGGCAGTTAGTATAAAAGTGCCAAGACATATTTGGAAAAGTTAATGTTGTATGATACAGTTAAAAGTTACGAGTCAAGCTGCAACAAACTTCCAGCTAGTTGTAGACTGTACTCCAGTAGTTGTTTCAAACAACTGTTTTCAAATACATCCAAATGCTGATGCAGTTAAGTTGTGGAACTGATGAGTGCTGCCTGTATGTTATCAGTGTATCTAGCCAATGCATTGAATTAACAGCCTTTTTAAGGCCATGCAGGAAAAGAAAAAGAAACACACCCTGAAATGTAGCAAGTAGCAAGAGCAATGCTTACTGCTAAAATTGTGCACATACTGTACACATATGCAAACACAAGGGCACGCGTGCACACACACTTGCATACTCACACTTTCAAATCAAATAAAACTAGGTAGAATGAGATACTCTCATCTCGTCTTTCCTAAACACAAATGATTAAGCAAAAATGTGGAATGCCTGTGTTTCTGTTCTGGGTAAAATCTCAGTTAAAAATACATTCAACAGGGGAAAATACAAAATTATACTGATATATACTGTATATATAAATACCATATATATATACTGTATATATACATATATATATATACACATATATAGTGTGTATATGTGTGTATGTATACACACAGAGATGTATGTATACACATACACACATATATACACACACAGACATACAAATGCTTTGTTTCCAGCATAACTTTATTTACATAAATATTTCTATAAAGCTAAAGTTTTAAAGAAGCATGATCTCCTTTCTTTCTGAGCTTCCAAAAAGGTGCTTGAGTAATATACAATTAAAATTAAGCAGCTTCCTAGCATGGAAGTTGTTTCTAGTCTGCATAATCAGTAACAGAAAAAACCCTTAACATGATTAAAAAAAAGTAATCTGAGCAAGATCTTCATCCAACTAATCTATTTCTTTTCCTCCAATGAAATATCTTTGAACCACCTGAAATTGATACACAATGGTAAAAGAAAGAAAAAAAGACACACACACACACACACACACACACACACACACACGCACACACAAGCTCTGGAATCAGATGGTGTTTTTAACTTTCCCTCCCTTTCTCTCCCTCGCCACTACTGTTGTCAAAAGATCCAGTGCTCATATCAGGAATTATACAGGCCTTAGCCACTTGCTGATTGCAAAAAAAAACTTGACAAACAGCATCAAAAGGAAAAACAAAAAGCAGCACAAGGTATAATTGTACACAGCTTCAATAATTCACCCTTTGTAATTCTGCTTTAATGTTTCCCTCACTATGTCATTAGCTCTTGCAGCTTCTGATCAGGTAGAAAAACATAGTTGCAGCTATACCACACCTGTGATGTGACAGGTACTATATTTTTGTAGCACAGCTGAAAAAAACAACCCAGACTTGGTTATTAAAGTTCAGGTATGGTTATGCTTATACTTCACTGCAATAAATGCTATTTTGGAGTGATAGGAAAAAAGCTATATTCTTATATTGTTTGACTCCAAGTCAAGCTGACCAGCTTTTCTTCTTTGAGGCTTCCTGTTATTACCACTCAAACTCAAACCCAATTTCCCCTTTCCAAACAATCTCTATTACTATGTTACAAGCAAAACATCTTAACAAGTTTTAAAACTTTGGTTCTAAGAAAACACTTGGTCAGTTATCGCAAGGAGAAATGGGAATGCTTGTTCTGGCACACTGCAGGAGTCAGAGCCCATCCCAGTAAGGTCTTAGAGCTGTACATGAAGTCACAAATCCAATACAATCCACTAAGCAAGTGCACAATTCTAGTTTTATCTTAATAGCAGACTCAGTCTTTGTTTCTTCTTAACTTCTTTGTAAGGGTGCAACTTCTCACACTGTCTGATAGAAATTATCTGCCTGTAAGTTGTTCTGTTTTTGCATGCTGTAGAATCCACTGTATCTTGAGTCTGGGTCAGCAATTCTGAGCATCCTTTGAGAACTGTCCACCTGAACCATAGTTCCTTTCTTGCAGTCTACGTACACCAACTGATTGTTTAGACAAGAAGGCTGTTGGAATATAGAAAGGCAAAGAATAGGAAGTCAGGATATATGAAAAGCCACACGAGCTAGTAGCCCTTGCCACATCTTTTGGTAGAGCATTTCATAAGTCAGTTATGTGCTGTGCGGAACAGTGATTTCTTTAACTTAGGAAGCTGGCTTTTACGAAGTCAGACAATAGCCCAACTAGCTCAGAATTATCCATAATGACTGGGAGATGTTAACCAAGAATTCACACAGGAATCTCTCCACCCCACCTGGAGGGGCCAGGAATTGAATCTGGGACTTTTGCATACAAAGAGCATGCTTTACCACTGAGCTGTGACCTGAACCTACTGCCAACAAATTAGCTCATGCTTTGCATGTAAAAAAATCCCAGGTTCAATCCTAAGGATCTCCATTTAAAAGAATTGAGTAGCAGATAAAATCCGGAAGAGCTGCCATCTGTCAGAACAGAGTAGATAATATTGGACAAGATAGACAAATGGTCTGATTTGGAATCAAACGGCTTCCCAAGTCCCTGTGATTTATATGAATGCAAATTCTAGCATTGTGAGCATCACTGTTAACCATAATAGTTGGTCCCAATAAAGACTGGAATCAAAAGCTAGAGAACACAATCCAAATAGCAGAAGAACACTCAGTTAATTTGCATGCACAAAAGTGACCTCCATGAGTCCATCATTCAGATCCTTCACAGTGTACTCCTACTCTAGTGAATAATGGCAAGCAGAGAGGATTCAATAAGTAAGTACCTGATGCAACCTTTGGCCACAAATGAAGGTCTCTCTGCTACCTATGATAAGTAATATTAAGGGCAGAAGGGAAAGCTTTATTTAACAAAGGCTGCAGCTGCATCTCTTTATCAAGGCCCAGGCAAGCATTGATGTTTCAGACCTTGAACCTACTAGGGGGCATACTCTAGATCAGGGACCCCCAAACTTGGCCCTCCAGCTGTTTTAGGACTACAACTCCCATCATCCCTAGCTAACAGGACCACTGGTTAGGGATGATGGGAATTGTAGTCCCCAAACATCTGGAGGGCTGAGTTTGGGGATGCCTGCTCTAGATCTTATTTGAACTAGACCCTATACAATCTGGGGTGTAATCTAAAACATGTTCAAAGGGAACAGCCAGACAGACATTAGTATTTGCCCTCCTGCCTTTTTGGAGCTTTCTGCCATCCCTTTTCAATTTTTGTTCAACTGTCTTAGCCAATTCAAGAAATCATGCTACCTGTTTATACCAAATGCAGTACAAGAACAATGGTTTAATGCCTAAATATATGAACTCTATTTACCTTTGTTGGTGCTCTGTAGCAGGACACTGGTATCCACTGCTTTTTCTGATTGATAAGTAGAAGTGCTATTATAAGAACGAGAGCTGTCATGATGGGCACTGTCACCCAGGCAAGAGAACTAAGAGATGCCTCTGCACTTGGTTGCGATCCTCTGGTTTCTCTATAATCCCCCTGAAGATGACCCAAATCTGAAAGGTGTGAATAAGCATGTTGGTAATGAACAATTAAATAACACCCCTAATAGAGTAGCAGAACAGCTCCATCATGCCACTATTTTTAAAATCCCAAGACAAGACACCATAACTGCTACCCTGAGTAACAAGAATTCTACACTTTACCCTATCAAGTTACCTTGGATATGCATTATCTTACATAATAATATGACATGTAACAACAAAGTGAAAGAGTACCATAAAATTACAGTAGAATGCATGAAATATTTCCATGGCACTAAAACATCCTATTGAAGACATGGAAGGGAACTGATTCTGGTAAAGTCCATAATGTTCGAATCCAACATACCTAAAGGATTGCCTCTTCTTCCTTACTCTTTACAGCAGGGGTGGGTAACCTTTGGCCCTCCAAATATTATTGGGACTGCAGCTCCCAATTCCCTGACTACTGGCAGTGTTGGCTGAAGTGGACAGAGTTTGCAAGTCCAACATCTGGAGAGCCACAGGTGCACTACTCAGCCTTTTGAGTTGACTGTCATCTTGAATTTATCGTTTTACACAATATTGTGACCACACTGTTGGCAAGGAAGCCCCTCCAGTGAGGGATGCCTCAACGCACCTGCCCAAACAGTAGGCAGAAGCTACTAGCAGCAGCAGCCCCCATACAATGGCCAACAGAAAGCAAAGCACAGTAATCTGAGGGGCCATGGAATCCTGAGCTATCCCTGATATCATCAAGTGACGGCAATGGGCCCAATGCAGATATCACTGTTCCATAAGTAAGTCTTAACTGGGACTAGATATTTCTTATAATTTATTGGCATACTATTTTGAGAAAATTGGACAGTATTCATAGTAATCATTACATTATCTGAACACATATGACATTGGGATGAACCCAAAGAACCCGAAGCTCAAACAGAAGACATTTCTGCTTATATACAGGAGAGTCACTAATTTTATGCTCAGCTTCTAGTCAATTCCATCCCACTCCACTCTGGAAGGTATGTGGCAACCCACTTTGCCGGTATGCATTCTGTAACCATATTTTCCCGTAAAATCTGCATAATGCAACCAGGCATTCCTTTTGTTCTGTGTTGCTGAATATTTATAAGGGGGTGCCTCATGGCCTTTGCCTTATGCTTAAAATTTTCTGTAGGAAGCATACAAGTTAATAATCATTTGTTTAATTTGGTAAATATGTTTCATGTACATATATGTTTCTCCTGCCTGAAGGAAACCAAAAGTATTAGGCCTATGTATATAACCTTTGGTCAAAAAACCTCCTCCCACCTTTTTGTTTACTTCAAAGGAAGCTTTCCTTGATAAGGATGAGTTTTGTCTAATGTTCCTTGAAAAAGATGAGTTACTGAAAGCTTTATATACATTTATATTCATTGATCCAATTCCAGTTTAACATCGTAACAGAATGTTACGTAACAGAACAGTTTAACATAGTTAGAATTGCTTGAAGTTTTTTTTAAAAAATGCAGCAACTACACTGATTACCCCAAAAGAAATAATCCTTGTGTTTATTATCTGCTTTGCCTCAGGTTGTTTTAATCTCATGAAACCACATGAATTTAGAGGCTATTCCTATTGTCTTATAGGAATAAGACAAATGTGAGATATGAGGTTTGGAAAGGCATCTACAATAGATGATGTGGGGGAATGTAGACTAAACGTACAATGCTTGTATCAATATAAGCAGAAACTCCTAAGTAGTTGGATGTAAAAAGAGAAGAAAAAAGAAGACTAGCATCGTGGTAGATACTGGACTTAGGCTCTGTAGTGAAACCTGGTTCTCTCAGTCATAGATAAAAGTTTTTTAAAATACTCCAAAAAGTGATTTTGAGGGGGGAAAACCTCCCAAGCAGCCTCTGATTCATGACATGAAATACAATTTACCTCTGTGGATATGAACAATGTCATTTTCACTGTGTGTAGGCCAAACTGGTGCTTCCAGTTCATTATCTCCTCTATGATTTGTCTTCTCAATTGGAATGTTGGTAGGTTCAGGTACATACATTTCTATTAAAAAAAAGAAAATTATCAAAGGAACTTATAGCCATTAAGCTTCATCCCTTACATTTCCTGCATCTTAATGTTTTACTCTATCCTGCCCACCTACTGCTTCTATCATGAGGCCAAAGTAAAACTAAGAAGTGTTTGAGATACCTTTTGATACTTCAATAAT